AAGATCGAGATAGGGATTTAACAAGTAATTCAGTATTACTCACACTGCGTTTAAAGGTAAGCTGCATTTAACATTTATGGCCAAACACTACATACCGCGTTTTACTTTCCGAACAATAACAACGATATACATGAAATTTCATCAGATGTCTCAAATACTATGACTGTTGCATTGGCCGAATTAAAAGTAGTGATCATTGACGAAATTAGCCTTTTTAGTACCGGGCATCTTCTTTGGATTGATAAACGTCAAGAGACATATTTGGTCGTGATAGACCATGCTTTTTTGGAGATTTTAATCAACTGCCACCCTTATTTGATTTTGCTTTCTACAAAGAGTTTCCCAGTGATCCTATAAAAAATTTAAAGTTTCAAGATGTATGGCATTCATTGAAAGTCCACTACTTAACACATAAACAGTATCTATAGAATTATCACGACTTAAAACTGTACAACTGAAACCAAAGTTCAGCTCTTTACGCTCACTACGTACAAATATTCAAGTTATTTCCCACAATGTTCAACGCCTAAATGCTCATGTCGATCAAAGTTAACGATGAAACATATATGTCATCAGATTATATTTTATTATCTGAAACTTGGACCACTCAGAACCAAATTTTTGATATTCCTGGATTTACTGAAATTTCAAGAGAGTATAGCCGATTCAACCACCTCTGGAGCTTATGGCGCAATGTGTCTTATAAATGATAGATTAAATCAGTCCACACCATTCAGCAAAATACAGCTATTGAATGCATCCAGTGAAGGGTATATCTATAGCGGGACTCAGTTCTCCGACATTACTTGTTCTATCATTTTACATATTCCCTAAATTCAAATTAGACGATGCTATTCCAATTATAGAATCATGTATCACAGTCAATGAAAGATAATTTTAGCTGGTGATTTTAATGTTGATTTTATACGAATCTTCATCAAGAACAAAATTATTACAACTTCTTGATAAATACAATATGTACACAGCCATGCCAGATGATATGAAATCTACAACAAATAATGGCACATTCATCGACAACATATTTACTAATTTTACTGTTCAAGAAGGCAGTATACATATTGTTTACAAGCTACCATGACCCGTTAACCATGACCCGTTATATATTACCTTTTAAGCACATTTATTCAATAAAATTTAAGCTCATGTGATTTAAAAAAAGTGTGTCACGTCGTATTAGAAAAGCGCCCCCGGGAAGGCTGATTAGCCTTGAGTACGGCCGGATTTTTTCTTAAATCACTTTCTCCATTAAAGTCCCTTTTTAATTATTTTCTTAATTTAATAGTCGATTGTTATATGAGCACTTTTTTTTTTAGTTTTATCTTAAATGTTATGTGTGGTATTCTTGGGCAGAGGGCTCACCGTAAAACCCTCAACATCTGGCGGAGAGATCTCCCGTACCCCAATCTCATATCTCTACAAAAAGCTATTAAGTCGAAGAAAAAACACGCTTTTAAAAAATTACACTGTAAAAATCAAATTACGCTGTAAAAAAAAATTACGCTGTAAAAAAAAAGTTATACCGAAGATATTATGCTGTAAAGCAGAAGATGATCAGTTTTTCTGAAGGTAACACTTTAATGATTAATATTATGGGCCGTAATCTTGGGAACATGGGTTCCCCCTCCCCAAACCCCGTACCCCTTTTGCATAAGAAACCCCGCACCCCCGATTATTTTACATATCTGTTTAAGATATATTGTTGCAACAAAAATAAAAGTAGTATTGTTTTTTCTGATGGTAATACTTCAATGTTTAATGTTATGGGCCGTCTTCTTGGGAGGAGGGATTTGCCCTCCCCCCAAACCCCACACCCCCCTCAAAAAATTCAAAATGTGTGACTGTTTTGTACAATTCCTAATTCCTATTATTTTTATATTAATTGTATTAAGGGTACGAATATTGGTCTAAGGGGACGATGTCGCTCGTATTTTAAATGGTCGCGTAAATTCTCTACCTTCATGAAAGTTAGTTACGGAAAAGACGCTTCTAATTGAAAGGCGGTTGAATATATACTTAAAACTTCTATGAAAACATTAAGTATTCGTATTGAATAAAGTTTTACGTATGTAAAAAAAACAAAGGGACACAGTGCACAGAAATATTGATATGCGACAAATATGCAGGGGAACAACCGAATAATTTGGTAGTTTTACGACAACACTTGTACGTTAAATGTTCATTGTTAATAAAAAGGATAAACTCTTGTACGTTTAAGGCTCATTGTTAGTGAAAAAAGCGATAACACTTGTACGTTTAACGTTTACTGTTAGTGAAAAAAACAACAACACCTGTTCGTTTAACGACGAAAGTTGGTTAAATAACGAACAAACTTGTACGTTCTGCAATCAACATTGGTGACAGCAAAGAACTTGGTTGTTTGACAAACAAGTATATTTAGACGCTTTTTCAACATATTTTTACGCAAATAATTGATGTCAGCTATTTTTCAAACAGGTATTTGGCTGTAAAAGTGGTACGTTTTGTCACCAAATATTTCGCCATAATGACTGATGTTAAAAATAAAGTAGTTATGACAGTGAACACCAGACTGGAAGTAGTCGACTAAAAAATTCTTATAGTATAAACTTTTAAGGATAATAAGATAATCAATGTTGATTTTAAGAGGGCGTAAGCAACATAAATATAAACTGATTGCCAAGATTAAAAAAGTATTATTGTGTTTGAAAACACTATGTTATAAACGCTTTCGATAATACAAGGACCAAAGCCGAGTGTGAAATATGAGTTTTGAATCAGATGTTATATATAAAGACGTTCGATAAACAAGAAGTAAAAAGTTGAGGGAAACACAAAGGAGTCAATTACAATTATTACAAAACTAGATTTTAGTCAAATAAACTGATGTAATATTTATTTGAAAAAAAAAGGAAGCGTATTTAAAGCAAATATTCTATCCTGTGTAGCGCCAAGTTAATTTAGATTGGCGGCAACAATGCGATCCCGATTGACTTGTTGGGAATATCAATGCGAGGTCAAAGTTACTGTAACGCATTGAAGGTCAAATGTAGAGATCCAGGGACAGATCATCATCGTCCACGGAGGATAGACTTTCCAAATTTCAATAATTTGAAAAAAAAGCACGACCGGAGTTGGTCATTATATCCAACACTTTTTTTTAATCATCTACATAGATTAGCAACACAAAATGTCAAATCAAAGCATTGTTTTAACGACAGAATTTATTTGTAGGGAATTGTCTAATTACGCCGATGAGGTAGTTCAATTTAAAGGATCCGTAGCCGAATATGACTTGTGGTTCCCAAACGGCCCCAAGCGTCACGGAAACTGGGTTCTTTCTCAAAGATGTTAATCAAGAAAAAAGATCATTCTTGGTGAAACAGTTGATGAAGCCAAAACAATTAAAAATGTTAAATGTTTTGTTTGTAATCATGCTGGAAAGCCACGTACACATACCAAGCCTACAAATAGCGATGATAGACCTGCCAAAAATCCCGCATTTAGTCTATCAATCAAGTTGGCTGTACCGCAAAATTCAGATACAAAGAAATGCTCAACGGCCAGGTAGAGGTGTCCTATTCTCGGAGCATAAAAACCATAATCCATTAGATACTTCCGACATTGGCAAATCGAAACTCACAAAGGATGTTCAAGGTTGAATTTCCACACATGTTGACAAAAACATGGATTGCAAATCTATCAAGCCATGAACAAACGGATGACGTAAATGCTTTACAGATGCTTATCAAATAATAATTGGCCCAAAGATTGAAAAAAATGCCGATTTTCAAGGTGTACCAATGTCTATGTGGATCAATCATAGAGTAGTTCAAAACATGATTTATGAAAGACTTAAGAAGAAGTACAGAAAAGGTGAATCAGAAAAAATCAGTGTAGAGCTATGGACTGATTTTCTACATAATAAAATTATCAGGCTTTTAATATTTGATCAAGAAGACGGGCCTAAGATGGTAGATAGGGTCTCGCCATGTCAAAAGGGAGAACATGTTCTCTGACTGTTTGTTTAAAGTTTATCACTCCATTTTAATTTGTTTCCAGTTTTTAGAATTCCTATGGATGGTGCTTGGATTGAACATAAAAGACATGCACTTACGTCATGCACAGGGCAAGCGTTGTTACTTCTTCACCATTGTTGTGATAACACTACCACAAACAAAGGCTTACCAGCAGCATTCTTCATCACCAGTGACGAGTCTTCATATGCATTGACCAAATGGTTGAGATGGTTGAATGTAAACAACAAGTTGAGCGAAAATAAAATTATGATCGATTGTAGAATAATGTAACAAATTGCCATTGAAACAGTTTTAGGCTGCACTGTTTCTGTTTGTTATGCCATTGGCATATTCCGAAAATTTAGACAACCGCATGAAGGAAAGATAATCGATCTTTTGTCTGCTTTAACTCGTTTATACACATACGTTGTTGCTGATTTAGGGTCTAATAACAATATCCCTACCTATTATCTCACCCCTTCCTATTTATTATCACTTCCCAAAGTTGATACACCAATTTCAGTTGAAGTAGTTGTTGAATTATATCCTCGTGGATCTGGTAGTTCGTCAGCCGAAAATACCTGTACGACATCCGCAACATGATCTGGATCTTCAATACAAATTGGTTTATGTTTATAAAGTCTCTGACTATTGAATTGATATCATGCATTAACGTCTGCAAGTCTCCCAAAGTTCTGATGTTTACATGGCTTGCAACACGGTGTTTATTTTGATTGTAATGTTCAGTATCAAAAACATAAATTTGAGCAAATGATGGTGCTACCTTATTTGATGAGAGCATCAGTATAATAACATGATAAATACTGCCGCAAACTCGGAACACGTAGGCTCAATCGCAAGAGTTCTGAACAGATTACTAAGAATAAACAACTATCAAAGTGAAGTTTAAGCCGTTGTTGTACGACCGTAGAGTGCATCCGCACTTCAATATGCCAAAAACAATTATAAGCAGAGAGATATTGAAACTGGACCACAACAGTTTTCTCATAATGAAGGCGCAATGTTTTTAGTCACATATCATTTTAATTATGATTAAAATGAGAATGTGAAATTTTTATTCTAAAAACAAAGTGGGTCCGGAATTTTAACAACTCGATTTTAGGCATGAGCGAAGTATTTGTCACAAGCAGGTTCAAAACTTTAAATTTTTTCTTTTCCGACCAATAGTATCGTCCTGTTTATACATAGTATTTGCGCTCTCCAACCATGAAATATTAACTGCTTCTACTCTCAAATTGAGTACCCGCGCGCGTAGTATTGCAGCTTATCAAATCAAAGTCTGAGGACATTTATTGTCAACACTGTAAGACACAAAAAGGATAAACCAAACTTTATGTATGAGACATTTGACAGTGATAATAACGAATTAAAATAAAAATGGAACATTTAACAAAGTAAAATTAAGAAACTGCAAAAATAACTGAAGCTTTATTAAACATACGAGGCTTGTTTTTGAAATAAAAGACTTAACATATATTTATTAATCGTGAACTTAACGCACCTCTAATGCTTAAGTTACACTGCCTATTATCAGTTGACACTGGAGAAAACTTTGATGTTTCTCAATACATCTATAAATATTTGGAAAAAGACGATATCCCTAGACCCAGGCAAGAACGTTGATCTACGCAAAAGAATTAATTGTTATACATCTGATTAACTATTGTATGCGCAATGTTTATACTTCATAACGAAAGATTTGATAATCCATAATATTAATTTCAAAGGTGACCCCTTCATCCACCAAAAACAAACAATTTTTCAGTTCTTCTCGAGTAATTACATATTGTTTGTGAAAAAGTGTTCATATACTTTTCTCTAACCTGGATAATATAATGCTTAATGGTATTGTTATACTGGGGCTAATGGTAACCTCTACCCCGAAATCACCATAGTAACAATTTTTTTTTGCAATGACGTTTTTTGTAAAAGTCACTTTTATATTATGACTTTCTCCAAACAATCAGTTTTTATATATGCTCTTTTTTTTAGTCTAATGTTTAATATTATGGGTCGTATTCTTAGGAGGAGTGGTTTTCCCATCCTCTAATTTTGTATCTCGGCTCAGAAATTTACGCCATAAAAAAATTCATGCTTTAAAAACACAGCGCTGTAAAAAAAAAGGAATATTGTTTTTCAGAAGGTAACAATTTAATGCTAAATAATATGGGCAACCCTCAAAACATTCGTAAATTTGTGACTGTTTTTTACAATTTCTAATTCCTATTTTTTTTATATATTAATATTAACGAGGCTTTTTCAAACCAAACCTCCGTTTCGGTAAAAATTTGACCTTCGCTGCGCTGCAGTAAATTTTTGACCTGCACTATGGTTCGGTACGCTGCGCTTTGAAAAAGCCTCGTGCTGCCGCAGGCCTGTTTTTGAAATAACAAACTTAACATATATTAATTAACCATGAAGCCCATGCACATTATAACTTAAGCTACACTGCCTATTATTAGTTTGATACTGGAGAAAACTTTGATGTTTCTCATATATGTATAAATATCTGGAAAAACGATATCCCTAGACCCACGCAAAAAAGTCGATCTACGCAAAATATTAATTGTTTATTTATCTGATTAGCTATTCTATGCGCAGTGTTTTTGTTTCATAATGAAAGACTTGATAATCCAAAATAGAGTGCATCTGCTTTTCAGTAGTTCCTAACGTGTTTTGTGACATTTTTGAGCATTATCTCCGACTAGTACAAGTAATATAAAAGGAAACTTATTCATAGCCAGATTTTTTTTTTTTTTTAAAACAATTTTTCAGTGGAAGTAATGTTGGGCCTCCGGCTGCGATTTCATAGGCCGGCTCTAAACAGCTTCAGATCAATATTTCAAGCCTTTCAATACATAAATTAATTTTAAAAAGGGTCACGCGTCTTAAGAATATACTTTATAAAATATTCGAAATTACAAATGATTTCACTTAGTACATAAAAAGGTTGAAACTATTTTACCCTTTTTCAGGGTCGGTGATTTTAAGCCTCCGGCTGCGATTTCATAGGCTGTCTCTAAACAATTTCAAATCAATATTCAAGCCTTTCAATATATAAATTATTTTTAAAAAGGGTCACGCATCTTAAGATATTTGTTTTAATGTATATTTTAAAATTCAAGTAGTTCTACTAAGAGCATCCCCAGCAGTGCCCGATAAAAAACTTTTAAGTTTAAGTTTTTTTTTTAAAATTCAGCAATAAAAGTGTTGTCAACCCCAGCAGTTTACAAAAAAACCTTAAATAACGGACCTCAAAAAACTTAATTACTTAATTGTACCTGAAAAAAAAAAGAAGTGTCAAGATCTTTTTACTCAATCCTGAATTTTTTTAACATGAAACAACTCGCAGCCATGGCACTCCTGAATCTCAGAAAGCGTGCAAATAATAATCTTTTTCATATACTGAACATCAAAAGACTTAAGGATGAAATGGACAGTCAGTCAACGACAGGTGGTTCAGTCGAGGGACGCAGAGTCATTGACAGAGACAGTGAATCCGGCTATCAACGTCTATTAAATGATTACTTTGTCGAAAACCCGGTTTACGGCGAAAACGAATTTCGTCGTCGATTCAGAATGCGTAAGAATGTCTTTCTTCGAATTGTGGAAGCTATCACCGAGCATGATCCGTATTTCCAAAGAACGCCAAATGCTGCTGGAAAAATGGGCCTTCATCCGTTGCAGAAGGCTACTGCTGCATTACGTCAGCTTTGCTACCGCGTCCGCGCTGATACGGTAGACGAGTATTTGCGTTTGGGTGAACGTACTGCGTTGTTAAGTATGAAGAAATTCTGCGCTGCTGTCGTTGAGGTTTTTTGGAGAGGATTATCTTAGAAAACCCAACGAAGAAGATACTGAGAGACTCCTCGAAGGGAACAAACAACCTGGATTCCCAGGTATGCTCGGGTCTCTCGATTGCATGCACTGGACTTAGAAAAACTGTCCAACAGCATACCATGGTCAGTATACCGGGAAGGAAAAGAAACCGACATTAATTTTGGAAGCAGTGTCTTCGTATGACCTGTGAATCTGGCATGCCTATTTTGGCTTACCAGGTTCATTGAATGGCATTAACGTTCTTGACAGATCGGATTTGTTAGATGAATATACGAACGGCAGCAGCGTGGATGTGAAGGTTGACGTCGGAGACTAGGAGTTTACCATGGGGTATTATCTTGCCGATGGGATATACCCCAACTTTGCCAATATGATAAAGACATTTTCGATTCCAAAACCTGGTGCCGAGGCAGTAAATATCGTTTCTAAAATATTGAAATATATATGCTAGCTATTAATCATGACTTCTTAAAATGTAGAACTTCGCTAAACAACAAGAAGCATGCCGTAAGGATGTCGAGAGGCCTTTGGCGTATTGCAGGCTCGATTTGCTATAATTAGTTGTCCTGCAGGATTGTGGAAAAGAAAAGATCTTGGTATGATCATGAAGGCGTGCATAATTATGCATAATATGATAGTCAAAGACGAGCGGGATGAGAGCGACACCTTTCCAAACAATTACTTTAAGTCTCATCCTGCCAATCCTTCTGATGCTCCAGACATTTCTCGCGATCCTTCGTTTTATAGCTTTTCTAGCTATTTAGAGCGCCACGGAAACATCATTGATGCATCTGAACATTTCAGATTGATGAAGGCCTTGGTCGCGCATCTCTGGCATAGAAAAGGATATGGAATTGTTTAGACTTCACTTCTAAATAAAATTCACTCAAAAGTATAGGTCTATCTAGTTTTAAAAATATAAATAATTTTGAGAATGGAACAGAGGATCAATCATATTTATTGTTCACAATTAAGATCTTCTGTACGAAGTATTTCGTTCTCAATCTCAGCTTCCAGGCGATCCAAAGCTTGTTTGCCACTAAGCTTATAGAAACGCAAAGTCTCTTCATCATCCTTGAACTTCTCCAAGTCAACGCTGAACAATCTCTCATCCAACAACTTTTGATTGACTGCCAAAAGGTTTTGGTTGACAGCCAATTTCTCTTGCTTAATGGCGTTCGCCATATCCATCTTATTCATCATCTCAGACTATTCGTCTGCTAGCTGTTGCTGGTTTGTTTCCCAGTTAACCAAGGTATCAGTGATCGTATTGTCCATGGAAGCCCGGTTCTTGCTCTTTTGGCGTCCCTTAGGACGCGCAATGATGGATCCATCACTTTCACCATCTTCATCCTCAGCAATCACTGTTGAGGTCCCAACCTCATTAGCAGCAGAGCTATCAGGAGCACATGAAGTGGTAATCGTTCTCTTGGAACCTGCCTTTACCGCCTGTTTTCTCACGAGCTTGGCGTCTCTTCTTGCCATTTCATCATTCCACTTTGGACTATTACGAAGTACCAAAAAACAATCATAAAAAGCGAAATGAACGTGGTATTTTGTTTGAAACAAATTGAAAGCATCCCCCAACTATTTGTTAAATTATTTGAGTTCAACTACTATATCCCATTAGCGATAGTTATATGATACGTACTTCATCTGCAGCCGCAATACCTCTTTTTTTCGTCACTGGATTGCTGCGACACAGCCGCAGAACTTGCTGACAGCAGCAAAAATTTTCCCCGAATGGTTTTTGAAAGCCTTCTCATTTCTTTCTGCCCAGTCGAGCTCACCCTCCGCCTTAAAGTCGTTCATGATCAACTTCGAGAACACTTCCGCCTTTATCAAACTACCATGGACTGCCTGCTCCGAGATGCGCAATCATGACTTCCACACCTGGACATTCTCCTCGTGGTCCAGCGGTAACGCTTCAACTTGCTGGTATCGGAAGGACCAGCATCCTCATTGCCACTTTTCTCGTGGTCGTCAATTCCCTGGACATTACCATCATCACTGGCATCGTTACTAGAATAGTTGCCGTTATCAAATTCAGAATCGTTGTTATTGCTCATTTTTATTAAAAAAGGTTATATAGATAAAAAGGGGTATTATTTATTGATGTTTTTTTTCCTCTAAAAAAACACTTCGGATTGGGAAAATTTATGGGAAATTTTGATTTCCCAAAGTTAAGGGTTTTTTTATCGGTGTTGCAGCCAATAATTATGTGGCTTGTTGTTACACAGAATAGGATCTTTCCTATAAATACGCTTCCTTTTTTTCATTTCTTAATAAATATTCTTTAGTTTTGTCTTCACCTAAATTTGGAATTTATCTTGTAATTGATACTAGTAGTATTTCCTCCGCTTTTTGTTGCTGTTTGTTGTCTATTGTAAATTATACAATCACATCATCTTCTTACATAAACCCGTCGTAGACTCTTTTATCTTTGACATCTAAGAACTATATTCTCTTCTCATCTCTCACTGTATTATTATCGATTTGCATTTTATTGTCTTATCCATATACTTTATCGTCTAAGATCACTACAGAAATAGTCTTAATAAATAATAAAACTAAGTTGACAACTAAAAGTCTGGTGCTCACTATCACAATTGTTATATAATAATAATTGCCCCTTTTTAAATCTAAATCCATACTAGCGCTTTATCATCGGGCACTGCTGGGGGTAAAAAACTTTTAATTTTCCCTTAATTAGCGGGCAAATCGACTTTTATCGCGCACTGCTGGGGATGCTCTAAGTTGTATTCTAGAATTTACCATTTTGGATGATTTAAAAGCATGAATTGTTATATTATCATTATTTTCTTCTTTATAAAATCAAGTACACGTGTTTCCGTTTTCCAGCCTAAATAATCCAGCATGTTCTACGACATACAAAATCTAGATTCGTGCTACTACTTTCTGATATCAGTCCAATACGCATTAAGCTTTCTTTTCTTTACCGGTAATTGAATCAAGGAAAAAAAAGACTTGACATCAACAGATCTTCATTTCTCAAATTAGAAAGCAGTTTTCGTTGACCTTTCCAAAGTAACTTTGGGACAACACGTATGATTTAGAATAGCTTGGGTGATTATAATATATCGGTTATCCTTGGTGTTTTTATTATTTTCATCATCGGGATTTCTACTGCTCATTTATGACCTTTAATGGCTAAAGGGATAAAACCGTAGTTCAAGTCTTCATTCCGTATCGAAAGCTTGTCAAAAGTAAAGAAAGAAAAGAGCCACAAATGTATTGATTCAATTATGTAACATCTTCATTCATCAATGTTACACTTAACCCGATATCAATTATTTTGATATAGTTTTAATGCAAGAGCCTCCGATTTATTTTTATTTGGTAACTACCGTGGAGATACTACGAAAAGAATATATTTCGGACTAGTTTTTATTTTTAAAAAAAATTAACCTCGAGCTCGAATTCTCTTACGATCACGATTATTTTCTTCTTCGCAAGGAGAAGAACGGCGACGAGGAGAAGGAAAAGGACGTGGGGAGGAAGGACCAGGAGAGGCAACAGAAGTCGCACGGGGGGAAGGAGAGGAGGGAGGAGTCAACTCAACCCCAAACAAAGCAAAAGAACCAAAAGACACGCCCGGGGACGCAGGAGCCGAGGAACAGACGGGAGAAGCAGAAGCAGAAGGCAACAGCGGAGAAGCAGGAAACGAATCCCAACCGAAAGACGCGGGAACAAAAGACATGACCGGCGAAGGGGGGAAGGAAGGCCAACCAAGAGAAGCGCAAGCGGGTGACTAGACCGGAGAAGCACGAACAGAAGAACGGTCGGAAGAAACCGGAACCGAAGTCAAAGAAGGCAAAGGTGGAGAACCACCAGAAACACCAGAGCCAACCGAGGCAACAGGAGCAATAGAAAAAGAAGCGTTATCCTCGATGGAGGAAGAAACCGCAGGAGTGGTGTTATCCCCGAGAGGGAAAGAAACCGCCGAGGATGCGTTATCCCCATTTGGGGAAGAAACCGCAAGAGGAGACACGGACAAACAGGGAGCAACGGCAGAGCAACATACATCCCCACGAGCAACAGACGAGGAAAAACAGGAAAGAGAAGCCGAATTATTTACAAGCCATGCTTGTGTCAAAGCTTCACATCCAAAAGCGAAAGAGTGTACGTGAGAACGGACTGGAAGAACCGAAGGAAAAGAAGGCAAACGACCACCACCAAGACAAGGCATGCCCACCACGCAGGCGCAATCCAAAGAGTAACATTTATACTCCTTCTTGGTAACTGTTGGCAAAGAAGGAACAGAAGAAAAGGGTCGATCAACGGAATCCTCGGGAAGAGGAGCAACAACAGGAGCAACAACAGGCAAAGGAGAGGACTGTGCAAAAAGCTCAGGGTTCTTTTTAAAGGTGGTGAGAGGTATGATACCTCTACCAAAACAGACGTAAACATCACCGATTGGCTCGGGTGCTACACGAACCTGGTTTTTGTTACCAACGACAGCAAGCAAAGAGGAAGAAGAGAACCGAACCGTCTTTTCCCAAAGGAAAAACAAACAAAATTTGGTCCAAAACCAGGGAAAAGCCGAAAAGAGAAACGCCGAATGTGTTAATTCACACAACAATCTATTAAATGTCAACATTAGAATAGTGTTTATAGCATAAATGTTTACTGATTTCGTTTTACTTACTCGTCAGGAAGAATATACGAGAGCATTTTTCCAAGAATCGTTAATGGGCGAAAGAAAAAAAAAAGACCCGCCCGCTTTTTGAAAAAATAAAAACGAAAATTGCCGCGCAACGTAAAATGATGATGTCATTATTTTTAGTCCTAAAAATCGGGTTCGGAATCCAAATTATTATACTTCAACAAAATCAAAATTTTTTTTTTTTGATATTGACGTACAGAAAATTCCGCTATTAACTTTCCATTTACGATCCGGAATGCACCAATCTCTTTAAACAGGCGAAAATTGACAGACAGAAAGATGACATAAAAGATTTTAAAAACTAAGAAAAAGTTCTGAAAAGCGGTCATATATAATATATAAAGTCCGTCCGCCCTCCAATGGACAAAGTTTTGAAATGGTTGATCAGATTATGGAACTTTTTCGAACTTCGGTTGGTAACTATTTGAAAATGACTTAACGAAGTCAATTGCTTAGGTCATCTTTTATATAATTTCAAATTGTCTTAGCTTCAGTTGCATGTCTTTATGAAGGCTGTACGCTAAATACTATCGACGAAAAGGACAAGAAGTACCTTTTATTGTCAAAAAAAAAACGTGCGTTTTTTTAAAGAAATCGACTAATCTTCTAATGTGTGAAAAAGGAATGACATTAAATTGAAATGGCCACTTCAAAAAACGTTGCAATGGAGCTTGTTTAGTCTAAATATGAACGAATTCTTCAATATAAGTCTTATACTATTAAAAATTTAACCGATATTTTTATGTTTGAAGTTGAAAAGTTGGAAATTAAAACAGGTTGGCAATGTCGCAAACTTAAGTTATCACACGGCAAACGAATGATAAAATCGAACGAGAATGTCCTCGACAGAAATATACTTACAAACCAAAACAAATCTTGGTGCCATTATCATACTTTGTCCACTACATGAACAACATATATTATATTTGGTACGGTTTGTTTATGACCACGCTTATATAACAATATTGGTTGCTGTGGAGGAATTGAAAACGAACTTTGAGTGTCTAAAAGTTAAGAAGGATAGAGTTGCCGAGCTCATGCGTGAAAAATGGGACATAAGAATTAAAGTCGTTAGCCCGAAACCAGTAGATCATTACAAAAAAGGATCCTTCCACGCACGGGTTAATTCGATAAACGACAGCATTGGAAATAGCAGGATATACCTGCACTATTACAATTTTGGATATCAACATGTGTCATAGGCCGTTCCCAAGCAACTGTATTTTAAAATACAAATCGTATTATTTGTAAAAGGATTTGTCCTCCCCATCTATATACTAGTGTATGACATCATTTCGGGAATGTTTAGGTTCACTATCCTCATTTTCCTTTTGACTTTCGGTTCTCATTATTTTTATTTCATTTTTTTTTTGGCTTTTGTTTCAGTTAAAACTTTATAGTGCTTAAATCTACGCAAACAAATACCTTGATCGCCGTATCTTACTTACGCAAAGAAATGAAAGGTATAAGAAGACGACGGAAACGAATAGTTTTTGTCTAGAATTAGCCTGATCTTACTAGATACAAGGACAAGTCTCTTTATACTTACAAGGCAAACCTAAGTACAAATTAGGTCAATAAGGGTTGCGAGAAGATAGACAGGATAAGGTAGAAACGTTAAAGGTTTATATAATAATAATAGAAGTATACAACATATCGGATAAAGTTCAGTACTTCTCTAAATAATTTTAAGTATTTGGAATGAAAGGAACATAATCTGAAGGACTATCCTCTTAAAGTAAAGGGTCTTGGGTAAGGTCTTGAGGCGTGGTACTGTGTCAGGATTATGGTAGGAGGGTGATCGCGTATATTTTTTTATCGAGAGCGCTAGTCCTTTGGGGCTGATTCGGGATCGGTCTCATGGTGGTTTTGATGGTTTGGTCAAACGAGCTGTCAAGTGTGAACTGCATATGCATGCAGATCAATACGGGGGTTGTTGTGCGGATGTATGCATTAAACTATTTACCAAATGGTCAATGAAAATCTTTTGATATCGAGCTAGATATATAGAAGTAACTTCCAATGGGCTTACGTACACCATCTACATAATCAACAGCCCAAACCAAGTTAAAGACTAGAACCTCACAAATATCTGTTCGGGATTTCCCTCTTTCATTCAGGAATATTATGTCAAATGATAGATATACGGGGTCGTTGCGATCAGTTCCCAATGTGCCTAGAGATTTTGTACATTATGTGGAATAACTAGAAAGAGTTCGTTTTTGTAAGATTTAAAACGTTGGTTCGAATGTAATGCTAGGCGAACGTTGGATTTAAGAGTATAAATTATGGTGATAAAGTTCTGGGTGGTTTAAAGACATAATAGTTACATATTAAAGCGAGATCAGAGGCTGTTGTTGCTTTAGAGTATGCGGCATATATCAATGACCTCTGTATTTTGAGCTTAATGTTGCGTTTTAAGGTAAAGTAAAACTATAAAAAGATTATAGAAGTAGTTGGAGACTGTTTACTAGATATCTTTACTAATAACAGAAATATACGAGTATTTATACAAATAATTGTCTGCTGTGTTTATATCTCTAGTGCTATTTTGAAAGTATAATTGATTAACCAGAAATGTATACGATTTTTACATAGTCACTAATTTAGTCTTGTTCTAATAAATGTTTAGTCTTCTGATCTCTCTTTACTTAAAACTGAATTATAAGTATTTCTCAGAGGTACTACATCAGACTTGTGATGTAATTTACTTATAGTTCTTCCTATAACTTTAGTTTTAAAATTTTATCACAAATGGTATCAGCATGCATAAACTTATGTTAGCACTAATATGTCTATAACCTTCTAGGTCACGTCATCCAGGTCAAAAATTCACCGCAGCGCAACGAGTGTCAAGCTTCACAGAAACGGAGGTTTGCATTACACAAATCTCGTTTATAGTATAAATATTGTAAAGTTATATAGATTCAAAATAAGCAAGAACAAAGTTTATTAAGCCATTTTTTATTTTGGCTAATTATGACCGCATCATACGTTTTGTTGTAAAAATAAATCTCACACACCATTTTTTTATGTCCGGTCAAATAATAAAATTCCGGATCGAACCAAAAATGATTTTTGGACATTCACAGTAGGTAAACAAAGACTGATCCTACTCTAAAAATTAACAGAATTCTAGGTGTCCGGAATACCTTCAGATTCAGTGCATGCATTGTTGTAGCCAATAATAATGTGGCTTGTTGTGACACAGGATCGGATCTTACCTATAAATACACTTCCTTTTTTTAAATTTCATTAAATATTCTCTAGTTTTGTCTTCACCTAAAGTTGGGATTTATCTTGTAATTGATTCTAGTAGTCTTTCCTCCGCTTTTTGTTGCTGTTTGTTGTCTATTATAAATTATACAATCACATCAACTACTTACATAAACCCGTCGTAAACTCTTTTCTCTTTGACATCTAAGAACTATATTCTCTTCTCATCTCTCACTGTATTATTAGTGATTTGCATTTAATTGCCTTATCCATATATTTTACCGTCTAAGATCACTACAGAAATACTCTTCATAAATAATAAAACTAAGTTGACAAATAAACGTCTGGAGCTCACTATCTCAATTTTTATATAATAATAAATCTCGCTTTTTAAATCTAAATCCGTACTAGCACTATATCAGCAGTGTAAAAAATTCACTGAAAATTAAAGCCGTTCAGTAACAGCCATAAAGCAAAATTAAGTGTATTCAGAAACCGCCATTTAATCATTCAGTGTTTTTTCTTTATACAATTAATGCCATTCAGTACCTAACATCTGACAGATACCAACTCTTATTGGATAAAACATTTAGCTTAGGACTATACAAAAAACATGTTTATTGTAGTCTTTTAATTATAATCATTTAAAATAATTTTTCATTATTTAAGTAAAGAGTGGGATGATATAAATGTTTATTTAAAATTAGAAAACAGAATAAAATAAACAATAATATTAACCCGATGTGTTACCAATAACTAATCTAAAGAAGTGATTTTTTTAGTAAACCGTATTTAGTCTACATATGCCTCACCTTTGTTAGTTTTCCTTTGCTTCTCTTTTCCTTTCTTTTTGCTGTTTCTGGCGTCTTTTTTTGTGGCTATGATTCCTTCTTCTTTTCTAAATCCAAATTATATTCTGGTTATCATTAAATAAATGAAGTATTCGCGTGAGTTTATGTCCGTATTAGTGAATGCAACTATACCCAATTCTTGGCTATTCTCTCGTTCCTAAAGCACCTCATCAAGGCTCCAGTTTTTATTACTATTAGCGTCCTTCTCACTCTTCTTGTATGTCTTTTTGTTTTAATAGGAACGGTTGATAAGGTATAGAGATACCCAGTGACCCTGACAACGACACAAGTCGACACCCATTTCAGCAGCTCGTTTATTAAATGATGTTATGATCCTTTGAATTACGCCGGGAGGCAAATTGGACCGAACAGGAGGCTTCCGTAAATATGTGTTATCCATCGCGTATTTGACACTGAAATAAGCCTCACTTCGTATGATCGCATAATTAATAGCGAGGGCAATTGAGCCATCATTATGCAGGTTCGTGATCGCGTGGATGACGTCTCTCTTGGTTGAAAAAAAAGACGACAGCTAAACGTATGAAAAATGCTGTAATTGAGTGGTATACTTTCCATATGACGGTATGGAACGAGTAGAGAGACGTTTAAACTCAACGCACATGACTGCCTTAAAAGGCTCTAGTACATTGTGATGGGTTTTTTAGACTGTCTTCCTAACGGCAAGCCGGTAATCGGGTGGCTTATCACAAATTTCGAGCTTTTTTTGCTGACGTCAGAATATACCATATTTTTTTCTTCAATTTTTTACAACCAACAAGCGCGTTTATTTTCTCTTCATCTTTTCATTTTTTCTTGAAATAAAAAGATGAGCGATTTTAATTTGGTTAATGAGTAAGTATTAAAACTGTTACATTTAACACGACATTCCTCAACCTAATTTCTTCATTTAATAGAATGACCCTTGCAATGTCAAACTCAGCCTTTTTTTTTTCGTGTGCCTTTTGTTTCTTTTGGGGAGCTATCACTGTTTTCGTGAAGGAGAATGTTTTTTCCTTTTTTCTGTCGCAGTTACCTTTTCCGTCTGCCAAGAGTGAGTTAATTGAAGGTAGCAACAACAACGACGAATATAGTGATGACAACATCATCAACTACCTTATCATGAGAAGGGAAAAGAACAAGGAGAACCAAGACAACAACAACGACAACATCAAGGCCAACCCGACCCCCGTAAATGAAAAAGCGGTGTTCTGTGCTGGTGTCTCTCCCTCCCTCCCACCACAATCACGCTCTGTAGCACCCTCGCCTGCCGTTGCAAACTTCGTCGGTTTGTCCCTTTCTTGTGCTTCTTCCGCGCGTGCACCATGCTCTCTCCGTGGATCCTCTGCTAAACCCAGACTGGCCACTTCCTCTGGTGTTGCTTCTTCGTGTGGTCTTTCCCGTCCTTCTTCTTTGTGCTCCGGCACCCTTCGTGACTTGTCGCTTCCTTCCTCTGTTCCCTCTTGGGCAATAGGTTGCGAGTTGATTACCAACGCTTTGTTGGCGAATGATGCTTTGGTTCGTGCGCCTTCTTTCGTGGCAGAAACCCAACTGCCGAAACAAATGTGGACTTCCACCGCTGCTTCCTTCGAGAATGTTGAGGGTTTGGATGACTTTGCTTCTTCCTTGGCCGGTTGTGTGGGTAATGAACATCTTACCACAGGCGTAGCTTCTCCTCCTGCTACCGCTTGTACTGGTGTGTCCTCTTTTGTTGTTGGGGGTGATATGTCAGTTGAATCCTTGCCTTTGGTCTCTCCTGTGCTCTCGTCTTCGTCTGATCCCGGAATAAATCCGGTTGATGTATTACAGGACAACCCGGATGTTGCTGCTGTGGATTTGGGTTTGGGTGGTGCTGTTGTTCCTTTCGTTGCTGGAGGAACTTCAGATTCTTCTTTTTATTCTTGTTCTGTCGCAAGATCTCCTCTTTTTGAGGTTAGTTCAGTTACTCCTGCTCTTGCACCTAATACGGTTTCTTTGGGCTCATCTTCCCCTTGGTGTTTTCCTGCTTCAGTGGATGTCAATCCCGCTAAGCCGTTCACCTTTGACAACGAGATGGATTGTGATTTTGCTGTGTTTGGCTCCTGGGTTTCGGTGGGTTCTTCGTGGTCTTCTTCCTCTTCTTTTGTGGATGAACACACATCCCTCAAAAGAAAGTTATCTTGCGCGAGTTTCCGTCCTTCGGACGTTGAACCAGAAGCCAAGTGTCAACGGTCGTTTCGTGTGTCTGGTTGGTCCGTTGCAGCCAAAAAAAAAAGTAAGCCTGTTCCTCCTTCTCCAGAAAGTGTCCCAGTCACGAAAGGATTTTCCGGGGTTAGCCATAAAACTCTCGTCTCTCACACCGGTCTACCTCGCCAGAATAACGTTGAACATCGTAACCGGGTGAGAGTCAAACGAGAGTTTATGGGTTCCCTGGAAACAATCCATGAGGAGGGTAAGTATAAGCGAAACAGTATTTTTTTAGAAGTTTGTGACTAAACAGTTTTGTTTTTGGTTTATAGAGGAGGAAACACCTTAAGGGCTTGAATAATAAAAAAAATCCCGTTGTCTGGGGGGGGAAGAAATTCTCTGGAAATTTTATTTTCCTTTTTTACAAAAATGACGTGAGACAAATATTTGGATTTCAGGGTTTGGATTGGGTTTTTAAAGTATTTAAGGAATACTTACAGGTTTTGATCAATCTTTTAAGGATGCAATTGTGGCTTCAATATTTAATAGTGGGTATAGTGTACGTGCAGTATAAAAAATGTAAACGTTATTGGAACCAATATATGTTTATACTATAATAGGAGCACTATCCATGCTTGTGTGGTCTAGACTGCTAACCCTGTACATCGTGATGCCCTTCGTTTCTTCGCGAACTACCTGCTAAACATTTTAGAGCAGGTATAACAGTCGTTTGATTATTATGTACGGGCGGCGTAAGACAAGGTTCTAGGCAACGAACTACAGGTTATAGTTCTTCATATGATCGGAAAGTCTTGTTCTGCTACTATTGTTACACTATTAATGCGACATTTAAAAACAAAATTATGATCGATAATATAATTAAATGATAATAGGTATAAATATAGAACCGTACCGTCTTTTCTATCGGTTCTAATATTTCACCGTCGGTCTTTAGGTATTCCTAATTTTTTTTTTATTAACGAAGACGCTCAATTTAAAATACTCCAAATGCAAGACTTGGCTAGACAATTGCAAGAAATTCGCATCTCACTTCAACAACGATTGGCACTTCAACGTAGAGACGAAGATTTGGATCATGACCATCGAATGTTTGAGCAACCTAATTCAACTGATTGGCTGGAAGACGCCATTCCGGGCATGTAGAGTGACATCTTTCGTTTCCTTAAGATGAATTGGACCGCAAACAATTTTTTTTCGTTTGCCCCCACAAGTTTATTCGCCATTCCTAGCGTCCAATTCTCAATTTGGCAGACAATGTAGTTTGATTTACGAAGCGGGCGAATAATCAATTATCAGAAGTCTAGGGTGTTCTCAAGCAAAAAAAATTTGTGAACCTCTCTTTTGTAAAATCTTGGAACCCCCCCAAATTAGGTATAGTGTATGACATCAGGGCAGATTTTTGTCAGATTACTATCCTCCTGTAACTTTTTTTCTTTTTATTATTTTTTTCCCATAAATTTATTATTATCTTTGCCAAAATGTCTACTTTCGAAGAATCACTCAATGAGTTTACAACTGTTTAAGAAGAATCAATGACGCTCATTAACATGAATGTAGCCGCAATTCAGTGGTATATGGAACAACGTCCGTTGGAGATCAACTTGCTTCACGAAGCTATTCTTTTTTATTTTCTTCAGTTTTTGATGTACCTTCCTTTTTTCATGCCTTACCTTTCCTATTAACTGGCACACGTTCAACTCGAGTTCGTCCAAACAACAATGGAACGTTTTCCAACTATCACTACTGGACAATCACGCACCCTTTTCTCGCTGACGATGACAATCCACGCACTAGTTTTCGAGCAATGTATCGCATGAATCTTAGCAGCTTCGAAAGACTTGTCAACGACCTCAGTCAGCATCCAGCATTTGATCTGCTAGCCCACAACAGCATCCCCGCATACATTCAGATTTAATGTGCTATATGGCGCTTAGCCAACTGTCATATTGGTTACAGAAGTAGTAACATGGCTTTTGGTGTATGGCATGGTAGTTATATCAACTTTTTCCGACGATTTTTGGTTGCAATCGAAGGGGTATACGGAGATCTTATCAACTGGCCCATGGATCAGCAAAGGGTTGAGGAAATTCAAACGGGTTTTGAATGGCCTCATGGTCAAGAAGAAGGGGCTATCCGTCGTTTGCCCAAAGCAATAGGAGCACTCGATTGTAAAAATGTTGTTTTTGAGTGTCCTAGAGATCACCCAGAACATTGGCGTGATAGAAAGGGTAACTTTGCGATTAAACTAACAGCAATCTGTGACAACAAATGCCGTTTCACGTACATCCGTGTCGGTGACTCTGGTAATAGTGAAATATTGATAACATGGTTTTTGCTGTACTGATATGTATTTATAGGTTGTACTCACGATGCCGGTGCTTTTAAATGGACCGAAGTGTACACCCAGTTCTTACGACAACCAGCAACAGTTTTCCCTTTGGACGGTTACATTCTTGCAGGTTATTTATATACTGACTATAAAGTTAACATATAATTTACTTACACACCCTCTTTAGATTCTGCATATGCTCTCTGTCGTAATGTAATTGTTCCATATCCTTTGAGTGAAGTATCAGGCAATTCTGACGCGGCCGTTGCCAAACGCAAATTCAACAAGGTCCACTCTTCAGCAAGAATGACCATCGAAAGGGCTTTTGGAATACTCTCAGCTAAATGGAGGCTCATAAAAAAACACGTCTACATGAAGAAGATTAACGATATATGCCAAGTCATTACTGCGGCTTGTATCTTACACAATTTCTGTATCAGCATTGGGGATCCAGATTTTGAAATTGACGAGGGAATCGAGATGGATGAAGTTGAAGAGGGGAATAGCGAAAGAGCTGTAGAGTCTGTTCGTACAAGAAGAGATGAGTTGAACCGATGGTTTCAACCTAGACAATAAAGAGGTATTAAATTCAACTTAAAATATGTATAAAAAAAAGAATACCTTTATTGATTGGGTCTTTGTTGATGCATACGATTATGCAACTCGTTTAATCTATCACCGTTTCGTTCCAAAGCAGCTGTAGCTCGGTTTAAAGAAACAATGATTGCTTCCCCAGTTGGATCTCTTCTTCCTAATCGAGAATTCATGCACTCTCTGAACTCTCGAAATATTCCATTTCGAAGCTCATGCTCTCTATCAACAATGCGATTAAGCATAGCTTCAGTATCAGAGTTGGCCGAAGCCGGTGTTCAACCTACGTTTGATCTTGGACGACGAGGTGGCGCAGAAGAAGGATTGGTAGGTTGAGAGGCGGGAGAAGGATTGGCTGGTGGGGTTGTAGAATGGTTGACAGGAGGAGTAGTAGTGGAGGCGTGATTGGGAGGGGGTGTTTCCACTCTTCTGGGTGAAGAAGGCGGTTGCGATTCTTGAGAAGGAGCAGGACGTTCATGTTCGGTAACAGGCACAGACAAAGATTCAGCTGGAGCTGTAGATGATCCTTGATTTACACCATTAGTATTGTCAACGAACTGTCTGGAATGAGATGAGTAAGTGACTGGTGGCAAAATTGTTGGATATTGTTTTAAAATATCTTCCAGCTTGCTATAGATAACATCTGTTTCGAAACCTGCTTCACCAGTTGATTGACGTCTAGCAAATTCCGCTTTGAAGTCTCTCACCATACGCCTCCACTTGGTTTTTTGTTCATCAGACGTGCGACTTCTCATATTCTGACGAAGAGTCTTTTCATTGTGCTCTAATGACATAGCAAGATACTTCTCTCCTTTCTCTTGGTCAGTTTTAGTTTTTTCAAGAGAACTCAAGTTCTTATCGTAAATTTCGATTAACAGCAACTTTTCTGCTGTATTCCAACCTGGACCTCCTGCTCTCTCATTGTCAATAGGAGTACTAGATTCGGGGGCGCTGGGAGTGGAAGCACTTGAGCTTGAAGGTGCGTTGAAATTGATGGTGCCAAACATTGTTTATAAAGGTAATATTTAAATTATTTGCGAATTTTTATTATTAAGAATAAAGAATTGAAAAAAGAAAATGTTCAAAATCGCCATGGTCAAACTGTCAACGTGGGGTCATTTTAGTATTTTTTGAATGATGAAATTATAACATCAGAGGGGTTTGCAAATCCATTTTGAGAATTAATCCACCCTCTGAGGGTGGATTAATTTTTTAAATGGTTAGTATGAATTTTGAACGTTTTTTGGCTGAGGAATATGAAAATTTAAGGTTATAATTTCCTTATGGAGGGGGGTATCAAATTTTTTTGCTTGAGAACAGCCTAATAAACCCTTAGTTAATGTTTGCAAGTTTGATAATTTTCTTGTTTTTACTTATAAATTTACACCGATTTCGACAGTAAGGAACAATAATAAATAAAGGACGACTATCTTAAAATCTTCAATAACTACAATGAATGGTCCATCTTACATAACTATGATAGATCTCAACTGTTAAATAGAAGAGCCACAATATTCGTACTCTTTCATAAACATATAGGTAAAACCGTCTGTCTAGTCAGCTTTTAAGCAGTGTTTATACAAATAATTTAACAAGACTTATAGTTGTATTATATTCTTTTTAATCGATCTTTTTCCGTAAAACTATCCCTGTTTCCTTGAACTTTTACTAGATTGCTTCTAGTCGGATTTTTTCAAAAAGGAAATGGAAAAGACTTTTCGAAGTCCAAGAAGATATTTTATTTGATTTTCTAACCGTCAATGAGGCATTCTCTTTTACCCTCACTTTCGTAGCCATTCTTCTTTTTCGTTACTTTCATAAGGTGATATAAAAATGTGGCCGGATATACTTTTCGTTACAATTAGAGATTAGTTCATGTAGAGTAATAATAGCTTTTTTTGCAATCCAAATAAATTGTGCATTGCCGGAATCAGTAAAGGTTTTACACAAAATGATCGCAATGTTCGAAATAATGTTCGTGGTTGACAATGATTTCAAAATTTAAAACTACTCCTTTAATATATCACTTGGAATAATATAACTAGCGCAAAAGGGGTGGTCTTGTCAATTTCTTGTCTGCTCTAACACCATCGGTTCCAGTCTCGGGCATTCAGGAAGGATCTCTTAATGTTGAAGTAAAAGGACTTCCAGATCAATAATCTTGCTGGTTAATCATAACCACAAAAATAAATAGTAAAATTATTTTATAGGCTAAAAAATTGTTACGTCATTATTTTCGGAAGCGCAGCAAAAATGTACTATTTTTATCAAAAAAAATGGGGTGGTTTATTTTTTTTTCTTTTTTCTCTAGACCTTTCTGAAAAAGCCATGATCGCGTTTCTTTTTTTCGAAAAGTAAGTATATCAGAATCACAGAACATACAAAACTTCAAACAAGAGTCTAATGTTGTCATTGAATAGCTTAATGTGCCAGTTAGCACTTCTAGCGTTTTTTCTGCCTGCTTTTTCTCGCTTTTGGGGAAATCGCCTGCTTTTTTTCCTTCGGGAGAATTTGCTTGCGGTCTTGTCTTCTGTCTGGCTCTTTGTTGTTGGTAGTCGCCGACCATACCAAAGTCCACCAGTCCCAATTGGTGATGTCTTCGTCTTGGTAGATGGTGTAATTACGCCAATCAGCCTCATCAACCAAACTGAAGCTGTTTCTTCCGCTTCCTCCCCGCCTCCTGCTCCTGTGGCTGCTCCTGTTTCTTTCGGCTTTTTACCTCCTGTCGTTGAAACAAGTCGAGCTTGGTCTTTTGTGCCCCTTCCTCCTCCTGTAGCAACACAACCACCACCTTGTTACAGCTTGGATTGTGCTTGTGTCGCTGGCCTTCCTTGTCTTGGCCAAGGATTGCTTCCGGAGTCGGTTGCTCTCCCGCGCCACAATCAGTTTGGCACCTCTTTGTCGTTGTTTTCTGCCGTGTGGCAAAACGAAGTTTCCTCTGGTTCTGTCGGTGGTGCGCCCATTGGTCAGTTGGGCTCTCGTCGTGAGACCTCTCTTCCTTTGGCCCATTGTGAGGGTACCTTGGATTCTGTTTTGTCGTTGGCGTCGCCTCGTGCGGACAACTCTTCTTTTGCGGTTTCTTCCCCTTCTGGGGATAACGCACTCCCAGCGGTTTCTTTCCCTTCGGGGGATAACGCTGTTGAAACGGTTTCTTCTCCTTTTGGGGATAACGTTTCCTTTGCGGTTTCTTCCCCTTCTGGGGATAACGCAATCCCAGCGGTTTCTTTCCCTTCGGGGGATAACGCAATCCCAGCGGTTTCTTTCCCTTCGGGGGATAACGCTGTTGAAGCGGTTTCTTCTCCTTTTGGAGATAACGCTTCCTTTGCGGTTTCTTCCCCTTCTGGGGATAACGCACTCCCAGCGGTTTCTTTCCCTTCGGGGGATAACGCTGTCGAAACGGTTTCTTCTCCTTTTGGAGATAACGTTTTCTTTGCGGTTTCTTCCCCTTCCGGGGATAACGCAATCCCAGCGGTTTCTTTCCCTTCGGGGGATAACGCTGCTGAAACGGTTTCTTCTCCTTTTGGAGATAACGTTTCCCTTGCGGTTTCTTCCTCTTCTGGGGATAACGCAATCCCAGCGGTTTCTTTCCCTTCGGGGGATAACGCTGTTGAAACGGTTTCTTCTCCTTTTGGAGATAACGTTTCCCTTGCGGTTTCTTCCCCTTCTGGGGATAACGCAATCCCGGCCGTTCCTTCTTTGATGGAGGATATTGCTTACTTCTTGTTGTCTTCCTCCGTGGAAAATGACAATGAACTAGCGGTTTCTTCCCCTTTTGGGGATAACGCTATCACGGCCAATCCTTCTTTGATGGAGGATATTGCATCCTTCCTGGTGTCTTCTTCTGTGGAAGATGACGTTGAGCCAGCGGTTTCTTCCCCCAATGGGGATAACGCTTTGCCTTCCGTCGTTGGTGGTGCGTCGGTTGGTCTTGGTTCTTTTGGAGATGCAACCCTCTCTCCTGTCTCTTTTGCGGGTCTGGCCTTGCCAGAGATTGATTCCCTTTCGCCCGTTGTTGTGCCCGTTCCTTCCCCGTCGGTATCACCTGGTGTATCGGCGTTGGAGGTGTTGGACCCTGTCCCGCCCTCCCCTACCTTAACGTCTGGGAATTTGGAATCGCCTGTTCTTTTTCCTCGTCTTTCTCCCCGGCTCTCTTTGGCTGGTGCTGTTTCTGAGGAGTTGCGCTCTCCCTCTCTCTCACCTCTCCTCAACACGGGGAATCTCGCTTCGCCTGTTCTTCGTCCTCTTCCTTCCTTCCGGGAGTTAGTGGCCGCCGCTCCCCCGCCAGAGACGTTGAATCTTCTTCCGAAGACACCGGTGTGGTCTCCTGTTGCCTCTCTTTCTGCTGAGGTAGATCCACAGGTAGGAGAAAAACGAAGATCCCGTTCTCCTTTGCCTCCTTTTTCTCCCCGTCGTCGACTCGACTTTGGTCTTGCTGAGGACGTTCTTTCGTTGCCTCCTCCCGCTCTTCCTTTGGGCACTGCTGCTTCTTCTGTTGCTTCCTCCCTTTCTCCTGTTTTTTCTGCTGTTCCGGCAGCCTCTGAGGAGTTGGTTGTTGCTTCCTCTCTGTCCCTGTTTGTTGCGGCTCCTGTCTTTTCGGAGGTCACCGTTGCTTCCTCCTCTTCTTCGGTCCTGTGCGGTACCCCTGTTGCTTCGGCTACTCCTGTTGTGTCTTCTCCTTCGCCTGTGCTTTCTGCTTCTCCTTTGCTCGCCGTTGGGGCTCCGATTATCTCTGATCCCCCTGTCCGTCGAACTCGCGTCGCTGACCTCATTGGTCCATATACGGACTTGCGGGATCAGGGATCCAAGGACCCCTTCGCCATACTAGGTGGTATGTATTTTTATATTTGAAATAATTCCGAGACATTTTACTGATTAGTCTTATAACTGTTTTTAGAGGTACCCAAAGGTAGAAGAAAGTGTTTCTTCACTCGTCCCCCTGGCAAGTCCAGACTCTAAATAAAGTTTTTTTTTTGAAAACAGGAATTTATTTCATTGCGATTGACTGAAGATTAATATTAAAATGTGTTGTTCTTTCGTTAAACCAGATATCGTGTGGTTATTGGTACATATTTTAATAGGGATTTATTTGAGCATTTAACCGCAGCCGTAAATGATTCTTTGAAATGGAAAGATGTCTAGCATGTTATATGTTTCAACATATAATATCTAGTTCAATAAAAGCCATTACAAGGGAGTTAGCTTTAGCTCGAAGGGATAGCATTAAGCTAGACATCCTTTTCATTCAATGAATTGCGATGACTGATTTGAGAAACCCGAATTGAAAAAGGCTCTTAGTCGACATTAGCCTATATACAGTGATCGCCTAAACTCGTACTGTTATAGTGACGATAATAAGATGGTTTTTTAAATCTGGTAACAATATTATTTCGATGATTGTGGGTATTTTTTACATTACTTTGTAAAATAAATTGCTATAATTCTTAAGATTCTTACTTCGAATGAACCGCTCCTGGAACAAAGAAAAAAAAGGAGAGGAAAACATAATTCTTGAAAAAACGTCTGTCCTGCACCAACTTCACTTGGAAGAATAAAACAGGTGCTTACATAGATTTTCTATAATTTTACACGTCTTTTTCTAAGGACAACACTTTTAAAAATCTACTTTTTTTTTGTGAATTTGTTAGCGAATATATTGGATGACTTCCAAAATGCAAAATAGAATTAAATAGAATAGACTTAATTTTTTGGGTTGTGTAACGTGGAATTAACCTTAAATTTCACTGCTTAAATTTTTGAAGTTAATTCGAACCCCCTACCCCCCCCCCCGAATTAAAATAGAATTAACTCCAAAAAAAATTACATTTCTATTAAATACTTTGTTTCTGATAAACGCTAATAATATTCAGATAACAGATATGAGATGTATGGATAATATTTGACAAAAAAGTTTATTTATTCGGCCCTTTTACGCTTCTGGGAACGGGTACTTTTACCCTTTTCAGAAGTAGGAATAGGTTGATAATGTACATATAAAGATTATGGCTTTTAGTACGAATAAAAAAAACATGATTGATAATAGTTAAACTACCTTAGCTACCGATGTCTTGATAAATTCAAACATCGCTGACATCTGATAATGTAGTCGGTTAGATAGAGTTTATATATATGATACGAATCAACATATTGATTAAATTTACCGTGTCCTTCAACTCGTTGAACTCCTTTTTGACATCATTGAGTTTGTTGTGTTTTGAGGTAAGTAAAATTATAAGGCAGTATATAAGTAATTTGAGACTGTTTATAAGATTGTCTTTATTATGAAATAAAATGAACAAGTATTTATATAAAAAAGACTATCTGCTGTACCACTATCTTTAGTGTATCTTTGAAGTTGTTATCATTTTTCCAGTGTGTATCCTGTTACCTTTAACTGCTTATTTTGTAAATATGTTACACTTGGAATTACTGTCATCTTAAACACATTGTACTTCCATATCTTTAGTAAGCCTTTGTCACTGTGTTCTTGTAACCTTGTGATATGATAGTACTAACTATCTATATTGGGTAATTGATTCCTTAATCATTCTTAATGTATTGATGTCATAGATATAGGTTTATTTAATGTAGCAACAATATAGCAGATCACCACAGAGTTCACTTTTGAGGCCATTTTTCACACCATCTAGGCGAATGTTGACCTCCTCAAATTGATTGTCAACAGCTCCAAGACGATTTTCAATCATTTCCAAATTGACACCGGTCACGTTGGTCATTTCGGAACGTGTGGTTGGGACCGATGGTTTTGGTTCATTTTCTCCTCGAAGAGACAACGCAATTGCCTCAGCCACGACACCAAAATGGTTGTTGAAGTCCTCCATATGCTGGTGGGTATTTTTAGACTTCTTTGGCATTGGCACCGTTCTACCAACTGCACGAGGAGATGCCTCACTCTTGCCACTGGCTGTTAAACTCTGCTCTACCTGATCATCGATTGAGCGAAAGCCGCTACCTTCATGATGCATGCGGCTTGCTTTCTCTTCGTCCTCGGAATCCGTGTGACCATGAATCTGTGATAAGCAACCTTTGATTGCAATTTGGTCCTCAATTGTTTTTGCATCAGTAATTAAAGTAGTTGGGGTTGAGTTGCCTAATAGATTGTTTTTGTTTGTATCATTGTTAGCAAGATTTCTTTCATTACACCTCGAAGTATATGATAATTTACCTGTTGGTGCTTTTTTCGTTCTCAATGTACGATAAGCCGCCTTCAAAGAGTTGGCGCTACGCTCATAGGCAACCTTCGTTCCCTTGGTTCCTGTTTCCAGCCCGATGGCCTCGTTTTCTTGTTCGACAATTTTTTTTTGTCCAGCCATATATGATTGGCTTACATGGGACCATTCGTCCGCTCCACTTGGCAAAACATTCTTTACTATTTCCAGTAAATAGGTTTTTTCATCTTTAGTCATTCTGACAGATCCTGTTACGTTGCCCATTGTTATTTTTATTACGTTATATGAAAAGAAAGAAAAAAGGCTTTTTTAAAAAGCGATAATTATGGTTTTTATAACACGTTGTTTAATAAAGCACGCTATTATGTCAGACTTGTTTGAATCAATCATCTTGTTGGGATAATATGGCGTGACTTATGAGATTCAATGTTGTGGAACCCAATTATTGTCACTTTTGTATCGGTAACGAAATACAAGTTAATCTCTCTTTTATCATCCATTTCCTTTTTCTTTATCCCCTTTATATTTTTGATACACAATGCCCCCTATAACAAAGCGTAAATTAGCATGATTATCGCATATTACTTTGCTTTCTGCTGCTGCTTATCAGTACATGAATTTTCTTGAATCTCAACGCCGTATTTCTAAACGATTCTACACAACGTCAAAAAGTCTGCATTCACCTACTAAATCGGCTGCTAAAAAGTTACTTGATGGTCGTCAGGATGATGCCTTTATGTGTTATTTTGGTTTGACGACTGGAGCATTCGATCAATTACACGAAGAGTTCCAAAAAGAATATCCAACCGAATGCACGGCTGGACGTAAAAGAGTACTTGACACAGTGATGACACTTGCTTTGGTTCTGATGTGGTTGCATAACACCATAAAGCAGGAGACACTCTGTATAATATTTGGTGTCCCTGCTGCAACACTCAGTAGATCTATAACTATGCGTATTCAAACCATCTTAAACGCTTTTGAAAAAAACAAAAAAGACCCTCGTTGGAAAATTGGTTGGCCCACTACAGATGAAATGACAACGTTTAACGATATGGTGCTTACGATTACCACAAATGACTTTGAGAAACAGGTGTTAGAAGGAGTGTTTGGCTTTGTTGACGGTCTTAACCTTAGAATACAACATCCTGAAGACCCATTCGAGCAAAATGCGTACTATAACGGATGGAAGGGTGATTGCTATGCCTCACAAGTTTTAGTATATACCCCGGATGGCTGTATCGCCTATGTGAGGTAGGATTGACATACTTGTTTGATTCTCTAAAAAAACAAAACTAAATTGACTATTTTTCTTATAGATATAACTGTCCTGGTTCTTGGCATGATGCTGAAATAGCCATTCCACTTTACGAAAGGTTTCTTGCTTACAAATGTTCAAGCCCTTTCAAGCTTCTTGCGGATTCTGCTTTCCCTTGTAAGCGAGAGTTTGAAAACAAAGTGCTAAGTGTACCAAGAGAAAAAGCAATTGGCATTGAAAGAGCCAACGTGCAGACGCAAAAGATACATGCTATCATTACCAACCATAGACAGGCAGTGGAATGGGGTATGAAAGCCACACAAGGGTCTTTTGGAAGACTTCATACCAAGCTTCCTTCGGATAAAATTAAGCGTTATGAAATCCTGACCCTTGTATGGAGACTACACAACTTCCGTGTAAGAACGGTTGGCGTCAACCAAATTAATACTGTTTACTATGCTAATTGGAAGGCGATGTGCCAAACCACATAGCGTATACGTACACTATTTTCATAAATTATTCGCACACTCGAGGAAAAAAATTGCTCACTTTTTTTTTCAATTTCCGCACACTTTTTTATTTATTTTTTGCCCACTTCACAAATTATTTTTTGCTCACTTTTTTAAAAACAAATTGCTCACTTTCAATAATAAATTTTGCTCATTCTTAGAAATTCATTGAAGTAAGATGGACCTCAAATTTTATCAAGAAGATGGACAGGGTAATGTTGTGGATGAGCATGGCAATGAACCCGTTGAAATGGATGTTGATGGCGATGCTTATCCTCTCGCTGACACCGTTGACTTTGATAATTACATGGATTTCAAACCACCTGAAAAGCCAAAGCCAACACCTAAAGCGCCAAAAAACCGTTCTTCGGCTTCAACTGGACCAGCAGCTTATTAAAAAAAGCATGCAGACGATGTTAAAGGTCATTTTTTTCACCTCGTTTATGAAGAGGGATTAACTGCAGGAAAAGCAGCAAAGCAACTCGGTGTTGCCCGACGAACTGCTTATGACTGGTTGAAAAAAGATCAGGATCAGATCTACGAAACAGCAAAGCCTTTGGATGAATTAGAACCAGTTAAGCCTGAGAAAAAGGCTGGGAGACCAGCTTTGTTGAATGAAGAGCACAAAAAGCATTTGGAAGAAACATTTATCGACCACCCTTCGGCAACGTTGGATCAGGCTATGGAAAGTCTTACTAGTCAGTTTAGCGACCTGAAAGTAACAAAAACTACCGTTTATAATTTCATGACAGATAAATGTGCCTTGTCTTTTAAGAAAGCACACTTCCATTCGAAAGAAAGAAACTCGTCTATTAACATTGAAAAGAGGTTTGATTGGGTAACTAGATGGAGCCAAACAGACATGGATTACAGCAGTAATTGCGTTTTCATTGATGAGTCTGCATTCCATATTAATTTGAAAAGAACAATGGCTTGGTCAAAAAAGGGAGTTCGGGCTGAGGTTATTCAACCACTAACAAGAGCCAAGACAACAACAATTTTGGGTGCTATATCGCCATATGGCGTTGTCAATGTCAAGATAAGAGTGCCATACTCAACGGTTTCAAAGAAAAGAAAAACAGCTGGTGGTAGTAAGATGCAGAAAACCACTGGGACTGTTACCGGACATTATTTTAATTTTATCACCAGTACAATTGATGTGATGGATCGTCATGAGGAATTCAAAGGGCATTATCTTATCATGGATAATGCGCCTATCCATACGTCAGATAATATTAGAAAGTTTATCGAAAGTCGTGGGTATGGCTGTGTTTATCTTCCACCATATTCTCCTGAGCTCAACCCTATCGAACAATTTTGGTCCGTTGTTAAGAGTAAATTAAAACGGGAGAAGCTTTTAGAGGCCGAAACACTGAACAATAGAATTGCCGAAGCATGTCAGAATGTTTTATTAAGCGATTTAAAGGGATTCTGCCGTTATTCAGAAACAAAATTCGAAACCTGTTTAAATAAAGACCCCCTCTAAAATATTTCGCACACATTGAGCAAAAAAAAATATCTGAAACTGAGCAAAATATATTTCAGAAAATGAGCAAAAATTAAATTCGAAAGTGAGCAAAAAATAAAAAAAAATGTGTGCGGAAATTGAAAAAAAATGTGTGCGGAAATTGAAAAAAAAATGAGCAATTTTTTTCTTATACTGTGCGAATAATTTATGAAAATAGTGTAATAAAAGTAGATGTAATTGACATAAATGGAAATAGTCTGTATCACAGATCTATCGGTAAATAAAGTAACAAGATCCAGTGACATTGAAAGGATCTGAATATACCCATTCCGACATAAGAACACAAACTTGACTTGTGTATTCGACAGTCAAAGAAGAAATTTATTGATGACTAATTACTGTCAAATATGAAATTAGTTTCCAGCTGTTATTTAGTATAAATAGACCCCAAATTATCATCTTAACATCCTGGTCAATAAATTTATAAAGGAATTTTAAACGTACTTATGTACTTTGTTTTATTTTTTATTTTATTAAATCATACTACCGATTTATTACAGGCGAGAGAGCAAGAAATTTTGAATTATGAAAATTAATAAAATTTACCGAAAGTTAATTCTATTTTATGGTTTTGGAACAAAAAAAAATTAACTCGGAAAATCAAATTCCCGGAGTTAATTCTATTCTATTTAATTCTATTTTGCATTTTGGAAGTCATCCAATATAAATGGTTCATTTACTTATATATTGATATAGTTATACTGCTGATAAAGAGTATAAAGAAATAGTGTATGAATTAATGGATACCTAGCTTCTACAACCAAATATACAAATATCGATTAGACATTTTATATTTGGGATCGTAACTTATTCATTACAAAGATAATGAATAAATGATCAACTATTATGTTCTATTGCCAATTACACTTGACAAACAAGTATGCATCTTTTACAGTAACCGTTGCATGATCTGATAAATAAGTATCTCGTAATACTAAAGATTTATTAGCATACTCATGCTCCCGATCCACTGATATGGGACAACGTTATCTGGAAACAATTCTAACGAGTAGTATCCATTTAACCCAAGGCGGGAAACAAAGTATAGATCTATTCCAAAACCAGAAAGGTTGACTCATCATTAAAACTCAGGAGAGTTGTGCAATATAAAAAGGATCAATTATTTCATAGCAGCAGAGTTCTTTTAGTCTATTTTTACCCATAATAAAAATATACTTTTATCTCATTACTTATCTATGTAATATTTTGTCAAATACCACAGAAGTCCCACTTTTTTCTTAGTAATATATGCTGTTATACCTTATGATTCCCTTGGTTCTTTATGAGGTTTATTGAAAGACTTTTTTTTGCCGTTATATCTTGTTGATAGTAAGCTAATTAATATTTCCATTTAAATTTTTTCTGGCGATGATATGGATGCACGTTCAGAAGCTTCGAAGTGAAAATACAAAATAAAATACCAATAAAAACGTTTTCTATACCCCCATATTTTCACAGTTTTTGTGTATTTATACGTAAATTTTTTTTCGATTATGTAATGCATTAAAGTAATAAAAGTGCAACGGAATAATTAAAAAAACATTTTAAAGTGGTAAAAATATGCAACAGAATGAACAAAAATACATTTTAAAGTGGTAGAGTGCATCTGCTTTTCAGTAGTTCCTAACGTGTTTTGTGACATTTTTGAGCATTCATCTCCGACTAGTACAAGTAATATAAAAGGAAATTTATTCATAGCCAGATTTTTTTTATGTGGGGGGGATTTTTTTTTTTTTTTTGAAGAAAATTTTTCAGTGGAAGTAATATTGGGCCTCCGGCTGCGATTTCATAGGCTGTCTCTAAACAACTTCAAATCAATATTTCAAGCCTTTCAATAAATATACTAATTTTAAAAAGGGTCACGCATCTTAAGAATATACTTTATAATATATATTCTAAATTACAAGTGGTTCTACTTAGTACATAAAAAATGTTTAAACTTTTTTACCCTTTTTCAGGGTTGATGACATTGAGCCTCCGGCTATGATTTCATAGGCCGTCTCTTAACAACTTCAGATCAATATTTCGAACCTTTCACTAGATATATTAATTTTAAAAAGGGTCACGCATCTTAAGAATATACTTTATAATATACATTCTAAATTACAAATAATTCTACTTAGTACATAAAAAAGGTTTAAACTTTTTTATCTTCTTTTCAGTGTAAGTAATATTGAGCCTCCGTCTGCGATTTCATAGGCCGGCTTTGAGCAACTTCAGATCAATATTTCAAGCCTTTCAATAAATATATTAATTTTAAAAAGGGTCACGTATCTTAAGAATAAAGTTCATAATATGTATTCTAAATTACAAGTGGTTCTACTTAGTACATAAAAAATGTTTAAACTTTCTTACCCTTTTTCAGGGTTGGTGATATTGAGCCTCCGGCTGTGATTTTATAGGCCGTCTCTAAAACAACTTCAGATCAATATTTCAAGCCTTTCAATTGATAAATTAATTTTAAAAAGGGTCACGCATCTTAAGAATATACTTTATAATATATATTCAAAATTACAAGTGGTTCTACCTAGTACATAAAAAAGGTTTAAACTTTTTTATCCTTTTTCAGGGTTTGTGATATTAAGCCTCCGGCTGCGACTTCATAGGCTGTCTCTAAACAACTTCAAATCAATATTTCCAACCTTTCAATAGATAAATTATTTTTAAAAAGGGTCACGCATCTTAAGAATATTTGTTTTAATGTATATTTTAAAATTCAAGTAGTTCTACTAAGTACACAAAAAAGGATGAAGTTATTTCAAGCCATTGCTAACGATTATATAGTCTGTGCGCGGTTTTTTAAATCGTGAGCACAAACCAGTGGGTTATTTCAAAATCCGACCACGGCTAATGTGTTATTTGTGTGAGTGAAATGAAACACTCACTTACATTATTGGGAGTAGGAGGAGACTCTGACTGTGTTACCAATTTTTCTTTATTTATCGAAAATATATTATAAAATAAAAAATAAAATAAACTTATACAATTATCAATAAAAGAAATCGCAATTTCAGGAATAAAATAAATATATATATAAAATAAGGGAGGGAGGGAGGGACAGTCAGAGTCTCCTCCTACTCCCAATAATGTAAGTGAGTGTTTCATTTCACTCACACAAATAACACATTATTGGTCATGAGTCGGAGACTCTGACTGTGGATTCAGAGTATTAAAACCAAGAGGATTACTTGAAAGAGCCATAGTCGTAAAGTTAGTGACAGTTTGACGAGATAACCGGTAAAAGTTGTCAAATACGCAAGCAGAAGCCCAAGAACCATGCACTAAGATATCATCCAGGTTAGCACCATGTAAAGCAGCATTGGAGGAACCAACAGCACGAGCACGAGGAGGAGGGTTGTCGTATTTCCTCCAATAAATATCGTATAGAATGACCTTCAATGTGGTTAAATTATAATATTCGAGTGGTACTCTCATATTACCAGTATAATCTTGTTACAGATTATATATTGGGAAATTATATTATTATTGGTTGTTTTTGATTCTCATTAATCTGTTACTGAAGTGTCAGCTAATGAGAATTTTTCACTTAATAATTTGGGCCAATCAATATAAGAAAGTATTGATTGACTTAAGACCATGTAATTCTAATTGCCATGTTTCAGAAGATAGAAACAAGCCACTGCCTATTCCTTACCAGATTCAATCTCCCAGATGTTTGATATAAAAAGCGTCCTCCCTTTTGCGATGACTTTCTCTCCATAACTTTAATAAAGGATTAATAGAGACTCATTTCTTATTACTTCTTTTTATTCTGTTTTATCTATTTTTTAATATCTCAAACATCACAAGGGTGACGTTGGTCAGAGCTATCATGCACCGTGATATGATTGAGTAGGCTACGAACATGTCGGCTAATAGTTTGAACAGACACAGATGAGTTGAAATCATTGAGACTACGTACGAGAAAACCAATTGTTCTTGAAGGTCTAGTAGGATGAGGACCGAGACAAGTAGTAGTAGCAATACGAGCAACATATTCTTGATACACTAGAACAGGACATAAAAGAGAATCAGGATGTTGATGTATAAATACAACACGTTCAATAGGAGAGCCTCCACGTTTTTCTTTTGGACAGTCTATAACCAGTTTGAGTTGAGAAGTGGTGGTAAGGACAGAAGTTTTCAGCATGTTGATACGGTGAAGGTCAGCATGACGAAGAAAACCAGTAATAGCTAATAAGAAACACAGTTTCCTTGTAAGTTGTTCGGCAGTAAGAAGATTATTCGGTCCCCAAGAGTGAAGTTTGTCAAGTACAGGAGTTAAATCATAGTCGGGTCTGTCGAAAGATCGTATGGTTAAAGCACGCAAGTTGGTAAAAAATCTGATAAAGTTTGAGTCTTTTAGTATTTCCTGACGAGCAGATGGGTCGTATAAATCAAGTATTGCAGATTTATAATTGAGACAGGTTGCCACTTTCCAGTTTAAAGTTAGATGACCATAAGAAAGATAGTTAACGATTTGAGCAGGATCAGGACTAGAAGCATTAAAACGATGTAGTTCACACCACCGTATGAATTGTTGTTGGATAGGGTTATATCTATGGACTGAAGGTTGAGCTTCAGGGTTAAGAAAAATAGCAAGAGCATTGTCATCATATCCATTTAATTGAAGTCTTTGCCGTTTATGTTCCAAGCCAGAAGTTCCCATTGTTGATTCTTCTTGAATAGGTCGTCTCCTTGGAGGTTGGGGTGAATCATGTTGGATGGTACTAGAAGAGGTGGTTCCTTGGTCATGGATAAAAGCAGAGGGTACCAAATTGCACTCGGCCAATTGGGCGTGATTATGGTTGCTGTTGTTGGGTGCTGATTCAAATGTTGAAGGCATCGTGGCAGGAGGTTCCAAGGCGGACATAGAAAGACTCTCTTCCATCGATTCCATGGGGTCAGGAATGCATTGGTTGATAGTGCTTGAGGGTCCCATTTCCAACTGAAGTAGTGTTGAGTTTGGTGACTCTCTCGACTCGCAAAGCAATCGACGTTGTGTATCCCCCATAGTTTCTCTAACTGTTGGTAATATAGTTGATCGATTTTCCATTCGATTTGAGTGATCATTTGCCGTGATGGGGAATCGGCTGGGTTGATTGCTGACGGAATATATGTGAGATGCAAGCGAGTGTTGGTTTTCAAACAAGTGTTCCAAATTTTTGATGCTAATTCCATGAGTGCTGGTGATCGGGTCCCCCCAAAATGGCGTACGTAGGCTATTGCTGATGTGTTGTCGCAATAAATGCGTATTACCTGACCCTGAAGTTGTTTCATCTTCACACACTTCCATATCACTGCTAGTTCCCTGTAGTTGATATGTTGTTCTAATTCCTCTGGAGTCCATGTTCCACTCATCACTTGATTGTTGATCACAATTCCCCATCCGCTGTTCGATGCATCTGTGAATACCTCTTGTTTCGGTGTCTCTGGTAAGAATGATAGACCGTTCCATTTGGTTAAGTGGTTGATCCACCAATGTAAGTTCTCGCAAGCTGGTGGTGTAATTGTAATCATTGTGTTCCATGAGATCCCTTGGTGAAGTAGTTGATTCTTCAGTTGTAGTAGTTCTCGAGTTCTTAACCTGGCTGGAAAGACGGCTGGAGTGGTTGCTTGTGCTTTCCCTATAAACGATGATAGATTGCGGAGACTGCACGACTTGGTTCGTAACATTTTCAAGGCTTCCCGACGGATGTCGCGGCGCTTGGATGCTGGAACTGAAAGTGACATGTTTGTTGTGTCGATTGTGAATCCTAGGTGATCTATCTGTTGTGTTGGAATGAGGTGAGATTTGGATTCTTTGAAAAGGAAACCCAATTCCTGCAACTTTTGACACACCTGAGTGGTGTGGAGGTGGCTCAATTCTTTGGTCTTGGCAGTAATGATTAGATCGTCTAGATATGCAGATATCCTTATTCCCTTCCGGCGTGCCCAACTTAGGAGAGGTTTCAGGAGTTTCGTGAATACCATCGGACTCAGAGATAGGCCGAATGCCAGTGTCCTGAATTGAAATGTGCTGTTCTTCCATCGAAATTGAAGATACTTCCGAGATGCTGAGTGAACTAGTACATGGAGGAATGCATCCTGTAGGTCGATAGAGGTAAGGTAATCTTGAGGTTGAATCATTTTGCAAACGAGTTGAATAGTTTCCATCTTGAACGGTTTTCGTGGTACGTACTGATTTAATGGTCTTAGATTGAGTACGGGACGAAGATCGCCTGTTTTCTTGGGAACGGTGAAGAGATGGGAAAGGAAACCGGGACCATGGGCTGTCTCTATCGCTTTCTTCTCTAGGAGTGAAAAGATTTCTGTCTCGATTGCTGTTCGTGCTTGTGATGTTGTTGCTGTCGGGAACCTGACTGAAGCAGTGGTAGGATAAAGAGGTGGATTGGCGGTGAGGGGAATTCGAAATCCGTTTTGAATGATGTCGAGAATCCATTGGTTGTTTGTTATCTTTGTCCATGCGTCTTGGTAATATTGAAGACGTCCGCCAACAGGTTGAGGCGTTAGCGTTTCTGAAAACCCCGAGAGCTGTGAGAAGAAGAGTGCGAAGCACGAGGAGCAGAAGGTGTGGTAGGTCTTGAAGTGGTACCAGATAAATTAGATTTGTCAGAAGATTTGGTGGGTTGATCTTCTGATTCGACAGTAGTGGATCTTGTATTACTGTTAAAACGTTTTCCCTTTTTCTTTCGGGAAGTGCGACTTTTGGATTGAGCATCTTGAAGGGCTTTGGAGAGCTTGGATTGTTCCAAAATACGAGTCGTATCCAACAAAGTGTCTTCATCGTCTGAGTTGTCTGCAAGTGGGACAGTTGGCAAGCCGGCATCACGACAGATGTTATCACTACGAAGTTGTGTGATATGTGAGGCAACATCAGAAAGTAGGCTGTGGATCGTACGAATAAAGTTTGTAGAATCAGCAATAGTTGGGGTACGTCCTTGGGCAAGATTATGTGCCATAAGGTCAATCGGTCGAGTAAGTCCAGATAAGCGATATTGCACGTCGGCAAGTTGTTGATCAAATTTGCGAGTAAGTGATCCCGCATTGATAGAACGTTGCAATACTGGTGCACGATAACGTCTATCCAGGTTGGAAGGACAGAGGTTGAGAAATTTTCGGCGATCAACTTCTGAGAGAGGCGAGCGAAAGAAATCTGTGGCGGCATCAGGAAGAACAGCATAAAATTCATCATAAGGTTGAAGATCAACTGCAGTTGGTCGGGCAGTAAGGTGAGTATCCACAGGTGCTGCTGCATGTGCTGGATGTTGTTGTTGCAATAACGTCTCCAGGTTTTGAAGACGTCGTAATAATTCATCGTGCTCATTGGACATAGATCTATTAAGTAATTCGAATGGTTGAGTACCGAAATTGCGAAAGAAAAATTGATAATTGTATAAGTTTATTTTATTTTTTATTTTATAATATATTTTCGATAAATAAAGAAAAATTGGTAACACAGTCAGAGTCTCCGACTCATGACCAATAATGATATTAGCAGCAGGTTACTATTGGCTCTAAAACCTTTTTGTACAGGTTGTGACATTTTTTCCCCGCCCCCACCTCAAAAAAAAATGTTGAATCCAGAATCTGTTATGTTTTTTAATTTAATATATGTAGATTCTCATTTTAATCAACATAAAAAACAATCCTAACCTTTCAGATGGGATATTAATTATAAAGAAAATGTGTTTTACCCATCTAAATATTTGTCTCTGCTTAATTTTTTTTTAGGTACCACCTAAAAGCAGATGCACTCTAAAACAAACAACGGAAGGAACAATATATCAATATAAAGTGGTAAAAACATGCAACAGACGGAACAATAAATCAGTTTAAAGTAGTAAAAAGATACAACTGTTGGAGTGTTTGAACCATTTAAAGTGGTATAATGATACCACTGGTGGATAAAACGCACCACCTCTGGTGGTATAAATTTGTTTTTTTTTACCACCAGAGGTGGTAAAATCGTACCACCTGTACCACATCTGGGATAAAAAATCAAGGGTTTTTACCACCACATGTGGTCTAAGTTGGTACTTTTTTACCACCTTTTACCACCGAGTGCGCGGCTGTGAATATAGATATTGTTATTGATAGCATACTCATATTGTCAAGAGTAGAATCCTTGTTGTGATCGAGCTTATATACAGATATAACTCTATCATCAATTCTTTCTTTCTTATTTGATAACCTTTCTATAAATCATTATTGCATTACTCTTTAAATCAAATGCATGCTATTACACTCTATTAACTACGCTGTCACGGACGGAACAGGAACAAGACACAGAAACTACTTGGCGACACGAGGGGGGCGATTGGTTAAAATAAAATATGTTTATTATTAAGAGGGGGAGGGGTTAGGACTAAGATCCAGAATAACGTTTTTCTAATAAATAACTAACATCTATTTATATTATTTCTTATACATGGGAAAAACTACGATGGGTTTAAATTATAGATTAACAAGGGACTTTACGGAACAGATACCATGAGTAGATTATCGACAAGGATGAGTAATTGAGATTTGACGAGTAGTAACAGGCTGTATTTAGTTGACATTGAATAATATGATGGTTCGGGGAATATTTATGGTTTGACACGGGCGGGAAAACTGGATTAGGAATAAAAGTAAAAGATGATCGGGAAAAGGTTTACTAAGGTTGAGTCAGACAGGAAGCGGGAGTAATATTGAGAAGCAGATTAGTGATATGTTTCACAAGGAGTTCGGTAGCGGGCAAGATATATTGATATGATTTTGGTACAAGGTTTTACAGGGAGTTTGGTAGCGGACAAGATATACGGAAATGATTTTTGGTACAAGGTTTTACAGGGATTTTGGTAGCAGACAAGAGATACTGCTATTAATTTCTAGAACAAGGTTTCACAAGGGGTTTGAGATCATGGTTAAGTTATGCAGACAATAACAGGGCGAGTAAGTTCATGACATACGCATTGATTACTCATCAATATATAGAAAACAATAGTCATACATTTATTCCAGATAATACAATCCAATGATATGATCGCTCGTCAATAACAAGATTCTCGAAGGTACCATGAGATGCTCGATCTTTAATTGACAATACGCCTATTGTATATTTGACAGGTTTCGCTTTAATAATTGATATCCAGCCAGCCCTGAATATGTATATAAAGAACCCAATTTATTGTATAATAAAGACTTTAGTTTATTTTTGCAGTTTGATAATTTTACTTCGTCAAATTTCTTTATTTTATTCTTAATTCATTGTTTGATCTCTCGAATTTCTCAATCCTCAGCCTCGTCCATTCTATTTATTATAAATACTCTTTATTTTTCCTCTTCTTAAATCTTTAGTTAACTTTAACATCAATAAACTCTGACAAGAATTCTAATTAATCCTATTGGTTTCTTATACCTTTTTTCTGCAAAACTATCCACATTAAGCCTACTTTTGCTACATACCTCACGTATGTTTATAGATACATCAGCTTTTTCCGGCTTCTTTTTCCGTCTTCTTTGGAAGCTATTGTTATGTGCGGTCTATTCAAAGATCAAATGGTACGCATCTTAAGCCTTTACGTCTTTTGTTAGTGCCTCACCAGTTTAACGTTACAGATTCCTCTATTATCCACTGCTCATTTCTGTCTGAGCTGTCAAGTAAGCTACTATACACTTGACACACTTATTTACTTATCTAATCTCTCTATCTATTGAAGCATCTTCCAACCTCCTTTATGAAAAACATGTCACTTATTTCCGACGCATTCGATAAAATAAGCAGTTTATTACATCATTTTTTAGGTAAATTGTATTATGGGCGTGGTGACCTAGCAAGGCTATGACCATATTAGAGCTAACAAAGGTTTATCCATGCTGATACCATTTGTGATATAAGCTTAACAATAAATGTCATAGTAAGAACTATAAGGAAATTACATCACAAGTCTAATTTAATACGTCTGAGAAATACTTAAAATTTAGTTTAAAGCAAATAGAGCTAAGAAGACTTAACATTTATTAGAACAAGGCTAAATTAGTGACTATGTAATAATCGTATACATTTTTGGTTAATCAATGATAACTTCAAGATAGCACTAGAGATATGAACACAGCAGACAGTCTTTTATATAAATACTCGTACATTTCATTTATTATAAAAGGACATCCTTGAAACAGTCTCAAACTACTCCTATAGTCTTTTTATAATTTAACTTTACCTTAAAACACAACACTGGGTACAAATATTGGTACAAGGGAATGATGGCATGAAATCTCTACCTTCAAGAGCATTAGTTACGGAAAGTACGCTTCTATCGAAAAGGCGGTTGAATATATGATTATAACATCCACAAAATAATAAAGCATTCGTATTGAATAAATATTTGTATATGTAAAAAAAACAAGGGGACACACAATGCACAAAATTGGTTGATTTGCCACAAATATGCAGGGGAACAACAAATAATTTGGCTTTTTTACGACCAACGTGGTACAATATGGAAAAGAGGTTTATATAAGAATAATAATGCTTGCAAGGAGAACCACTACATCTATTATTTCGGTCATGTATAGTTAGACCCACCCCTAAGATTCTATTTTGTTTAAGCCTATATACTAAATCTCTCCCTCGGTAACCCTTTTCTATCACCCAAAAAGCGAAAAAAGATAAAAGAATCCGCTATGTATCTTCTTGTTTATTTTCTCCTTAAAAAAAAACAAAAAAGCTTATATATAAATACAATCAGTTTTTATGTTTCCCTTTTTTTTTATATCATCAAGTAATACTTACCTTTTCCTCTACAAGTACACAAAAAACCCATTTTTTTATATACAATGAAATTCACTGGTACTATTCTTTTTGTGTCCGCTGCCTACCTTGCTTCTCTTGTATCTGCAGAGCCAATTGTATCTATTACCTCTCCTTTAATGTATACCCGTTACAAGGCAGGTTCTGAAGTCATCATTTCTTGGATCAATCCTCGTGTTTCCATTATTCCCCAGATTGTTTTAGTCCAGGGTAGATCAACTCATCTTCAACCTATTCAAGTAATTGCTACCAACGTCAATGCTCAAGACATGAAGTACGTCTGGAAGATCCCCTTTGATATTGAAAATGATGATGATTGTAAGTATTTTATCAATCACTTTTTCTTTATCTTATCACCAGTTGCTAATGTTTAAACTATAGATGCTTTCGAACTCGGAAATTCACCTGATCTTGCCTTTGCTGGTCCTTTCATCATTGAAGGTGGTGTTGGTGGTAACCCTGCTAGCTAACTTGACCTTTATTGATCGATTTACTGCTGGAACCTATTCAAGCTTTCAATTTTTATTTATTATCTGTATTAAACATTTATTCCTACAGATTTATTCTTTACTCTTTCATATACGTTCTCAATCGTAGTTCTATATGCTTATTAAAGGCTTACAGCGAAAAAAAAACTGAGTTTTTTTTTTTTTTTTTTTTTTTTTGCTATTATCGACGACCAAAAAAAAAGTGTTTTCGAAAGCCTATTTTTTCGAGTACTGTTCAATCTCTTCAAAAGTGTGATGTCAACTGTCGAAAAAAAGCCTCTTTTACAGCATTTTGAAAGGGATGATAAAGAATTAATGTGTTCCAAGTATCTACATTTATAATCATTTATAAGGGATCGTGGTATGGAGTGTGAGTAACATAAAAACTGCGGCTGTTCTCTTATCATCCTTTGCATAAAGTTTTCTGCATGCAGTGCGTCAAAGCGTAAGCCATAATGTTCGCGAGGCCCAAGTGACGACGATCTAGGTTTTAAATTAGTTTTATGTCTGACATTGAAGGCGCCAGTGAGTTATCATGTATATTTTGCATGAACGAACTGTATCGCCAAAACTATGAAAACCTAATGGGCAATCAAATGACTATCATTTGATTTATAAATAACTAGTATTTAAATACCATAGAATTCATCATCCCTAAAAATAAATTATCTTATATTCGATTCAAGTTACTGTTTTCATAACTAGAAGGGCATACAGTAAGACATGCAAACATCTATAATCCCATGATTTCATGTATCATATGAACACATATTACGTCAATTTTAAAATGATCACAATTATTAGTGACTTTCCCGGTAACTGATTAAATGGTGTAATAATTCAGATAGATCATGTTTCATGGTTTGTATTAGAAGCAGAAATTTTTCATCTGCATTCATTATCAGCAAATAAAATACGGTATCGATCAAGAATTATTTGTATGCATGAATTAATCTGCTTTTGAAAAAAAAAGGGAAATATATGCTAACTGGATATATGCGAATTTGTTTAAAAAAACAAAGTATGCGCTTATGACCCTTACTGTACAGAAAAAACCTCTACATTGATGATTATACCGGTTTCTTCTCTTTATCGACATCTGTATCTGCCAGACATGATTTATATAAAAAATTTTTTTACATTATTAAATTTTCAATAGGGGGAGGGGGTTGTACATTAGTTACAAAACGCATAGTACATGATACGTTCGTTGAAATAAACTTTATGTATCTTCATTTATAGCTCTGCATTACTGATGCCATGTCTTCCATATATAAAAACAAACAAACAACTATTTTAGACAAACCGGTTTTTTGTCAATCATTTGATCCCGGGTTTTTTAAGTTGCCAGAAAGAAAAGTTTAATTTTTTAATACGAGATATGGAGAGAGAATAGTACTATAAAAGGTTGAGTACGGAGTACAGTAAATAATTGTGTATAAGAAAAAAAAGGGGGGGGGGAGGGAAATAATAGTGGTAGTAAGAAGAGAAAAATTAATTAGAAGAATTGAGAAGCGAAAGCAGCAATCAAACCAATGGCAGCAACAGCTTGACCGGCTTGTTCCTTGGTAGCCGCTGAAGCAGCATGGGAGGCACTGGCACTGTGAGAAGTTGAGCTGGTGCCAGCGGTGGAGGCAGCTGAAGCGGGAGCAGCAGCGTTGTTGGCTGGTGCACTTCCACCACCAGTAGCGGGTGAAGCAGGAGCAGCTGCAGGAGCAGAGTTTGCTGTGTTGGAAGGAACATGTATAAGCCCAAACATGCTACTTATTGTGAGGAGTGGTCTGGCGTATGAGTTATTAAATTATAAAATATGATCTGTTTCATTCTAACTTTAGTCTTATCTTCTGATAAAGTTAAAATGACACTAAAAAGTGTAATCATAGTTGTTTTGATAAATTGCATAACTGAAATGATTTTTTTACATTTGTCTCAAAATTCCACATCTTTTATTGCAGTAGGATAGAGCTAAAGAAAATAATAATAATGATAATGAAGACTTTAGTTTAATTTTTGTAGTTTAAGTGATTTTATTTCGTTGAATTTATTATTTTATTATTGATTCGTTATACTTTATACCGATCAAGATGTCGGTAATCGATTGCTGGAAACGGAACCGTTTTCGACGGTGCGAGTTCATGGCTACTCGTTTCAGGGAATCCTGATCTGGAATCCTTGCTTCTTCGTGAATTCTTTCCAGATCAAGCAAAAATAACCTAAGATGCATGAACAGACTAGGTAACACAAAAATACGTGAATAGGGATCAGTTGTGTGCTACCTCCAATCTGTGCAGGGCCCCAGCCAAGTTTTCGATACCCTTCCAAAGCTGATTTTGTGGAGAGGTACAGGAAAAAGGGAAGGCGCAAACCTCTTCAAGAGTATACAATTTTTTTGCCTTCAATCTCAATGTGTACAGGTGTGTGTCCAAGCCCATTATCTGAACTATAGGAAGTGCGATGCTTGTGACATGACTTTCTTTGAAATACGTAGCGGTGTAGAGGAAGTCGGTGAGGTGGCCCTTGGTGACAATTACTTTATCTGGTACCAGTCTACCCAGTCAAAATTGGAAGAAGAAGAAAGCTGTGTATACATGAGTTAACGTAATTTAAAAAAAAATTGCCAATAGATGCTTAAGCTGTTGAATTAGTAATATAACGTTTAAACATACTATAAGAGTTGATAAATTACCATTTGGCTTTTATAAAAAAATAGTAGACTGAAAATACTCTAAGAATGATCTTAATCCTCAATCCAGACTCTGGGATAATAACCAAAAGCATTTTAAAGTGAAATCTATTGACAGTCATTCTAATTTTTATTTGTACAATGAATTGCTTCTAGTAACTTTTTACCAGTTTTTTTTTTTTTTTTTTTTTTTTTTTTTTTTTTTTTTTTTTTTTTTTTTTTTTTTTTTTTTACATCAAATAACATCTTTTATGCATTATAACTTCATCATTTTCCTCTCCCTTTCTCACACGACAACTTACGGCAATGTTAGACAGCCGGCGAATCTTTGCCTTATCCTCTTTTTTTTTTATTCTGTTTATTTTTTTCAATACTATAGTCCCAGATGTGTGGCTCATTGTACGTTCAAAGATCTCACATGAAAATCAAACTGTTCATTTTTACATGAAAAGGATTATGGTTGACCTAATATCTTTTTATTCGCTTATAGTCTTTCCATGACGCTATTTTGTTATGATTGAGAGCCAAAAGGCGTATGCTAGAATTGTGTGGTATTCGTTTCCGCTTGTTTCGTACTTTTTTTTTTTTGTTTGGTCAAGAAAGGGAACAAAAAATGCAATGTTTTTTTCTTTCCTTTTGTTTTCAAAGCGGATGGCTAAAAATATCGTTTATTGACGTTATAATTCTGGCATAGTATGGAAGAGTTCAAGGGGGTCTAGTATTTCGTTCATTTTACAAAAAAGGAACAGAACGTTTTTTTTTTTTTTATCATTTTGGAAATGTGAAGAGAGACAGCAATTCATGAACAGGTTATAAAAGTCATCATCATTCATTCGCATGTGGACGGTGTATGGCAATGATGAACAGAAAACTTACAACAAAGTATAATTTTTCTGTTGTCAATAATAATAATCCTCTGTTTTAAATATATATATAAAAAAAATAACCAGATGATGTAGTAGACTTTTGTAGGTACAAACATAAAAAGCGTACAAGGTTTCCTTTACAGTATGAAAGAGGGGAATTTGACAGCGGGAGATCGTTTGTGTGTTACACACATCGGTCGATGAGCAGAAAAAAAAATTAGGTCTCAGGAAGTAAAAAAGGAATTGCAACGTCCAGGGTTTACACAGAAATTACGTTTATATATATATATATATATATAGCACAGTAACTCAACCTTGTGTAAAAAAAGACATGACGGTAAAGTTGCATGAATTACAATGGCATGTTTAGTCAACATGAAGGGGAAAAAAAACGCCCAAATTAACAATGGTGGGTGAACATGATGACCTCCATTCAGGCGTCTGCTTTCAAATATTGAGTTCGTTTCCCAGGGAAGAAGTCCATTGTTCGGGGAATCGGCCTTCATTTCTAACCGAAAAGAAAAACAGAAAAAAAAAAAAAAAAAAAAAAAACTCCTTCCAATGCAGCCTAAAACACACTATATTTTGTGCCACTGAAATAAACGTCAGATTTACGGGCAAAATTTGAGGCTTTTAACCTAAACCTTATAAAAAAAAAGACGAATTCTGCACAGATTGTCAGATCACGAGTTATGCTAAAAAAAAAAAAATGTTAATTTAAAAAATGAAATTGAGAAAATAGGCGTGATGTAATTACTTTATAAAGTTCTTTCTTCTTTGGTAGAAGCGGATTCGGCTATTGACCGTCCAATCGTTATACCCGGGGGTGGAATAGAAAAGAAGAAAAAAAAAAAAATTTATATTATAACTGAGATCAAATATGAGAAAAAAGAAACGTGGACACACGTAAGAAATAATAACAACACGGGTAAAAGGGTAGACAAAGAAGAAAAAAAAAATTATACGCTAACTAGACTAGTAATGGATGTTACCATTTATTGTTTATGAGGCAAGTATAGAATTCTATTCAGGAACCCATTGTCCAATTCTTGAGCAATTCTTTTGGGTTGAGAAAGCATCAATTGACCCATGCAAAAAAACAAAAAATGGATGTAGGTCCCCTTCATCTTAGTATGATCATCCGAAACAAGGTACTACGCTTTTTTTTTAATGATAACAGAGAAAAAGAAAGGTCCCACCGCGCCCAGAAGGACACGTTTTTTTACTATAAGAGGAAAGAATTCGTATACTTTCTATCGGCTTAGTATTAGATACGTATTGGATGGGGGGGGGTAATGTTCTGGACACATCAATATGATGCTGCAATGCGCATTCCAATTTACGTGATTTAATGAATAGGTATGCTTTAAGTACTATTTTGGAATTGACTTTATTTACTTAGTAAGTGATGTAAGAGAGTCATTAAAAAGACAACCAAAATGTTGTCATCAAGTATATCTCCTCAAACGTTTGAAACAATGCGAAAACTGTCATTTTTACAAAAAAGGATGTGGGAGTGTAACAGACACACAGAATCATTTTACTGCTGCGTAAAAAAAAAAAAAAATATTAAAAATAGCTTGTAGTACAATGATCAAACTATAATAAATTGTTTCCATCGGATTCTTCCTCTTTTTACTCTAAACTAATTATTATTGAATGATAAATTATGAGAGAGAGAGAAAGAGAGGTATTTTTAAAACAAGGTTTAAATGCTCCCATTCTTACGTCAATATTCACTGGCACGTCTCCGTCTGTGTATCTATTCTTGGTTTAGTTTACCCAGAATTGGATTCCTTCTTTCTTTTTTTTTCGATTACGTACTTCTCACGACTATTTTGTCATAGGTCACACGACATGTTTGGTAAACAAAAGGGACATTTTTTATATTTGTCTGCTTATCTATTGATAATTAAAAACCGGTAATCATGCAGCCATTTTTACTGGGCGTGCATTATTAAAAAAAAAAGGGTCAAAAAAAAAGGTGGCAAAAGCATCCCTTCCATGATAAAGAAAAATAAAAAAAAATAACCCTTTCTCCTCGAAACACAAACACGACAATTAAGTTTGTTCTAAACTCTTTTTTGTTTTTTTGTTTTTGTTAGCAGCTCATGCTAACAAAACACATCAATCTTAAAACACGCTCAGGCCAACTGCGCTTTTTATTATTAGTAAATATGAAAGAATTGTTGCCAATAAGCGTCATGACTCATAGTCTTTCCCCGGTTTGTGTTTTGCTTCAAAAGTAAAAAAGAAAGAACCCCGTTCCACTTTTACATCAGCTGTCAAAGCAAAAAAAGAAAATATCTGTGTAACCACCACGTGAGGTCACCCACTTTATCGAGTGCGCGTATTTTAAGGAATATCCTTTTTCGCCTGTAACTCCCCCCCCTCCCTTCCCTATTTAGCCATTTTTATTTATTTATTTTTGGCTTGGGCGAGAGATTACGTGTATTCCTGTCAAAATATATAGATATGTTGTCAGCAATGCCTTTATTTTAAAAAAAAAAAACTTCTTGTAATTTCTAACGGGAAACAAGGACACAATGGCAGAAGCTTATCTGTTACTTTATTATTCACGGAGATGAACCTTTCTGTATGTGGTGCAACACGATTATCAACTACGTTTTTAGAAAAGTTCTAATTATAAATAAAGTTTTACGCAGCTCTCTGTATAGACAGATTTCTTTTTTAATTTTGCCTCATCTGTAAAGAAATGAGAAAGAAAGGGAATACATCATTTTGAACCAATAATAAATCGGATCTACGTCTCCAAAGTGCCTCATTGTTGCAACGTTACCTTTTTTTTTTTTCTTAATCGAGAGAGAGAGAGAAAACTCCCTTCATCTCCGTGAGTGTCTCTCAATTGACTACACTCACTTTTTCTTTTTGTTCCCTCCAAACCCTCCAAAGGCTCGTATTTATTAATAGTGAGATGCATAAGAGAATTGGGGAGGTAGAATTGAATGTATATCTCTCCTCAATGGATTGAGTCAGCCACTAAAACCACGATTAGAGTAGGAGAAAGGCCATTTTTTTTTTGTATCGTATGGGTACAGGTTAACAACACGAGCGTGGTACTACAAAGGATATGTTTAAGCCTCTTTTTACCTACAATAGAATGCGAGAGATGGGGGAACTGGTTTTTTTTTGTTGTTGTTGTTGGATATGGGATCTTCCGAGGCGATCTTATTATGGGCGAAGCAAAGAAAAGATGTTACACTCTCCTTTAGGGTTACCCAAGACAGGTCAAGTGACACCCTTTGTGGCAAGAGAAGAGAAATAAAGGGGAAGAGGAAGGGGGGGGGAGATCTGTGTATGTACATTTTCATATAGGCGATAAGTGCTTTTTTTTTATTTTATCGCTCATATTTCTAAATGTTGACTTATATCCGAAATCGCCCATCAATTGTTATCGCTGATTGTCATGACAAAGGACATTTTTTAATATAATCATGCTACCCGGAGATAGTTTAAAGTAAGCATGCTTGACATGGAAACATTCTCCCTGCGTCCTCTTTTTTATTGCTGCAGGTGCGTACTGCTTTTTGCTTTACGGGCTTGGCGGGTTTTTTTTTTTTCTGTGGTTTTTCTTGGCGAGCTTTTACGAGGACAAAGCACTGACACGAAAAATTAAAATAGAGAAGACAGACAGAAAAAAGAAGTGACAATGAGTCATGACATGATGGAAGATCGATTGACATTAGGTAAATCAGTTTAGTAATGTGCAACAAATTTTTATTGGGCCATGTAGACTTAATAAAAATAAATGACAAATTCCCAGATTCTTGTTTTATGAGGGGCGCTTTAAAAAAAGAGTTTCCAAATATAGAATACAGATGTGGGCATCAAGTGCCGAGCTTTCCTAATGACTGATTGGCTAAATTCTTGGTCAATTTATTTTTTTTTGGGGAAAAAGTATATAAATACGCACATGTTTTCAAGTATTTCCAAATTTTTTATTTTTTATTTATTTATTTAATATTTTTGATATATATACATACACACACACATTACACACAAAATGTTTACACTTTCAAGACATCAATCTACTTCATCATCACGATGCTCATCAGCAAGGTCTACTCGGTCGATCTGGTCTAAAATCAGTAACCTATTTCATCACCCACGTAGTCGATCTAGTTCTTGCGAGATTCAAAGTAACTCAGAGCATGGAGGCAGCCGTTCGACTTTATCGGATGTATCTGTAAAGACAGTGGAGACACAAGAACACGACATGGAACAGAGACGTCATCGTAAGCAACTGATCGATAGTGATTGCAGCACACCTCCCATGATGATTCCTCCTTTCAGTCCCACTTACTGCAAGAATAACGAGTTTCCTTACTCCAACTTTTATAGTAAATTACCAGATGGTCGATGGATGATCCGATACAGAGATGGTAACCGTGATATTCTTCGTACTGATATCATGGAAGGTTACCTCATCTAATCTCAAGCCTATTCCGCGTTCTCTCTCTCTTTTTTTTTTGCAACTTACAAAAAAAAAAAAAAACTTATACATACACACACACACACACACATACACAAGCATTTTTCTCTTTTCTTTATAACAACTCCGTGTCTTCCCTACCCCCTTTTTAATACCATTTGTTTATTATTAAACAACATACCATGCTCTCTCTTTTTTTTTTGTGCAAAATAAACTTTTTTTTCTTACCACTAAACAAAATAAAAAAAACTTGTTGACTTACTAACCGTGCTGTTTCAAATAATTGTGGCTACGATCCCTTTTTTTTTTTTGAAAGTAAGAATTTTTTTGGGTTGGACCCGAGATTGGGACATATGTTGTATCCCCATTACATATTACACGGGGGGGGGGGGTTAGATATATAGGACTGCAGTTGTCATCCTGTTTCCCTCCCCCCCCCCCCTTCGCTATTAAGAGGAATGCTTATCATTTTTTCCAAGGGGCGGGGTTTCTTTGAGAGAAGAGAAGTTTGTAAGCAACAATGGAGAAAGGAGCATAAGAAGTATATGAGATTGGCCATGTCTCTCTTATTTGTTCGGTAAAATGAAAGCACCGAGAAAATAGCCAGCCAAGGGAGATAAATATTAAGATGCAGCGGGATGAAAAAAACCGATTCATGTGCCGAGAAAATAGGAATTGTAGAAAATCTTAATAATCACGATTGATAATCATCCCCCGTTTCATAAAAAAAAAAAAAAGAAGGGTCCCCCTATTGTCTCAATTCTACCCCCCTCCTCCCATGTTCATATTTCCTTTTGTCAGTGAAACAAAGAAAAAAAAAAAGCTGGGGGCGGCAAAAAAAAAAGAAAAAACGCTGAGTAACCCCCCCCCCTCCCATTATATTAAAAATGATATCATTGTAAATTCCGTGGATTTTCTCTGAAATGAAAAAAAAGGGTTTTTTATTTTATTTTTAATGCCGCTGTCAAAAAAAAAAAAAAAAAAAAACCAATTCCCGCAATGCCCTCCTCAGATTGGCCCTTTTACATTTAATGCGCACTTTTTATAACTCAAGCATTTCTTAATAAAAAAAAAAAAAAAAGGATTGTGAAACCTAAAGACACAAAAAAAGTAAATGTTTATTTACTGCCTCTCAAAAAAGTAGCTTTTTTCATGCAGGCCAAGAGATTGCCGTACTGTTTCGAGTTGAAACAAAAAAGGGGGGGGGGAGGGTAAGACAAGGTTGAGTGTGGCTTGTTACATGATAAAATCTATTAAAAGAGAAATAAAGACAAGAAAGAGAGAGAGAGAAATCTAAATATACACGAGAGTGTCATGTACAACCTCAACTTCTCATTGAGGGGCATGATCTCTTCTTGTTTGAATGATAATTTACAGAGTGTAACATGAACCTTTTTTTTTTCTTTTCTTTCTCTCTCTTCTCTCTCTTTTTTGTTCTCAGTTCCTTTTATTGCCCTTGTTGTGTGTGTGTGGATAAATAAAAAAAAAAAGAGGCGTTTCCCCCAAGTCTATTTTGGGCCCGCCACTTTCTTTTTTTGCATGTTAGAATTAATGTACACCATTGTTTGTACAACTGCAAGAATAACAAAATTAGATTGGTCAGTTAATTATAGCTTTCTTGTGGCAAGGTATTTTCAATTAAAATAACAATTAACCTTTTTTTTTCTGTTTCTTTCTCTTTTTACCTACTTTTTTTTTTTTTTGTTATTTCCATGGAGCGGAGTGTAGCAAAACCTCCCATCAAGAAACCGAGGTCTTCCTTTCTTGCATGGATGTTCCATAGTAATTCTGAAGTGACTAAAGAGACAACTACTGTAGCAGACATAGAGATACCCAACCGGCGTCAAAGCCATCTTTACACACCATTTCACCAGAAATCAACACAGGTATTAGAGGTACCTAAAGAAGAGGAAGACCTCAATAAACGAAGGTCCTATTATCTCTCACAGGCAGACAATACCCATTATGGATCCAGTGCATCTTTAACCCGATCAGCCACATGGCAACCCACTACCAATAATTTACATCATACCCAAAACGGACAAATTGAACTTATACCAGATAGAAGAACAAGTCGAAATTATGCAAATAACCCTGAAATTCAAGCAAGATTAGATGCTATGCTTCAAAATGATAAAACTTCCTATCTATCTTCTGTCTTGCAGAATCCCACTTCATCTGCCATGAATCGTCGTTCCACCACTCCTTCCTCACGCGCCTCCTAACTCTTTCTTATATATTAATAATAAACACTACTCTATGCCCCCTCTCCCCTCCACCCACCTCTATCATTTATACACACACACCACTTGCAGTTTTTTTCTTTTTCTTTTTCTTGGGGTTACCCTTGTACTGATGTGGGGGGCTTTGCTAATTGTAACCTTCCCCAAAGAGGCTTATAATGGGAGGGTACACATAACATTTATTTCTGTCAAAAAATGAAACCCCATCATACCTTTCTGATTTCAGCCACACACACATAGATACAAGCTCAGCTAAACCTTTTTTTTTATTTTTTCTGTACCAGCCAAAAAACCGCCACACACACACACACACACACACACACACACACACAAAAGCAAAGGTTGTTTATCTTGTAAGAAAGAGTATAAATGTAGGAACCACAAGGTATTAGGGTTTATATACAATTGTTTGTACTTTTAAGGAGAAGGGCTTGGCATTTATTTATTTATTTTTAATTCAAAAAAAAAAAAAACCTTTTTTTTTCTCTCTCCGACATTCATGATTGTTATTTGTTTGGGCTTTGATCTTAACGCTTACAAAAGGTGTAGAATAAAAAAAAAAGTTTTGATTTCATCGGTATTTTCTTTTTCTTTTTTTTTCATTCTTACACATCTAAATTTTATAAACTAAATAAATCCGAGAAACTAGATTGTTCTTTTTTAATAAAACTAAATTAAATTGCACAAAATGTTGGTTTCAGATGCTGTTTCTTACTTTCTCTTTTATTTTTTTCAACGCCGTGTGTGTGTGTGAGAATCACATCTTCTCCTTCTCCCAAAAAAAAAAAGGAGCTTTGTTTTGTTCGACAAGAAAAAAACGCGAATATCCAAAAACAAGGTATGTTTTTGTTATATTATATATATTACAAAAAAAAAAGAGTGGTTGTGTAACAGAAAACTTTAATTGGCTCAACAAGAAAGGACAGTGGCAGTGGGTGAGGGTAGACACATGCTTATCATTTTATATATAGACTTATTAAGAGAAATACAGGTTTTTTTTTTTATGTTCTGTAGAAAACAAGGAACACGTAATTATAAAATCATGTCCTGATTTTTTAAAAAGTAGTACTGTTGTCTATAAGTGTTGAATGTAACTAAAAGAGAACAATAAAAAAGGCCCGTGAACTACCACAAAAAAAGAAAAAAAAAAAAGGACATGGAGATCAGAACGTGGACATTATCTATCCTTGACACTTTTTATGTATGATATCATACATTCAAAAAAAAAAAAAAAAATTAGGCCTCATGTCCCTCCATCGCGTATCCATGACGTCGTGGAATGAAAAAAAACCACAGAGTAAAGTAGTAACCCTGAATTTCGGAAATTGTAATAATCTAATTTTAACCTTTTTTTTTTTTTTTTTTTTTTTTTTTACCTTTTCTTCTTTATATCACGTAACAACAAGAAACACGCCTCCTCCCCTACCTTCTTCTCTAGAAGATGTCCTTGTTCTCAAAATTTACAAAGAGTCACCAAAATACTGACAAATCAATATATCCATGGTCTGGACGAAAAATAACAGGGAGTCATCACGCTCTTTCGAGATTCGGTCATGGAGCCACCATGTTGGACAATCACCACTTTATTGTCTTTGGTGGTATCTATACCAAGGGAAACACCAAGAAGAATTTATTCATTATTGACACCAGTAAAGAAGTTCACCTTCATATACACTGTTATATCCCCATACTAAAACCGACCGTTTCATTTTTTTTAGATAACCTTGCTGCCACTTCATTAACCACGTCAGGTGATATTCCCTCCTACCGAACCTTTGGTACCATTTCATCCATTGGCGGCTTTGTATTATGTAAAAAAAAAAAAATCTTATTTTTTCACTTGACAAAAAAACCGATTTGAACTAAAAAAAAAAGAATGTCTATGTAGTATATGGTGGAGAGCCACTTGTGCCTGGAGAGATGTGGGATCCATACTTTTATGTTTTACACACGAGTAAATTAACCAAATATACTCTCTGTCAACGAGATTTCATTTTTTTTTTTTTTTTAATCATCATTTTTTTTTTTTTTTTTTGGTCGTAGACACAAGGCAATGGTCTAGAGTACGAACAAAAGGTAAACTACCATCGGAAAGAGCAGGACATTCTACCTGTGTTTCAAAGAAGGGTATCATGTATATCTGGGGTGGACATTATCAACGAAAATATCTGAATGATTTATGTGCATTTAACGTAAAAGAATGTAAGTTTTATAATGGTGTACAGATGTTGAATCCCTCCCCCCTTTTAATTAATTGTGTGTGTGTGTGTAGATCCTGCAAAGGCGGATTGGGAATTCATTTCCTATAAAAATCAAGGACCGTCCGCACGATCGGGTCATGTCTCCTTTATCCATGATAATAAATTATACATGTAAGTGCAACCCACAGTATTTTTAAAAAAAAGTAGAGACTGAACCTTTACTCACAAAAAAAAAAAAAAAATTAGCTTTGGTGGAGTGAATGCGAGTCAATTATACAATGATATCTGGTACTTTGATTTAGACACCCAATTATGGTATCCCATTGCAGCTGTAGGCTATATACCCCTTCCGCGAGAAAGTGCTGGAGCTGCATTGGTAGATGATACCCTTTATATATTTGGTGGTCGTGGTGTGAATGGTACCTTGGGCGATTTATGCGCTTATCGTATTCATAGTAAACGATGGTACACATTTGAAAATATGGGGAATCCACCTACCCCGCGTTACGGTGCCACATTAACCTTGGTGCAAAACAAGATTTATGTCTTTGGCGGTGAATCCATGACCACTGGTAAATCTGATGATACAACCCAAGTTTATATTCTTGACTGCTGTAAGTTTTTTACTTTTTATAGGAAAAAAGGTCTCCCCCACTCATTCCTCTATATTATGTAGCAAAAATAAAATACAGAGAAGAAGCACCAAATATGAGCCAAAGAAGTGAACCTTTACAAACCGCTCCTATGAAACAACTTCCTCCAATTCAAGTAAAAGGATACATTCATTCTTTTTGTGTAAAAATAGAGACTAACGCTTGCTTTAAAAAATGTTATAGTCACCGCCGCCACCGCCGATGCAACATACGAGACAGATCCCTCCCAACTCACCGATACAACACCATTTCCAGACACCACTACCAGCACCACCAGTAGCCACAGCAACAGCCACAGTAACAGCAACAGTAACAGCAGCAGCAACAGCAGCAGGAACGAAAAACGAGGAAGAAAAATTGAATTTACCAGTGACAGCCCATGCGATGGAGACCAACACAAGCCATCATCATGCCCCACCCCGACCACCTCGCGACGGTGTCAGTCTCAACCCATTTGATTCGTTTCAAAAAGAAAAATCCAACCTCGTGCGAGAGATCGCTGCACGCGATCTAGTGATTAGTGAAATGAAGAAAAAGGAGCAATGGTGGCGTACCGAAGTTTCTTTAGCACGTCATGAACGTGGTGATCATAACACGCAAGAAGACGAAGACGTGATGTTGATGACGTTTCATGATGTACCCAGTGATAAACGATTATTATTTCAACAACTGGTACAATTAAAAGCCGAAATAAAGAGGATCAGGATGGGTATGAGCAAGGACCGACAGGTGTTGGAGATCGAACATGGGGAGACGATACGTCATGTGGCATTAGAGGAAGCAGCTTATTATAAAGCGAAATATGTTGCATTAAAATCAATGAATGGCCAGAGTTTAGCCAAGCTAGAAAGTGAGCGTATCAGTGTATTGGAAAAACGATTAGCGGATGCCTATACGGAGAAGAGTCAGAATGAAAAGTTGTTACAGAGGGTGCGAGTGCAATCGGAAAACGATCGAGCAGCACGATTGTTAGCGGAGGAAAGAGCCAAGGATGCACAGAGCCAATCAGAGGAAGCGCAGGTAGCGCATCAGACCTCGTTGGAGAAACTGTCAGTCCTGTACGAACAAATTATTAAAGGTGAAGCACAAGGACGTAGTGACGCCTTGGTGATTGCGGATTTATCGAACCAGATTGCTAAAAACTTGACGATGCCGAGTACGGATGTTTCGCATATCCATATCGAGATGAGTCGATTGGAGGTAGCGAATATTAAACTACGAAATGAGATGGCGGTCTTGACTGGGAAATTGGAACAATCCAAAGATGTTGAAATGAATTTACGATCCCTGTTACAAGAACGTGAAGTGGCTCATCAGGAAGCCTTACTTGAACTGGAGAAAAGCTGTATAGAATTACAAGTGCTTAAAGGTGCTGGTCACCATGACACTACTGTATAATCCCTCCCCCCCCAGCATCCTTTGATTACATAATAAACTCTACCTCCTCCCCCGCGCAATTGGAGGATGTCGTTTTTTTTTTTTTCTTGCATGATTTTTGTGGTTTCAAAAATGCATAGATGTTGTAAACATGCTAATTTAAAGACCCGTTTTTTTTTTTTTTTTTTTTCATTGGTCTCTTTATACATGTTATCCCATTTTTGGGGTGGAGAGAGACATTCCCAATTATGTTTATGAGACTTTCAAATCAAGGCACGGTGTTTTGTGTCAGGTATCTAACGCGTCTTGGAAAGGTGATTGACGACGTGATAAATTACAAAGAAATGTTACGAGGTGACTCCATATGTTGGATTTTTTTAAAAGGGAGAAAATTCCAATAAAATACTTACGTCACTTCCATTGTAAATTCATAAAATAAGCACAACAAAGAGTGACGTTGAAAAAAAAAAAAAAAAAAATAAGGATTAAATAAAATAAATAATAATAATAAAAAAAAAACGCCTTTTTTCTTGATAAAAAAAAAAAGTCTCCGTAACGGTTGTCAACATGCGGAACAACCCTGATATTCCTAACGAACTCTACTATCTTGGTAAAAAAAAAAAAAAAAAAAAAAAAGCTAAAGAAGAAGCCAACTTTAGGAAGATTAACGAGCCCTTTTTTTTTTTTTGTGTGTGTAGACGAGAATTTCTCTATTGGGTCACTTCGAAAATATCAACTCAAAGAGATTCTAGCGGCTCACGATATTCCCTATTTATCTAGCATTACGCGTGTGGATCTCATTAATTTATTTAAAAAAAACATTGAACCCCGTCGTAATGAAATCCTGCAAGAGTATAAGCAAAGGGAAGCAGAACGTTTAGAGGCTGAAGCCCACGAAACCTACGGTCGAGGCGGTCGTCGAGCTCAAAGGAAACATCAATCCGAACTCGATCGATTGCAACATTTACTTCATGAAAAGGATGCAGACGGATTTACTATTCCTCAGACACCTTCCTCTAGAAAACATTTTAACCCTGAAGACTCATTTGCTTCTGAAGACGACGATGATGTTTATATTCCTAAACAGAGACCCATAAAACCTCCCAAGTCAGCAGCTAAACCCAGTACAAGCTCCCCTAAACCCAGTACGAGCACCTATAAACCAAAGAAACCTGTCGTTAAACCCAACGGCAAGCATTCCAAGAAATCCACACATGTTGCATTTAATCCTGAGGATTCATTTGCTTCTTCCGCAGCAGAAGAAGAGGAAAATTTCGTACCTTTGACCACTCAATATTACAGTGAAGAAGACGACCATGAAAGCAAAGTTGAACGAGAGTCACCAGAGGAGGAAAAAGAGGAGGTGAAGGAGGTAGAGGAGAAAGTAGCGGCGGAGGACGAAGAAGAAGAAGAAGTAGCGGTGATGGAAGAAGAAGAAGAAGCGGTGATGGAAGAAGAGGACGAAGACGAAGATTATAATGCAGATACAGACGATACAGACGAGGACGAAGATGTGGGCCAAGTGGACCAAGAAGAGCTAGTTTTATTATACAAGGACCAAGCCGTACCACCTGAAGTATTTGTATCTTCTGGCTACCGTGATAAACGTCAGACCTTGGCTGTAGCTACCGCTCGTTTCCAACAATGGAAAGCGCGTTGTACACGTATCCTTTACGGACTCTGTGCTGCGTACCTCTTGATTGGTTCGATTGGACTGGTGATTACCTCCATTGCACGCAAGAACAATGGATACTGTAATACGTACCCAAAGGACGTGAATCAAACGGCGAATTCGAATACGGGATTTTTCTCATTACTTCCTTCTTCCTGCATTCCTTGCCCTGATCATGGTGTATGCAAAGGAGGAGAATTAACCTGTGATGGTTTGTATGAAAGAAAGACACCCATTTATAATTTCCGTCACTTTTTGCCGATTGCAGATGATTGTGTTCATAATTCGGCCTTGGGAAAGTATATTGCAAAAGTAGAACGCCATATCAAGTATAAGTTGGCAACGGAACAAGGCAAAGCGACCTGTGAACATTTATTAGCTCATCCCGATCATTTGCCACGAGATGTTCCTCCTACGCGTGTCGCTGTGAAGGATATCATGGACGATTTAAACAGATCCATTCAATCACATTTACCTGCGGATAAAATGGAGGAAATTCTTGTCATTGCTTTATCGGCTGTCTTGGAAGATCCAAAAGTCCACTATTGGGAAACGTAAGCTTTTTAAAAAAAAAACTTGTTTATAAGATGAGGACTAACTTTATTTGGTATAGTGAGAATAATGAACGTTATTTGGGAACGGATCATTGTAAGTATACCTTTTCATGCCAGGCCAAGCGACTCTACAAGTCGATTCCCACTAAAGTCAAGGCCTATATTTTATGTAAGTTTGCTGATAAAAATAATAAGAATAAGAAAAAAAAAAAGGACTATGATTAACCCTTATAGAAAAGTGTCGACGGTTGGACTTTCTGCATTGGCGATTCTTTTTAAAGTGATTCAACAAAAAATGGCCGCTAAACAAAAAGTGAATAAGATGATCCAAGCGGTGACGGATCAATTAAAGAAACAGGTATACAGATATATATAAAAAAAAATTATAATTAAATGAAAACTAATTAACGTTTTTTTATTATTATTATTATTAGTACGATAATCATGCCAAAGATCCAGCAAAGTACCCATCACCTGCACTTTCTGCCTCCGAACTTCGATCCTCCATCGTGGATATCCATGATGCAAAGACAATTAGGGATTGGCAAAAGGTTTTAAAACAAATGATGGATCATCCTCATATTCGAAGATCCTTTGTGGAACAAAGAGGAGATCCTGTTGAATACTGGGAATTAACAGCTTAAAAAAGAAAAGAAATTGTAAATAATAATGCTTCACAAAAAAAAAAAAGTAAAAAAAAAAATAAAAAAATCCTTTGATGTAAAGAGTATATATAGTACATATTTTGTGTGTGTGTGTATTGTTTTATTCATGAAATAAGAGGTAAGAAAATGAGAGGAAAAAAAATAAAGGGGGGGGGGGAATAAAAAGGGTTGTTTATACACGACTCCAACCGCCACCTTGAGTATCTCTACGACGTACTAAACACCATTGAATCAAGGAACCGACAATGGCCAGACCTAAACAACCACCCAACATGCCACGCAAGGGAACTGTGGCGTTCACCAAGATATCTAATTGTCTGGCGTGTAAGAGTTGATCGATGAGTTCCAAGAAACCGGACTTGACATAAACATCGGCACCGGCAAAGATAGCAAAGGAACCAATGAAGGCGGATGCGATGACAAACATGGGACGCTCGAGGAAAGCCATCAAGACAACACCGGCAATGACGAAACAGATGATTAAGATGGCACGACCCCAATTAGTTTGAATTAAACCATTTGAAACCCAGGACAATAACCAGAGCGCCAGGGCGTAACCAAGTAAAGCACCGACTAAATACACCGCCAGTGAAAGACAGCAACTTAATAATCCTCCCACAATTAATCCCACACCAATACTCACACAGAGTAAAATCGTTTGTGAGTTGGTTCCGAAATCAGATTTGGCATTGGTCATGATAATGTAAGCAATATTCGATCCAACATAAAAGCCGACGATGAATACCGTAAACGTTTGATACACACCTAATTATAAATAAGTGGTTAGTGCTATTTTTTTTTTTTTTTTTTAAACGATGATGATTACCTCCCAAGAAACAAAGATAAGCACCGGAAACAATTAGCAAGACACTAAAGGCGATACCTTGAGCGGTAACAGTATGTCCAGCAACTAATTTATAAAAATAAAAATGTGAATAAGCCTAATCATCAAACAAACAGGAAAATTAATAATAAATGCTTACAAACTAAAGTAGCTGAACTATCATCAATACTACCCAAAGGTGCAGCATTGACCATCGTCATCAATAATGCAAATAATGCATATAGAAATAATGTAGAATTTTTTTTATAACAAGACATTTTTTTTTTTTTTCTTCTTTATATAAAAAAAATAATTACAGGTGAAAAAAAAAGAAAAAAAAAATTAATAGGTGAACAAAAAGAAGAAAAAAAAAAAAATTTAAATAAACTCTTTTTTATATTATATTTTTAGGGGATCAAAAAAAAAAATATTTATAAATAAATATTTTCTTGGCGCACCCGAATTCTATTGCGCGTTAGAAATATGTGTGTGTCTCATATCAGCCACGCTTGTGTAACGAACCCGTGTTAATATAATGACGAGGCTTTGTTTTTTTTTTTTTGCCATTCATCCGGAATTGAACTTCTACCTTTTTGCTTTCAAGCCAATCAATTCTTTTTTAAGGTAAATTTTCAGGAGAACCCGCCCCACCCCCCCCTTTTTATTGAGCACAATCAGTGTGACTGTCATTTGACTTCCCGATGGGATAGGATCATCTGTGTCTCGCGTTGTGTGTGTGTGTGTGTGGGGGGAGATGAGGCTCAAGAAAGGGCACTTTTGAATTAATTGTCCCGTTTCTTATGGCAACGGTTGGAGAGGAGTCTATCACCAAAATATATGTTGTGCTCATATGATGGAGACTGTCCACGAATAGAAACTACGCCCTGCTAAATGCGTCACAATTTCATTTGGGGATATCTAAGCTTAGCTTTTTTTTTTTATATATATTTCTATTTCAATCATCCTGGGGTCTTGGCTGCCTTGTTCCATGGCATGTTTGGTCATTCCCCATCATATATGCAATTTATCAGTTGTGTGCTTTTCATCAGATGTCTATTAAAATCACCCAAGGTGTTATACTGAAGAAAATCCGAAAAAAAGGAAGAGACCCTTTGTCAAAGGTACAGTGGGGCTAATACACAAGATTTAAATTGACAAAAAAGATAGGTGCAATTTATATGTGGCTTTCGATTTTTTTTTAAAAAAAATCCAAAAAGGCCAATTTAGAAAGATGTGACAAAATAGTAAAAGATAATGCGAATTATGAGGTATGTTTGAAAAAAAAAAGGATGCTTAATCGTGGCGGTCAGGATCAGCTAATTTATGAACTGTGACGAATTTACCAGGATTGATACCCGTTGCATCTATATAAAAGAAAGGTTAATAGGCTATTTGTTTGTGTGTTTTGTTATATGTTTACCTTGGGGAGTAATCAAAATATATTGTGAAGAATTGTCATGTGCTGCATTCATCTAATATGGAGGGTTAAATAAAGTCTTATTATAGATAAACATCATACTTACAATCATGCTCATGGTTTGTTTACGATTCACAGCATCCATAAACACATCGAATTCATCAAGACTGAAAAAGGATTTAAAAAAAAGGTTAGAGTTATTTCTTTCTATTTTTATCAAGAAAACGTTTACCAGATAAGAGGCGAAGAAATACTTTGCCACAGCGACAATAATAAACTGATTTGTGAAAAGGATTTCTCACCACCGGAAAGAGATCTTGAATCCTTTTGACGTGAGCCCTTTCGATATTGGTCACCGGTGGATACACGAATATCTAGTCTCTTTGTCTGATGATTAAAACGAAGAACACCTTCGTCACCTCTTAAATGAAGATAATAACTAAAATAATGCTTGGCAGCCAATACCATGTAAGCACGGTAATTTTCCCATCTGCGAATACGTTTCTCGAGCATCTCTCTTAAAGCTGCTGACAATGCTTCCATTTCTCTAGAGATCGTCATGGCTTGCTCCCAGGCCAACACGGTTGTCATGGTTAACTCTTCTACCTCTTCCAAAGTGATACCAGCTTCATCTTCGATACGAGAAGCGATACCTTGCAAACGTTTAATTTCCATTTCGATTTCATGGGGTTCTCTTTCGGTATCGACACGATCGGGATAATCCTCTTGACATTCAGCGATCCAGGTACGGACCAGTTGCTCGGCCTCACCTAACATAGTCTTTCGACTTTCAAGACGACTCTTTAATGATTGTTTCTGTGAATAAAATTGTTCCAGCTTGTCTGCGAGTTTTGTCTTGAGTTCATGCAATTTGGCGACTCGTGTACGGTATTCATGCGATATGTTTTCTCGTTCTGCTTCCTTTTTCTCAATGAGACTGGTTTTGTCGAGGATGTGCTTCATTTCATCAAGTAAAGCGACGCGTTGCGCTTTGATGTCTTTAAACTGATTTACATATTGTAAAAGCTTTTCATCGCATTCTTTGATTTCTTCTTCGAATAAGGATAAATCCACGGGATCGTCTTCTTTGAGGTTGTCTTCCTTGTTTTCAATATAGCCATAGAATTTTCTGATTTCCGCTTCGATTTCATTCTCACGGTGTCGACTGGCATTTCGTTTCTTTTCAAGCTCGATATTCTCCGTGGTGAGATCTCGAAGTTTTTTTTCATTCTCAAAGTACTTTTCCTGTAATGATTCCTTGTCTTGTTGGTATTTGCGGATTTGAGAACCGATATCGGTCATAAATCGAGGAAGACCGCTCCAGGGATCAAGCGTTTCTGTCTTCATACCGACACTTCCACCTACTTTATGACCGCCACTAGTGAAACACATCTTGGCATTTCTTGGATGGGTCAACATGACATTGTCTGCTTCTACACGATCTTCAAACAATAAGGCTTTTTCGATATACTGATGCACGATCAATTGGCGTTTAATCCAATCATTCTCAAATTTGATTGCCCTCAGTATGGTCATATACTGTGGGTCTGGTTCACCGGTGGAGTAATCAAAGGCATCATATTCCGAGACATATATAGTTGTATTTTCTAATTTGGCTCTTTTCAAAATGTTAAACAATAAATGTTTATCATGAAAGCATTCGACTACAAATGAGTTCAAGGATTTTTTAAAGAAAGATTCTAGAGTATTGGCAAATTGAGGTTGCAGTAATTTCATGGTGGAACCAAAAGGGCCAGCGGGTTTTCGCATCCTCCAACGTTTTTCACGATCGATGGCGTCCAATACGTGGGGCATATTTGAGCCATAGGCCTTCATACGATTCTGCTGTTGTGCGTTTAAATCGTAAATTTTTTTCGTGCATTGGTCGATGAGATCTCGAGTCTCTTTCGATTCATCTATGACATGTCCTCTTTTCTCTTTGACGGCTTTACTTTGTTCATCGAATTCGTCGTATTGGATGCGAAATTCTTTTGCTTGTTTTCGCTTCGTTTCAATGATTTCTTTGGCTTGGTTGATCTCTTCCAGAATTTCATCACGTTTCACTCGGGTCGAGGCTTCCAATTTATCGGTTTGGACTTTTAAATTGGTTTCTTGTCTGGCTTTGGCGGTTCTTGTACTTTTAATAAGTTCGTTAATATCCATCAGTTCATCCTACAGGAATAAACGTGAGTTTTTTTTTTTTTTCTTACCAATATTCACAAAATAAATTTTTTTTCTTTACCCTAAACCCTCTGTTTTGAATTTCCTTGTCTATTTTTTGTTCTGATAATTGCTTCTTTTCTTCGGCATCGGGATCAGGCACGTTGCGATGATGATCCCATTCCTGATTGACAGCCTCAATTTTTTTGACAACGTCATCAATCTTTGATTTTTGGGTTTCGTATTGCTCTTGCATGTTTTCCAGATTTCTTTCTGCCACGGCGACATCGTGTTTGTATTTCTCGGCGACTTTTTCCTTTAAAATGATTTGAGACCATACCAATTCATTGTTCAACTCATCAATATGTGTGGTGATATCTCTTGCTTCTTTTAAATCCTCATAACGACGTTGTGCTTCATTCGCCTTTTCCTGTAAACCAGGCAATCCTTCCTTTTTACGGTCCAGAGTGGTTTTTGCTGTATCTAAACTTTGACGTACGGTCTCGAAATCGATCTGCATATTTGATAATTGGGTGCCGTTCATGAATAAGCGGTATTTATCTTCTGCCGTACTATCACTGAGAAACTTTCGGGCCATATCCTGAGTCAACATGGTCAAGGGGTTGTTGACGAGGATGCTGAAATGATCAAGAATGGCTATAAGGTCTTCCTTTTTGTGAGAGATGATTTTACCGGAACTGTTTTTGAGTTTATAGGGTGAGGGACCTTCGAGGTTTAATCGACGTTCGATGACAATGATGCCTGGGTACAAGTTGGGTTTATAAGGTCGATCACCGCCGTTGGTAAGGTGAATGGTGATATTTGCTGCACTATGTTTTTTTTTTTAATATCAGTGTATGTACTTGAGTTGGTAAAGATAAAGTGATTTTTACCTCATGCCTTCCTTGATAAAAGAACCCAGGTTTCGACCTCGATTGGTGGAGTTGGCGTTGGCTCCCAATGCGAGTGTAATGGCTGTCAAAATGGCACTTTTTCCACTTCCGTTATGGCCAATGACGAAATTAATCTTTGGTCCTAGATCCACTTTCAAATATTTATGACACATAAAGTTGACTACTTCGACTCTTGCAATGGTACCACCGTCATTGATTTTCTATTTATGTAATTAGACATGTCCCTTCAAAAAAACTGTCATTTTTTTTTTTTTTTTTTTTTTTTTTTTTTTTTTAGTTTTTACCATGTCACTAAAATCAACCGGGTCATTAAGCGAAGTCTCTCCTGAGAGTCTTTGAATGGGTTCTTCTTCTTCTTCTTCTTCGGCAGAGTATATATCTTCGTCTTCTTCTTCAATCACTTCCCGTTCAATTCTTCGGCTCTTTTCCGGTTTGTAGTCCTGTTTTGTTTTTGACAATAGTCTCAGAATAAGGTATTTCATTTTACGTTCTTATGTACATACCACAGGTTCTGGACTATCACGAAAACTGTTGGTTCGTTTCATTGCAGTAGAGGGCATAACTTTGTTTTTTTATATGTAAATGACAGTAAAAAAGAAAAAGAAAAAAAAAAGCGGATTCTCTCTCGCGTCGTTGGAAAAAAGGGGGCGTGTCGTTAGACAGTCCCTTCCGTTTTTAGACTTACGCTACAGTAACGCTTCCGGATCGAAAACAAAATAGGCGCATAAAGCAAACAACATTACGGACAAACATACGAAAATGGGTAAGTATGTACATCATCCTGTTAAACCTCCTATTCAAAACACATTCTGGTACCGCTTTCTTGGCACAAAAATAGATGGCTTGCAGTACACTTGCGAGTCTTAATATTGTATTTATATTCAAGATATGAGCAGTTGCATAGTTGCATACGCACTTTGATCGTCTGCACTAATAGGTTTATTTTTTATAATAAGGTTAAACATTAAAATGTTACATTGAAAATGACGTCTGGTGTGCTTGACGCTGGTATCGGTGAGATGGCTAAAAAAGCTATTCCGGGTAAGCTTTTTAGTGAAAAAGATGAGAATCTTTTCTCTCTCTCACTTTCTTGTTCTTTGTCTTCAGCAAAAAGAATATTTGTTTACGCCTACTTATAGTATAATCCCTTACTTATCTTAATTTACAAGCTAAGTTTTGGAGTTACCTCTTTGAGACTTGGTTGGGTCACAAGTATCACATTCCCTTTAGTTCATATAATGGGCTTGGACGCACACCTGTACACATTGAGATTGAAGGCAAAAAAAATTATATACTCTTGAAGAGGTCTGCGCCTTCTCTTTTTCCGGTACTTCTCCACAAAATCAGCTTTGGAAGGGTATCGAAAACTTGGTTGGGGCCCTGCACAGATTGGAGGTAGCATACAACTGATCCCTATTCACGTATTTCTGTCTTACCTAGTCTATTCATGCATTTTAGGTTATTTTGCTTGGTCCGAAAAGAGTTCACGGAGAAGCAAGGATATTAGATTAGGATCCATGTAACGAGTAGCCATGAACTTACACCGTCGAAAACAGTTCCGTTTCCAGCCATCGATTACCGACATCTTGATCGGTACAAAGTATAACGAATCATTAATAAAATCGTAAATTCAACCAAATAAAATCATTTGAACTACAAAAATTAAACTAAATTCTTCATTATCATCATTTTTTTTTTTCTTTAGCTCCATCATACTGCAATAAAAGATGTGGACTTTTGAGACAAATGTAAAGAACATTCCAGTTATGCAATTTATCAAAACAGTTATGATTACACTTTTTAATGTCATTTTAACTTTATCAGAAGATAAGACTAAAGTTAGAATGAAACAGATCATATTTTATATTTTAATAACTCATACGCCAGAACACTCCTCACAATAAATAGCGTGTTTGGGCTTAACCTTTATTGATCGATATTCTGCTGGAACCTATTCAAGCTTTCAATTTTTGTATATTAGTTGTATCAAACATTCATTACTACAGATTTATCGTTTACTCTTTCTTAAACGTTCTTAAACGTTCTCAATCGTAGTTCTATAAGCTTATTAAAGGCTTACAGCGAAAAAAAAAAAACTGAGTTTTTTTTTTTTTTTTTTTTTTTTTTTTTTTGCTATTATCGATGATTAAAACAAAACTGTTTTTGAAAGCCTAATTTTTTAAGTACTGCTTAATGTCTTCAGAAGTTTGATGTCAACTGTCGAAAAAAGCCTCTTTTACAGCGTTTTGAAAGAGATGAATCAATTTTGTTTGAAGTAAAGCAAAATGAAACAGAATAAAGAATTAATGTGTTCCTAGTATTTACATTTATAATCCTTTATAATGGATCGTGGTATAGAGTGTGAGTAAAATAAAAATTGCGGCTGTTTCATTATCATCCTTTGCATGAAGTTTTCTGCAGTGCGTCTAAACGTAAGCCATAATGTCCTCGAGGCCCAAATGACGACGATTTAGGTTTTTGATTAGTCTTACGACCGACGTTGAAAGCGCCAGTGAGTTATAATCATGTATATTTAGCATGATCAAATTTTAATGCCGAAACTATGAAAACCTAATAAGCAATCAAATGGCTGTCATTTGATTTATAAATAACTAGTATTTAAATGCCATAGAATCCATTATCCCTAAAAATAAAGTATCTTATATTCGCTTTAAGTTACTGTTTTCATAACTAGAAGGGCATACAAATACAAGCAGACATCTATTATCCCATGATATTATATAAAATTCATATAGATGAATGTTATGGGTTCAAATAAAAAATAACATAAATTCAATTTTGTCAAAGACCAATGAAAGCAAGATGTTAGCTTGCTTTAGATCTGCTACTGAAAACTTTTATTTAATTTGTCATTATGAATCACTTTTTTTAATGCATGATTAAACACACCTATAATGCAACTAATCATAAACACTGATAAACACAAGTGTTCGGGTACAGAATTAACAAAAAAAACACGGGTTATTTCATGTATCATATGAACACATATTACGTCAATTTTAAAATAATCACAATTATTAGTGACTTTCCCGGTAACTGATTAAATGGTGTAATAATTCAGATAAATCATGTTTCATGGTTTGTATTAGAAGCAGAAAGTTTCATCTGCATTTATTATCAGCATATAAAATACGGTATCGATCAAGAATTATTTGTATGCATGAATTAATCTGCTTTTGAAAAAAAAAAGCAAATATATGCTAGCTTGATATATGCGAGTTTGTTTAAAGAAACACAATATGCGCTCACGACCCTTACTGTACAGAAAAAACTCTACATTGATGCTTATACTGGTTTCTTCTTTTTATCAACATCTGTATCTGTCAGACATGATTTGTATAATTTTTTTCTTACATTACTATTTTTCAATAGGGGGAGGGGGTTGTACATTAGTTACAAAACGCATAATACATGATACGCTCGTTGAAATAAACTTTAATTATCTTCACTTATAACTCTGCATTACTGATGCCATCTCTTCCATATATAAAAACAAACAAACAAGTACTTTAGACAAACCGTTCTTTTGTCAATCATTTGATCCCGGGTTTTTTTAAGTTGTCAGAAAGAAAAGTTTATTTTTTAATACGAGAGATGGAGAGAAAATAGTACTATAAAAGGTTGAGTACGGAGTACAGTAAATAATTGTGTGTAAGAAAAAAAAAGGGGGGGGGGGAGGGGAATAATAGTGGTAGTAAGAAGAGAAAAATTAATTAGAAGAATTGAGAAGCGAAAGCAGCAACCAAACCAATGGCAGCAACAGCTTGACCGGCTTGTTCCTTGGTAGCCGCTGAAGCAGCATGGGAGGCACTGGCACTGTGAGAAGTTGAGCTGGTACCAGCGGTGGAGGCAGCTGAAGCGGGAGCAGCAGCGTTGTTGGCTGGTGCACTTCCACCACCAGTAGCGGGTGAAGCAGGAGCAGCTGCAGGAACAGAGTTTGCTGTACCCACCGTTGTGTTGGAAGAGCTAGCAGGGTTACCACCAACACCACCTTCAATGGTGAAAGGACCAGCAAAGGCAAGATCAGGTGAATTTCCGAGTTCGAAAGCATCTATAGTTTAAACATTAGCAACCGGTGATAAGATAAGGAAAAAGTGATTGATAAAATACTTACAATCATCAGCATTGTCAATCTCAAAGGGGATCTTCCAGACGTACTTCATGTCTTGAGCATTGACGTTGGTAGCAATTACATGAAGAGGTTGAAGGGCATTTGATTTACCCTTGGCTAAAACAATCTGGGGAATAGTGGCAACACTAGGATTGATCCAAGAAATGATAGCTTCAGAACCTGCCTTGTAACGGGTATTGATCAAAGGAGAGGTAATAGATACAATTGGCTCTGCAGATACAAGAGAAGCAAGATAGGCAGCGGACACAAAAAGAATAGTACCAGTGAATTTCATTGTATATAAAAAAATGGGTTTTTTGTGTACTTGTAGAGGAAAAGGTAAGTATTACTTGATGATATAAAAAAAAAAGGGAAACATAAAAACTGATTGTATTTATATATGAGCTTTTTTGTTTTTTTTAAGGAGAAAATAAACAAGAAGATACATAGGGGATTCTTTTTTTTTTTCGCTTTTTGGGTGATAGAAAAGGGTTACAGAGGGAGAGATTTAGTATATAAGCTTAAACAAAATAGAATCTTAGGGGTGGGTCTAACTATACATGACCGAAATAATAGGTGTAGTGGTCCTCCTTGCAATCATTATTATTATTATATAAACCCCTTTTCCCTATTGGCTACAACATCTTAAATTTATTCGACAGTACAAAAAGTTATAGAGTAATTCGCTTGCCTATTGTTTTATTAGGTTGAATATATAAAAAAGAAGCCCCTCGTATGTGTATATGTATCTCCTATAAGTTTATATATCTATATATACATCTATAAATCTCCCTACAAGCGTTCACAGTGAGAAAAAAAAAGAAGCTCTCTAGTGAGTCGATTGAAAGACTCGGTAGATAATAAAATAATAATAAGCTAAAAAAGAAAAAGATCTTTACATTATCTGTGCGTTTCATTATTATAATGTTATTCAAACCCAAGGAGTTAAAACTATTTAAATATAATTTTATTTTATTTTCATTGCTGTCACAGTTATATTACTGCATAGTAGATCTGTATTATTTATTTATTTTTTTTGCATTCCTTGATATGATATCAATCCCTTTTCCCATTAAACAAAAAGTAAAAGCAATCATTTATTATTATCGGTCCCTCTTTTATTGCAAACAAAACTAGTTTATTCACAGATTGAAACTTTGGCTGTGTATTTTTTTTTCTTGTTAAAAAGTATGTGCGTTAAGAACGATCTGAAAAAAAAGGAGTATCGTCAGAACCATTAAAAAAAAAGACAAGATGGTTCATGCAGAATAAATAGTTTACAATCTATGATGACTAGTACTTGAAGTCACGTTGTCTGTTGCCACCATAATCATAAATATTTACTATTTGCATTGGAATTTGTCGATAAACAGTTGCGAATTATAAGCAGGAGGACTTACCCCCTCCCAGAGAAAAGAGAGAGATAGGAAGGGGTCTTTTCTGAAGACCCCTTTTCAAATCTCTTTAACTTGTTACAAGAAACAATATCCATCTCCTACAGATTCTTTAAAAATAGTTGTTGTCCCTCTTCTTTCTATTTGTAATACACACCATCAACAGCAAAATGTCAAATTTCTTATTTACTTGTTGAGACCCCCTCCCCTTCTCTCCCCTCCTCTCTGACGCGCACGCGCGCGCAGAATCTCTTTTAGTTACACCTTTATATGATCGAGATTTTCTTTTTTCTGTTTCTCGGTAACTAAATTCAAGAATCTCCCTAAGTTTCCCCCCACGTGCAATGGCAGCCCTCATTGGGGAAATGTTGAGGTGTCACATGTGTGATGTTCCATCAAGTTTATACCCGCCAATTTTCTTGTGTGTGCGTCAAGCAGTAAACATATATCCATCTCTCTTTCTTTTCGGTTTTTTGTTTTGTTTTTATTTTATTCTATTTTAGAATGGGGCCTTTTTTGAACAAGAAGAACGTAGAATATAAGCTTTCTATAAACATACTGAAAGCCACATATTTAGAAACAGCGTAAGAAACAAGAATAAAGAAAATCAAAATTCAAATCATGACTAAAATAAGGGTTTCATACCCCCCTACAGTGATAAAAACGGACTTTCTGATCCTTACGCTATTTTGTATATTGAGTAAGATGAATATATCATATACAAAAAAAAAAGAGAAGGTTTTCTCTTATTAACACAGATTTAAGTGGTAAAGAACGGGCAAGAACAGAAGTTAAAAAGGAAACTTTGAATCCGGAATGGTTTGAACGCGTCATTTTTCCGTTGGACATGAAGAAACAAATGCGCTTGATTGAGATATGGGTGTGGGATAAGGATAGATTCAGGGACAAGTGTCGCGACGTTTTCAAAAAGAAGTCGTTTTCGGATGATTTCTTGGGTAAAATTGAAATCCCTGTGGAGAAGTTATTTAAGACGTTCGACCTTTCAAAAAAGGGTGTGGATTTCGAGCAATCCATAGAGTTATCCAAGCCCTTGCTGAAAAATCATGAGGATGATAACGTAAAAGGAGATATTGTACTTGAAGTGGGTATCATCGCTATGGATGGGGACAATGCAGCGTAACTACACAAAAGAAAAAAAAAATAGAAGAAAAAGAGAGAAAGGTACAAAGATTAATGACTCATCAAATAGGTTAGAGAGGTTCTGGGGCAAGTACATTTCCTAAAATAAGCCACTTTGCACCACCTTCCTATTTCATCGAACAAAAGAGCTCCATTGTTCATATAAACGATTGATTATAGTTCAATTACTTACCCAATCTGAACCCCCTACGACCCCCCTTTTTTTTTAATTAATAAAACCAAAAATATGGAAAATAACTTTGAAGTTTTGGGTTTAGAAAATAACGCCCAATCCCCATTAATTTGGCTCATTCATGGCGCTGGTGGTAGTCTCCGTCATTTCGACACTGTTATACCGATCTTGACAGAAGCTGGCTATCGTGTCTTGGTTAATGATGTGCGGTATCATGGTTTATCTCAGCCTCTTGACGGCGCTGAAGGACCCTTCGAATTCACAAGTGTCATTCAAGATATGGACTCAATTTTGCAAAAAGTCAAGCAGAAACATTATCCCGATCATGATATTAACTTATTTCTCGGTGGGCTTTCAATGGGTGGAATCATCTCTTTGTTGTTTGGGTCGGAACATGCCAGTAAATTGGAAAGCGAAAAAGTGAAATTACAAGGTATTATCCTATTAGCATCAGGCATTCCCTACTTGGAAGTACCTCGCCTAGGCTGGGATTTGTTTAAAACGCGTCAAGCAACACCCGAAATGTTAGAGGGTGCTAGATTAGCAGTGATGGCTTCAGCTATTACAGATTATGGTCAGGAACAAGCCAAGTTAGCCATGGAGCAAATGTCACGTCATGCATTGTATGAATGTTTTGTTGCTATTGCAGAAATGTACCCAACACCTGCTACACCACCCAATCCATACAAGCTCTTGACAACGGTCCCCATGTTACTCTTGATACCTGATCAAGATCCTTATACAAGAATTGAAATGGAAGCCTTGCATGCTGTCAATCAACAGGAAGGCGTGCTGTCTATAATTAAGACAGTTGAAAATGCTGGCCATTTAGTGACTTTAGATAAGGGAGATCAAGTGGGTATAGAAATTAGAGAATTTTGTTCCTCTATCTTATAAAGTCTTTTTATTGTGTAATTTCTTTTGTGATTGGGATAACAAGATCGTGCCTGCTAAAATAAAACTGGCACCAATCCACCATCTTAAAGCTAAAGGCTCATTAAATACTAAGTAACCCAAAATTGCCTATATATATATGTCGCGTATTGCTATTTTAATATGTATGTAGCCTTTTTTTATAATGATGATAACTTACGGAAGCACTAAAGTTGACAGCACCATTGACAATGGATACCTGTACAGAAGAAGGGGCTGCATTTAATGCCTTTGTAAAGGTGGTCCACATAATTGAATTACACGCAAATATAAGCGCGAAGCATACACCTCTTGCTACTAAAAACGAGGACTTTTTTTTTTTTTTTTTACAAATATTCATCACGGGTTAGGATATTGCAGTATATACACACAGCGAAGACATACCTTTTCAGGCACAAGGTCCAGTTGATCGGCAATGGAACTGAGAAACAATTCGGTGCGTTCATCTGAAAAAAGCTTTGCAAAAACAGAAGACAAAGCGGCAAAGAAACCCGAGATGATTGCAAAAGGAATAAACGAAGTTGCCATGTGGAAGAAGAAGTAGAGTAAAGACGAATAAAAGAAGGTTACCACCTTTAAAAACGGATCCTAATTGTGACTGGATATTTTCCTGTTTTTCTACCCAAGGTCCACAAAAAAAAAAAAAAAATTCCGTCCAAAGAACGCGTTTTTTCTTTTCTTCTTGTTATTGTTAATCATTAAAGAGTTCTGTATATAATGTCATTTGGTTTTGGTTCAACAGGTATATATATTGAGCTAAAAGATTGCCCTCCTTTTTTTGTTTGTTATTTAAACTAATATGTAGCACCTGCGTTTGGCACACCAGCTAATACAACATCACAGGCAGGCACATTGTTTGGAGCTAACAATAACACCTCTGCTGGAACTTTATTCGGTGCCAATACTAGTAATGCATCAGCAGCAGGCACATTATTTGGTGGTCCTGCAGCAAATACTGGTAAATCTATTGATAATGAACGAGTTATAGAAAAAGGAATGTTGTAGATTAAACATCTTCGTTTTATAAGGATTTGGAGGATTCTCAAAACCAGCAACCACAAGCGCATTTGGAGCAACTACAAGTCAACCTGCAGCAGCACCAGCAACTACTGGATTTGGTGGTTTTGGAGCAAATGCTACTTCCACTGGCAGTGGATTTGGAGGTTTTGGTCAACAATCACAGGCACCTTCAGCTTTCGGCCAGCAATCACAAGCACCTATGGGTTTTGGCCAACAATCACAAGCACCTACAGGTTTTGGTCAGCAATCACAAGCACCCACAGGATTCGGTCAACAAGCGCAGGCACCCACAGGATTCGGTCAACAAACACAGGCAACTACAGGGTTTGGTCAACCTGCAGCAACAAGTACAGGCTTCGGTCAACCCTCGACAGGGTTTGGCCAACCTGCAGCATCGACTGGATTCGGTCAACCCGCTGCTACCGCAGGTTTTGGATTTGGAGCAAAACCTGCTTTTGGAGCAACCACGAATAATTTATTTGGAAATAACCAACAACAACAACAGCAACAACAACAACAGATGGGTGGTGCTCCTGTACAAGAAAAAGTATGGCAAGACCTTGCATTGATTAGAGCACATTTCGATCCTACCTCACCTCTCTGTCAATTTAGAGTAAGTTTTTTTTTTAAAAAAGTGTGAATGATGAATATTTGTATGTGAATTAAGTCATTGTGCGTGTAGCATTACTTTTATAATATGGTACCAACGAACGAAGCACATTTATACGTACGCCCTCAAAATCAAGACGAGAATTTGTGGAATGAAGCTGTTCGTAAAAACCCTGATCCTACATGGTATGATTTTAAAACGGCTGTTTTTTATATTGACGCTGACATCGAGGGTACATTTTTCTCTCTCTTTCATATTAGTTTGGTACCTGTATTAGCAGTGGGTTTTGATGATATTTTAAAGCGTATAGAAATTCAATCCAAGCAAGTCGAAATACATCAAGAAACTTTGAAGGAAACTGCAAACAGATTAGCAACAGTACAACGTCAGTATGATCTCAGTACCTTGGTTAGATTGGAAGAGCACAAACGTCGTCATGCAAATTTGGCGCAACGATTATTAAGAGTAAGTGATCCCCCTTTGTGTGTGTGTGTGTGTGTGTGTGTGTGTAGTTTCTAAAAGGTAATTACGTAGCTTCTTCGATACAGCCAAGTGCTTCGTTATAAAGGGTTCCCATTGAATTCTGATGAGGAACAGGCAATTAAACAATTGAGCAATCTCGTAAGTCAACCAAACCAACCTCCACAACTGGCCGAAAAGATGAATCAATTATATCGTCAACTTCAAGCCATCAAAGCACAAAGATTGAAACAAAATGATCAACCTGATGTTTGGCGTACTGTTAGAGAGAGGGATGCTGCAGAAATTGCTCAGGTAAAAAAAAAATAGTAGGCGTATGTAGACATTTTTGTTAAATTAATTTATAAAAATTCTAGATTTTGGATGATGAACAAAAGGGTATCATGTACGTTACTAGCATGTTAAAATCCGATGCAAAAGAGCTCGAAGTTATAGAAGTGGGATTAAAGGATAACGGCCGTAGTATGAGTTACTGAGAGAAAGAAAATATACACATATAATAAAAGGGATGTTTTACACTTAAAATTCGCTGTGCCAATTTTTTTTCTCTTTTTTCAGACGAATTATAGTGCATCCATCATGTTTGCGAGGATTGATTCTTTTAACTCCTTTTTTTTTACGCGATACAGTTTTATAAGGCTCGCTTTAAAAAGACTTATACAAGAGACGGTCATTCGGAGAGGAAGATTTGATAAAGAATATTGGAGAGACCTGCGGTAACCGACAAGCAAACCGACAATTCATGAAAGCGGAAGAGGCGAACGTTTCTCCCATCTAATCAAAGGAGCTTAAAGACTCAACAACTTTCATAAACATAGTAGTAACACCATGTAACATCTATATGACAAGACTGCTTTTGCTAGTCCAAGATAAGACACAAATAAGTGATATAATTTATCAGTGTCTCAAAGAAACGTCTGTTAGTTATTCTTTCAAAGATCGAAAAATTAGTCATTAGACTTCTTGCTCAATGTTTACAAATCGAGCCGACTGATAACGATCTTTGGGAAATCAGTAACCTTTACCAATTGTTACGGCAGACGAATCACAGAATGCGATTATAGAAAGATTGATGCTTTATTATATCCCATCGATCTATGTTACAAACCAAATCCAAGTCATTGATGCAATATTTAAACTTTTCTGGCTGTTGTGCTTGAGATTATACGTGTATATAGCTATATCATCGTTCTATACTTTGTGTTTAGCTCATTTTTGCAGTCTGATAACTCTACTTTATAAAAAGTATACAATATTTCTTCGATTCCTCAGTGCTCCCCCAAAAACTCACGCTTTGGTTGTTTAAAGCCGCAACAGCAACAACGGTAGGGTTCTTTTAGGAACTTAATTAGACTCAAGCAATAGAGACATACGTACCAGAAAATTGTTAAAGAAGAAAACTTGGATCTGATGAGACACGTTAATAAAGCTATGGGACAACAATAATAAGAATAATGGAGCAAGAAAAATATTCTTAATTTTGTTGTCCTTGACCTTTCCAACTGGTTAAGTGATAAAACTCTGTATAATCACAGTCATATGAGTTGCTGTAGACATTCTTTTTTTTTTTTGGCAGCTCCTTAATCTTTTGGTTTAGTCAATACATTTTTTTTTTTTTTTTTTTTTTTTTTTTTTTTTGCTTTAGATCTTCAGTGGTCTCAACTTCAATTTAAGCTTAACTATTTTTAAAATGGAGGATTTGCCTTTAATGCTTAGCCTTTTCATGTCTGGTAGTTATTCCTTATACATTGAACCATAATCATACATACACACAAACCGGGTAAATATGTGCTTTTAACGATTCTTCTTTGTGCAATGTTTCCTTTTTTTTTTGCAGACTTCTGGGCCCCAGTTAAACATGCTAAGAGAAAGTATATACAAAAGTATATAGATCAATACATTGTATTTTATATAAAGGTGAGAGGCCATTAGTAACCAATTTGCCAGTGACACAACATTGCAGGTAAACAATCAAGTGTGTGAAATTGTTTCAATTGGTTTAAGCTGATGCCAATCCATAAATAAACAAATTCAAACTCAAGATAGTTTCCCACTGAAAATAAAATAACGGCTCGCGAAACGCCCAGGAAGAAACAAGTTGATCTCTTTTATTATTATATGCATTATTCAAAATAAACAGTTGCTTGCATATTTTTTGAAGAACGTTATATCAAATGGCTATGAATGATTGCATTGTCATGTATAAAAGAAAAAAAAAAACTGCTCACATGATAAAAAAAGAATACATACACCCGGTAAATGAACCGGAGTTTTTTTTTTTTTTTTTTTTTTTTTTGATAGGATGGGCGTAACAGTTTCATTAAAAACAGTGATAGGATCCCTCTTAGATTTAAGAAAGGGGGGTTGGGGGAAGATTTAGGAACAAACTACATATCAATTGAATCCATTACAACAAAAACAGTTATTTCAAAGCTGTGATTTTCTAAAAACCGTATGCACAAAGAAAGAAAATCCTGGAGGCAAAAAGAAAATCAGTGTTTATTTTCTTGATTTTCTTCTCATATGGGGAAAAAATATTCTAGGCTCACTTAAAAATCAAATTAGATGCTCCTTTTATTTTTAACAAAGTGCTACAATGGTTAGTGAAACACTGCAAAATCATATGAGCCGTCTTGTGTTAAAAAAATTATCACAGCCTTCAAAAACAACAAAACAATCGGGCTAAACAAGAAAAGAATTCATAATTCCCAATTGATTATCATGATTTAATTTTAAATAAATAAAATTCATTGTATACGTTGGTCTTTCAAGTTTAAGTTTTCCCGATCGCAGATTGAATAGCTGTTTTTTATTGTTGCAGATCATTTCTGGTAAGTGCACATAAATATTCCCCTTGTGTACTTTGATTGGATTCAAGCGTAATATGTATAAAATAGGCTAGAAGACACAGTTTTTTTATTATTATTATTGTTTTGGGGCTTTGTAAGCTCAGTGCATAACAATAATCAAATGATATCGTAGAATGGAACAAATAACGCTATAAATAATTACAAATTGTTCAGCCAGCCACGGTTTAAGAAAAGCTGAGTTGAGTTTGTAAGTAATATTGGCTGATTACACTTCATCAAATAGAAATAATAGAATTTGTACAAGGATAATTATAATATTAGGTAACAAATTGATTATATTTAGATGGAGAAGAAGGGGAAAGAATTAAGGAGAACATTTAACCTAGCGTGTGTGCTACTGTTAAAATTCTGTTGTATAAAACGGCTATTTTAATTTTTTTTTATTTGTTTATTTATATTTCTTTTTTTTTATATTTCTTAAACTATCGTGTAGATCTTATGAAATCCTTGTCAATCATCGCCAGTCTTGCACTTCTTATTAGTAGCGTTGTCGCTCAAGAAGGTGCCACAGTGCCTGTCACCACTTCAGCTCCATCAACTTATACCTGTGATCCCAACACTTGTAAAATTGAAAACAATTGTCTTTGTGCATCTACTTCCGCTCCTGGTGGACTCTCTCCTGCCGATACACCCCAGGTAAACAGTAACCTCCTACTCTCCTCCACCAGTATTTCTACTAACCAAAATATCCAAAACAGTTCGTTACAGTCACTTATGATGATTCCATCCAAGAAGCTTTAATGGCAACAGCTCTTGGTATGGTCAATGTAACGTAAGTTTTGTTATTTATAGTTTGACTAACAGCTTAGTAATTTCCACAACCCAAACTAATTTCGTTTTTTTTAAATACAGTAATCCAAATGGCTGTCCTGGTCACGGTACCTGGTAAGTTTTTGAAAAAACGTTTTTTTTTTATTTATTTCCACTTTTGGGTTTATTACCAAAAATATTAACAAGTGTTTTCTGAAAGGTTTGTCTCGATGCAATATACAGACTTCTCATTGGTCCAACAGTGGTATGCCGCTGGTAACGAAGTCGCAGAGTAAAATAAGCTTTTTTTTAAAATTACAATCGTGTCACCAAGCAAGAAAGCTAATTTTTTTTCTTGTGCAACTCTAGTCATACATTTTCTCATGTCGGTACCCCTTCTGCTGAAGAAATCTCTAGTGTTAAAGAAATGTTGAATGCTTATGCTGGTATTCCTTACAGCAAGATCCAAGGTTTCCGTGCCCCTTTCTTAAACTATACCAAGGATACTTTAGGTCTTGTTAGTCAACAAGGTTTCAAATACGATTCTACCGCAAGTGCTGTCACGGATGACATGTACTGGCCTTATACTTTGGACAATGGTTTGGCTAATGATTGTTGGACCGGTATTTGTGCTGCTGGACAAGTGAAGTTACCTGGACTTTGGGAAATTCCTATGTATTCTGTACTTGATAAGGCCAACGTGCCTCAATTGATGGATGTCTATTTAGCCGGCACACCCGCAGATACCACACAATGTAAGATTATTTTTTTATATAATCATTCGATTACCCTTAATATTTAACTCGCTATTTTTAGGGAGTCAAGCGGCGTTTGATAAACACTACAATGGAAACCGTCAACCATTCGGAATTTATGTTCATCCTAGTAAGTTGATTTGTCAGTTGTCTAAAAAAGGTGGATATTTTTAACCATTTTTTATTTATAGCACATTTAACTACCTATCCCGGTGGAGTAGATGACCCCAAAGAAAAGTTCAACGCAGTGATTGATTTCATTAAGTCATTGGCTGCTAAGCCAGACGTTTGGTTTGTGACCAACCAACAATTGCTTGAATATATGAAGAAACCTGTCAAGGCTTCTGAACTTGGATCACAAACTTACATGCAATGTCAACAACCTGTCATTGCTCAAGACATTTGTAACGGTCTCGATGATGACCATAATGGTGTCATTGATAATGGATTAATCAACAGGTAATTGTTATATCCTAACGTGGATAGGAAGCACAACATATCATTTAACACAAATTTCATTTTAATATAGTTGTAACTTTGGTACCACCAGTATGAAAACCTGTTTCAATTGTCCTGCTACTGCGCCTTCTTTATCTAATCCTGTTCCTGCATCTGCTGCTCAAAATGGTACCGCTGGATACCGTAACCGTATTGGAGACAATTGCGAGTAAGTTATTATGGTGCATCAACAGGTTTGATTTTTGTTTATACTAAATGACCTTGTTTATAGTACCACCTGGTGGGACCCCATTGGAAATAAGTGTCTCTGTACCACTGCTGATTGTGAAGTAAAGAGTGTAGCAGTTCCTAAATCAGAAACCCCATCTACCACAAACTCTACTTCAGTTACCCCAGGCGATGCAGTCAAAGATAATGGTGCGGCTCAAATTGCCGGTGTATCTACCGCTGTCATGGCTGCGCTCTTTGTTGGACTCAGCCAACTTTTATAACCTTTTTTTTTTTACTCTCTCCCTTTTTATTTAAAAAACAATAATTTATACTAGATTATAATTATAATATGTACGCAGCTTTTTTTTTCTCTCCATTTTCCGAAATAATACCACCTTCTTCCCCATCAAATAAAATATATCTATTATTTTCTGTAAATCTTCATGTGAATAACGAGTTTCAAATCTGTGCCTTGTTGTGACACAAATAATTTATGTCTCATATAACTTCCATGGGCTGATCCAAGATTGTGCTAATCATATTCTTTTTTTTATATTATTGTTCTAAAACAAACTTTGGTAAACATAAATCGCGAATTTAAAAAGAAAATTCTGTTTTTTTTTAAAAAAAAAAAGCAAACATTCGGCTTTGTTGTGTAATGGCTTTGACTAGCACATATGACAAGAACAACTCACGATGCCGTTGTTTTTAAAGCTTAAGCACCAAATATTTTGAGATACGTCGAGTGACACACTGTGTTGCCCGACCCATAAGTTAGATACGCTTCGCCATTAAATAACTTTAACTCGTTTATCTCTCACAAGCCAAGCCTAAATTTTTACATTAAACGAAAGGAGCGTTTTCTTTAGGGATACACGTTTGGTGTTATATACAACTATTTGTTAAATTCAACGGCCATTAGAATTCCGTTGCATCAGAACCCTTATAGCGCTAAATCAAATTATAATTTAATATCTGGCCGCCATTTATTTATAGTTTCAAGTCAATCATGCAATCTTTGGTATAGTCGAAGCTGTGCGGAAACATACATGTTTATGTCAATATTAAACGCAAGAAAAATGTTATTACCATACTAAGGCCTCAAACAGATACGTTATAAAAGTCCGTTTTACTTTATGCAAGATATTCGTTGACGCGTCTTTTAATAATACTTTTGACTTCTGGGTAAATGAGACCATTATAAAGCAAAAGTACAACTTGGTCGCTTACATTGAGCTTGCCATCTAAGCTCAATCAACACAAGCTTTGGCTTTGACAACTTGTTTTTTTAGGGGAATCTTATTAAATCAAAGGCTTTGATAACATTTAAATTCGGTCACCGGACAAATAGACGGCCCCTCCCCCCTTTTTTTTTTGGTATACTGTCAACTGAAAACCAAATTATTGATTTATATCTTCCTTTTTTATTACATTGCTTTAACGTCAGTTTAATTTTTACAAAGAGTTGGCTACTTTTTGTTTGATCTCTAAAATTGTGTTTAAAAATTCTGCGTCACTGTCGAATAAGTTAGAAAAAATGTGGGTAAAAATGAGGCCATAATCACTTACTTTCTATTATCCGAATTGGCTGAGGAAAGGTTAAAGATACCAGCCATCATTTGCTCAGCAACGGCTTGAGTAACATTGGGAGGGAAATCACGCAAGATATGCAGACACTTGAGAATCTCATCCAACATGACGTTCTGTGATGCGCTACAAATACAAAGTCGTAATAAACCTACTACAGTACGCTCCACCACTAACACACTTTGCTTATCTGCAAATTCAAGAATACCAAAAATGTATTCGGTTGCATAAGGCCTAGATAAATAAAATGGAGGTGGTTTAGCCAACTTACAAAATCCCCGTCACACAAAGGTTTAAAACAATTTACCATAATTCATCAATTCTATCTGCATTACGGACTGTTATAGTAATCATAAATTCCAAGAACAAAACAGTGGCTGGATCATATGGGATCGTAATGGTTGCCTTTTTCATTACTTCGGTGTCATAGCCAACTGACCGAATTGCAGTCAATAAACACTTCAGAGTGTCTGTCTGCAAGGAACTGATATCCGTGAATAATTCTTCTAATTTGCAAGCAGCAACGCAATCCACGGCACACATTGTACTTTCTACCTCTTCTTCTGTAGGATCACGACAATAGGTTTCGTCATTTGAATAAGGTGATAGTAAATATGAGGATAAAGTGGATAAAAGTGAGCCATCACGACGGCTCGCTTGCTTTGTAGGTTTAGGACTCTTGGGCTTCAAGGGAATACTTGTTGTACCAGACAAAAAATCTTCCACTTGTAACATAGAACTGGGTAAAAGAGAGTTTAAGAACAAGTTACGGATAATCTGAAGGACCTTGAGCCACCCTTTACGAAGTGAATCACCATGTCTTGTCACAATGGCAAACATAACAACTGCCGCTAATTGTCCTTTATAATTACGGCCGAATCGGACTGCCAACTTACTTACAACGTATTTTTGACCTGCTACATCGACAATGGGATCTGGCACGGTAGCGTTACCGGTGCCGTTTTCTAATAGACCAGTCATGGTGGCAAGATTAACCACAATACTATCAAAGACATCGTAAAGCTCGAAATGAGCAGCTAAACTAGCACAATGACGGAACCCAGTAATCGCCTTTTGAAGGGTATCATCATCTTGTGCTGTACTAAATACATAGGAGATAGCAGCCACCACGGGTTTCCAAGATAATTCAAACACAGCTTTATCATAGCATGATGTATCACACTGAACAAAATATCCACTGCTAGCGGAACGTTGTTGAAGTTGTTTCCAAGCATAATTAAAGCCCATCAAACCATCATGTTCTTCGGGCATGAGAATTTCATCTTGTTGGATGTGTTCAAAGATTAAACGCAGATATTCTCGAGGAAAATCATCATTGTTATTCACACCACGTACATTACGCACATATTGATCCAATGACATTCTAGCTTGACGTCCGATTTGAGGATTGTGTTGATCTGTATTCAACATGATGACTGAATAAGCCAAGATCTGGGCTGCATCGATATTGTAAATCTCTTTGGGCCCGGACTCGAAGTATGCTTCAGCAAAGGTATCGGTAACACGCATAATTTGTTGAGACTCTCCTGGCAAACGGAAAGTTTCAAGTACCATACGGAAAGCTTCATCCATACGTTTACCCACAAAATCAAATTGACGCATGTATACCTTAAGAGTATCAAAATTTTCGGGTCTACCCAAAAATTCACCCAAACTCTTCTTATCTAATTGTTGTGTGGATCTTAAAAAGTTGGAGAGACTGGCATCGTTGTTTCCGTGTTCGTCAGGTTGAATGATTCCTTGCTCAATAAGGAACTTGATACCTTTCTTGGGTGATTCGTTGAATAAACTGGATCCCTTTAAAATAATTCTCTTTCTTGCTTTACGTTCTAATAGTTCTTCTACACTGGTTAATTCCTAAGCAGAACATTAGTATAACCTAAATTTATATACATTATTGTTGAAATAAAAGGAGCCAGCCTACTCCATTTACTCTTTCTTACACATACAACATAGTCATCATCGGAATACTATTATAAAGTTTAGTATCATGCCCGGCTTTTTTTAGAAGAAACAAATCATGTGTTCTGTTTACCTCGGTATTAACACGCTCCACCATTTGTCCAATGAACATTAATAACGTATCCAAACAAAGTACATGCGAGTTCATAATGGAGTAGCTTTGATGATCAGGAAACGAGTTCTATCACCACACAAATAAGATGTCTATATTTCATAATTTGTAACGATTTTCCTTTTTTTTTACCTTGCTTAAAAATTGGATCAAATTCTCGAATAGATCGCCGCATGTTAGATCACAATCATAATTGTACCACAAATCGACCATAAAGGTGGGCATACGAGCAAACTGTAAAAGACTTTCCAATAATAACTCACGAACCTCTGCAGTGATGGCCATCTGTTCGGAGGTAGAGTAGTTTTTATTTTGTCTGGGGTAATCTGTAGACTTTCCTAGAAACATGTTGGGTGAACCACTTCGGATATCCACCTTGCCTGCTCTTGGATCCGCATCGCTTCGGGATGATACAAATGTGACTTTTCCTTCATCATCTACATCCACTGATACACCACGACTACCTGCACCGGACGTAGGTGACAATCGCTCGATCAAGAAAAAGATGAATAACTCCTGTTGTAATTTCAAATAAGGTCGCATCGTATCAAAAACGGTGGTAATCACACGAAGAGACAATGCTAATAAAGGTGTCGAATCTGTCTTTGCTAATTGGAAAACATAACGACAGAAATCGTCCGTCACTAAAGATCGTAATGTCTCGAATCGTCCAATACTCTTTCCTCCTACTTCAAACGCTACATTAAGAATACTAAGTGCCATTAATCGCATGGAGTCCGTGTGCTTGTGTTCATGAGGATTTAATAAAGAGATTAAAACTCGAAGTAATTCTCGGATGGCAGGTAATCCATACGCTCTTAACGGTGCAGGTTCAACGGCTTTTTTTTTTGAAATACAAAATTAAATTAATCATAGTTTTTTATGTATGTGACGAAAAAGATTACCTGCAGGACTTTCGACAATAGGCTCTTCCATTTTAGGAGATTCAGTTAATACAACGTCTTTCTCAGCATCAGTTGATTGCTCTTCTGTGCTCTGTAAAGTAGGTGAGGGCGATGGCTTCGGTGTACTCATATGAGGATCAGCTGGCTCTTCAGTAGCGTCGTTAGGTGTGTCTACAAATAACCATTCGTCTTCCAAACATTTTAATCGCTCAAAGATGGCGATGACCATGTTGATCATGACATGTTCAGCAGATCGTCTCAACATTTCTAACAAAAGAAAAATTAAACTTTATCACTATTAGAGATTTTACTTTTTAATCTTACCACTGAGTCGCATTTGGCAGCACATGCTAAGACCGGTCTCCATCATTTCACATACAGCTTCGTCACTCAATACTTGGCCACACTCACTTGTAATAGCCATTTGAAGCACTTGAAGCATTCGAAGCAGAACAAGTTCATCTGAAGCAGCATCAGAAGCTTCAAACTTACAATGTGTTGCAGCAGAAGATAATGCATTCATAGCCACGGATACTCTTGGATTGTGAACACCTATGATTACGAGTTTAGGTGATCAAGAATGATGTGTAGTACGTTTTTGTTTACACAATCTTACCAATGATACCGTAGTGCAATAATTTTTCTACGCTACCCAATGCAGTACCAGCAATGGGACCTGTTGTGTTGCCAGATCGAATTACTTCCAGGAACGGATTTAATAAAGTGACAGCATCGACATCCCTTACATCTACTACTTTATAGTTATTATTAGTGCACGTTGTTTATCGTAAAAAATAAATAAAAAACAGTGACAATACCGTTCACATTCTCCAAAAATGATCTCAGGTTATCAAATCCTTCCATTAAAGGGTTCTCCTAAATATGAATTTTTTTTTAGTAAAAGCTCGATTCGGGAATCACTTTCCTATAAACAAACCTCTTTGGTATTTAAATCCTTTGCATGCATTTGAGCACTACGTAAACCCATACTATTGCCTAAACCTCCCATCCTAAGCCCGTTTACGCCCATACCAGACCAACGTGCATTTTTGCGCATAGCACTTGTAACAGCTAAAATACAAACCACCTGTAAGTCCAAATTTTATTCTTATCCGTGTGAAACTTACCAATGATTTCAGCATGAACTAGTTGTGACCAAGTGAGTTCTGATTTGATTTTGGTAGGATGGCTTTCTGGAACTTTTGAAATTTGGCCATCTATTGGTGATGTAATTGCAGATCTAGAAGTGTCTGCAGTCATGGAGAAGGGCTGTGTCGAATAAGTTGAAACCATGAGATGAAACTCTTATTAAATTAGAGAAAAAAAAAGAAAAGAAAAACACCCAAATTAAATAAGGGAACAAAAAATGCAGAGTAAAACAAGTGTTCCTATTAAAAGCCAGCACATATTATTTATTCACTTGAATGTTGATTGGCGCATCCGTGCTTGAAATATGAATAGGGCCAGGACAATCATTCAACAAGTCATTTGCCTGTTGTAGATAAGTAGGTGTTGGTTGATACCATTCTTGATTTAAAGTATTCAGTATGTCCCCAAACAGAACACCGCTTTTAACAATCACACGACACAACGTATTAATCATTTGATCTTTACTTTCAATCCTTGGTCGAATCTCAACCTTGACTTTTTCATTTTGAAAATCAGTTTGAACAAATGATTTGAAATAACTTAGCACGGATTGATCTGGATCAGAATACGTTAATAAATCAATCACTAGTTCCGTATGTGTATTGAAAGATGTAGGTCTTCCTGAGGAGAAAATAGCATTCTCTAACTGGATATCGCCATGGTTCTTCAACCAGTCAAGAATATCAGGTCTTGTACCATAGAATACCCATCGATTGGTATTTTCCGTACAGGATAATGTGATTTTATTGTTCAAGCGAGGTGGTGTAACTACTCTTACTCCATTACCATCAACATCTATACATTCCGTTAGCCTTATTTTATGTTCCATATTCTTTTTCAACACTTGCCAATCTCGTAACCATACGTAAGTGTCATTTCAGTATATGAGGGATAAAAATTAAAGAATAAAAAAACAGGTGTGAATAAAATTCCTGGTGGGATCACTTTTTTTTTATTTAGCTGGTACCACCTGATTTTGGGGTGATACAAAATCAACCGTCAACGTTATTCCAGCGTTCCTTTACTATTACAAGTACTTGTATTTCTTTCATTTAATAAATCAAAGTCTGAACTTTTGCTAAGATTTACTTATAACCTATTGATATACCCGGCCTGACACCGTATAGTAAGGTGTTCACTTCTTGGCTAGTCGAAAACATAGCAACTTTACAAGGGACGTGGAATAAGTTTTGGGTATACATTTATATATAAAACAGTGTGCACCTTGTTTAAATTGAAAAAAAAAACGACAAACCCCCCCCCCCCTAATATAGAGTATATTATGTAATCTTGAACCTCCCTTTGCTGCTATAAACAGCCACAGCGAACATAGGAACGAGTTTTTCTTTTTTTTAAGTGGCAATTGGTCTTGGTCAAGACGATGCATAGTGGTTACATGGCTATTTTTAGATACCCTATCTTCAGTTTGTATAAATACTTTTACCGGAGGTGCTATGATTGGCGATACGGTTTGGTATTGGCTGGACATACTTTCTATATTATTACAGCTACAAAAAAAAAGTGATTTCGCTGATTCTAAAGTTAGAATGACTACAAACATTTGTTGCATGAAGTGCTTTTCATCTAGAAATATGCATCATTACAATGTGCTTTCCAGATGCACAAACAAGAGGCGACGTCAATCTGTTTGTTTATAGTGAAGAAATGTTTTTTTTGGGCGTTTTTTCTTTCTTTCTTTCCTTCTTCTTCGTGCCAAAAGTCTTCATTGGGGGTGAGACCTTGGTGTTTGTACTTGAAGTCACACAGCACCACTTGCGTTCCAGGATAGTTGCTTCGTCAAGGTATTTCGTCATCGTGTGCCACTTTGGGGTGATTGTTGTCTAGGCATTTCGTCACTGGGTGCTTTTGGATGATTCCCAAGATGCCAGGTTTCGTGGCTTTTTTTGCTGGGATACTGGACGATTATGATTAGTTTCTGGGTAACGTCACCTTCCCCACTCGGTATATGTAGAGAACGATCTGGGGGTTTTGAACGGTCTGGGGGATTATTTAACGAGCTACTGAAGGTGAATTCAACTTCACTTTTACCGTTTGAAGCATATTTCAGGTGCCCTAGCTTAAGAGCGGAAGTTGTCTATGGTGATACGAAAGCAACATTCTACTTGCCGGTTGTGCACTCCTGAGTTTGGAAGAAATGGGTCCCTCGTCGTGTAAGTCGGAATTGGTCAATGAATAAGTGAAACCCCAAGGGGTAGAACGTTCATAGATTGAGAACATGGTGTTTTGACCTCCTTGTGATACACGGGAGTCCTTTTTGAGAGCCATCAAACTAATAAAAAGTGGGTGAGTGCACACGGAGACTGACTTCCTCGCAGTTGCACTTGGGCAGTTTTCTCTTATTGAAACTGGCTAGCGAGCCTCCATTTTTTTTTTTGTAATAATAATAAAAACCACATTGTCTTTTTCTAATGTCTGTCTTAATGTAAATGTCTTGTATTTGTGTGATGGAGAAATGGTCTTTGGGATCTTTGCTTGTAAGTGGAGTATGTTATGAACATACCGACCATTCATGCTGTGCAAACTTAAAAAGTTGGTGGCATCTTTATTTAGAATAGACAGTTTGTAAATACAATTGAAACAACCAAAACAAGGTTGTGGTAGAATTTTAAACCTTTTTTCTCTCTCATTTTCTTCTAAAAGTTGTACACGATGAGTATAATGTTGGAGGTAAAATATAACTTTTACTCATTCTGACAATGAGAATCAAGAGGAATTTGTCAGTATGGTTTCGACTTATTTAAGCGTGGATAAGAAGCGAGATGAAGATTTGGTTGATATGGATGAACCAAATCGCACAGAGCATGGCTACCAATATCTGGGCGGATGAGCGTTTATTGGTAGCTGCTGTTTGTATTTGTTACACGTATGATTCATTTTTGAAGACGTACGTTGTCACAGATCGAGATAGTAGCGTCGTGGTGACAAAGGAATCTTCATATAGATATTTATCAAAATAGAAAAGAGTTCAGTAAATAAACGACATTGGGTACAATATAATAAAAGCTGATTCATGAAACCAGAAGTTTACACTTGAAATTGTATATTATCAGGCATGTATATCTTTCTTAAATTATTAAGTCATCCATGCCATTCCGAGTTCTTTATTAAAGATATGCTTCGTCTTAAGATGTCCGTGTTCCTATATTTGATAGCTTTGCATAATATTTTTGTCTATTTTTATAATAATGCAGACGAATTTAGATATATGTAACTTAAAGAATAAGGTTGAAAAAGCTTTACCAAATTAAAAATATGTTTTGGCAGTAGTCAGATCTACTATTAAAAAAAAAAAAGGATAAATGAAACTGTAGATTTGCAATTGTCAAAGAAGCCATGGGGCTTCGCTGTTGTTTAATACTATGAACGATTACATTCAATCCAACGTTAGAACACACTGCATTGATTTTCTATGCATTTTGAGTGATGCTTTAGTCTCACGTTCATCTTAGTATCGAACAAAATCTCAATTACAATATATATATCTCCAAGTTAAATGCTATCTACTTACCACTTGAAATTTTTCTAAATATTTACTCAGTTTGAAACGTTGACACGGGTTAACTTTCAGGATTGTGGAACATTCGTTGTCATTGTTAGTCATTTATCAATGTGGGGTTTTTTGTATTATAATTCCGCAATTTCTACAAGTGAAAGTAACGTCGAAAAAGATGTCATGACTAATAATGTACCTGTAGGCTTTCTTTGATGTAGTGTAGTAGCACAAAGTGACATGAGCCACCGAGTGGCACACAACGTTTTGAATTTATTTTATTTTTAAACAATCTCCTTTTCTTTTTGCCATTCGTCAGTCTTTCTACGTGTTACTTTCACGTCAAATTTTTCGAAATCCAAAGAAGTCACCGCGTCAAAAGCAATATCATAGATTATCAATGACCACTCGAAGAAAGCGTACGTCGTGTAAGCTAAATATAGATAAAATTATCAGTGTGCTTACATAAAAATCTAATATAATAACTTCACCTCCTGGAATGCGGTGGATTTTATGTTGCACAAAGTAATAAATCATGGGAGGCAAGGTTCCAAAAAATAAAGTTGTTAGATATTTTCTTCGCTTTACCGAGATGTGGTTTTTGGGTGATGTGTATAATACACCCAGTTGCCAAGGTAAAGTACATAATACATAGATAATCATAGCAATATTGTGGATACGATGATCGTCTGTTGACGTAATGAAAACCCAGCCACCACAAGCAATATTACGAATAAGACCTATTGACAACAAGGTTTTGCTGGATTGATTAGAACAAACATACCATAAAAGTACAAGCGCAAATCGAGGGCCTGCAGTCAACGCAATCAAGATTTGAAATAATGCACGCGCCGGGTAACGATCTCCAGTTGTTGCACTTACACTGGGAAACCATTCCTTTGTTTATTGTACGACCGCAATTAAAAAATCAGATAAGAAGGTAACTGTCTTTTCCTTATTTTTACCTCAGGATATCCAAAGTATTCATTTTGTACAATCTTGTGATAATGTGTATAACAACCAACCACTAATGCAACTAAAAATGCACCTAGAATGACTTATTAGAACGACCATATTATTAAATCGTGTATTTACTTACTAGAAGCGCATACTGTATGCAAATACGTAATGTACCTTGCAGGGATCTTGAATGCTGAAATGAGTAATGGTTAAGTGTTTGATCTAGTTGGGATCCTTGCCTGGGCTACAGTATATTTTTGGGGTCGAGTGTTCATTTAAATTTCAAAAAAAAAAAAAAAAAAGGAGGGAATAAAGGTAACAAATAGCAAGGGGTATATTTCCAAATATGCGGTTATACCGTGTAACATTTGAAAAGCTGTGCATTGTAAGCCCCATGAATGCCTTGGCTAGCAATCAAATGAACAATGAAAATACTTATAGAAAATGACCTATTTAAGATCAGTAGCCTTCGTCATTATTTAATTGATACGAAAAAAATAATAACGTGTTGTGCCTGTCAACAGCGCATGTGGTTTGGCATTGGTTCGTGAGAATGTATCGTTGACACTTTGTAATAATAAATGGGATGACTCCATTGTAATACCTACCCTCTTTTTCCGTTGTGTAGCAATAGATGTTATCGCGGTGATAGGGAGATAAATAAAATTAATTTTTTTTTCATCGTTGACCTGGCTATTAGTCATAGACAATAAGATCATCAGAAAGATCAAAACATCAACTTCTGCGTAAACAAGCTGCCGTTCCTGGGCCCACATCTCATCAGTTTAAAAGAGATTGAAGTGGCGACGTATCTTACCGACTGGCAAGTATCATAGGATGAAATAATGGGGTTTAAGTATCATTTCCTGTCAAACAACAACAAAATAACATGATTAAATTCACCTCGGATAGAAGGAGTTAAATCTACCTTGAGTGTTTCTATCCAGCTAAACACTCTACGGATTCTGACTTTAAAATGTCCCGAGATTACCTGCAAGAGGATATAAATTAAAAAATAGTGTGGGTCCCTTCTTCCTTCTTTCTTTTGATACACAAAAATTAAAATGATGGAACATTTCCCAACTATGAGACCATTGGAATATTATGACGTTTCTATTGAAACGGGCTTTTTGCCATCTACACCACCTCTTCGTAGATTACCTGATGCTTATTTTGAACCTTGGGAGGATATGATGGAAGACTATAATGGATTGCTTTTGGCTGGTAAATTAAGAGAGAAGATCCATAAGGTAAAACCAGGTTGTTTCACAGATTAGAAAGTAAGAAATTAATAAATCGCAGATGCCTTTATTGGATCACAAACGATTAAAATCTGTTGAGGAATATAGAAGAGCATTTTTGATCCTCTGTATGGTTTCGCATAGTTATGTTTGGGGTAAACATGAACCTGCATCAGAGGTAAGGCAGAAATTGAAAACATTAAAAAAGTTTTCTTTATTTAGCCTCATTTTTCCCACGTTAGACACTTCCGTCTAATTTAGCAATTCCTTGGACTGCTATAGCAGGCCATCTTGGTCTTTGTCCCGTGGTCTGTCACGCAGCTGTGGTGCTCTGGAACTATCGATTACTAGATCGTGATGGCCCTACCGATTTAAGGTAAAACAAGGATCAATTTGCATGAATGTTTTAATTCATTGGTTCGCAGTAATCTAGCTGCATTAGCCACCTACTCAGGCTCCTTGGATGAAGCCTGGTTTTACCTTATCACCACAGCTATTGAAAGTTCTGGTGCTCCTTGTCTATCACAAATAACCCTTGCGATTGAAAATATTCGCTCCGAGAACTATGACGATTTGCTAAGCAACTTTCAAGTGATTAAGTCATCCTTAGAAAAGATGAATAATGATTTAGCCCGAATGTATGAGAAATGTGACCCGTACGTATTTTATTGGAAAATTAGACCTTATTTAGCAGGCTGGGAGAACATGGCCGAAGCTGGTTTACCATTAGGCCTTATATATGAAGGTGTTGAGTCGTTTTGGTCTGCCCAAACTGATGAATATGCTGATATGTCTCATCTTGATGAAGCTGAAAGACTTTTGAACCAGTATAGACGTTACGCTGGTGGCAGCGCAGCACAAAGTAGTTTAATTGCTGCACTTGATGTTGCATTTGGTGTGGAGCATCACCGAACCGGTGAGAAGCCTTCTTTTATCAAGGCATCAGAATTGCCCAATGACCGTTATACAAAATTACCTGCTACCAATCCTGCTGACGACATTAAGAACCCAACAGAAGCATCTCGTACACCACCTCACTTCAAACGAACAAATAAAAATACCTTCTTGAGAGCGATGCGTAAATACATGCCTAAACCTCATCGTGAATTCCTTGAAGACCTGGAAGAAGCCTCCAACATTCGACCATTCATGCTTTTGTTACAAGAACAACACAAGAACGGAAATATATCACCACAAGAACTATCTATCATTGACGCTTACAATGACTGTTTATTACAAATGAAATTGTTTCGTGACAAACATGTACAGATTGTTACATTATATATCGTAAATCAGGCACGTAAAGGACCCAATATTCCCCATGGTGGATTTGCTATTGAAAAGAAACAGGCAACGGAGCCAGAGACTGGGTTTATTAATGAAAATAAGCAGGCGACCAAAGGGGAAGCTGGCCATAATGAACTTTATCCCCAAACACAATTAGAAACGGCGCCCACTATCCGCAAAGATTCAAAGACGGATAAGGTTTATCAAAAATTTCCACAATTAGGTCTTGCCAGAAAGCTGGATGCCAATGCCAAAGTTGTACGTGGAACGGGTGGAACAAATGTGATGCCCTTTTTGAAGCAGTCCCGTGATGAAACTGCTGACATGAAGATTGTACTGGATCCAAAGAAGGAAGAGAAGTCTTGGTCTGATTGGGTTCTCCGTCGTTAAAAATTCTGTACATTACCTCATATCTAAATGTGTATACATATATTTGCTTTTTTTTTTTTTAAAAAAAATGATAAACTTTATTACAATTAACTGGTTGAAAAATGATAAGATACAGTATGTTGATTTGTATTCACTACATCTAAAGGAGACGAACCATCAAATTCCCAATCAGGAACTCTTGGTTTTAGTTCTTGCCGGGTTACATCATCCATGATTGGATCTGGTCCTCGGTTTTGCGCTTGTTCATTCAACGCGATTTTGATTTTTGTATACTGTGAAACATCAATTCTACTTGAGTTATTCGTAAAGATGTACAGATCCAGGATTTGTTGTGCGACATCTATCCTTATAAGTTAGCTTTGTCCTAGAATTAACTCTGATCCACCCGGAGATGATTTACCTTCGATATCCTCCATACGAGATAAAAAGTATTGATCCCAAGGCTCTGATTCTGGTAACTCTTGAAATGTAGCGTCTTGCTCCTTTAACAAACGCGAAGCTAAATAAATACAACCAGCAGCTATAGTATGAGCAGGATATTCTACACAGAGTATAGTTTTAAAACTGTCGACAGCCAGCTGGTATGCCTTCTTGGCTAATCTTTTACTATCTAATGACTGTTGAAAAGCTATACAAGAATTAAATTTTTGATTATAGATCTTAATAGTAAAACACACCTTGTATCCATTTAATAAACTTGATCACATACTCAAACGGATGCCTTAGTTGAAAATCGAAGCAAAGGGTTTCCAATAACATTTTTTCATAACCAATAATTTTACGTCTACGTTCCTCTGAGACCTGTTCAGGTTCTAATTCTTTACTGTCGGGGTATTTAACACTGTGCACTGCAACCAAGATGTCTTTTAATTTTTTGGTGGTCTCCTCTATTTTCGATGCGACAAATATACATGTCACACTAATATCCTAAGGGGAGAAATGAGTCTGGCATCTGTCGTCCAAAGCAATAAGTAATTTCTTACCTGTGCTGAATAATCTCTAGTTGAGTAATAAAGTGAAAATCGATGATATAAAGCTTGTGAGGTGCTTATTGTTTTTTGAGGACTAAAAGGATTTTAGTTTCTTTAACACCATAATAAACGCACCTTCCATTTCCCACTTACAATCCTAACTTTTTTCCAATATCCTGAATGAATTTACAACTGGCATGACGTGTGTTGATTTCTTTTACTGTCATTGCACCATTTTTCTTCAAACTGTTTAATGTTGCAAGTTGTCTTTTGGTAAAATAAGGCCGGTAATGACGTTTAAATGATAATCCTGTGGTGATGGCTGCAGACAATACAGGTGTTGAAGGTGTGTTAGGTGCCAACGGTGAAGATCCGCTCATTTTCATATGAGAAATAGAGGGTTCGATTTTTTCCAAAAAAACAATAATTTTTAAATCGTAGCCATCTACACACAGAACCAAGTCACACACGACAGTAATGCAGATGGGTTTATCAATGATGGTTTGGATGAAAGCTTTATTTATTTTATTTACAGAAGCAAGCATTAAGAGTATGTGTGAGGTTCAATCCAATAACCTGGTAATTTTTCCTACACCTTTCGTTCGCCCTTCTCTGAAAATCTTTAGGAATCATTAGTCACTAATAGTATTTACGGTCGCCTTGGCTTTGTTAACTTACCAATCGTGTTCCAATCGTTAAATATTCTGGAGTTTTTACAAATTCAAATTCCTAACAATAAAAGATTGAATATGTATTTGATGATGAGACAAATGTACATTTAGAACTTACAACTTTCGCTCGATCACCTGTTCGTAATACTGTTTTATCAGTTGTGATAATGCTGGCAGTTTGACGGACAGCACCGCAATGGACCATAGCTTGGTATTTGGATTTGATAGTGGTTGAATGATATAACACCAATACTTCAGCTTCGAATCTTCGAGAAGAAGGAGGAGTGGGTTTATCCTTTTCGTACGATAAGAGTACCTGTCCTTTTCTTATGGTTGTTCGTCTGATATTCTTTAATGCAAATGTCACACTTTGGCCTGCCCTTGCAACGGGAATACTGACTCGCTTAAGATGAATGCCTTTGATGGTAGTAGTTACAAATTGACCGGCATGATCGGGTCCCAATAACACCTTATCGCCAATATGGATCATACCACTACGCATCACACCACTAACAACGGTACCAACAAAGGGAACACTGTATGTCTCATTAATTTCAAAATGAAAAGGTTGATCAATTGTCTCGTATTTGGCTAGTGACGGCAATATATTTAAAAAGTTTCGAATCAAATCCAATCCTTGACCAGTGACATTACTAACTTGAAATATTGGACATAAACGCTCGCTTACGAAATTTTGCTAGATACAGGATTTGGTAAGGAAATTTGTTTAGATAGCTTTTTATACTACTTACGGCAGTCACCACCACATCGTGATTGTTTTCAACAAATAACGGAATTTTACGACACGATTTGGACTTTAGTATCGCAGTTAATTCTTTAATGGTCTTCTCCAACACATGCGCTGGACAACTATCTATTTTCGTAATGACGACCAAGACAGGGATACCTAAAGACAAAGCCAATCCCAAATGCTCTTTGGCCATACCAATCATACCAGCGTTTGCACCGACCATCAACATTGCGAATTCGGGAGCACTTCCTGTCATACCGAAGACCGTGGTCTTTAAATACTTTTCATGTCCAGCAAGATCGACAAAACTCAATATTTTGGCGGCTTTATCGGTAATTTCTTCCCATCCTTGATTGGCAGACTTCTTTCCGCTTACCGTGATGGGTCTCGACTTGGAGTCAAAACCAAGAATTTCGCCTCCCACACTGGAGGTTCTTCCGGATTCGATTTCATGCTTATGTCGAAATAAGTTGAGCCGTGCTTTTCCTCGTCCATCATCCAACACACCCTTTGTTAAGACGCCCAATAAGGTAGACTAGTGAGATAGAAATTTTAGTGTCACATCGAAATGACGATTTTAAAAACTGTTTTTGTATTCTACCTTTCCTGCATCGACATTACCAACAACTGCAACACGAATTTCCAATAAGTCTTGAATTGACTTAGGACGCTTTCGAATCATTAAATGTGCAACTGTGTTTTTGGTAGTGACAATGTCCAACTGGTTTAATTCGTCAATGTTTGCAAAGTCAGCTTCCAACAAGTTCGTTACTGTTGTTATTGTTTCCAAAGCTTTCTCAAATTCCTGCCTTGATAACTCCATAGATGATCCATCCTCTATATTTATAAAAAGCGTTTTAATGGTACATATAATTTATGTGATATATTGACACATACCTTCAACCCCAATTTCGAACAACGTCTCGCCTCTGCCTTGGTCGATACGATCGTTCAACAACTTCTTCAGGTATTCAATATCTTGAGTTTTAGGATTCAGTAATATATCCTATGTCAAATAGAGTAAGAAAATAGGTAAAACTAACAACCTTTTTTTTTTTTACTTTTAAATTCGGCTTATCGTCCACTAAATTATTAAATAAACTATCGAATGCTTCTTGTTTTTGTTCGCTTAAAGAAACATTGCATAGAGCAGACGCTAAAAGCGCTGCTTCATCGGTCGTATCATAAATTGTCATTTTGTATAAGGAAAGAAAAAGAAATAAAATAAAAATGAGACTTATATACGCCACATATAAATGCTATAATTGAGTTTTAATCAATGCTGCGGCCATTGTTTCTTCAACAAACTTGGTCATGAACGCAATATTCTATCGATGACTCACTAATACGCAACAACTGCAAGGGGAACTAAAAGAAGGCTTCGATGGCGCAGCAGAAGTTAAAAAATAGCAGTAGAAGTGTTTTTTTTTTAGCGAATCTAGCACTGCCATGTCCTGTTACACATATCATGGGAGATTATTACCGGAGAACTAAACGCATTTGATCAACAAGGCATGATTGTTCGTGTCACAAAATGCTCCGGGAACTCTGGGCTCACAAAAATAATTATTTTCATGTGTATATATGCATGTATAAATATATTTCATAAAATCATTCGCATGTAGGCAATAAAACACCGGTGCCCTTCGTCTTTGATTTTTTACTGTAATATAAACTAGATGACTTTATTCTGAAGTGCATCGAAATGATTGTTTTATGACACAAAGCCTGAAGTACATTACTAAGCGCATGCTAGTAATTGTTGCGCTATGTTCTAAATGGGTTTTCAGTAGAAGTCTGAAAGAGTTGTAAAGCGACTTTTTCTGTTTGAGCAGTCGGATTTATGACGATATTAATTTATATAATAATACCCGAACTATGCACGAATACAAGGAGTTATTTTTTTTTAAATGTATAACAATGCAAGTAGATCCTTTCATTTATAAATCAATAGAACAAAATTCAAGACAGCTATATATATATATATGTCACAATTACATTTAGGTTATGTTTTTTTTTGGGCTCAAGAAATATACAACCGCGAGGGGTGTGGAGGTGTTTTTTAATTCTCAATTTAATTTTTATAAGTTTCTTCTATCTTTTGATGAACCTTATTTAAACCTTTTTTAATAGGAGAACACATATTCAACGCTTTTTGTTTCCAATATTAACGTAATAGCTTATTTCGTATAGATCATGAGATGTTCCATAGGTTCTCAATTAGATCTGCTTGGTAGCTAAAACAAAACCACACGCATACATAGTACCTGGCAACTAATTTAATGTATTGCTTTGGAGCATCTAATCAAAATATTATCTTTGTAAATAGGTCAAACAGAGGAGGGAATTACATTAACATTGGTTGTTTCGACGTGTATATACCTTTTGGGTATGCTTATGGTAACAAAAAAAATTATAATAAATTACAAGATAAAATGGTAAATGTACCAGACTGAATCGGACTACATATAAAATTGGGAACTTACCCCGCTTGCTAAAGTACGAACAAGTGGCACTTCCATCACTTTAAAAATGTATGTTGTGTGATGTTGTGTGTGTAACAAGTTAAGATAAAGAGGCACACGTATTATATTTATTCTCTTACATACCAGCATAATCAATGATGATTATTGACATACATTTAGGATTTATATTAAATAAACATCTGCTTCTATTATGCGGTCCTTTACACCATGTCTCGGGATTAATAACAGCTGATAGAAAATTAAAACGCACATTACTAAGGATGTCTATTTGAGGTGGTATATTTGAATCTAGTGCACAAAATTTTCTTCTTTAAACATGAAATCCCAAAACATATATCAATACCGCAGTTTATCATCTTATCCTGATGTAAACTAGTTTCAATTCATATATTTATAATTTATTAAAACCGAAAACTTTTTTTTATGCACACCATTGTCTTTCCAATTACAAGCAGTTGGGTTAAAACATTTCCGCACGTAATTTGTATCCTAAGGACTTGTGCGAGCTTAATCAATCAAGCCGTAAAGCATATTAAGATGGCATTTCGAAACCAAATAAAAACGGGAGTTGGGAGGACCTCTTAATCGCTTTGTATAGATCATTAGTTTCGCTAATAAGTTTCATCATCAAGCAAAAATAATAATAATTGGACTCCATTCAAGTATCACAAGTAGGTAATATGTACCGTTTCTGATAAACGAGGTTTTTTTATGTCAGTGTACACAATTGCTTCTAAATATGCAAAGTCATGAATTGTGCCAATAATTTATCGATGATTCTGAACCCTTGAGCCAAATATGAGCCATTACTACTTTTTCAAAATCGTGCTTCTTAAGATGCTTACGCTAATCTCATATTGTAAATTCACTTTAATGGGAGAGACGATCTTAAATAAAATGTATGCCGGTCATATAGAGCAGACGTTTGTCCATCTTGCACAATGCTTTTGCATGACTTGAAACACATAGCGCCATCTTTCGCCTACAGATGTTACACAAATATAAAATGCTTTATTTGAAAGAGTTACGTCAACCAATCGTCATGAATAAAAATGCTTGCTGTATTTGAACAACAGTAAAAAAAACATTGCTTTTTGCGTTGACTTTGTTCACCATGTGCATTTTGTATATAGAAATACATTATGCCCCTCCTCGCTTTCCCGGGAAGATAAAGGAAATAGAGCAGTAAAGATCTTTAAAACTGGTCAAAGGTTATTTTTAATGGTTCGGTAAATAAAATAAATAGGTTTCCGTTCCTGGTCAACAAAGAGGGCTTTTTTTTTGTGGATATATTTCTGGTTGCTTCGGTTTCTCTTTTTTCCATTTCTCTTTTTCTATCATATACTTTTTTTAAAATTTTGGAACGCCATGGCACCCAATTCGCTTGATGTTACAGTTGAACCATTCCTGGCCGTCATGACAACAAAGACAGTTCCAGTTCAAGGCATGACCTGCATGTCTTGTGTCAAAGCCATTACAAGAGCTCTTGAACCTTTGACAAGCAGCGTGGAAGTCAGTCTAAAGGATGAAACGGCAACATTTGTATTTGACTCACAAATATACACACTAGAAAATTTAATCAACACGATTGAAGATTGTGGATTTGATGTTCCTACCAGTGTAAAGCTTGAATTATCCGTTCAAGGAATGACTTGTCAATCCTGTGTGAAATCTATAAATAACGCCTGTCGTCAATTAGACGGATTAAATACGATTCATGTCGATTTAGAATTAGCCAAGGCAACAATCGAATATCAGCCTTTACTGATATCACCGAAACAAATTTTTGAAACCATTCAGGAATGTGGATTCGATGTCACTCATTATTCCGAGATTATTCACCCCATTACTTCAAAAGAGCAAGTATCTAAAAATACCGTACAGCTGAGAATTGGTGGCATGACCTGCGCCTCTTGTGTGAATAGTATCGAACATGGATTACTCGCAGTTAAAGGCATTGACTCAGTTCAAGTTTCATTATTAGCAGAATCAGCTGTCATTGTTTATGATGCAACCATGATTTCTCCCGGACAAATGATCGAAGAGATTAACGACATGGGATTTGAAGCTTCCTTGATTGCAGAAGTAACCCTAGGCAGAAAACTTCAATTACAAATTTATGGTATGACATGTGCAAGTTGTGTAAACGCAATCGAAAAGGAAATAAAGAAATTAAATGGTGTAAACTCCATCTCTGTAAACCTGATGACCGAGTCTGGAGTGATCGATCATAACCCAAATATCGTGGGGGCTCGTGAGTTAGTACAACGGATTGAATCGCTTGGTTTTAATGCATTAGTCTCGGATAAATCACGCAGCGTTCAACTAGAAAGTTTATCCAAAGTCCGAGAAATTAGGCAATGGCGGCGCTTGTTTATCCATAGCTCACTGTTTGCATTTCCTGTATTCGTTATTGCAATGATATTACCTGAATTCAAATGGGGTCAGCATTTATTAAATACTCCAATGATCATACCTGGGCTGTTTTTGTTTGATGTCATACAGTGCATCCTGTCTGTGCCTGTACAATTCATTTTCGGCAAAAGGTTTTTGAAATCTGCATATCAATCTGTCAAACACCGATCACCCACAATGGACGTCTTGGTGGCCTTATCCACATTATCCGCATTTTTCTTCTCCTTGCTTTCCATGGCCAGGTCTGTTTGGATAGCTTCTGATACAAGACCTTCGGTGTTTTTCGATACTTCAGCAACATTAATTACCTTCATCATGTTAGGAAGATATCTTGAAAATATGGCCAAAGGACAATCTTCTTCTGCACTTTCAAAGTTAATGTCCTTAACCCCCTCTACGGCCACTATGGTAACTTTGGATAAAAGTAACAAGGTGGTATCCGAGAAAAAAATTCCATCAGAACTTGTTCAAATCAACGATTATTTAAAAGTCATCCCCGGTGATAAAATCCCAACCGACGGTCAGGTATTTTCGGGCCAGACCTCTATTGACGAAAGTATGATTACAGGTGAAGTGGATGCTGTAAATAAGCGTAAAGATGATATTGTCATTGGTGGTACAGTTAATGGATTGGGCACTTTTATTATGCGTGCTACAAGAATTGGTTCTGATACTGCCCTAAGTCAGATTGTAAGATTGGTAGAGGATGCTCAGGTCAACAAAGCGCCCATTCAAGGATTTACCGATAAAGTCGCTGGCATATTTGTGCCCATTGTTTTAATTCTGGGAGCTTCTACCTTGATCATCTGGTCTTTACTCGTAACCTACTTCGGTGTCGATCAAATGCCTTCTCTTTTACAGCATGAAATATCAAAGGAAGGAAACGGAGATTGGTTCTTTGTCTGCCTTAAATTGTGTATTAGTGTGGTGATTGTAGCTTGTCCTTGTGCCCTGGGTTTAGCTACTCCTACCGCTGTGATGGTCGGTACTGGTTTAGCTGCCGAACACGGAGTAATCTTTAAAGGCGGTGCTGTACTTGAAAATGGACAGAAAGTAAACAAAGTTGTATTTGACAAAACGGGTACTTTAACTACAGGAAAAGTACAGGTTGTGAAATACGAAGCGTGGGATGAAACAGAGGAAACTAGAAGACATATGTTGATCATGGCTGCTCTTGCTGAATCACAAAGTGAACATCTTTTGGGTCGAGCTGTTGTTTTAAAAGCCAAAGAATTGACACAGACAGCTTTAGATACATCCCTGGATCATTTAGGCACTGTGACCAACTTTAAGAGCGAGACCGGGTTTGGTATTGAATGTGATTTAACGCTACCAAATCAAGAGAAGCATCATCATGTCGTCATTGGTAATCAAGTTTGGTTACAGGAATACCATGGTATTTATTTGGTAGATGAACAAATAAAGACAATCGAAGGACAATTCTCGCAAGGTCGTACATGTATTTTAGTAAGTCTTGACGGTGTACCTACTGGTTTTGTTTCCATATCCGATGTGATCAAGCCCGAGGCCAGATTGGTGATTGCTACACTTAAAAAAATGGGAATTGATACAGCGATGGTGACAGGTGACAATGTTTTGACGGCTAAATGTATCGCTGCACAAGTCGGCATAACCGAAATTCATGCTGGTGTATCTCCCAACGGTAAAACACAAATTGTCAAAACCATGCAATCACAAATGAGGCCCAAATCTGGTATATTGGGTTATCGTATGAGTCCTACTGTGGTGGCAATGGTAGGTGATGGTATCAATGATTCTCCGGCGCTGGTAGCATCCAACTTAGGTATTGCGCTATGTAGTGGAACGGATATCGCAATCGAGGCAGCGGATGTAGTGTTAATGCGAAATGATTTATGTGACGTTGTGACAGCTCTGAGTTTATCCAAGAGTATATTCAAGAGAATCAAGATGAACTTGATCTGGGCTTGTGTATATAACTTTATTGGCATTCCATTGGCGATGGGAATATTTCTACCATTTGGCTATCATTTGCATCCAATGATGGCTGGTATGGCTATGGCTGCAAGTTCAACCAGTGTCGTCGTGAGTAGTCTAATGCTGAAATGGTTTTGGCGCAAACCAACAATGTGCGACCAAAATGATGAAGAAACTATATATACCAATCTTTCATACAAGATATCGACCTTTGTTTCCAAATTATTTACAAGAAGCGACGGAGGAGGCTCTTATCAACCACTTACTACTGAGCAGCAAGAGTATGATCTAGAAAGCTTATCTTCTCTGCGATAAATTATCCCCCCTTTTTTCTTCCCCTGAATCAAAATAAAATTAGCCTTCTAATTCTGTAATTACAAAGCGAATATTTAACCGTTTTTCTATTTATTTTTTGTGTCTGGCACATTTAATGCATGATGATTTTTTTTTTTTTTTTTTATAAAAATACGGATAGTTACGAAATTTAATTTTATTTAATAGGTAGTTGTAACTGTAACTGAAGATAAATTGTTATCCTGATAATCTAACGAAGAATTCTGTCGTTTTTCAGAAATGTAATATATCGCTGCCTCCAAATCCCAATGAAAAGCGGTGTACCTATCCACAGGTAAAAGACCAATAGTACTCTCACATTGATGATTTTTTGCTGCATCCACATTAGAATAATAAGCATCATCAACTAAAGCCATCATGGGATCTCTTAAACTATGAATCGTTTGCAAAGATCGATCAGCACAAGCACCACCACCGCCACCATATTTAGGTCTTTCTTCTCGTTGAGAGATTTTCATCTCGACTGATGATGCTATTCTTTCGGTTAACCCGAAACCAGATTGTATCAAGAGCTGTCGAACTTGAGTATTCATAATGTGACAAAAGTGCCACTCTACCGTCTTTCCACCGGCATATCGATCCAGTGTTTGTTGCATCGAATGTAAGGTATGGAGTGCAGTTGCATCGAGTTTATCCACAGCACTAAAATCTAGGACGATGCATTCCAAGTAGGGTTTTAAAGCATGACGGTGTACAACATCCTCCTGATTTGCAGACGGTTGGTTCCACACGGTCTCTTCTTTTATATCTTCTGAAGTGACAGTATCAATCTCTCCATGACCAGACCGAGTGCGAGATTTGACGATATCCATCATACGTTCCGCAATATAATTGGCATTAGGGTACAAGATTGAATGGCTGAGTCGAATCACAACCACACCTGATGGTAAAGGATCCAAGAGTCTTGTATAAAGTGGGTCCTTTTCTTCTACATAAATATATCTTGCATGTTTATCGGATTCGTACATGTCCTTAGCGGTAGAGGTAACAGAAGCAATGGAAGGAACACACTGACGATCTTGTGCATCTGGTGCATGGGCATCCAATCTGACTCTTCCCAGACTAGAAACTGAAGGTCGGGCTAACTTTAATAACATGAGCAATAGTGAAAGACCTACTGACACATAAATTCCAGTCTCAACATCCATAAAGCAAGTGATAACAACGGCAATCACAAATATGAAGAACTCGCAGATACTGGCGTGCCAGAGTTCCTTTAAAAAGGTGGGTCCTGATACCAAATCAACTACAGCATGAATCACAACTGAGCCTAAGACAGCTTCTGGGATATAGAAAAATGCAGGTGTCAATACATAGAGAGCCAATAAGACTACAGCTCCTGAGAATACGCCTGCCATTGGTGTTTTGGCTCCAGATCTAGCCATGACAGCAGTCCTACTAAATGCACCTGTACATGGGTATGCACTTTATAAATAGTATATAAGTATATATATATTAGTTTGTTTGCATTGAAATAGGATATACAAAAAAAAAAAAAAAAAAAAAATAGAAAAAAAAAATATTTACCCAAAGAAAGAGCCAACAATATTACTCATACCGATAGCTAAAATCTCCTGATTTGGATCAATGGAATAGTTGTTCATGCGACCGAATGATTTTGCAACAGAAACGTGTTCCAAGATCAAAATTAAAATAATGGAGGGTAAAACACCACTTGCTTCTTTTAAAACCGTCATACTTAAACTCGGTACACCCATGGCGTCAAACCCAGCCGGCACGGTTTCGATGATTGAAATGAGAGGTGCTGACTTGTGGTGGACATTAATCAGATATGATATGAATGTGCCAATGATCACAATCAATCCACTACGCATAATGCCCAAGAAAAAAAGTGGCTTCTTCAATACCGGACATCGGTCTGCTAATTTGGCTCCACCCAGTTTGATTACGTAGAGTGCAACTAACGCTACAAGACCAAAGGCTGCATCTAACTTTGTATCCTTGATCTTTTCGAAAAATTCATATACAATCAAGTAAGGCGCATTGTGTGTATTGACAGCTAAACCAAAAACTTTAGGCCATTGTCCCAACGAAATTGTGATAGCCGATCCTGTCATATAGCCAGCAATCGCAGGTTCAGAGATAAAATCTACAAGCATGCCAATTCGGATCAATCCAATCAACAATGTCACAATACCTGCAAATAGAGATAAACACACAGCTACTTCAGGTCCCGAGATTTCTGGATGCTCAGTAGTCACTTTAGAAATAGCTTGTCCTACTAGTAGAGATACAACCGCTAAAAAATAATTTCAATCAGAATTTGTTTGTGCATATTAGGAAGACAAAAAAGATCTTACTTATGGGTCCAATACTAATATCTTTTGATGTACCAAAGAAACAATACAACGTTACACCAACAAACGAAGTACTAATCATGCATATCAGTAAGATTGACAATGTATTTATAGATAAAAGAAGAACCCAAAACACTTACTATAAACCATACTGCGGGTCCAGATTTGCTATTTTAGCATATGCTATACCTTGAGGTACAATAAGCATGCCAACTGTAATCCCCGCAATTGCATCTTGAACAAGCCACTACATAAGAAGAATTGAGAAAAAACTTGTTTCTTTTTATCGGGGAATAGCTTTATTTACTTACAGACAAATTGTATCGATGGATCCATTGTAATATAGGAAATAAGCTTAGCACGTATCCCTTTAATTTCTTGGGAAATGTGTATAATTCATTTTGAATTTTTTGTTGGTGCGTAAGTGGAATATAATCGATATAGACCGGATTAGATGTAACCATTTTAATAATAATAAAAAGAACAAAGAAAAAAAAAAGAGAGTACAATGAATATCTGTGAACTGAATAAAAAAAAACTAAATGTCTTTTTATATCAATTTTTGAGAGATATATAGGAGAGAATTCTTATTTATTTTTTGATAAGTACATGTTGCTATCATCATGTATACGGTGATCCTACTATACACCAAATAAAATAAAGGCCGTTAATTAGTCCGATGCCCTTAGCTCCAAGATGCATTACCCTTCTTTTTTTGGTAGCTATCGTGTTCAATTTTAATTTATTTATCATGCAAAATAATCTTATTAAGTCACTTCGAATGACATCAAACCTATATTGTGTCACATTTAGTTGCATCGTTACATAAAACCCTCATTTTTCGAAATAACGGGTCGGCTGCTCTTTATTTTGTAGTTTAAACTTTTTTTTTTATACTTAAAGAAGGTCGATCTCTTTATCTCTAAGCTTTTTTAATATGTATGTAGAATAAGGCGCTTAACAATACGACAAGAAACAATAAGTGCTTCCTCAATGAATTTAGCCATACTCTATCATTATTGCGATTCAAGTTAAAAACAGGTTGGACCCACTGATTTGAATCATCATATCTAGGAAGCAATACTCAGAACCATTTGCTCGGCCTACCTTTTATTAATTCCTCTATTTAATATATGATCACGGAAAAGTCATAAAAGTAATGTATGCACCTTACGACATATTGCTAAGATAAATATGGGAAAGACTAACTACTTCTAAATCATCTGACAAATAGTGGCAATATGGGGAGACGGCCCAGAGGGTGTATTTAGACTCCCTTAACTTGACCCGAGCCCAACTCGTGTCACAGAGGTACACTTTCAGGGTGCCTGATTCGCTTTTTTAGGAAGGGTTTTCTGTCATTGTCTCTCAGACATAGCTACTACATGTTTGGCTATTGTTCGTCCGAATTGCAACTTATAACGACTTTTTACTGGCTTGAAAAGAAATACGTAAAGACTACATCATGTTTCAATAAAAACTCAACTAAAAACATAAAAGAAATGGTGCCATATGGTATGTCTCTATCTACAGAAACGAAATGTCATTCGGCGTCTCCACTAGATAACAAATGACAAAAAGGGAGGTGAAACATGCTGTACTTAAGACATATAATCGAACCATTGTTGCAGACCTTAGCTTACTTTACGTTTTAATTTTCATGATGCCTTGAATCATTTATTTGCATTAATTATTCACTTTGTACGATCTACAGCATAAAATGTATAGCTTAAAGAGTGCTGTTGGCCATTTTTTAACGTTTTTGAATCCCAGTAACTGTTTTTATGCTATGTGCCTGTTTACACATGTGATTTTCTTCCAATTAACATGCCTTATGTCTCCAAAAACAGTAGACACTCTTTTAAGTATTCGCTGTTCTTCTACCTCTTTCATAAGCATCATGCGTTATGCGTGGACTTAAAAAACTCATTAACTCATGTTATTAATGGTAGAACATGCATGATCAAGATTATACGTAAATGCATAAGACATTCAAAGAGACAAGCTTGTAAAAGAATGGCCATGAAGAAAAAAACTTTGCTCGAAGCGCGTTAAATTGACCTTCCCCTCAAAATGATGTTTGCACCCCGATGAGTGTTTAGTTGGTAACAAGAAATATAGGGATCTATTGTCTTGGTGATATAGAAAGCTCAAAAGGCTTAACCTGAGGCGAACACAGGCTCAGACTCCTTCCGGATGAGTAGCCTCAAATCAAGCTTGAATCAAAAATTCGCTTTTTTGCATGCTTGGCGCATGGTATCTCCCCCATAATTAAGTGTTTGGAGAAGCACAATTTGTAATATGGAAAACATACCCTTTGGAGGTGGACGTATAGTCAGCCATGTGATCTGTTTTTAACCTGCGTGTAACGTTTATTAGAGACTTATAACATGTTAAATACACTTGGATAGACTTACGTTTGGTAGAAGTATGTTCTTCTACCCCCCCTAAAAAAATGTCTAGTAAATTAATCAATGCATAATAAAGCACTCTTCCATTTACAATGTAATCTGGGCATAACACACACGGTTAGGTAAGCCCAAACATGCCAATTTTTTTTTTGCGGCGTCTGGAAGCATGAACTGATAAATTATGATAGTCAATATTGGGCCAGATCGCCCATTTGATGGGAGGACAGATTAATCGGAGTGGCGCTAAAGAGTGAAATCAGCTATTTTGATAGATTACATGTCTGAAAACTTTCTTTACATATCATTTGTTGTAGCATGATGACAAAAAAGTCAAAGACATTAGACAACATCTTTTGGTGATAACTTTCCTTTGCAAAAGGCACAAACATATTTGTATAGATATATGTTTTTAGACAAGCTATATTTGAGGATAGGGTGTCATTCCTTTTGGGTCATAAAACATCAAAAAACACGCAAACAGGGTGCACAGTCACGAACTTTTTTTTTTGTGTATCTGTACTTGTTTGAGAAAGCCCTTACACTTTACTCTTTTCCGAAAATAATAATAATAAAGACAGATACACACATACATACATACTATGGACTGGAATACGGGTGTTAATACCAGCCAATCTCACAACATGAACACTTCTAATGGTGCGTTCTCCTTTCATACTCCTCAAGCGAACGAAGATGCTTATGCATCAGACGACAGCTATCAAACCATTGACGAAGAAGACGATGACGACGACGAGTATGAACCCATTTCCTTGTCTGGATGGGGTGATAATGCAGTCAAAGAAGAAGTAGAACCCCCATCCTGGAATACTCTGATTGACAGCAATATTAAGGTGAAAGCAGGTGGCGTGGGTTCTGGTAATCTTCATCGTCGTGGTGGTAACTTCAAACCCGTGTCCGAAGACCTTATTTTGGCTCAAAGACTAAATAAACCTATTCCTGGTAAAAAATTACCTGGCTCATCCAAATCGCGCGGTGGTAAAAAGAAGAAGAAGACGCCTGGTGGTGCTGGTGGTGCTACTGGTGCTAGACCCCCTTTTCCTCCTACCAGGTTTAGTAAACCTTTTCCTAAAGTCACACCTCATGTTCCACCACCACGTCAACCCATGGCGAATGCTCCTCCTTCGCCCTGGGGGACAATTGCTTTAGCTGAAATACCCTTTTGGGAAAAGAAGACTACACCTGTTACCGTTGCACCTGCTGTTGTCCATCCTCTTCCTGTCGCTCCTGCCCCTGTTTCTGCTTACGCGACTTTACCTCCTCCTTCTCGTAAAATTGCTCCTATGCCTGTTCGTAAAGCTGCACCTGTACCTGCTCGTGCAGCTCGACCCACTTCGCCCATTCCAGTATTATGCGAAACACCTTTCTGGGAAGTCAAAAAAGATCCTGTACCCGCATCACCTACACCAGCAGCAGCAGCAGCGGTATCAGCAGCACCAGTGGCAGCAGTAGCAGCAGCAGTAGCAGCAGTGCCAACAATTCCACGCGAACCTGTATTTAATCCCAACGTGCCATCTTTTGATCCTGTTTTAAAATCACCAGTGAAGACAACAAGAATAGAATTTAACCCGACTGTTCCCAGTTTTAATCCTACTACTTCAATCTCCACCTCTGCTGTATCAACCTCGAGTGGTGGATCATCTTCTGTCAAAACGAATTTCAACCCAAATGTACATGAATTCACACCTTTACCTTTTGTGACGATGCCTGTCAAGACACCTGTAAAGATTACGCAACCTCATGATATGGTATCGGATGAGATGCGAAAGTTAAGTATGATGGAGAATCAGACGGGACCAGAGAGTACACGGGGGTTAGAGGAGCCCCAGGCCCTGTTACAAATGACTTTGGCACTTGCACCGGGGATCAGTACGGAAATCTTGGTTTATGAAAATTCAGATCCTCATCAAATAGCAGAGGATTTCGCTAGAAAGCATGTATTGAATGTTACCAACAGGGCAAAATCTTCTTTAGCAAATACCATTCGTTTACTCATGGAAACCAAACTCAATGCAAATCAGTTATTATAATAAAAAAAAGAAAAAGACTATACCCTCCCCTCCCTTTGTTCAATTAATCATGTTTAATTTTTTTTTTTTTTTTATTATTTATTTTTTTACAGTAGTGGTCTGCAGCCAAAGTCAAGCCACCAGAGTGTACCATTGCCTCCAAACACAATTCCCATATCGCCTATCGCCAATCTCGATCTAATAAAGTCGTATCCATCCGATAAATCATCATCCGGTCGCACATTCAATGATCTCATCCAATCTTGTGTGTCTTGATTGCAAAAGGTGGCTCTTGCAGCGGTTGTGCCATTCAATGCATACAAGGAAATATCGCCTTGACGATTAACGGTTGCAACACGTTCACCATGCACCGCCACATTCACAATCTCTTTGGCACAACGCCCCAATGGCGTGGTTCGAATCGAGTGCATGAATTCGGGTCGTCCATCTAAATTAGGCAGTGGCGCTTGTTCTTTACATTCACGTTGTTTAATATATTGGTCGGTCTTCATTTGACATGCATACCCATAATCATTGTACGAGGAGTGCCGTCGAAGTCGTACAGATTTATAAAACTCGCGCGATGTCTTCTTGATTAATTTGGTGCTGGGAATACTACTGGTTGATAAAGAAGGTGTGGGTATATTGGCCGTCTTGTTAAACCCAAGCATATGGATGAAACTGGTGGATAATCTTCTTTTCGTTGTGGTGACAGGTAAAGAGGATGAAGGTGCTGGAATAATGGGTACCTCTATCTCCAATGGTTCCTTTTCGACGGGTAAAGTGGACCATTGATAATGATGAATACGACGTGATGCATGAGGTGCCAATACAATACTTGAATTATCCAATGCGATACATGGCAGGCTGCATGGATTTAAATAATGTGTAATGGTGGGTTGAGATTGGCTATCAAAGATATCATAAATGGAAAGCACTCCATCGACACTAAGGGTGATGAGATGGTTGCCCGATAAAGAGACATGGTGAGGCTGATTATCAAATACCCTATTGGATAATCTGACCCCTTTTCGCCAGTTCCAAATAAATACCGCCGATGGTTTTCTACCCGAGACGGCAAAATAGTCTTGGTTGACCGAGATAGAGTCGGGTACGAACCATGGGTGACTGCCGCCCTTTAATACTTGAATAGGCTCGTGTTTGGACCCTTTGTGGATATCATAAAACATGCATTTGCTGTTGAATTAAAGTATAAGTCCATGATCGATTAACAAATAAATTAAAAAAAAAAAACTTACGAGCCTCTTTGAGCTACGACTAAAATATGAATGTCAGGTAAAACATCAATACATTCAATTGTATTGTTTGGTTGATCTCCAAATGACCATTTGGCTTCAAAACAAAATCCCTTATCGGTAGTATATTGATAAAGTTTGACGGTATTATCCTAACAAAAAACTAATATTTTTAATAATTGGGAAATTTCGTAAAATAATAAGATTAAGTTTTACTTCGGTCAGGGTAACGAGTAAATGCTGCCGTAATTTGACAGACAAGATACGATGAGAGCCAGCTTCCTCATCAATCTTTGTCAAATTTTGAACGGTTCCCATGCGCCAATTAGCAAAGGTAATGGCTTGACAATACCGTGTCTTCCACGGTAGTAAATTGGCTTGAATCGATTTCGAGGGTTCATGTGCATAAATGTCGGTAAATCTCGAATTTAATTGGGATAGCCGGTTTCTCCATATAGAATTATCTTGGGCCAATTTACGCCAACGCCGGCACGTCTTTTTTTATCAATTGTTAATAGGAGAGTCATCATATAACCATAATAACATACCAATTGCACTTTGATAAGGTCTTGGAAAGATAACAGGGAAAGGATTTGAAGAATCACTTCTCTAGGGAATAAAGTCAGAAAATCATCTTCCTTTTCGGCAACAGGAGCTGTTATTTCAACATCTTGTTCCGGTACAAATGCAAGATCAGGTTGGAATGAAGGTGTATTAAACGTAAGCTTTCTCAGTGGGTTCACGAGTTGTTGCACTGATTTTCTGCGAGTCATGATCAAGAGCGTATAAGGAAAGAGTGGGAAAAAAAAAGAGAAAGAGAGAAAGAGAGAGAGAGGGTGTGTGAATAATAACAATAGGGTTTTTTTTTTCTTTTATATCCTTTTTTTATTTATTTCTGAAAAAAATAATAGCCTTTTTCGGGATGATCAGCACGAGAGAGAAGTGAAAGGGTAAGGGTTAGGGTAGCAGTGTGTGGATGATGATATTTATAGCCCATAAAAAGGCTTTATTTGGATAGGGCGGACATGTGATTTCCATAAACAAAAATGCCATCTTGTTCATCTGACGTTATCAAGTCTAATTCTGGTATTTCATTTAAATTGAAAACCAAACTGACAATACGAGCTCCCTTTCGGTAATGGTGTAAGAGTAAGTCTGCGAATTTCTCAGTGTGGTCTGGTAACAAAAATAAGACAATCACGCTCCACTGTGTGTCGTGCACCAAGGTGGGTAAATTCAGTAAATCGCCTTGAATAAACGTCACTCGACTGTCGTTTCCGAGAACTTGTTGTGCTAGTAACCGTGATTGCTCGACCAGATCTGCATCGGATTCAATACCCACTGCTCTAGCAGCATTGAATTCCGAGACGGAGGCTGTAATGAACCGACCGTCTCCTGATCCTAAATCGACAAGCACATCGTGTTCATTAACATTGGCCATCCGCAAGGCTTTCAACACTCGTGCTGCCGAGGTTGGACAAAAAGGTGCTAACGTCGTATCGATCCCATCGAGGTAAGCTGGGAACGGATCCTCATCATCGTGAATCTGATCATCGGCATCTTGGTACACTTTTAAAAATAAGTTTGACATCTTTTATAAAAGGAAAACTTTTTTGAAAAAAAAAATACACTTATAGCTTTTTAGACCAATAGAATTGTACTTTATTTTTGGGAGACCCTTAAAGATAAAATAGTAACTCAACGTCAGCCATATGTGCCTCTTATTTATTTTACAAATCCAATTGATGTAGCTGTAGAATATCGCATATTATTTATATACATGCTATGGTAACATTTTAACATTGGTCGTTGAATCTGCTACAGTTTGAGATAAATCACTGGATTCAAAGTTCTTAGCAGCAATGGTTGAGGTAATAGACTGTGAATCTCATAATGGTGAGGGACGGACGATAGTATTCTACGTTTGTAATGCTAGTCATATGTTCTTTATCCCACCATAAATTTATAAGTGAATGTCGTCGGTCTACACTTGCTTTAACACTTTTGCTCTAGTATAAGCAGCATTGTCATAATGCGATTGGCTGATGGATGATTTTTTTTTTGCTTCTTTTGGGTGTTTGGTTGTACAAGCAAATGATGCTTATTATTTCGGTTTTGTACCTTGACAAAAGTACGGTGTATCGCATAAGGATTTGACGAGAATTCAACGGATGATACTGTAGATGGCCGTAACCGTTTGAAGTCAGTCGACACGCTCTTGGCCATTGGATGGGTTGTTGCATTTGGTCGGGATCTAATGACACGTAAGAAGTTTAGTACCCAAATGCATCTTGTAAATGCTTTGTCTTGGTTTGTTTACGTCCACATCAGAAATATTGCGATCCGCATATGCAGATAAAGATGGAAATCCTTCTTGACAATTACCTTATCCTCACGGAATATTCGCCCTAAAGCCAATCTTCGTCCAGGTGCGGCTACTACGACTTGGAGACTAGGGTAAAAGAGCATTATCCTCGACATGATGTATGGGGAAATGGTCCTGGTGATTCTCGTGTTGTGTAATGTGGGCAGGCAGCATCGGGGTTAATTGATATCAAGTTCACTAGTCACTGTAAGATTTACCTTCGTGTTTGGGTCAGGATGTGCTTCCGCCCTCTCGTGGTCTGACCTGTTGAACCAACGTTTTTTTTTATGGTTGGCAACTAGGAGAAGCACTTGTAGTTTAGTTATCATTATTCAGAATAAAGTCTTTATGTTTTTGAGGGAGATTAAAAAAAAAATAGCAATTTCAGTGTAAGTGTAGGATGAAGATGATTCTCAGTTCTTGAATCGTACCAATTCTCTTTGGGAGTGTAATTGCGTTAAAAATAACAAATAAATAAAAAATTCGCATTGTTGATGCACACGCCTTATATGTTTACTTTTTTTTCTTTTTTATATTAAGCACGCATTTTTACAAACATGGCTTTTTTTTTGTCACTGGAAAAGAATGATGATTAAGTTACAAGGTGACACCCGATAATATAGATCCGACCTTCTCTTTTATTTTTATTTTTCTCTGCTTGTAAACCTGTGGAATTTTTATTCTCTTCTTTTTCTTTCACACTTTTTCTTAAAAAATGGAGAATAGATTTCCAATGAACAGTGGGTGGGTGGAAACCCCTAAACTACGTAAACGCACCGTTCATCAAGAGAAAAAAAAGGCATCGTCAGTGCCAACCACGCCATCGCTACAACAAAACAACCATTTCGAGCCTCTTTCACCTCCATCTACCAACAAAAAAAAGAAAAAGAAGAGACCACGCACTCATAGCAGCAGTAGCAGTAACCGATCCCCTCTCTCACAAGAAATTACCAATGATGTATGGGACGATCATGTCGTCCCATGCAACGAAATGGAAGGCTTACACACTACAGCTCCTCCCCCAGTGGTGATAGAAACTTTACGGCAGATATCCTTTCTGGATTATCTCAAGGACGAATTAACCGTAGCCGATTTCGATAGTGCCCAAGAGCTAAAAAGAGAACGTGTCACCAATTTCCTCGCCGTACCTGCAGCCATTGAAAAGGTAACGCTTTTTACTGTAAAAAAAAAGAAAGAGACAATGAACTGATTGTATTCTAGTTGATGGCATTTGGCTTTTTCGTATGCTTGGATTCGTTCCTATACACGTTTTCGATTCTACCTTTACGCTTCTGTTTAGCATTCTACCACTATGTAATTTATATCTTTGGGCATATTCAACTGATGTTTGGTCAAAGACGGAGGTAAAATGAATGGAGTTGTATAGCACATACATATTGACATTGTCAAGAATTATAGGTGCGTACGTCTGAGACCTTCGCAGAAATGTGATTTACTCAAGGGATTTATGATCATCATCACCTGTATCGTCATGTGGTCTCTGGATCCATCGCGTATTTACCATTCGATCCGTGGTCAAGCCGTGTTAAAATTGTATGTGGTGTTCAACGTATTGGAAATATGTGATAAATTATGCTGTTCTGTCGGTGTCGATATTTTAGACGCATTATTTTCGAAATCCACTTTAGGCAATTCCGAAGAAGGAGGGAAGGGTTATGCAAAACGGCAATTAAAGCCAATCACCTTGTTTTGTTTAGCCACAGGCTACATGAGTAAGAAACTAATTTATTTATTTATGACCCTTTATTAAACAAACCTTAATTTCTCCGTAGTTGTGCATACCTCTGTATTGTTCTTTCAAATGATCACCTTAAACGTCGCCATCAACTTTTATTCAAACGCTTTACTTTCACTCCTCATCTCCAATCAATTTGTGGAAATCAAGCAGTCGGTATTTAAAAAGTTTGAGAAGGAAAATCTATTTCAATTGACATGCAGTGATATCGTCGAACGCTTTCAACAATGTGCTTTCTTATTTATCATTACTTTACGAAACGTCATTGAATTATCTGAATCAGGTCCTTCCTCTATCTTACCATCCACATTTGTACCGTTGTTTAAATTGCCTGCTTCCACTTCTTTAAATACCCTCATGACACCCGTCGTCATGGTCATCGTTTCAGAACTCATGGTCGATTGGCTTAAGCATGCATTCATCACCAAATTCAACCAAATCCGTCCTTCTATCTACGGTAAATACATTGACGTCCTCTGTAAAGATCTTGTCATTGGAAGTCCCGGTCGTATGAGTGGTCGAAATCATGCCTTTGTAGATCAATCTCCCGTTGTCTCGCGTCGAATTGGCTTTCCCGTCCTTCCCTTGGCCTGCCTAGTAAGTTAAAACTGAGGTCCTCCCTTTCTTTTATTATTATATATAACAACAACACCATACTAGTATGTTCGTATGATGCAACAAATTTTACCCATGATGTTCATGTCACATAATACACCAGACGCTGCAACAACAAGCTCTTTCACCTCAGTGATCACCAAATATCTGATGGATTATGGGGGTGGCATTCATCAATTATTGCCAGTACGTATTCAGCTCGTCGTGGTTTCCATGGTGAAACAGGGATGGTTAGAACACGGACTTGATAAATTATTTGGGTTTATCACATGGACTTTAGTCGTTGCCATTCTCGCCCTCATGTAAGCTATTTTATATTTTATTTTGGGTCATGATATGAAATACTTATTTCCTTTTTTTTAAAAAAAAAAAGCTTATTGGCGTTGAAAGTGTTGGTGGGTATTAATTTACTGGGCTTCGCCTACCGACGATTCTGTAGCATGGAAGAACGAGAAAGGGACGATTTAAAAAAGGACAAGGAAATGAAGGAGATGAGTAAAGATGAGACAGAGTATGCACAATCTGTGCGAGATTATTTAAATAACCCCGATGATAATATCTTGGGCGCAACACCTGTAAAATACACTTTAGACAATGTTGATCGATTTTCCATGGTCAAAAGTCGAATCCCTTAGATAACACATCATATAATAATAATAATAATAAAAAAAGTTATTGTTTATTTAGATGCTGCTGGTATGATTGGATGAAGGCGTTTCTTTATAGGCTACAACGGCTTTCAAGTAGAGGCGTATCAATGTGCACACCGTCTCGGAAGCATATTCATGTAAATGGTATCGTTCATCCACCGCCAATAAAAGCTTGATACATCCAATACTGCATAACTGAACCTTGTCTACCACGTGAAACTGCTGATCAATCCAGAAAACCAAATTCACAAAGTAGGAGAGTAGGAAATACAACAAGCCTATTTAATGAATTGATTAATTACAGTTCCCCCTTAAAGTTACGCAAGGACGTTTTTTATTTTTATTTTTTTACCTGGGAGTGGAGATTGCTTATATAAGACAACGCATTGAACGATCACATCTGTCAAAGTACTGCCTAATTGTTGAAATTTGACAAAAGAATCACCTGTTGATGCTGCTGTACTGTCAGGAGAGGATGTATCGGTGTTTGTTAGAGAAGAGAAAAGCCAGGTTGTCGGTGACAATCTGTCTTCGTTTGATTTCAGTTTTGTAAAGCCTGTATATTGTTTTATACCCAGTCTCTCTTGAATACTGACATTCGCTTTTAGAAAAAGAAGACACATTTTTTTGTCATAGTTATTTACCTGAGAAATTTTTCTTGAAGGATTTGCTTTGTCTGTAAATCCCTCAAATCTAGTAGGTACAAAAAGGCGTTATTTAAAAGGTATTCTATCAGTGTTGTTATGAAAAAAAAAAATTACTTGGTAAGGACATGATGATTTTATCGAGACCGGAAAGATAGATATCCAAACCCACTGCATCGTTTCCAATCTCGAATTCTTCAACAGCCAGTCCCACTAATTGGATCCCGGCCGATATCCCCTTTCGATCCACTTTTGCCGTAGTTGTGTAGTTTACCCCATGAGGCATGTCGAATGTCAATTCGTCAGGACCCACCATCGTATTAACCGACTTTGAAAGTAAACTAGAGACAAAAGAAGACATATTTACACAAGAAAGAGGGATAAAGAAAGAAAAAGGGAGAAATATAACAGAAAAAAGAAAAAAAAAAAGAAAGAAAGAGCAAGTAAGGTAAGGTGAAAAATAAAAATCTTTTTTTTTTATTATCTATGCACTGTCAAATAAAAAAAAAAAAAATGTGACATAAACATGTCTGATAAAATATTCCATTCATGTGACATTTTTTTTTATACTTGAACATTGATTGATTTTTCCTCATCATGTTGCACTTTACCACAGTGGGAGCCATTTATGCAAACAAACTTGGTGTAACATGTCCCCAAAAGTTGTGCGAGGGGTTTTAAATTTGGTTTGCTTGTTTTCTACGTATGGGCTTTCATCTTACTTTTTTTTCTCATGTTTGTAACCATTTAAAATGTCAACAGGAATATGGTGTTTGTTTTATCTTTTTGAAAACTGTCTTCCTTTCTATCAGTTTTTTTTTCGTGTTTAATATCACCCTTTGTGACAACAGTGCTTAACAAAATCACTTCAGTCGAAAGGGACATACTTTAAGAACTGTATTGTCCCCCTTTAAAATGGAAGACAGCCTGGTATAGCTGTCTTCTGTAGCTTAACCTACTGAAACAACTGTTATTAGCAACCCAAAAGAATGAGTCTTTGAGATTGGAAACATTTGTTTTTTTTTAAAAAAAAAAACGGCTATCTTATTTAACATATATTGATATGGAATATCTTTCAATGACCCTCACTGATTTGATATCGGGATGGTATTAGATATAAAGTTCAATGTTTTTTTAGCTCGACATCTCTCATCATCAACTCCATTGTATATACTGGTATGTACTCATTGTGTTGTTTGGATGTTATTCAAAATGTTTTAAACGTATCATATATAAAAACGGGCATGCCTCCATGTTAATGCTAAATAACATGCATTCCACTTTTAAAGACTTTTATATAAGCTTTATGATGATCGAAGTTACTTTTGCATGTATATACTATAAGGCTTAGAGAATAAACGGGACTATTTACTATTTTAAAAGAAATTAAGAACAGGACAAGGGAGCAAATCGAAGAGAGGTAAACAACAAATTTACAAAACAAGTAAGGTATTCCAAGGAATAGGGTACAGGAGACGCCAGAACTATAAAACTAGATAGAACGGTTGAGAAATCACAAGATGACCCCAAAGTTCAGTGTTATCAATACAATTTTTTTGTGTCTGAGCCGAAGAAGCTGTGGTATTTGACAAAATAGTTACAATAGAAAAGTAATGAGATAAAAGTATATCTTTATTGGAGGTAAAGATCGACTAAAAGAACTCTGCTGCTATGAAATAATCGATCCTTTTTATATTGCGCAACTCTCCTGAGTTTCAATGATGAGTCAACCTTTCTGGTTTTGGAATAGATCTATACTTTGTTTCCCGCCTTGGGTTAAATGAATACTACTCGTTAGAATTGTTTCCAGTTAACGTTGTCCCATATCAGTGGATCGGGAGAATGAGTATTTTAATAAATCTTTAGTATTACGAGACACTTATTTATCAGATCATGCAACGGTTACTGTAAAAGATGCATACTTGTTTGTCAAGTGTAATTGGCAATAGAACTAATAATAGTTGATTATTTATTCATTATCTTTGTAATGAATAAAATACGATCCCAAATATAAAATGTCATATTGATATTTGTATAGTTGGTTGTAGAAGATAGGTATCCATTAATTCATACACTATTTCTTTATACTCTTTATCAGCAGTATAATTATACCAATATATAAGTAAATGAACCATTTATATTAACAGCTGTTCTATTCTCTCTCTGGGTAGCTAATCCATTGAGAGAACTATTAATATTAAGTTTCTCTTTCTTATAATTCTTGATTTGATCTGAGAAGATTCTCTTCTCGATCGGTGATATCCTAACTCAGTGATTTATAGCATTCTGTATCCAACTGTCATTCGTATATCGTATTTAGACCAATCATGCAATCTTTAATATAAAAGTATGTACTCGAAGTAGGAGAAGTTGTATAGCAGTATACAAGCGTATGCTGATATGCAACATCAAAGGTTGTTTTAATTTCATAGTTTATTTATTTAAAATATTTGCTTAGTTATTCTTAAGTGAATCGTACCCAAATACGACAGTTAGGACTGAGGTGAACCTTTGATAGAATTAGATGGAGGAATGACTTGATTGGAGCCTTGTTGTGAACCAATCAATACCATATGTTGCGCAATGTGGGTTGTAGACTTGTTCTCCAGAATTTCGTTCAGGTTGCATTTGTAAGATGGCAGTTGCCTAAATCAGATATCGCGTTTCCAATAAAGATTCTGCTTGCAGCTCATGCAATGAGAGTCGCAGGAAATAAATCCCAACTAAGCCTGGTATAGAGCACTGTCGCTTGTAAATGACAAAGACGAGTATCACCTCATCTTTATATGATACATACCGTATCCCTACTAGCCAAAGCTAAGACTAACGTCTAGAACAGGCGCAAGCAAACTTTCAAGGAAGAAATAAGTGGTGAAATATTAAAGGCCTAGTTTTATTGGTATCGAAAAGTATTTAGATCATGCAATAAGAACATTGTTACATATTGCTCACCTTTATTTTGCTCGACTGCGAAATCGGGTTGAAACTATCAAAATTACGGAATTTAATATCTATTCAGTCCTCGCAAAAAGTAGTGCTACTTGTAAGTGACAAAAAAAGCATCCTCTCATTCCAGTACGTTAAGAACCTTCTAATAAACTTTGTAGCAGCTTATTGAATGATGTTTAACACCCAAAAGAATAAAAGGCAAGAAAGTTTTTTTTTATATGCAAGAAAGTAAATATCTTGTCGAAGATTTTAATCTGAGAGTGACGTATGGCAAAATGTTTTTTTTTGTGAATAAATGTTGCTTTCGCTTCTGTGCGATTTATCATTTTGACGTATAAGCATTATCATTCGCAAGTACAGCCAAGCAGCATTTCCGCTACAAGGCCCATCTCACAAGTCAAGATTTTTAAGCACGAGGCTTTATTAGTACGCATATGGTACAATTCAAAACACAGTAGCATCGTTTTCAGCTCAAAGATACCTTGTGTAGCAAAAAGAGGTATAAAAAACAATAGGATCAATTAGAATTCTTGTCAGGGTTTATTGATGTTAAAGTTAACTAAAGATTTAAGAAGAGGAAAAATAAAGAGTATTTATAATAAATGGAATGGACGAGGCTGAGAATACTACTGGCTGATGAGTGGCTATGGCGTCGTCCACGGCTTGGAGATGAGAGGTGGATGGCTGGTTTTTTAAAACTGCATATCCGCTCTTGAATAAGTTAATCCTGAAGTTATCATTAGTTCTTTGAGACTCTTCTTGATTCGGGTGCTTCTGTTAAGAAAAGGCATTTTTTTTAGAACTTGGATGCTACTAAAAGTGTATACAAATGACAACAATATACCTCCAGTGTCTTATTTTTCTTAGCCTCATGGTTATGAATGGCCTCAGCCACAGAATCCTCGCTCAACAAGTGAGCATGCATACGTTTATTTATTGTGCGAGCCGATAGCACGTCGTTCCAATATGATTCTGCTTCTTGTGATTTCAGGACCTAATAAAACAGATACATTTAAAACGCTGTGATAGAGAAAACTACTATTTAACAAAGTATGTACCTCAAACTTTGAGTCACGTATACTATAAGCAAACTCTATCAAGGATCTTGATTTCTTGCCAAGTTCAAAATTGCATATCTTACAGATTATTGACCTAAAGGCCTCCTCGGAGGTTTCTCTGAACTCTGCTTTTACATGTTTATAGTAATTCCCAATACTAAAATTCTTGTAGTTCGATCTTATGTAGTCCATCTACGCAGTGATTATGCAAATCGTAACAGTAATTGAAGTTAATACGAGAGGGACCCTTCATTCAGATAATTGGTATTTGCGGCTGGTTGAAAGGCCAATGCCGCGAAGCTACCATCTGCTGGATAATGGCTGAACGCCTCTAAGTCGAAATCCTGTAAGCAGGCGAGAGAGGAAGGGAGGGCAAGATCGCCTAAATGATAGGTGACATGCGCACCATCTACTGATTTAATACCAAACATGTACCCACATCCTCCTACATCATTACGAGTTAATATTGGGGATAATTAAGTTTTGTCATAGCACATACCTATCCAATCCATGCCCACAACAAATGTTTCCTGCAAGTTTATAGTTTTAATAGGCAAATCCAATAGCTGATGCAAGATGGCACTGTTGGTCCGACAGTTTTTTGCTTGCTGTTGTTCTCCTGTTGCAGCCGATACGTTCGCCTTTTTCCATTCGGAAGAGGAGATATCGACCGAGACTGAATTGAGCAAAAGGTCAATTTTTCTTCCCATCAGAGGCTTTTTATTATCCGCATCCTCACAAAGCCTGCTGTTGATGTTTCGGGAATGTTTCGTAGCCTGGCATGAGGTTTCGCCACTACATAATAATATTGTTAGTCTGATTCGCATGATATGCTTTGTGACACTTACTTATGTAGCACGATATCAGCATTTCTAAAAATGACGTTAAGAATCGACGCCATTTTTCGATGCCATGTCATTTCCGAGCGTCAGAGTTTGCGACTAAGGGCAGATTTGACAAAGTATTCCCCAAAATCTCAAGTATATCATAAATTTTGGGGGAATCACCAACGGTACATGTTTGGGATCAAATCGGTACTTGGTGCGCACATCGCGTATCATTTAGGTGATCTTGTCCTATCTTCCTCTCTGGCCTGCTTACAGGATTCCAAAGATACCCTGGATTTGTTGTATGCCTTCAAAAAACACCAGCTGAGGCTAAAATGTATCATTGAGCCCGCATACCACCGCAAACAAGCAACAGACACTCCGGGCCACTACAAGGAAGTCGACTTGCCTGATGATGATAAGATGCCTAAAACTTTGTTTTCGCCTGTACGTAAGCTAAACCGAGGACAATAGTTTTTTTCGTAAAAAAAAAAAAAAAAACGACAGCAACAACAGCGACAACAACAGTAACAGTGACAACAAAACCAAAAATACGAAATATATAATCCTCTTCAAATGAAGAAGACTAACGATATTTCTGGTTAATTACGCCGAGACTTATGTTAAAGAACAAGTTGCTCACACCAAGAAATCCATTATTTCCGCTGGAGCGTATGTCAATTTGGTTATACAAGCCATGTCTGAATCTAGAGAGCTCCTTGTGTGGCCGTAATCTTCAACTTTATACGTGCTTCTTCAACTTTCTCCGTAGACACTTGACATTTTCTGGCTAAGCCCAGGTCCCAAAATCGGCTTAAGTGACTTGTATTCGATGAGAGTCGGATGGCTGGTTTTTTAAAACCGCATATCCGCTCTTGAATAAATTAACCCTAAAGTCGTTATGACTTTGGGGTTCTTCTTGATTGGGGTGTTTCTGTTAAGAAAATGCATTTTTTTTAGAACGTGGATGCTACAAAAAGTGTAGACTAATGCTATTATTATACCTGTTTACAGTGCTATCACAGCCATTTACAGTCCAATCACAGACTCCGTTAGCCTGCAAGATTGAGGCTCCAAAGAAAACCTGGCCAAGACCAGAAAGCCAGTATGATCACGCCCATTCACAGTGTTACCCCTGCTATTAACAGTATATCTATCCAATGAGCTCCAATACTCAAGAACGCGACCTAGGAGCACGTCATTCTATAGCAAAGACTAGCCGTCGCCGTAATATCGCAAGAGTTGGAATATGCCTTTTTTCATCCTTTAAAAAAAGAAGTAATAATCTTTTTATGATGGCAATTACTTTCATTCAAATAAAAAAGATATGTTAAGAGAAAAGAAAAAGGAAAGAAAAAGGAAAGAAAAAAAAAGTGTGTGAACGAGATCTATTTGTAGGCTGATAAACAAGAGCTTATGTCAGGATGATTTAATTGCTTATTTGAATTTTCATGATGTTTGGGCCTATACTTAAAATAGAAACACATGCAAATACCTCAAGCAAGTCGGAACTTGGTTCAGTAGCTGCTTGATTTAAGTGTGGTTCTTTATAGAAACATATTCTATTTCACGCATTAACGCCACTATGCTACTATTCTAGTACTCTTACACCGAGCAGTATAAAACTGTATTTGAGTATTTTCTTTTTTTGTAGTAACAATCATATTTTATAGATTATAGTGTCTTTGTGATGTAATGAATTGCATAATTTATCACATGTTACGCGTTTTTACATAAGCATGAAACAACTGCGCATTAGATAAGCAAGCATCATCAACGTATACCCTCATAAGTTTTTAATTATCAATTTTGTCAAACTGGGGACTAGATGTGCACATGTTCAGCCCTCTTTTTCTCAGGACTTGACAGCTTTATTTTTTGTTGGAACAAAGTATGGTCGCAGAGCTCTATCATTAGGTCTTTCTTAGTAACTCTCAGCATTGCGTTCTTTAATCTTGTATGTAAAATAGTAGGGCACAATTTCGCTCAAAATATCTGAGATTTTGTTCTGATGATTTTGTAAGCAATCCAGACATTCTGATTAAACGATACTTAAATTGGCTATTGTGTAACCATATAATGATTAAATGAAAATGACTGGAAATACAGAGCGTAACTTGCCTTACAAAGAACAAGTGGGGGGAGCCATTGTTTAAGAAATTTATCAGAACTCTAGTTTAATTATATTTTTAGCTTGGTACAATTGCTTTTAAGAGATCTTATCTGTATGTATAAGATGCGAGGGAGATGGAGTCCTCCCTGGGTTTATATTGATGAACGTGGTTTTGAGCTGTTCTCGCCACAATGCCACATAATATAGCCGGATCTAAAAACGTCTGGACTCTTTTTTTCGGCGCAAATTGAAAAAAAAATCAAGTGCTTAAAATGGCTTGGGGCTTACTCTTAAATGTGCGTCTAAAAAATACTGACCACAATTGTTTTTCTACGCCCTTGGCACAAACCTCAATCAAGTTCCTAGTTGGGCTTAATTAATCTATTTATTATTTCGTTCCATCATATTCCTTTTATAATTGCAGTGTTTTTGGTAACAAAGATGGTTTCTAAGCACCCTTGATAAAACCGCAAAAACAAACAAACAAAAAGAAGGTAAACCTAGCAACGGTTGATTTAATAATATATCTTTGACTGCATTCGCCTGGAACAATGAACATTTTTTTTCCTGCCTAACGAAAATAGGTTATGCTACACACAATCATTTATGCTCAGATAGATCAGATCAGCACTTTTTTTTTTCCAGTACCCTTCTCATTCTTCTCAATGGCAAAAAGTAATATTACGTCAACGTAGATACAACAAAAGGTATGAAAATAAGACCGTATGGCGTGAATTTATTAGATGGAGGGACAACCCGTTTTCTGGAATGTTTTTCTTTATTGTTTAATAGTTTTTGCCAAAAGAGGATTTTTTGTTTGAACAAAATAAAAATAAAAATTAGTGTTGTGTTACATTATTAAACCATAATCGACTATCTATTTTATTTTTCATATACATTTGCGAACCCCCTTTTATAAACAATTAATAAAACCATTGTTGTTTCTTTGTTTTCAACTACCGTTATTAAAACCCAACGAAATTAATGAACGTGCTTTCTTTTTTAGTTTCCTTTTGTCTACTAATGTTGGATATTCAAGAACAAGTTAGCAGGTTTTCATGCACTTGGTTTTTCACCACGTGCAAACAGAGGCTTATGGGCCCACACATAGAAAGGTTAAATTCAGGTAGGAGTTTGGTGTAACTTTTAATTAAAATACTTTATGGCCAACTTTTTCTAATATTCTCTTCTTCTTCTTTCTTATAAAGTATGTTTAAAAGTAGAAGAAAGCGACAACAACAAAAGTTGGCTGAAGAGGCCGAAGCAGCCGCAGCCGCAGCCGCAGCAACCAATGTTATAGAAACACCTAGCAAATATCAATTATTAGACGACATTCAGGTTGCTCATGACTTTCGGTCTTCAGTAATCTTGCCTCAATTGAACAAAGATCTAGATCCAAACAAAATGACGAGACAACAACAACATCTTCAACAATTACGTGAGATACCCGAGTCGCCTCCTTTATCACCCCCACCACAAAGGCTGTCAGAAAACGATGGTACTAAGCAATACCAAGAGTTGGCAGCCTGGAGACATCAGCGTAGCCAAAATAGGTATTCCAATGGCCTGTTTGGTGGTAAACAACGAGGTAGACCTAAGCCTAACCAAATCAAAAAGATTGTCGAAAATGAGCATGGTGAGCTTGAAGAAATCATTGTACAAGACAACACGGTAATACATAACATTTTTTATTTTTCATTGTTCCCTTACCAATTAAGAATAACAAAATAGACAAAACCATCCATTGTATCATTACTACAAGAACAAGATTTAGATTTCTCTGATGATGAAGAACCTACTGACTTTTTACCACCCCAAGAATCCTATGCACCAGAGGATTCAGACGAAGAAAACTACTTCTTTCAAGATTTTTCTACCACCGAAAAACCAGTGAAAAAGTCAAGTTCTCGTTCCAATAGACGTCACCCTGCTCCTACTGCAGGTAAATTCGACTTGTCATCATTTGCACGCGATTTACACGACCATCGTCTTTCAGTGATTCAACCACGTGAAAGCAGAATTATCATGACAGAAGATGATGAATTAGAACTCGAAAAACTTTTGCTTCGTCAAAGACAGCGTATGTCCATGATGACCATCAATAACGAAAGTATGGATTCTATACCGCCTCCTTTACCTTCTCTTGACCTATTCAAGTCCCATCAATTACCCGCCCTTAAAAGTGATCACAGTAGCACAGATAGTGATACTTCTCTGACATTAAAGAATTCTATTGTACAAAAAGGTACCACCACCCTGCTATTTCTTTTTCGTTTTGTTTGTAACCCCGACTTTTTCTGTTTATATTAGATGATGAGGTGACACAGATCACAGAGTCTGTGTACACTCCACATGTATATTCACCTCCTGTGCACACACCGATCATAGATACATCGGCTATAAAATCAATTCCTGCAGAATTATCCGTTTTACAAGACATACGAAAAGAGCCACTTGAACATGATAAATTACAACATCAAACACCTGTTCAAGTACCACCCATGCACACTGCACCACCTTCTCGTACTCCATCCATACGTCCTTTAGCTTCTTTAAGTGAGACCAGAATTTCAGCTCACACCCAGGATACGAAAAGACATAGTCCATCTGCCCATACAGCTCCCAAGCGTACAACCCCACCACCACCTTCTCGCACCCCCTCCGTCAGACCTTTGGCCTCTGTAAGTGAATCTGCTACTAGAACCTCAACAATGCAAAACCAAGAAAAAAAGACACACAGTCCACCACCATCTCGTACTCCCTCCATCCGACCTTTAGCCTCTCTCAGCGAATCATCCAGTATTTCGGTCCCGAAATTCGATCCCGTCAAACGCTCTATATCCACCACCAGCATACGATCCAATGCCACAACTAGTACGACACGTACACGTACACGACTTACACCCATTCATGACATAGAGTCCCGTCAAGCTGCACGAAAATCAATCAGTATGGATAATTTAAAACTGGTGGATGATAACGAACCTTCTGTTACCTCCGCTGCGTTAGATTGGATTAACGGAGACGCTACGCAAGACCCGACCTCATTTCTATACCGTAAAGCAGCTACACCGCAACTCGCTGAAGTGGCACCTAAGCGAAGTCTGTTTGGTAGTTTACGGCAAGTGAGTCGAAGTAAGACACATGCTGGTCATGGTGGTGTTACTTCAATTAAAGGGTTGGTCCGAAACTTTAGTTCTTCTCATAAACAAGATCCTGGTATGTCTCGTGCTGCCATGGCTGTGATTCAACATAACGCAAAGACAGAAGAACCACGCAGTACAACCGCAACAAAATCAGACGCCAATCTCATTTCGAATTTGATCTCGAGAGCTTCTTCAGGTCGAACTAAAGTGGTAAATATGGAAGATGCAGCTAAAAAGAAGAGAGCGCAAGTCGTGCGTCGAACGATTATTTATGTACAACCGGATTCGTTACATGATATGCTGAAAAATAATGGCGGCGTTCCTCCACCTGTTCCTTCCATGCCTTCAAGAAATACTGTACTTTCAGATCATTCACTGGATGATGATACAAAGGAATATGTAACAGCCACTAAAATTGTAAGACAGACGTCTGTACGTAAGCGTGTGGTGGATACAAACCAGCCTTCTGCAGTCTCTCGAGAGACATCTGGAAAACGATATCAACTCAAGAGCGTGGATGAACATGCCTTATTAAACGACGCGAAACATAGCAGTAGTAGTGGTAGTAGTGAAAATAGTGATTATTTAGAAGGTGTTGAGTTGAGAGAGATGAGTGATGGTACAGTGGTATGGGGACTTGTGAAGAAGGGAGGTTCCAGCACTTTAGACAAGGAAGAAGAAAGAATACCTGGATCACCGCCACCTATTCCTAAACGTTCCCCGCGACGACAAGAGACCAATGTGTATTATTCTGATCAAGACACATTACCGCACTTGTTAAAAATGATGCAAGGACAACATCCTGGTGATGAAGAAGATGCATACGAATTCGATCAACGCGCCATGACATCGGTTGATGATCAATTAGATGAAATGATGAGAATTTTGACAAGCCCGCAACATTAAAAAAAAAGATATCCCTTTACCCCATAATCATAATACTAATAAAAAATTCATGTCTGAACTAACAAAAACAAAAAAATTGCCTCACTAACCCACACAAAGGGCATTTGTTTGCTTGACATTATTTCCGAAAATGCCCTTTTTATTTTTCCCTTTGGTGTTTTTACCGAGGGTTCATGCACACGTCAATATAGACTTTTTTTCTATGTGTTCATTCAATAGTCCGGATGTGAATAAAGGATAACAAATGGATTTACAAACAAATTGAAATAAGCAATTAAATGAAAGTGGGAAAGGGTGAATGGTGCAACATTACATCTCTTCTTTTTCTACGTTTATTACTCTTTTTTATATCTCTTTTTATCTACATATTCGCAGCTAAAAAAGGTAATACCCATTATTATATATTATAAAAAGTCAATCCAACATACCAATAGCAATCAAAAAAGAAAGTTAGGGAGTTTTCATTATTTACATATCTACATATTCCAACAAATGAAATTTGGAGATCAACTCAACACTAAAATACATGAACCATGGCGTTCATCTTATTTGCAATACAATCAACTTAAAATCGAGTTAAAGCGACGCCAACTCGAACGAGGTTGGACCTCACAAGACGAATCCGAGTTTTCTCAAAAGATCGAATCCGAGCTACAAAAAGTCTACCAATTCGTGAGTCGCGGTCTGACCGAACTCGAGAAACGCACCCACTCCGCCGAACTCTCACTTGCCACCAAGAACTTTGACACCATTGCGGATTCGCTTACCGAAATCTTATTTGATGCCAACGATCTAGCCAAATTTCATCAATTGAATGTCACGGGCTTTGATAAAATCATCAAGAAGCATGATCGTTGGACCTTCCTTGATTTACGTTCCCACTACCATCATCGTCTCTCCCACGCTTGGCCCCTTGATAAACTCTCGCTTCAGTTTGATGTCTTAATCGTCAAGATCTCGGAGCTTCATGATATCTGTCATCTCCATGGAAACCCCAGATTACAACAACACGCTCAAGGCGCTGACCAAACCGCTTTTGAAAGAGCCACAGGTAAATACTGGATTCACCCTGACAACATCACCGAAGTCAAGTCTATCATCTTGTTTCATTTACCCGTCCATGTCTTCAACCAAAAGAAAAAGTATGAAGAATCCGATATGGCTGTCTCCAGTGTTTACTTTGACAACAATCAATTCGATCTCTATGATGAACGTCTTAACCGAAATGACGGTGCTGAATCTATCCGATTACGTTGGTACGGTCCTCTGAATGCAGACAATGATAGTGTATATATTGAACGAAAGACCCATAAAGCTGCTTGGTTAGATGGCAAATCTGTCAAGGATCGTTTCCGATTGAAGGAAGCGCAAGTGGACTCCTTCATCTCGGGTCAGTACACTGCCGACCAATTTGCCCAAGATTTACGTGTAGCTGCCAAAGGAAATCCCAAGAAAGAAGCTGCAGTAGAGGAAAGTCATTTTGTTGCTTCGGGTATTCAAGAATCCGTAAAGACACGTCATTTGGCTCCTGTCTGTCGCGTCTTCTACAACAGAACCGCCTTTCAACTCCCTGGTGATCAACGATTACGTATCAGTTTGGATTCAAATTTGACTTTTATCCGAGAGGACAAGAACAAGAACAGGTGGCGTAGAAATGATGTCGACATAGATTATCCGTTTCGTTCGGTGGCTCAAGATGAGGTATCACGTTTTCCGTATGCTGTGCTCGAGACAAAATTACAAACTCATTTAGGTCAAGAGAGTCCGGCTTGGTTAACTCGTCTCATTGAATCGCATTTGGTTCATGAGGTGCCTAGGTTCTCAAAATATTTGCACGGTGCTTCCATGCTGTTTAATGACAAGGTGCCTACTCATCCTTATTGGTTAGAACATTTCGACATGGACATTAGAAAAGCGCCTTTAACCAATGTGGGTTTATCCCGATCCATGAGCTTTAAACCTTTGGTCAATGGACATCATCGTGAGTCATTGCTTCTATTACACGAGAATGAAAACGGGTTTGTCAAGAGCAAGAGTCTAGGTGATTTACTGGATTTTGGGAAAAAGTCCAAAGTGCCTCATCTGACCATTAACCTGATGGATAATAATGCAAGCGACCCTCCAGCAGCAGCAACAGCAGCAGCCAAGTCAGGGCAAAAGGATGTGCTTTCACGTATTTGGAACTATGGTATACCAGGCCAATACTCCACACCATCGTTTTTCAATAACAGTAAAAAGCCGGAAGGTGAAGCCGTATTACCTCGTGCACGTTCAGATCGGTTTACAAGACCTCAAGTAAAGAAAATTGAACCCAAAACGTTCTTTGCAAATGAACGAACCTTTATTTCTTGGCTTCAATTCTGTGCTTTATTACTCACTGTTGCATTGAATTTGTTAAATAATGGTGATTATATATCCCGTATTATTGGTGCTGTATTTATTATACTTTCATCTTTACTAGCCATGTAAGTTTGTTTATGTATTTTTGCCCGTCTTTTCCGTATTAATCTTTTTTTTTTATATACATAATAGTTATGCATTAGCTAGATTCCAAATCCGATCATGGCAGTTACGAACAAATAAGCAAATCTTTAGATACGATGATGTTTGGGGTCCTACTGTCTTGTGTATTTTGTTGGTAACAGCCTTATGTGTGAACTTTTATCTGCGTGCCGACACTTTATCATCTACATATCATGAACCCAACTAAAAAAAAAAAAATTATTTAGAAAAAATAGAGAGGAAAAACCCTTAATAATAATAAAGAAAAAATTATCATGCAATCCCCCTATTTCAACTTCCTAGACTAACTACTTTGACTATTGCCCCTCCTTAAGCCAAGTGTATCCAATCATGAAATGATAATGAACAATGTGATAGTGATCATGTCTTAAATAAAGGGGTGTCTCTTATTGATGTGCGAAATATTTTTAACACCTTTTTTTTTTTTCCTTTTATTTTCCCTTTTTATCCTTGAAGAAATGAAATTCGGCCAACGTCTTATCGACAACCAATTTCCACCGTGGAAGAATGAATACATCCAATACGACCAACTAAAGTATTTTTTAAAATCAAGACAGTTCAGTGGTTGGTCTCGAGACGATGAAGTATATTTCACACAGACCTTGCTGATCACCGAACAAGACAGGGTCAATAATTTTATTCAGCTTAAAATCAAACAGGTCGGATCCGACGCTAGAAAGGTTCATGATTTGCTTCAATTCATTCAAATAAACGACACGGGCTTTTACAAAATATTGAAAAAACATGACAAGTGGACTGGCATCGTCTTGTTATCATCTCTCTATCCTGATATGCATCTTCAGTTCCAATCTTGGATCCATAGTTTACATCAGATCTCTAGTAATCACGTGCAGAAACAGGCGTCTCCTCCTGCAAAGCCTGTCACCACAACCAAGTTTTGGATCCATCCCGATAATCTTACCGAAGTACAGGCAAACCTCATGTTTCATTTACCTTTGACCTCTACAGATAGAATCAATACCGTCTACTTTGATCATCCCACCACTTTCAACTTGTATTCGGAACTACTGGAACGAAACGAAGAAGCAGAGATCATTCGTGCACGATGGTACATACCCTCTAAAATAATTGGTCGGGATAGTAAAATAATTAATTATGCTGTATGTATAGGTACGGAGACACAAACAGAGATGTTTATTTCGAGCGTAAAATACATGGGGAATCATGGGTTCATAACAAAGGTTCTTCCACAAAGACAAGAATCCATGTACCACAACACGAAGTGGCCAATTTTCTCTCGGGTCGTTCTCAACCTAGAGACCCCATCTTTCAATCCATGCAACAAAACCAGCTCAAGCCTACCCTGCGTTGTCACCATCATCGAGCTACCTACACCAACACTGCAGATCCCACTTTACGCATCTCACTCGATACCAACCTGACCTTTATCAAACAAGACTCCCTTGACAATAGTGACTTTCAACACTTGTTAGATCGCGATCAGGTTAACTATTTCCCTTTTGCCGTGCTGGAAATTAAAACCACCAACAATGCATCGATTCCTTCTTGGCTCACAGAATTGGTGGAGTCAGGGCATCAGCTGGTCTATGAAGTGCCTTATTTCAGCAAGTACATGCATGGTACGTCGCTTTTTTACCGTCAACTCTTACCTTTGCTGCCATGGTGGTTGGGGGAGATGAATATTGATATTCGACGTAAAAGTAGTTATGCGACGATCCAGTCACAACATAGTGGACAGTGCATTATTATTGAACCTCCCATTTTACCTGATTATACCTCACCTGTTCATCATTCAAGAGAAGAAAGAAGAATTGAAGAAGAAAGGGAGGAGGAAGAAGAGAAAAAGATCTTTAATAATTCTTCATGTACAGTGCATGACAATTCTCATCATCACCAAGAGACCTATACGCATGCCTATGATTCGTTTTTGAACAGTGCTATTGTGGTTAAAATGCGCGATATGAAGGAACTTTATTTCAACGACCCTGAAGGGCAACCTCGAGACGAGAACTATGTGAGTATGGTCTCTTGGATGTATGCCAAAGTCACGGACAACCAACAACTTTTACAAAGCGAGACGTCCGTCAAGAAGGGTAAAAAAAAAGTTGAGCCTAAACTTTTCTTCAGTAATGAACGTACCTTTATCTCATGGCTTCAGTTTAGTGCCTTGTTATTATCGGTTTCGTTGGGCTTAATTAATTTTGGTGATCATATCTCTCGTGCAAGCGGAGGCTTCTTTATTGTGATCGCCATGGGATTGGCGGCCTACGCCCAATTACGATTTCAGTACAGAGCGTGGCAGATTCGATTTCGTGGTAATTCGCGTTTCGATGACGTGTATGGTCCTGCCGTCCTCTGTCTGGTCTTGATCATTGCCCTCTTTGTGAACTTGGCTTTACGTGTAGGTCAACCGTTACCGGAAAACCCAAGTCCCTTTGGTAATCATCCTAACCAAACCACAATGATAGAAGATTAAAAACCTCTGTAAAAATAAGCCTTTGCTAATGATCCTCCACAACAAAAACAAAAATAAAAAATTAATTATTCCCCTTTTTACCCAATGCTTGGTTGTATATTTATGTGAGACAATTATCATTTCAGGCTAGACATAAGCTGTTATGCATCATTGCTTTTTTTTTTGGCATTCGCGTTAATCATGTTGTATGCAATGCACACGCACAAAAAAGCATCTATTATTTATCTATTTACCTAAAAATAGCAAACCTAAACATGATACCGAAATGAAACATTCTTTCAATAATTGTAATAGAAAAAAAGGCAACCTTGGGTCTGAGACTGCCGTTAAAAGCTCAAGATGAAAGCAGTAAAAAGATGTAGCCGGGCTTAATTTGGGGGAGCGTTGTCAAGGCAACAGAAAATGCGGTAAGATGGGCAAAATGATGGGTTATATTTTTAGCAAGTAGACCAAAAAAAAAAAAAAAAAAAAAAAAAAAAAAAAAAGCGTATGATTGTATGACAGCCCTAAATTATTGTTGGGGGGATCATTTACATCACAAAATTGTTGTATTCAAACACAATGCGTTGATGATTGATTCAACTCTTTAAAACTAATCAATTAGCTCTAAAGCACCTTCGAAAGTGCGGGTCACTATTTTAACCGGCTGACACAAGACATTGCCTGTAAGTGTCGTTGGGCTGCGTCGGCCAAGTATCCCTTACAAAAAAAAGAACCAAAATCCCCAATCTTTTTTTTTTGTTGAGTGTTTGTTCCAATTGATATGCTGAGCGCGCCTGTTGAAGGATGCTGAGTATGCACCCTGTTATTTGAGTAGATGAAAAAAGAGAGAGAGAGAGAGGGGAGAGGGGAGAAGGGGTTCAACACGTATTTAATTGTCTCCATTTGATTATGATCATTGATAGTTTTATAATGAAAATAACATTTTAACTTGTTTTGGTTTCTTTTGTGTACACCTTTTGCCAAAGTGATGTCGCAAGAAAAAAAAAAGTGTGTCGTATATTTCCAGAAATAAGCGTCGTACATTTTAAATCAGCAGTGTGACATAATCTAAAAAAGAGTGACCTGCCTTTTAAGAAAAAGATGTCGTATACAGTCGTCCTCAAAGGACGGCTTCACATTTTCTAAAAGGCGCTTTTGATTCATCTAATGGGCGGTTTAATTTTTCCCAAAGGACAGTTTTTATTTTTTTAAACGATTAATAATTGAAAGCTCAAGCTATCTCATCCATTTTTCTATTTATTTTGCCAGCAAGTGAGTTCATTTTTGTGAGAAGTTCTTTTTACAGAAATAATCTCATCTAGGCAGCGCTCCTTACATAAACAAAATCAGCTAAGCGCTCCTTACATACCAGACAAATGATTTTCTCTGTAATGTTCTTTAAACCTGTACCAGAATCGCACAATTTAACATATAAAATCGCATATAAAATCATTCCATCGATCCCTGATCGACAGGTACATAATATCATAACAGTCATAAATTATAAAGTATCCTGAGTTACACATTTACAACTCAGGGTTACTAGATATCCCACCGGGAGACGCCTCCATCAAAAAACGTTCGTCTTCGCCTGTATAGCCAATTCCATTTGCATCAATTAACCCAGTACTTTTACATTTTATAAACACTACTAAGATAGTCATCTAAATAATTTCACGAAGTCCACGATGTATCCACAATGAACTATAACTTTATTAAGGTAGCCAAATGCCTCGCTATGTAAATAAATCCACAATGCATCAACGCACTGGTTCTAAATTTTGGCCCATAGATAGAGTGTGGTGTTTTTATGGGCAAGGATCAATTGCTCGACAATAACGTAATCACCTACGTTAATTTTTTTTTCTTACAATACTTTAGATCCTTAGTGGATCACCAACGACGGCCCATGCAATATTCTGGTCTACCGCAAGATAGAGGCTTACGGGTAGCTTGGAGGTCTGTATGATAGCGAAAAGTAGCCTTAACTGTGATAATGGAAAATGTGAGCATTCTTTTTGATTTTTGGCGTTTCTTGAAACAGATACAAAAGTCGTTTTTTACTAACTTTTTCAGGGTATTTGTTACCTTTATTTAAAAATATAGTATTACACACGGTTAATCATATAAAAAAATAAAAAGAAGAAAGGAAGAAGGGAAGGAACAAGTAGGATGTCAATGGACGCGTAGATTTTACGGATAAAGATTACGCTGAAAATTAAAGATCACGTGAGCAATAAAAAAGACGTGTCTACCCATTCTCCAGAGAGGAGAGGGGTGTGGGGAGGCGTATGAGAAACCCTATTATGTCCAAGTGCCAAGGACACATGCTTTTAGATTATTAACTTTTTCCCGCCAATGAGTAAATCCATGTGAATTACAGGTTAATATTCCACCCCCTTTTTTTTTTACAAAATAATACTTTGTAGATGATAATATAGTTAAATTGGATGCGGCAAATAATTATGCAATGAGAGAGTCTCAAGACAAATTGATGAACATCATTTTGTAAACTCTGAGAGCAAAAAAAAAAAAAAAAAAAAAAAAAAAAAAAAAAAAAAAAAAATCACTTTTGCCCAAAAAAGGGTTGGTCGATCAATTTGTTTTTGAAGGTACGACTTTCAGAAGAAGGGTTCGCGTTTCCTTTTGGTAAAAATAGAAGCGTTTTTATTTGTCACACATAAACTTTTTTTTTTGTCGTTTGACCTAATAATCATAATAATCGAAAATGATTTCTTTTCTTTTTTAATTATTCCGAAATACGACCCATAATATTGGGGGTGGGGATTATGTTCAACTCAACATTTAATGCAATTGCAGGGTCAAAAAAGATGGCTAAAAATAAAATTTCTTTAAAGTTTTGGTTTGCTTGAAACAATAAACATTGTTAAAATAATGCGTTACACAAGGACCAGATCTTTTCATCATTTTTTAAATAAAGGGGAATTTGTTGTTAAGGTGTGTTAGGTAGAACAATCATTTAAGAAATGCAGGAGTTGGAATAGCCCCCATGTTATTTGACAGATAAGTTTTTTTTTTGCTTGTCGTGTTGGAAACCGATAGTTCACTCATCCAGAGAATAAATGCAGTATGCTATTTTAGGAAAGAGAGAGAAAAATAGTGTGTGTGAGGTCGGGTGCCGGTTACAGCAATAATAACAAGGCGAAGTGTTACACCAGTGATACCCGCTAGAATGAAAGGGCACCAAAAAAGATTTTAAAGGGGATTTTGGGTCAATGTATCAACAAAGTATAAACGTATGCTCAAGGCGATCTTCTTTTATACTCTAAACATTGTATTGTCTATTATAAAAATAGAAAATCTTACTTTTTTATGTTTACACTTGACCTTGTCATCACTGATATGATTTTTTTTTACTGAGCAACCCCCTAATTTTTTTTTTGTGTGATACATAAAATATTTGGTATCCCTTTCTTTTTTTTTTTCTTTTCTTTCCCTTTTTCTTCCTTATAAACTTATAAAAATGAAATACGGTCTTGAATTACAGGAGAACATCTTCCCACCATGGCGATTATCGTACATTTCATATGACATTTTAAAGCAGGAGCTAAAATCAAGACAGCTGGATCATGGGTGGACAAACCGCGATGAGAGTGATTTCGTACACTTGTTGGATAACGAACTCGCTAAAGTATACGATTTCGTCAATGCTAAACTATCAGAGATTGACGCACGAATTCTTTATTGTGAACGCACCATCCAAACCTTACAAAAGAACCCCAATATGAACTCGGACGCCAATTACAGCATCATGGATGAAGCACTCACAGACATCTTATTCGATGTCAACGATCTCTCCAAATTCACTCGTGTGAACTTCACAGCCATCCAAAAGATGCTCAAGAAGCATGATCGCTGGACCGGCCTCGACCTAAAGAAGACTTATGTTACCAAATTAAGAGAAAAGCCGTTGGATAAACAAAGATTTGACGTCGCCATTGTTTACATCTCTGCTCTTCATGATATCTGCCGTAACAGAGGTAAACAATCACCAGGCAATAGTGCTTCTGGTGGCGATCAGAACGCCTTTGAACGCGCAACAGCTAAATATTGGATTCACCCTGATAATATCACGGAAGTCAAGGCCATCATCATGTTACATTTACCCGTCTTGATCTTTAACAAGGCTAAAAAATTCGAAGCTTCGGATTCCGCTGTCTCTAGTATCTATTTCGACAACCCTAATTTCGATTTGTACACCGGTCGTCTCCAGAGAGATGAAATGGCTGAGGCCATCCGTTTTCGATGGTAAAAAATTAAATCTATTAATGTGACACTTATAAGAAAAGCAGGGGGACCTGTACACACACACACACACACACACACACACCCATACACACACACACACAACCTCGGCTTTTTTTTTTTCAACTAGTGTAGATTGAATTTTTAACTAAATTATAATAAGTTTTAACCCCTCCTCCTTTTAATCTAGGTATGGACCATATTCTTCAAAAAGCGTTTTTATCGAACGAAAAACACATCATGCAGTGTGGTTGGATGGTGCCTCAGTCAAGGATCGTTTCCGTATCGGAGATGACCGAGTAAATCAGTTTGTATCAGGCCAATACACAGCAGATCAGATTGCACAGGAATTGCGTAACAAGGGCGTAGAAGAGACTACAATCAAGGATACACATTTCATTGGTACAGGTGTACAGACATCCCTGAAAGAAAAGAAACTGGAGCCTGTAATTCGTGTCTTTTATAACCGTACTGCATTTCAGTTACCAGACAACCAACGTGTACGTATTTCCCTCGACACTGATTTAACTTTTATCCGTGAAGATCACTTGGACGGTGTGCCTCGTCGTCTAAATAACAACTGGCGTCGTCAAGATGTGGGTATCGATAGTCCCTTTCCACACCTCCAAGATCACGAGATCTTGCGCTTTCCTTATGCCGTCTTGGAGACCAAGTTGCAGACTCATTTAGGTCAGGAACCTCCTGCCTGGTTAAATTCCCTGATTGAAGGTCATTTGGTCCATGAAGTCCCTCGATTCTCCAAATACCTTCATGGTGCTTGCCATTTTTACAAGGACCGCTTAGCTCTTTTACCTTGGTGGCTTTCCGAAATGAATGTCGATATCCGAAAGCCCCGAGCTGAAAATATTGGACTGACTCGTTCTCGCAGCTTTAAACCCTTAATCGATGGCCGTTATCGTCGTGCCATGATTGAAGAAAAGGAACGCATTAATAAAGAAGCCGTCATCAATAACAAAGATGTATCTCCTCCTGGTTTTTCCAAACAAGGTGCACAAGAACTAAACAGAAGAAGATCCATTACAGATGAAAAGGGCGCTTGGAAACCCACCAAACGTGAAGAATTTTCTCTTGTCGACTTGAATACTTCCACTCCCAAAATACCTCCACCTCTCGCTCAAAACCATTTACCGCGTGATCGATTCCCCACCAATAATCAGAGCACCAACAAATTTATCAGTAGTAGTAGTGATCTATACCATGAAGATAAGGGTCAATTACAGCCGCCTTCTACAAAGTTCTATCAGGCGGGAGATAGCATCAATGGAAGTAAAGGTCGTTTAGTGCCTTCCAATGACATTGTATTCAAAAAACAACTAGGTTCACCTGTCGACATTCTCGAATTAGAAGATCTCGAAAAGGGCAAAGGCGGTGGCGCTGCTGGTGGGGGTCGTTTGAAGGTTAAAGTTAGGGTTGAACCTAAAACCTTCTTTGCTAACGAACGTACTTTTATTGCTTGGCTTCAATTCTGTGCTCTCTTACTCACAGTCGCTTTAAATCTGTTGAATTTTGGTGATAGTATCTCTCGTATCATTGGTGGTGTCTTTATCGGTTTAGCTGCCGGTATTGCCATTTATGCATTATACAGATTCGAGAAGCGTGCTTGGTACGTCATTATTTCATTTGCATTCTGCCAAAATGTACTAACTTTTTTTCTTTTTCTTTTTTTACAAAGGATGATTAATCGTCAAGATCAAGGTCGTTATGACGATATTTGGGGTCCTGCTGTACTTTGTGTCTTGCTTGTTGCAGCGCTCATTGTCAATTTCTATTTACGTTTCTCATCCACATCTACTCCTGCTGCAGGCGCAAACGGTCAACCCACTGCAGCATAAAAACCTTTTTTCCTACACTAATATCTATTTATTTTTACCCTTTTTTTTTAAACATTTATTTTCTTTCTTTTAATAATAGTATATCTCCATCCCTCCAACACCCCCTTCCCACTACTCCCCTTTCGCATTTTTCTTTTTTTTTCCACGCTATTAAATGAAAACCTTGTAACACTGTCAAATATAAATAAAATCTACCTATTTTTTCTTTCTTTCTTTTTCTCTCTCTTCTCTGCCATATTTTTTTTTAAGATGGTGAAACGAATTCATAAATCGTTAAAGCGATCAAGTGTAGATCTAGACCCACCGGAAAACAAAAGTATGCTACGTTTCACTGTCCTGTATTTACGTGGTCCGTGATATATATATAGCCCTGACATAAAAAAAGACCGAAAAAAATACTGACTCCTTCTCATTTGTCAATCTGCAAAACAATAAAGACATCATTATGGGTTCACTCTTAATCCTTAAACCCATCGTGTTATATCTTGTAGCGCTTGGTATCTTGGTAGCCTCATTGTCTTACATTTTCCAAACCTGCAAAGATCTGGTGCTAGACACTGTATGCCCCATGCCGATGCTTGGGACGTATTTACCCATGTGTCGCCATTACATTCGTAGCGTACCTGATTTCACACATTTCGTCAAACTCCAGGAATCATTGTACGACGGCATGCTATCGCAGGCCAATGCAGACTCAATTTCTGCGCTCGAATTAAAGAAAGTGGAGCTGGCGACACGCGATTTACAAGTGATGATCAAGTATTCCAACCTGCTCAGCCATGATCTATTAGAGGCCAAATTGGGAGAATATATCGCTCGCTCACGACGATTCGGACGAGATATCCAGAGCTTGCAGGCTCAGACCAAGGGCGTGATTGATAATTTGATCACGTATAATACCTTCACCTTTCGAAAATTGCAGGAGGTGGAGACCAAGAAATCGAGTCGACAGGATTTAAGGACGCTGTATGAACAGGCAATGAGTTTAGTAGAAAAGGAAGCAAAGAGGTTGATCCTGGCCATCGAAAAAGCACAGAGCTCACTGGATTTGCTGGAGGAAGACTTGTATGCTGTGCATGAGATTTCTATGCAGGAAAAAACTTACCAGAAATCAGAAAAACCGGATATTTTAGCGGATTTGGTGAATATGGTACGTGGCAAAGGTACAAGAAGATCATTGATCAATGAGAATCTGGAACTGTTGGTGAATTTTGACTTGGGTCGAAGTCGGGCTGCTGCTCAACTGATGGTCATGCTCGATCGTATGGAGGCTTTTCAAATGGATCTGGAGGAATTAAGAGCTCAAGTCGTAGCTCCCATTTTGGTGCCAGACTCTTTACCTCTGGAAATGCATATTGAAAACGTCGGTAAAGCCATTGAACGGCTTAAGAGTGGAAAGGTTATTTCTTGGGAAGAAAAGGCACAGATTGAATAAAAAAAACTAAAAATATTTGACTGGGTTTTTTTTTTCTTTCTCTCTCTTTTAATATTTTTTTTTTTTAATTTAACAAACATCATGGATAATCAAGAAGATGCCGATGAAGGAAAGATCGTGTATGATTGGAGTCCTCCCAGTGGAAAGAAACAAAACTTTTACTACAAGGGTGCTCGCATCGACAGAGAGCATGTAATACCTCAACTCATCTATTTCTATTTCTTGTCTTATTAAACACACCCCCTTTTTATACTTTAGGTCAACAAGATGTTTGACTCGTCTAAAATAAGAGAATGTAAAGGTCATAAAGAAAAAGTTCATACTGTAGCTTGGAACTGTGACGGTAGAAAGCTGGCCTCTGGTTCCGTCGATAAAACTGCGCGTGTATGGTCTCCCCACCGAGGCGTAAGTAGACATACATCAATCAAAATAGCCCAAAAAAACTGACGTGGAAAAAGAACAGACAGATATTAGATATTCCATTGAATTAAAGGGACATACAGACAGCGTAGATCAATTAGACTGGGATCCAACACATCCGGATCGATTAGCTACAGCCTCGTGTGATAAAACCGTGCGTTTATGGGACCAACGATGTAAACCTATCCAAAAGAGATGAAACACACAAACTTCTTTTATACTAATACACGTGTGTTCTAAAAAATATATATATAGCTGGTAAATGCACAGCTGTTGTGGCCACAGATGGTGAAAACATCAATATCTGCTGGAGTCCCGATGGCACCAACATTGCGGTAGGAGATAAAAACGACACGATCAGCATTATCGATACACGCACGCATAAAATCATTGATAAACGCAAGCACCAGTTCGAAGTCAATGAAATTGCTTGGAATAACGCCAACAACCAATTCTTTGTCACTACAGGTCAAGGCACCATCCTCGTCTACGATTATCCTTCCTTTGATTTACGTGCTAATTTACGTGGACATACCGCCAATTGTTACTGTGTAGAAGCAGATCCCACCAGCAATTATTTAGCAGTAGGTTCGGCTGATGCCTTGGTGACTTTGTGGGATACCAAGACTTTTCAATGCGTGCGTGCCTTTGAGGAGCTTACGTAAGTTTTATGTGTGTGCGTGTCAGATACAAAAAGGGCTTACACTGTAATATATATATATATATATTAGATGGCCAGTGCGTACACTTGGATTTAGTTTTGATGGTCAATATATCGCATCTGCTTCTGAAGATCATTTTGTTGACGTGGTAAGTCAATCATGAGAGAGTATAGAATAGACAGGAAGGAGACTCATTCATCTTTTATATAGTCGCATGTGGAAAGTGGAGAATCAGTGCATCACATTGAGTGTACTGCTGCCATGAACACGGTTGCTTGGTCACCTCGTGATTACTATTTAGCCTATGCTGGTGATGAAACCGCCGATGGTAAATATGCAGGCAACCTCAAGATCTTTAGCATGAAGGATCCTAGAGAACAAAAATAAAAAAATAAAAAATTGTACACATCTCTTTTGTTTTATTACAAAAAAAAAAGAAGATAAGAATTTATTCAGCCTTAATGGCTTTTTCGGCTTTCTTGATGGAGCCTTTGTCAGTCTTTGGTTGTTTCTTTTCATTCACCATGCCAAATGGAGCTTCTAAACGGAAAGGACGCTTCAAGTCACCGGTAGTGGGAGAACCCCAATAGTGAATACGCACTTCCTTAGTCATCAAAAAGGTCTTGAAACCAAGAATAGATTGCACCAACAAGGGTTGAACATAACCAAACTTGAAATGAAGGAACGTGATGAGAAGAATACCCATGGCAGATTGCTTCACAGTCTTGTGCACTTCGGCAATGTCATAATCTTTTTTGTACAAAAAAAAAAAAAAAAAAAAAAAAAAACGCATTAATTCTCTTCTTTACTTGTATCCCCTTCCATTGTTATTATCGCTTACCCATAACGGTAGTATTGATCAATTGATCGGCGGTCTCGGTACCATCCCAACTTTGAGAAGCAGGTTCAACATACTTTAAAACGGTTTGATCTATCAAAATTTCGTCAGGAACCCTCCCAAACACTCACATATGAGGAATTTTCTCCCCCACAGTACATCATGAATAAACTTACCATTCTTTTGTCTAATTTTGTAAATCAAGAGATAACTAAGAGCAACAATTGTAACTTGTACACCCAAGTATAAAAGTCGAAGACTTGATACATAATTATCCAACTTGATAAACTTTCCTAATTGTTGAAAGAATAAGAAGGAGCCAATACTAAAGTAAGGTGAATTTAAGAGTTTAAAGTAATCAGTCATGGTGTAAAAGAGATGATGAGCAACAACAAAAAGGAAGGAAGAAGAAAAAAAATTAACGTTATATATTTAAGGGGTGGAGCAAAAGAAAAAAAAATTATTATTCAAAAGTTAACCAACCACAGCTTTGTGCCACCCAACCTCTCCATCTACTGAATCTAATTGTGCTTTTTTTGTTCTTACGCGCACTACTTTTTGACAAGTTGCCCTTTAATTTGTATCACTATGGGTTAGACAATATTCCCATTGCGTATAGTTCCCACTCTTTTTTTTTTTCATCTACAGTCAATCGAAATTTACAGCTGCACTATGAACACAACTGTAATATTTATATTTACGCATAAAACTTGGACTTGGAATATCGCATATCTATTTTTATTATTTTATACTAACCATGTATCCTTGCCCGTGCATATTGTAGCTCATGAGATAAATATACAAACACTAATCAATGGAGTGTGTGCTACAAAGGATAGTTATTACTTCACTGCATTTCCTTTTACACAAATGTATGTGATCACAGCTTCATCCGAGTTATACGACCTACTATCATATACTTATAACCTATTCAGATACCAAGTTAAGTACACAATTGAACTGTTACTTATTTTGCAGAGCAGAAGGGTAAACGATACGTTGCTTATTCGTATTTTGCCTTATTTCAAGATGCCTATTGTTGTCTATATCGATCAACAGCAAATATTTATGAAGCATGTTCCGCAAAACAGGCTGAAATCTTTCCTTCGATCTAGTGGAGCAATAACAAGTATTTTGCTGTATTAATCGAGATAAGAACATCGTCGTTACAATCGAAACAGTGTCCGATAAATCATGCCACTCCTTCATTGAATATCTGATATTTTATAGGTGTGTCTCCCAAGAATATTTCCCAGCTACGGTAAAATGTTGGCCGAATCCTATAAGATTCCTGGTAAATTAAACACAGTTAAAGCTGACAACAATCACGAAAAAATAACTGACACCCTCACTTCAGGCATGATAATAACCTAATCAATCCCGATGACAAGTGGCAATCCAATGTCAGGGAACTTCCAAGAAAGAAGATGTCATATTCGTTTGGTTCATTGGAAGCAACATGTAATGATGATGCTTGTGTAAGTCATCTGATTATTATTATCAAAAGCACCCATAGGGGGGTTTATATTTACACTCTACCAAATGCGTCTAAACCGAGAATTACACCAGCAGAAAGAAACGTTGTTTCCCAAAAAATACCTATTTGGGACAACACAGTTTTTTTCTTACACATAAAGCTTCTCCTTTTTAAGGAATTAGTCGTCAGCATTTCACTTTGTATATTTAGGGTAATCTGACGATATGGCATAAAAAAGGGGTACGTTTGTCGGTGGAACTGTCAATATTTGTACTAAGCCATTTCATGCCATAGTCTCTGTAAATTCTTGGTAAATTCTACAATCACATGTATCATCATGTATACTCCCCATCTCTATCGCATACAGAACCATCTTTCTTTGAAAGCTTGGATTTTTATACTATGAACAGGCCAGAAAATTTATATCAATCAAACTATCGTTTATGAGCCGAAGGAATGCTTGACTCTAGAAGGTATGATTATTTCACTTTAACAATTAGACACCCAACCATAACCCATAACATTTAACGCAATAACTATAATGATGTTTTTATTAATAACAATAACCCGGAAGAGTCAACGGGAGGGGGTTCTTTTTTTTTTAGTTAACTTGGGTGGGCGACCTCAACGAGTATTTGAAGCCTTACCCTTTCCTTTTGCTTTCTTAATATTGGAGTGGCCAACATCGGTCTCTTCACGTTTTCTTTTTTCATAATTGAGTTTTTTAAGGCGATTGCCCGAGTGTTGTTGAGACGATTCAGCTTGCTGGGAAGGCTTGTCTGGTTGACCAAGAAGGGGTTCTGCAAGCTCATGGTGTCTGGTATGTTCAGCTTCCATGGAAATGTGTTCTTTTACTTGCTGAATGGACATGGCTACATCTCGTCTCTCTTCCTCTTCTGCTGCGGCCTTAAGGAAAGCTTGCTTAGCCGCTATGCGCTTTGACTTCCTTATCGTGAGAGTACTAGATAACTCACCAGAGCCAGTGGGCTTGATCACCTTCTTCTTTGGAGCTGACTTTGCTGGCTTTGCTACGACTTCAAGATTGGTTGTTGCCTTGGCCTTTCTACCTCGTGGGTGTTTCTTTCGCAAAGGCACTTTGACAGGTGCTTTGCCATGTACTTTAAATGGCACTTTGGCAGACATACACGCAATTAAACCGAGAAGTGATTTAGAGACCTGCTTAGCATACACAGAACGATTATCCTCTAAGGGGATAGTGAATTCAATGCCGGAAACTGATTCAACGACAACTGGCTTTTTCTTCTTTCTGGACTTGGCAGGTGAGGAAACTTCGAAATGGTCTCTGCTTGCAGAATGGGAAGCAGTGCCCAAGACGTTTAGGCCCTCAGATGCCACAGAGTCCATTTCTTCATTAATAGTATGAAGAGAGGATGGTGGAGGCTTAGGATGAGCGGCTGGACCTGGTTTGAGATTAACCTGGCCAAGAGCTGGTTTGCGGTTGGCATGGCTAAGATCTGGCTTGAGTTCGACCAGGTTAAAAGCTGGCTTAGGGTGAACCTGACCAAGAGTTGGGTCGAGGTTTTCCAGGCTAAGACCTTGAGGTTTGTAGGCTTGGCAAGGTTGTAGATGAGGAAATAGCCCATGTCTGGGCTTAATAGCCAATGGGCGAGCAAGGAGACCAAGTGGTGGAAGTATAACCCTTGCGGGCATAAAGGCTGATGAAGCCAATTGATACAACGATGGGAGCTCTTGAGGTGGCTGTCCCAGTTGGTGAAGTGGTGGTGTGTTTCCAGCTGAGATATTTTTCAGGTCAGCATTGTTGTTGCCAACAGATTGTTGATCTGCGGTTGATTTATTGGTACTGTCGTTAAGACTACGGTCTAAATGAAATACAGACTTAATCATTTGCGTTTCTGGTTTTTGTACGGGAACGTAAAAAAATACTTACCTTGTAAATTGTCAGATGACATGCTTGTTTTATTCACAAAAAAAAACTGTGTGAAGAAGATGAAAAGGAAAACAAAAAATAGGAAGGTTTATATATTGTTTTTTTTTAAAAAAAAAAATTGTTTGGGGAAATTACGCATATTTCTTTAATTGCTTAAATCGATCATCGTCTGGATGTATACTACAGGTCATAAAGTGTATTTATTATTCTCTAAACTTGTATCTATTCCTTCATTTTTCATATGAATCAGTAGAGAATATATTTAAGTAGCATTCATTTGGAAACTTGAACACTTTTTTTCCCATTTCCTTTGAGATGGGTTTGTTTATTTTTGATGATTAGTTAACATCTATTTGTTACGTAATTTTTAAGATGCTGCTGTGTTACGATATATTTTTGGTATATGATTTAACGTCATGGTGTTATCTTTTACTTTTTTTCTGCCAATCAATGTGCTGAACACTGAGACCACCATCTGTTTTATTGATTGTTTATACGCCGTTTTTTCAGATGAATGCTGAGTTTCAACAAGGACGTGTTTAATAATTTGTGAAAGACTGTTCATGTCCTTAATATTCTAGCTACATCTACTACTACTTTTTACTGCGCAAAAGCAGCGACTACTTGATTTGGGCAATTAAAATACCGGCCTGTCAAAAATAGACTTTATATTACACAAATCGCTCTATTTGTTTTTTTTTAGGTATTTTCACTTTCGTACATATACATTGCTTTTCGTATAGTTGAAGATCCAGGGTTGATTTTAAAAGGGGATCATTTCATTAATGATAGTCTATGTATTTACTATGTTGATTGTTGCTATCATTGCTTATTTGAAATCAAGTTTTCTATCCTGCTTTCTATTTATTTATTATTATTTTGTCAATTATGCACCCTTTCACTGTTTCAAATGTATCCATAAGCGAAAAAAAAAAAAAAAAAAAAAAAAAAAAAAAAAAAAAAAAAAAAAAAAAAAAAAAAAAAAAAAAAAACTGGTATAAGATACGAATTTTGTCTGGCAGTTAAATAACAACGGGACGAGCTCTTTTTTAAAATAGCATCCTTATGAGTTTGTGTGGATATGCAATAAGTGAATCTGCCATAGCCTTTCTTCAAGCTGATGGGTGACAGGAGGAGAAAATATTTATTCCAAATATTGTAATCATTAAGATCTTTCAGCTTTTTTTTTTAAAAAAAATCAATAATAATAAAAAAGACGCCTATTATTCGTGTGTTTCAAATAGGTATTAATTGAATCAGAATAACTTGGGGCTCGGTAGTTACCATGTATGCATCATCCAGCAATAGATGAACGCCAATAACATCCTCGAGACAGTTAAACCAATTAGTGTCTGTACGTCAATTTTTCTCTTATCATCATGATAAGATAAACACAAGCGTTGCGACTGCTTTCAGTAATACAAGTGAAGTTGAAGATAGGATCATGAAGTGTAAGTGTACCATCACGTTTAGAAGCTTGTACAAACCCAAATGCGTCGAAAGTGGCTTCACATTGGATTCTATCCTACGATCAATGGTTTCAGTGAATGAAAAAACCAACCCATCAACATCTATTTGCAAACAGATAAATGACAGCCGTTTTTATTATCTTATGATTTACAAATACAATTGTAAGTACTCGTATAAGATTCATCCACGGTTGTGACCTCTATATCATATACAGTAAATACAATAGGCTGACCTGATTTGCCAATCTCATCATCCACATTAATAGAAGTTGGGTGTCGAGATCTGAATGTGAAGTAGAAGTCATAGCACCTTTTGGCACAGTCAGCCTCTCCAATTTTGTCTTCATCTCTATTAAGGAATCCTGCAACAAAATCTCCAAACACCATAGTCATGATCAAACAATTGTGACTAACGTGTATATTCATTCATTTTTATGATAAATAATACGTCAAAAATCCATAATTTGCAGTAAGGGTTGGATAGCAGCAAATCATCTCCGGATCTCACTTATAAACTGAGGTAATCCTAAAGAAATTTCAAATTGATGCTCGATCTTGGATGTCTCGGATAGCAAATCGAAAACAACTGTTATGTCAGATCCATCTTGGCTTTCTTTGTAGGGATCTTTTACTTGCATTTAATTCTCATCATCCACTTCTTGATAGCCTTTCATAACATACTTCGTTTCACTTCCTAAATGATACCAAGTTTCCCAGATGATGTGATTGCATAATAAAACAGGTGCTTCTGAACCCCGTTATATATGCAGTGACTTCAACATAAGCACAAATGAGTTACCTGATAATCTATCTGCTTCTGGCGTAGGAATATCCATCTCTAACGTGGCGATATTAAACCTGGTCTTTTTAGTTGTGGTATGGCTGCACACGACCATAATAATTTTGATATGCTTTTAATAAAAGACAAGAAGCATTGGTCATACCCTCTTTTTTTGTGCCAAGATATCATATCGATGCTTATGAAGTGTCCAACATCACACCATCCTTTTCTTACACTCCACATCTCACGAATGCTATTGAACGCCAAAACAAAACAAAAAAAAGTCCAGCATTGAAGGCAATAACTGAAGGTATATTGTGGCCCAAAAGATTGCAATGTCAGTCAAATTTAGCCAATGCAGGTACTGGTAATGGCTTTATCGATTCAGTGATGAGGTGAAACTGGGTTTGCTTTATGATCTAAAATTAAACTCGTCAAGTATCATGCACGCAATTCAAAAGAAGAAAAAAAGGGCACTTCATTTTAAAACCAGCTTCTATGAGCAATGGGTGTCTGTAGCGGACTATGAAGGCTGGATGCAGGTCTGTGCTTGTACCTTGAGCCAATATGTTGTGTCATTTATTCTAATTAATATCACTGTCTAAAAATACAATCATTTCGCTTGATTTAAGTTTCGGGGTGCGGTCAAAGGGAAAGTCAGGACATACACCCAAGCACATAAAATAGGTTATGCCAAATCGCTGAGAGGAAAAGAGCCCCACCCCCTTTTTTGCATACACAATTGACCTAAAATCAGGCACCATACACTCTAACTACGAGTTCCTTTTAGTTTATGTTATTGCCAGCTTTTCTAATTTTTGCATCTCCAGTATCAGTCGGAGATGAATGCTTAAAATGTCACTAAAACGCGTTTGGAAACGATTCAAAATGCGGATGCGCTCTAGCCAAATATTGTTATTGTTGAATTCCCCCAACAAATTTTTCCTACACATCTTTCATTGTATCCATTTAGCGTGAACTTTCTCTTCCGAATAGCTATTACTTGTTAAAACAGTAGCCTCACAAGATAAAATTGCACTAATCTGTAGTAAAACGGATCTAATGGATGGTCTATCACTAAGTAAACACTTATTGTAAATAGAACAATATAAAAGAACCTCCCTTTTTTTCTTCTTTTCTTAGGGACCACGAAACAGGGTGTCCGTTGAGATTTATCTTATATCCCAAGTGGTTTTTGAAATTGGTAATCGAAAACCAGACGATAACCACTTGTGATAAAAGGTAACCCAAAGGAGGGGAAGATCAATTTAGATGAGCTGTAAACAAGTAAGCATGTTTATGTCAGAATGTAAACATTGATTGTCTTCTTGAAACCCGACAAACTGGTTAAAAGCAGCAGCAACATAGAAAGAGACGCACTGATATTGGAGGTTCCCTTTTTATTATCATGAATTAATTGCATGAGCTATTTACTCCCATGTATCTTATGGGAGCATCTACATCATGTGTAAATAATGCAAGCGAAATCCCCGGTCTTTCAACAAGAGAAAGCCCAGGCACAAATAGTTGAAGTAGACTTGCTTTAAAATAAGGTTCTCATAGTTCATGCGATATTTTGTGACTAGGTAATTTCAAAAAGAGAAGATGAATGAAATGTGAGCTGGGAGGCTATTTGATGGTTAGCTTGATAAGCTAGGACAAATGCTTTGCTAATGATGAGGAAGGATAAAAGCCGGAACGGGAAAAAAGGGAGTCCCCCTCCTAAACAGGGAGCGAACTGAGATTTAAAAAGAGAAAACGGTACAAATTTTTTTGTGTTTGTTTCTTTTTTTCACTAAATTTTTTTTATTTTTTAATTATAAATATGGGTGTGCGCAATGATTATAGGGTGTCGACTATTATTGTGCTATGTAAGGACTGCAACCAAGATGTAGGATTATATCCAGCACGACATCAATGCAACGTCAAACGACCCTATTTACCCACCTTGTGTTCAAGAACCGATGATGTGCCTGAGCTCATTCCATCGTCCACCGTAACCAGGCAGGCCTCCGATAGCTCATTGGAGAGCGGCAAATGGAGCTTTTTTCGGTCTTCTCCTGCAGCAGCAACAGAAAATGTCAAAAATGAAGGTTATTTCGACACTTCTGCTTGTGACATCGGAGTCTCATCAGGCAAAAAGATGTGGTCTAAAGTGAAGGAAAATGAAAAGTGGAAGGAGCTTGTTGACAAGAGTAAAATCATAAAAGACAGAGAAAAAAAAGATCTTGTATTTACCATTGATTAAGTAGAAGAAGAAACAAACAGACCCAGCAAACTGTGGTCAAGAATTATACAGGCAACAATGTCAACAGAAGACGAATGTGGACCAGGTATTACGAATAAAAAGAGGGGGTCAGAAAAAGTGACTAAATAGAATAAGCAATTTAGAGTCAGATGAGGATGATTGGGAGGGAGAAACGCACGTTTCAAGGATTTTGCGGGACTATTACGAATCCAAAAACAAGCCCCTTCCTCATTGGCTTTTTGACGAGTCAATAAAAGAAACAAATCGAGGCAGACTATGGCAACCAGACGTCAGATTATCCGCTAGAGAAAAGGAGTTACAAGAATTAAAAAGTACTACAATATCTCGTACTCAAAGTGAGCGTACAAGGCCATTTGATGATGTCGTTTACGGTTCAATAGCACCGAGAAGAACAAACACCACAAGAGCACCGGCTAAAAGTTACCGCCAAAATATACCTTACATTTAAATTAAATTACTGCCTTTATCATTTTTACACAGATAACGAAAAAAGAAAAAAAAATGCGTCTGATTGGTCGAATCCGATAACAGATATATACGCTATATTTCATACATTTTTTGTCACGCTTATCTCCAATGACACTGTTCTACGGGTCACATGTACCCGATATGATTTATTGATGTCAATAAAAGCTATTTTTCCCACACGACCTTAAATAATATCATAGGGAGATGGACAGAAAAAAGGGGTGGGTACGATAAGAACGTCATGTGATGTGGAATGATTGGCTCAAAAAAAAAAAAGATTCATGCTTTCATGTCTATAAAAAAGCTATCTGTTTTCCTTTTTCTTTTTCTTTTTTTTTCTTCTTAAAAGAAGAAAAATGTCATCTAGCAGTCAAGGCATTTTAGGTACTTCACCCAACAAAGGAAACACATTTAGTTTATATGCAGAGTCATCATCTACTCGTCGAGGATCTGTTTCTATCAATGATTCACCTAATTTTCAACGGAGGTTGATTGATTCCACCTTATCGCAAGCAGTAGAATTAGCAAAGAACTTTGTTCCTCCCCGCCTGTAAGCCTTAAAAGAACTTATTAAATAAGTCACTAACAATCATTATTCCTTCATTAGAGGTGGAACAGCCAGTGGAACCAACTCTGGTAATCACTCAAGACAGAGCAGCTATCAAATGCACTCACCCATGAATTCACCCAAAGAACAGCCCAAAAGCATTGATCCCATTACTCTTTTAAAAATGGCTCCCAACGTCGTCAAAACCAGAAAGGGGAGTGTTTTGGCTAGAAATACCATCTTGAAAATGGATCACTTTTCCAGTGGTAAAGAAAAGATATACAACCCAACAACAAAAAAAATACCCTTATCTAACTTTGTATTTCAGGTACCAATACCAATCTCGACTTACATCTTCAAGGTGCCCCCAATTTTCGCGTGGCGGAGTTAGATGTCTATGGCGTAGCACAACCCACCGTAAGTATATTTTCTTTTTAAAATTGCCCAACCAACTGACGAATCATCAAATGAAGGTGATTGGACTTTCTACAATTTTAGCCATCTTAAATTGTCACCCAAAGAGTTTGAATCAAACGACATCATGCACATGGTAAGAATAAAGAAAGAAAGTGTTTAAGAGAGAGAGAGAGTCTGATCTAAAATTCATTTCTAAGGTTCTCAACCCGTGAGGAGCCTCTAGGTAAAACATATTTAAAAGAGAGAGAAGGAACATATTATTCACATTGATATCATTATTGCAGTTTATTTAAATGGATCCCCCTATGTATTACGTGAGTATGCAGATCCAATGCAAAATATGAGCGCCTTTCTGGGCATCAACTCGGTGCGCTTAGAGAAAGTTGAGGAAAGATTAAAATTGGACGTGGTAAAGGAAGCAAAGTCATTGGGAGGATTAATTTTGGTTCATCAAGAGCTGTGTAAGTGTATAAGTACGAGCTTTTCTTCCTTTTTTAAACTAACCCTGTCTTTCTCTTTTACAGCGGATGGCACAGTCGTTCCGTGTTATATCGCTGCCGATCAGGTACAAACCCCCAAAGAAGGTAATATTAGAGTTCGGATTTATTAAATATAGATGTGTTAAAATGTGGCTCTTTTATAGTCTTTAGATCGTTTCAAGAAAACGGTTACCGCCTAAACTACTTTCGTATTCCAATTTCACCCAGTCAAGCACCTGAGGATAATTACTTTGATGAATACATCAATGTCATTCGTAATTTAGAGCCCACAGATCCACTCATTTTTAACTGCGGTATGGGTGCCGTCAGAAGTAAGTAAAATTGTTATTCTAAAAGATTAAGGTTATTCATTCGGGCGATTTTTTTTTATATATAGCAACGGTTGGAATCATTATTGCTCAAATCATTCGTCGTACTCAACTGATCGAACTGGGCAAACAAGACCCATTTCCAATCCCTGGTTGGAGTTATGAAGGAAGTGGTCCTGATGAATTAAACTTGAATCGTTATGTAAGAGGTTTAGAAGAGGCCGAAAATGTTAATGCCAAAAATAACGCTGTTTTACGACTTGTCCTGATCCTTGAGAAAGGTAAAGTAGTTTTTAAATTTTCATGTTTGGTATTAAAAAAAAAAAAACTCAAATGGGATCCCCTTCTAGCCCTTGATACAAAAATGTCTTCTCATTCGGCTATTGAATGGGTGCTACAACGCAACTCCATGATTGAGAATTTAAAGGAAGCCGTGATGGGGAATTACCAATCCATTGTTTCTTTAACAACTGTGCTTGATAGCGGTACTTTTAGTAAGAAAATTCTGGATGCTGTCATTGATCGATGTAAGTTCTACCTTTTTTGTGTGTGTGTTGCATACAACATGTATTCATCTCTTTTTCTTAGCGGATGCTGTGATTAATTTACGTGAATCCATCTTGACAAACCGTATCCGACAAACTACACAAACCTCTTCTGCCGATTACGACGAGAACAATTACTTGAATAAGGCATTGGGTGGATTGCAACGTTACTTTTTCTTACTCTGTTTCACAGCCTATGTGAACGAATCACCCAATACAAAGTTCGAGAAACGATTTTCTTCATGGGTCCGAGCTCGAACCGAAGTATGGGCCATGCTCCAGAATATGCGTAGAAAGGGTCCTCGTTTATACATGTTTCGCCCCGTCGAGGATTTACATCATTTAGCCAGTCCTACAAACTCTCTTCAACATCATGGTAAAGATTCCCAGGGAATGTTTGGTATGACAGGTGCTGGTCCTCAATCCAATGATAACATTACGGTCGAAATGGAAGAGTTTGTCATCAATGTAAGCCATATCTTTTTGCTATTTTCATGGTATCTTTTATTAACCAAAAAAAAGTCTCGTACAGGTGTAGTGCTTACCTCGCAAACCATCCTCAAGGTTGATTTCTGGCATTTTGGTTACCTCAACAACAACAAGAATGATGAAAAGGAAGAAGAAGGAGGTCAAACATCCGCCGAACGTCATCACAGTTTTGTGATTGACGGTGCCTCTAATTTCAGACGTATCGAGAACACTCACGTGTATGGCGTAGCTCAACCTACCGTCAATGGTTTACGTCAAGTGATTCGTACATTAATTTCAGATAAACCCAAAACCGATCGTATTCTCTGGATTAACTTACGTGAAGAACCTATCATCTATATCAATGGTATCCCCTACGTCCTGCGTGATCGTGCTTTTACATTACGTAACTTGAGAGCTTATAAAGGTATCACGGGTTCTCGTATGGAACAGTTAGAGGATCGTCTGAAAGAGGATGTTGTGCGTGAGGTCACGCAATGTGGCGGTCGTATTTTGTTACACGGAGAGGACAAGGATGGGAAAGTATTGTCGTCGTGGGAAGAAGTCGATGTCCAGGATATTTTGACTGTACGTGAGGTCATGGAATCCGTTGCCTTTGAAATGGGCCAGCAAGATTCGGATGAGGATGAGGATCGTCTAGAGAGCACAACCACAGCTAGCCTGGTCTATCATCGTGTGCCAATCACTGCTGAAAAAGCACCTGAATGGAGAGATTTTGATGATCTTCGATCCCTTGTGACTGCAGTGGATCTATCCAAGACTGCCATCATCATGTGAGTTTAGAATCACAATTATACAGGGTATATTAGACTCATTCTTATTCTTAATCTTATAGGAATTGCCAAGTGGGTTTAGGTAGATCGACTACAGGTACAATTATTGCAACTTTATTAACACGTTGGATGCGTCCTAGCACACCCAGTAAACCTTCTGGTGTATTATACCCCAACTACCAAATCATCAACAGTTTGTTACGGGTGATCAAACACGGTCTTGAAACGAAGAGTGTGGTTGATTCCACCTTGGACCAATGTAGTGTCGGTGCCCCGCACTTACGCGAGACCATTCAAGCAGCGCGTATCCAAGCCGAAAAGGAAATCGAGGAAGACCCCGCACAATTTAAACGTACGGTCAAACGAGGTATTACCTCTTTAGAACGGTACTTCATGTTTATCTGTTTCCAAGCTTACTTGGATAGTACCTCCCCCTCTATGGTATGTGAAACTGAAAGCTTTGGACTTTGGATGAAACGCCATCCCGAATTAGGCACTATTTTACATGATATCTTGAATAACAAGGAACAAGATGAATTCCGATCGTTGGTGCCCGTAGAAAAGTCACTGAGTGGTGATGGTATGGCGCTTTCCAGTGAGGTGATGCGTGTGGTCAGTTCACGCCATGGTCAAGTCCTTGCTCAACAAACCATTCTGAAGCACGACGCTTTCCCAGGTTGTCAAAAGATGAGTCTGAAAGAGAAAATCCCTGGTGCTTACAATTTCAGAAGAATCGAGATCAAGAAAGTCAAGTCGGCTGTCAAGTACGGTGGATTAGCTGCTACGCTGAGTGGATTGGCGGCAGATATGGAACGTGGGGATGATGAAGCACCCCTCTCTGCACCTTTTATCTCGGGTTGTGCTATGCCTAACAAGGACGCCATCAAATCCATTTTAAAAGCAATGCATGCAGGCCCCGGGGGTCGTCGTTGGGTCTTCTGGACGTGTCTTCGTGAAGAACCTGTACTCTATGTCAATAAGAACCCCTATGTCTTGCGTCTATTCAATGATCCACTCAAGAATTTAGAAACCACGGGTATTTCCAAGGAAAGAGTAGAGAGTATGGAGGATAGAATGAAATTGGATGTGATACAAGAACTGAACGAATACGAAGGCCGTATGCTGTTACACGATGAAGACAATACCTTTAATTTGATAGTAAGTTTTTTTTTTATATTTTATTTTTAATTTATAAAAACACTAACTGTTACACAATAGCCACTGTGGGAAACTGTTCCAACAGATCAAGTAGAAACACCTAGTCAAATATTTGAATCCATTCGAGCTGAGGGCTATCAGGTGGACTATACCAGAATTCCCATGTAAAGAATATTTATATCTTGTTTTATATTGTCTTTTTTTTACTAATACTTCTATACATAGTACGGATGAGCAGGCTCCTATTCCAGACGTGTTTGACCAGTTGATCCATCGTATGCAGGAAGCCAATCAAGGCGTTGATGTTTTATTTAATTGTCAAATGGGGTAGGACTAACATAATATAAATGCTCAATATTCATTACCTTCCATGGAACTTATACACAACACTCTTTTTATGTAGTCGAGGTCGCACAACCACAGGTATGATTGTAGCTTCGTTGCTATCCATGATCCTAAGCAATGATGCGATTGGGGATATGGCTGATTCATTTATTGGAGACAGTGGACCCCATTCATCCAGCTCGAATGTGAACCCATTCAACACTTATTACAGCTATCCAAGCACGGTGGATGACGAAAATGACGAATCGCACGAAGAAAGGGAACGCTACCAAAACGGTGAATACCGAGTGATTCTCCAATTGGTGAGTGTGCTGACGTACGGTAAATTGGCAAAGCGACTTACAGATCAAGCCATCAATATGTGTGACCATATGCAAAATTTACGAAAAGCAATTTACGATTACAAACTACGAATTGAAGCCATGACAGATACTGGTTCCAAAAAATGGCGCGCTGCACGTGAGGCTGCTCTGAATTATCTCGTCCGTTATTTTTACCTGGTTGTCTTTGCCAATTATCTCTTGGAGGAAATGGGGTCTCCCCAGCATACAAATATGGTAGCTTCCGTGGTATCTGAAGACAGCGAATCCAATGATTCAACTGCATTTAAAGAAGCTACAAAATTAACTACATTCAAAGAATGGTTAAAGGGTAGACGAGAAATTGTAAACATTATCTCTTTGCAATCACTTGACTTATCTTAAAAACAACAAAAATATTCCCAAGCTATTCCCAAAATAAAATTTTCTCTTTCTCTTTTTTTTTTTATATGCTACACTTCATTGTCATTTTCCTTTTTTGGAACATGTTTATGCACACAAAACCCAATCTTATCCATTGTTACTAAAATAAAAATCCGAGTGAAAACCTGTCGTACAAAAACGATACGATTAAAGATTCAATACGTGATTCTGCTGCACTTGTGTATCCGGATCAAGGTACCACCAAGAAAAACTTTTTATGGGAAACTTTTTCTTTATCATATCAGAGCACAACCCTATCAAAATATTAATAAATTTATATAAATAGGGGAGGAATCGATCTACAATTTTCTTTTAAATTACTTGTTTGTAACTTTAATAAAATAAAAATAAAATTCGCTCTATGGACGATATAACTCCTCATAAGCGTGTTGCTCACCAAGACACAAGTTCTCTCTCTGATGAAAAAGTAAAAGCTGGTTCTTTTACAGAAGACGTCAACCCAGATGAGCGTCGCGATAGTTCTTCCACCTATCGCCGAGAGCAAGAGCGCGAGCATGTTCGTCGTCATATCCCTGAACATTTACGTATTGCTCCAGTCGCCAATGTAGGTTACTCTCCTCGTATGTCCAAGATTGCTCGCGACACAGGTGCCTTCTTCTCTGCCTGCCTCGCTCCCTTTATTACCACCATCCGATTCTTGCAAAGAAGAACAAATTTGACCTTCTGGATCATTCTTGCCATGGTCATTGGTATTCTCGTCGGCTACTTTTCCCCTGCCGCCGGTAAAGAGATCAAGCCCTTGGGTGATGCCTTTATTTACATGATCAAAATCATTATTGTTCCCTTGGTCTTTAGTGTCCTTGTCATTGGTATTGCTGGTCATGGTGATGATATTGGAAAAGTAGGAAAATTAGCCATTAAAACCTTAATCGTAAGTACTAGATCATATCAAAGAAGTAGGCATATACTAAAAAAATGCATTTTGTTGTGTGTGTGTGGGAATTATAGTATTTCGAATTTGTTACAACACTTGCGCTTGCGATCGGTTTAATTATGGCAAATTTGGTTAAACCAGGTGTAGGTGTCGTATTGCCTATTGGAGATGATATCTCCGCCGTGGAAGAATTAGCAGCCAAGGAAAAGACATCCATCACCTGGTCTGGTGAAATGTTCTTGATCATTCCCGAAAGTTTCTTCAAAGCCGCTGTTGAGAACAAGGTACTGGCTATCGTCTTTTGTGCAGTGATGTTTGCCTGTTCCATGATGAAGGCAGATAAAAAAAGTAAAAAGGTCATGCTCAAAATCAATGAAGCTCTTTCTCAGGTCATGTTTATGTTTGTTGGTTTAGTCATGAATTGTAAGCTTATTTTTTTTTATTATTTTAAATTGATGTGGGCGCTAATCTATTCTCTCTCTTTTTTTTTCAGTCGCTCCTATTGGTATTGGAGCTGCTTTAGCTGCCACAGTCGGAGCCAATGGTATTGCTGTATTGGCTAATCTCGGTAAACTTATCGGTTGTGTGTATGCTTCTTTGGTTATCTTTTTGATTATCGTTTTAATGCCCGTCATGCTTATTGCCAAAATTCCCGTGGTTGGTTTCTTCAAAGCCATTGCTCAGCCTTGGTTACTTGCGTTCAGTTCTGCATCCAGTGAATCTGCCCTACCCTTAGCTTTTGAAAAAATGCGTGAGTTTGGTTGTACAAACGCACTCACAGGTTTTGTTATTCCCTGGTAACGTACCCTTTTTTTTTTCTCTTTTGATGACTTGGTTACTAACTATTTTTATCCAGTGGTTACTCTTTCAATTTGGATGGTACAACTCTTTATCTCTCTTTAGCTACTATCTTTTGTGCTCAAGCTTCCGGCTTAAACTTGCCTTTGAGTACCCAAATGTCGATCATGGGTACACTCATGTTATCTTCCAAGGGTGTTGCTGCTATTCCCAGAGCTTCACTTGTGGTCTTATCCGGTACATTAGCACAATACGATATTCCTCTTGAAGCTGTCTTGATGATTATGGGTGTGGACGCCATCATGGATATGGCTCGTACCTCTCTCAACGTACTTGGTAATTGTCTCGGTTGTTGCGTCATGTCTCGTGTGGAAGGTTCTTTCCGTGGTGAAGAGTGGCGTGCAGAAGAAGAAGATCGTCGTTATAAGAAATATCTCGACGAGCAAGCCAAGATGGAATCCAACAAGAACCACGTCGAGGATAACCTCTCTAGCGTTGTTGTTCATCATGACGACGAAAAGAAGGAGCACATTCATTAAAACTAATTACCCCCCCACACACACACACACACACACACACAACATTCACTTATTTAATAATCTTAATCATTTGTAACAGTATAATTTATAAAAATCAATAAATCCCTTGTATGACATACAATTTATATATAATCAATTTGTTAGAAGTTTCATTTAGTTGGAATGGCTCATTCCATTTAGTGTATTTTAAGGTTCTCTCGGGCAACTACTCGAGTACGCACTATAATAAATTTAATTGAATATACGCAGTGATTCCTACACTTTACATCCATCATGACCATTTATAACGAGTACAAGTGCGTCCACTTTCTGACTTTAAGGGCCTGTTGAGGTAGCACGAGTTATTAGACATAATCTATATTATGATAATTTTATAGGACTTACTTGTATAAGTGAAAGGCGGACGAATACATTTCGAGAAACGGGAGTCAGTTTGACAAGCTGCTTGGCTTTTTAAAAAAAATATGTCATTCACAGTAGTTTTTTGTGTCCTATGCTTGCATCGTCATTGTTTAAGATATCCTCCTCTGATTTTTTTTCTGTATCATCTTCATCTTCTTCTATCTTTTGCTCAAGTACATTATCATGTCTATCTGAGCTTGGCTTTTATGGTAGTTTTTTTTTTTTTTTTTTTTTTTTTTTTTTTTTTTTGAAAAAAAAAAAGTAAACTTAATGCTAAGATACCAAATGATGAAAAAAAAAGCTTACTTCATCAGTAAAGTTCACAAACCTAATTCTTTTTGATATTTTGTGCGAATTTGTGAAAAAAATGTAAATATGATAAGATACAGATAAGCTTTCTTCTTTATTTCTATACGTTTTAGTAATATTACAGATAAGCTGCTTGGTTACTTACTTATCATTGCTTTTATCACCCTTTTTTTTTTCTACATACATTTATCTCTAAAATTATTTCGGTTCGTGAGAGTTTTTTTTCTTGTTAGGGTGCATTATAAGCGGATTAGGTTCAGCACGATCCAATCATTGGTTTCTCTCCTTTTTTTGTGTCTCTGTTGTGTGGAGTTACATTTGCATCACCTGGTAATAATAAGAAGTTATCTACTGCGCTAAGTGCTTTCGTCATGTTTTTGTGTCTATGTGTGTGTTCAAATGTTTTGAGACGACATATGTACGGCGTGATACATTTCTCATTACACACGTGCTACTCCCCCATATATATATATATAATTCTATCTTACAATATGCTCTTGTTCATCTCAAGCAAAAGTTTGCCACTCAGATTACACTTTTTTTGTTTTTGTTTGTTTAGGCACTCATAACATTGATCTCAGCTAAAATTGCTCTCTATCTTGTGTGTGTAACCAAGGATATAAGAGCTTATGTGTTTGATTATATAATGGTTGTGTTGTTTTATTTTGCTACATGTAGGAATAAATCCATTCCCCTTTGATTCTATGCAGGTATTTTTTAGTTGAAATAAAAAATGTGCTAGTCTTATAAATGTGCCTCAATGTTTTATGCATAACGCAATGTCAAATAAAGACCAAATCTTTATTACCGCTGATTGGTTGACTGCCAGAATGTAAAGATATGCAAATAGCACATCAAAACATACTATATCTAATTTTTCTATCCTATTTATCAATTAAGAGTGTAAATCACCTCCTCTTTTTTCTTATACTTGCATTTCATCTCATGTTTTTAGTACACAAAACAATATCTTTTACACCTCTTTTTTATACATCTTTCGGGTTTAAGGGTGCCATGTGGGTGGATATCGAAAGTGAGAACTACTCCGCCATTTTTTTTTGGGGGGTTTCGAATCAAACACGGTTTTCTTAATCCGTGGCAAACATGCTCTCTTGCGTGTTTTTAAGGGACCCCTTTTCAATTCTTTTTCTGTTTTTTTTCATCTTTTGGGTTTTAAAGATCCGTAGCACAGTTTTTCAAACGCATTGACCTATGAAAGAGCTATGCGCCACACATAGACACGTAAAACATGGGACGTTTTATAAAAGATGATAAATATGGCTTTGAAATGCACATGAAAAAATAATAATAATAGAGAAACCGAGGTTGACTGCATAAGGGCTTATACAACCCTTGGATAATTATTGCATTTGCATCAGGTTTATCTTGTTTTTTTGAGGAACACGAACTTTTTTCTAAGGAGGCAATATCATAACAAAAGAGCAATGTTGGGTGAGCAAGTGAATTGATTGGGGAAAGGCGTTTTGGGATGATCTTTTGGCTAGATACACCTCACACGGAAAAGAAAAAGTTTTAAAAATAAACAATTGTGTTACAACGTTTCATGTTTACTTTTATAGTTTTATTTTCGACAGAAAAAGAAAATTGCTCAATTTGAGTGTTTATAAAATAATCAAATGTTACCCGCCTAAAAAAAAATAAAGGATAAATCGAATGATGTGTAAGAGCTCACTTTTTTTTTTAACTGGGATTTCAAGGAGTTTGTTGTTATTTTGTTGGTGCTCTTTTTCTACAAGGGATCTTACACTTGTATAAATAAGGAATATTTAATTAAGAGACCATTGTATTTTTTGATGCTGCTGCTGCTGCTGCTGCTGGGATGACAGATGTAATCAATAGACACAAGCTCTGTTTGTACAGTGACATAAGAACACGTCTCATCAAGTATGTAACTAAGTAGCGAAAAGAGAAGATTGTTACATTGAAGGGCGGTTTAAAGATTCAAGGGGGATGTCAATAAGTGTGTGTGCAACGTGAGAACTCGTGCATACTGTACAAAGTAAAAGCTTTTTTTTTTATTTATAATCTCTTTTTTCTTCTCCCTTCCCCCTTTCTTTCAAACACAACAATACCAAATAAATAAATGAGGACCTCTTCCGAAACTTCTGTTCAATACCCAACACAACAGAGAGACTCAGTCATTATTCCAACTGACGTCCCTCGATTCAGTGTCAATTCGAATCTCATGAACTACTCTATACCCAAAAACGACCACACCCTCACAAAAAAAAACTCCTCTAGTTCACCACTGCGGGAAAACAATAGCAAACGAGAAATTCAAAGGGGAAATTCAGACACACGCACAAGGCAACTGGAAGCACAGATAGAACAATTGACTTTACAAAACGTGAAATTACAAAGAACAAATCGATTACTAAAAGTAGACACCGACAATCTCATCGAACAAAAGACAAGTCCCTTGCAAAAGACAATACAAGAATTAACCGTCTCCAATGTGAGACTTCAAAGAGCTCTCAAACTATTACAGCAAGAGTTGGATGAAAAGACACTTAAACTAAACCAATTTAATCATAACCAAATACTTCAAATGAAATCCGTGGGCCCAGAATATGAATTTCTGGTGCAGAATATAAATCTACTTCAAAGACAGGTTAGTTACTTTCATCTTTTCTATCTTATTTTATACCTACTAATTTCTGCAATAAAAAAAAAAGATCGCCGGGCATCCTACCTGTGATGATACTTGCTGTTTTACTATGCAGCCAATTGATCAATCCACCATGGTCATGACACTGCCTTCACCCGATAACGAAGAGGATGAAGAAGTGGAAGCTCAACATATCTGTAGACCTGTCATCCATTCCACCATCTCTCAAGGATCATATGCTATCGAGCTTGAAAATAAAATCGGCCGCTTAGAGGACTTAATAGACGAATTAGATGAAGAAAAGGAACAGATTAAACGTCAGCATGGATATAAAGATAATGACGTTGAAACCTTGAAGAAGGAATTGAGAATCAAGGATGAAATCGTGTCCCAATTAGAACAGGATTTTATGGGGTTAGAAGATCAAATTGAACATCTGCAAAAGGTAATATTGCTTTTTTTTTTCTTATATACATCATCTTTTCGTTCTTATATACTCACTCTCATATGCAGGAACTTCAAGATCAAACCATGTTTCCACATAGTAGTAGTCACAATAGCATCAATCGATTATTAACACCACCACCACCCACCATCCAAAGAGACCCAAAGAGACAATCACAGATGTTGATGGATTCCAAACGTAGATCATTAGCTATAAAGGATACCGATTTACTGGAACAAATGCTTCGAGGCGATTTAGAGGGATTTGAACACTATCATCCATCCGAAGGAGAGGAAGAAGAAGAATCCGAAGACGATGTTAGTAAATTAGGCGATTCCACACGATCAGCAAGCCCCACAACCATCACCATCGAAGAAATCGTGAACGACGAAAATCATAAAAAAGGTACGACAACACCATGTTGCTTAAAATGCAATGGACTACCTTGCACCTTCCCATGCAGTCACTCATTAAACCCTACCTACAGTAAAAAAGACGACCCATTTGCGTTATTTACGAGTGTTACCATAGTATTAGGCATTGCTTCACAATTTGGAATCACAGACGATTGGACCGTGCCTATCACTTTAGCCACTTTAGTTTCCGGCTTTTTATGGTCTGGAAATAAGAACAAGAAACCTATCATTACTACCATCTAGTTCATGTGTGTATTTAATAAAATGTATCCCCCCCCCCTTTATTCTAAAGAATTACTATCATGTAATATTACGTGTTTATTCAGTGTCTTTTTACTATATTACATCGCAATATATATGCATGATACCTTCTTGGAATATTTGTGTTTACTAACTCTAAGCAAGTCATTTGGATGCCCAATTGACTTCAACTCTTGAAACACGTCATAATCCCCCAAAGTCGTTTTAATAAACGGATATTCTCATATTCACTCTCGAATTTTTTTTTTTTTTTTTTTTTTTGGATGTATCAAATACACTTTTAAACATACGTATAAATTCCAAGTTGGTAACATTCCTAGTAACAATGGTTACCACGAACCTCTTTATTTTTTTTTTACGTCCCAGCCATCACATACCTGTGCTGATTGGCTTACCGTTGCTGCCCAGCCATCACCTTGACTGCGAAATTTCAAAGGTTTTTTTTTCTTTTTCTTTTTTCTCCTACTAAAACCAAACAAAAAAAAGTGATATAATGAGTGATTGGGGTAAAAAGAAGAAAACAGAATGGGCATTGCCTGTAACTATGTATTAATACTACCTTTTTATATTATTAATTTAAAAAAGAGGAAGAATACGATACCGAGGTTGTTGTCAACACCAAGCCTAAAATGTCCTGGGATGAAGAGGAGAGTGACGATAACAGTAACAATGTCAAGGAAGATTGGGATGATTCCGACGACGATGAGGAAACTAAGCCTGAAGTAAAGAAGGAAGTCGAGACCGTTGCTACACCTGCCAAGAAGAACTTGACTTTGAAGCAAAAAATTGCTGAAAAGGAAGCAATTTTGAAGGAACAAAAGGCAAAGAAAATTGCCTTGGTAAGTTGACTTCTATCCCTTCCCCCCTAAAAAAAAAACCCTGTTTTCTCATTTCTTCCTTTTTTTTTTTTTTTTTTTTTTTTTTTTGTAGGCCCAGAAATTTATGGAAGGTGAAACCGAGGAAGAGAGATTTGAAAAGGCTCAAAAGGAAGCCGGTGTTAAAAAGGCCGAATTCTCTGAGCTCGAGGCTTCTGCACGTAAGTTAAAATCTTTAATCAGAAAAGAGAAAGCTGGCTTTTCTAAAAAAAAAAAAAAAAAAAAAAAAAAAAAATTGATGGGTAAACATGTGTAGCTGCCAAGGTACCCGCAAAGCCTGTGGAATCAATTAAGCCTAGAACGCGTGCTGATTTTATTGAACTCCAAAAGTTGTTGATTCCCATGATCCTCGAACAAAAGGTAAGCAATAGGAAAAAAAAAAAAAAAAAAAAACTAGTTTTGGTGTTAAAACAAGGGCTTTCTCTCTTTTTTTTAAAATGTACTTTAGGGTAACCCTGCTTATGCCACTTTCATTGATCAATTAGCAAAGGATGTCGCTGCACCCATGAAGGATATGGATGTCCGTAAGGCTGCATCCAGTTTAACAGCTCTTGCAAACGATAAGCAACGTCAACAAAAGGAAGCTCTTAAAAACAGCAAAAAGACCAAGGGCAAGGCTCAACCCGCCGCCGCTGCCAAGCCTGCTCAAACTAGAGAGTACTCAACTACTTATGATGATTTCGATGATTTCATGTAAACCAAAAAAAAAAAAGAAAAAGAAAAAAACTAATATATCAATAAAAAAACACCAAATATATGCAGATAGTTTACAGTGTTAAAAAAAAAAACTCATTTAAACGCGATCAATTGAACATGGAGAAAGAGAGGGAGACGGATTTGAGCTATTGAGGTAGATAAAAAAACTGTTGGTTTAACAAATGAAACAATCGTAATCAATGAGTGGGAGGATATAAAGATGAAAATCATTGTATTTTAATAATTCATCAATTAATGTACGAATAATAATTTATATTTTATTGATAAGAGAAACGGGTATTATATAAATCTAGTTTTTTGCAGCGTCATAAAATGGATAGTCGGTGTATCCTACTGGACCTTGAGCATAAAATGTACTTCTATCATATGGGTTAAGTTTCCAACCATGACGAAGACGTTCAGGAAGATCAGGATTCGCGATAAACCCACGTCCAAACGCAATCATATTACCCGTAGATTCAGCAAGGTCAAATGCAGCCTCCAATGCTGTTGTAAATCCACTCGCCGTAATAATAGGTCCCTTCCAGATCTTACGGTAAGGATCCAATGTATTAAGAGGGACTCTATTATGCTCACCCCAGATATTCGATCGCGCTTGATTGAAATGAAGATAGGCTAACTGAGGATGATTCTTTTGAAGTTCGGATGTGATATGACTCCATGTTTCAACCTCGGTATCGTCATGCATTTCTTGAAATACCTCACCGGGAGAGAGTCGGATCGCTGTACGTTCAGGGCCAATGGCTTGAACAATGGCATCAATGACTTCCAATGCAAAACGCGCACGGTTCTCGATGGAACCCCCGTAAATATCCGTACGATGATTACTCGATGTGTTGATGAACTGGTCCAGCAAGTATCCACTAGCACTATGCACCTCCACGCCATCAAATCCTGCTTCAATAGCATTTAATGCAGCTTGTCGGTACTGTTGCACAATCACCTTGATCTCATCGATTTCAAGTGCTCGAGGAACATCATATTCAGGACCAAAGGTATTGGTACCATGTAAGGGGAGGGCAGAGGCAGAAACCACTTGTTCGCCATTGGGGTTAAATGCGTTGGATCCAGCTCGACCGACATGCCATAACTGTGTAAAAATAACCGCCTTCTTTTCATGGACAGCCGAGGTGATCTTTTTCCATCCTTCGATTTGTGCTTGGGTGTAAATACCAGGTGCATGTTTATAGTTGCCTGCAAGGCGATGAATAAACGTTCCTTCAGTAATCATTAGGCCGCCTTCTGAGGCACGTTGTTTGTAGTATTCGACTTGGAGGTCTGTAGGAACTCCATCCAAATCAGCACGAAGACGAGTTAAAGGTGCGAGAACAACACGGTGTTGAAGGTTGTTGTTACCGACTTTGATAGGAGAGAAAAGAGCTCGAGTAGTAGACATTGTTGTAGAATTAATAGTGATGGTAATAATTTGACAGGAACCCTTCAATTTTTCCCTTATTTATATGTGTATACACGAAAATTTTGGCTGATTAATGAAATCATAATTATAAATCAGGTTCGATTATTAATGCAAGTGGGGTATGGAATAAATAGCGCTAATATAAAATCGTCCTATCATGTGGGGAAAGGGGGGCTACTCAATTCTCAGTAAATATGTTACAAGTGCTATTTTTGTAACTACAGTTTTTTTTTTGTATATCTGTCCACCCTTACCATCGAACAAAGGATTTTTTTTTTTGTCAATGACGTTTATTTTATTTTTTATTTAGAAAAAGAGCGATACAATACAGGTTTAGCGTATACGTACGTTTATACAGAACGTTTATTGATCAGAGTTAATTTATATAATGGATTACAATTGATTTTATTGTATACTTATTATTTTTTTTTAAAAAAAAAATTATAATAGTCGCGGACGGTTCTTATTTTCTATGCGCAATTTTTAGCTTTCTTCTAAACGGCTTCCATTTACCATTAGACAAAGCCAGGTACCCTGAAAGAACCACAAGGTTATTTAACTACTACTTTATTGGAAAACTTTGTACAACATAAATGATTGAAAACAAAAAAAAACAATAGATGACCATCCGTGCTGCTAAGCCATTTGTTAAAACCATCGATTTTTTTCTGTTTTACATATTAGAATTAAATATGATGTTCGACACCAAGCCTAAAATGCTCTAGGGTGACGATGAAATGACGATAGCAGCAATGATGTTAGAGGGAGTTTGGGAGCGGTTATGACAACAACAAAGAAGATAAAAACCAAGACTTATTAAGAAACCAGTCGAAACAATTTTGTCAAGCGCTTGTCAAGAAGAACTTGCCCATTTTCAAGTAAAACATGGCTGATAAGATACATTGAAAGTAGGGCTAACGAATTTAAACACTGTTTCGTTTCTTTCTGTTTTATGTAGGACCAAAAATTCATGAGAGAAGAGAAAACGTTTCATTCCAAAAATGCTTATTTTTCTTCTAAAAATAGAAGGTAGACACGTACAGCTGGAAATAAACCCCGCAATGATTCTGGAATTCATCAAGGAACAATATGTATATAAAAAAAGGCTGTTATATAAATAAAAAACATCAAATATATATATATATATATATATAGAGGTATATTACAGTGCAATGAAAAGTCATTAGATGGATCCCATTGAAACATAATTAGTTAGATACATAAAGAGATACACTTCCAGTGAAGAAATTTTGCTTAACAAAGAAATCAAATATGTATGCAAAAGTAAAGACGTTTCAACTATTGCATAGTTATGGTGTATAAATTAAAAAATTAATATTTATTGAAAAAAGTAGTTAAGAAAATGGTAAATGTAAAAAGTTTCTAATTCTTTGCAGCGTTATAAAATGGATAGTCAGTGTATCCTACTGGACCTTGAGTATAGAATGTACTTCTGTTATATGGGTTGAGTTCCCAACCATGACGAAGACGTTCAGGAAGATCGGGATTCGCGATAAAGGCCCGTCCAAACGCAATCAAGTTACCCGTAGATTCAGCAAGATCTAATCCCGCTTCCACAGCTGTTGTAAATCCACTGGCCGTGATAAATGGGCCCTTCCAGATTTGACGGTAAGGTTCCAATGTATTCAGAGGTACAATCTGTTTGTCATTGCCAAAGATATTTGCTCGTGACTGAACAAAATGAAGGTAGGCTAATTGAGGATGATTCTTTTGAAGTTCGGATGTGATATGACTCCATGTTTCAACCTCTGTATCATCATGCATGTCTTGAAATACTTCACCGGGGGAGAGTCGAATCGCAGTACGTTCAGGGCCAATGGCTTGAACAATGGCGTCGATGGCTTCCAATGTAAAACGCGTACGGTTTTCTGCAGAACCGCCGTAGATATCTGTGCGATGATTGGTACCCGAATTAATAAATTGATCAAGCAAGTAACCATTGGCACTATGAAGTTCGACACCATCAAATCCTGCCTCGATCGCATTCAATGCAGCTTGTCGGTACTGTTCTACAATGACCTTGATTTCATCAATTTCAAGTGGACGAGGTACTTCATGGTCATCGCCATATCTGTTTTTACCAGACAGAGGAACGGCCGAGGCAGAGACAGTGTGTTCACCATTGGGGTTCCATTTACTGTGTCCGGAACGACCTAGATGCCATAACTGTAAAAAGATAACCGCCTTCTTTTCATGGACAGCCGAGGTGATTTTTTTCCAACCTTGGATTTGTTCTTGTGTGTAAATACCAGGTGCGAGTTCATAATGGCCTGCGAGACGATGAATAAACGTCCCTTCTGTAATCATGAGACCGCCTTCAGAAGCACGTTGCTTATAGTATTCGACTTGGAGGTCGGTAGGCACCGCATCCAAAGTGGCGCGAAGACGAGTTAAAGGTGCGAGAACAACACGGTGTTGAAGGTTGTTGTTACCGACTTTGATAGGAGAGAAAATGGCACGAGTAGTAGTAGACATTGTTGTTGTAGAGAGATTGGTTTGTTTTGGTTTGAATGATATAAAAAATATGAACCCCCCTTTTTTTTGTTCTTTATATAGGTATTCCCAAAATGGCTGATTAATGCAAAACTGATTATAAATCAGGTCCATTATTCATCATCCATCGTTCCAATTTTTATTTCTTGTGTCAATAGCGCCTTATTTAAAAGTTGAGTACAGTGCAGCCAAGTACGTGGGTCGTATAACATGTGCATAATGTTCATATATATATATATATCAGTCGTGATTTGTTTATATGTGCATAACGTTTTTACTAGTAGTTGATTTTTTATATGAGTCCTTTGCTTTTATGCTTTACAAAAAAAAAAAAAAAACAATGACTATGCATTTATTTATTTTATCTTTTTATTTATTTAAATACGAAGGGGTGGGGGGAATTTATTTACACAATTTAAGCCTTCTTGTAACAAGCTTCCAAGTCCTCAACATCCAACTTTGAACCAAGCCAGATACCTGAACGATCATGGATATGTTCAGGTACTAAATCCAAACAATCAATTGTACCGGTAGTCGCTTTACCACCTGCTTGTTCGATCAAATAAGCCATGGGGAAGACTTCATATAAAATTCTAAGCTTTCCTTTCTTTGACTTGGAATCAGCAGGGTAACCAAAGATACCACCTGTGATAAAAAGAAGTGTATTAATAAAAAAAAAAAAAAACCTCACTTCCCACTGTAAAAATGTGTGTGTGTGTTACCATATAACAAAGTTCGGTGAATATCGGATACCATGGAACCAACATAACGAGCACTGTACTTTTGCTTGACTTGATCGACGTATTTCTTACTGGGCTCATCAAAGTACTTGTAGTTACCTTCGTTAATGGAATAGATCTTACCACGAGGAGGCAGAGTAATCTACAAGGGCAATTTTTTTTTTTTTTTTAGTTCACGAAATATTTCAACCTCCGATTTTACCCGGGCGGTAAAAGCTTTACCTTAGGATGTGTCATGATGAATTCACCGATAGAGGGGTCTAAAGTAAAGCCATTTACACCATTACCGACAGACTAAAAAAAAAAAAGATGACAAAAGAATGACGAAAAGTGGAGGGGGAGTGAGTTAGAAATCATCATTTAGAACGGATATGCCCCCTCTTATTTATTCTTACCAAGATCATTTCACAGTAAGAACCGTACATACAGTAACCTGCAGCAATTAATTCACGTCCACTACGAATACAATCGGTGATATTAGGGTTGGCCTCATCTTTCTACAAAATGGAATGACAGCGATTAGAAAACTGGTTGGATCCATGCCGGGGACAATAACGAAGGGGGGGGGGGGACTTACGACTTTAAAGATACCGAAAATAGTACCAATGGAGACACCACAATCGATATTGGAAGAACCATCCAAAGGATCAAAAGTGACGACATATTTACCACGTTGATGAGGGTTTTCAATAATCATTGCGTTTTCATCTTCTTCGGATACTAACAAACATGCTTTACCGGAAGCAATCAATGCATTACGGAAAATGTCGTTGGCCAACACATCGAGTTTCTTTACATCTTCTCCTTGTACATTGGCGGAACCAGTCAAACCCAAACTATAAAGGAGGGTTACTTTCTGCAAATAGACGGCTTACACTCTTTTTTTTTTTTGGGGATGGGAACACTTACAGGTTAATCAAGCCAGCTTGCTTTACCTTGGAAGCAACAAATTTACAACCGAATTGAATAGCAGTCAAGAGCAAGGTAAGATCACCGGTAGCTTCAGGTGCTTCCTATACACACACATATTTTATAAGAAAACACGTTTTTTTTTTTTAAAAGTGAGCTTCCCTCCCTTTTTTTTTCTGACTTACTTGTTGTTGTGCGATAACCCAACGTGTCAAGGTAACAAGATCTTCACCAGTACCAACTTTAATAGCATCGAATTTTCCGTGAGACATTTTTTTTTTGTTATATTGTATTTCTTATTTGAGAAAAAAGTTAAAAAAAAGAAGAAAAGAGTCTTTTAAAAAGATAGATCCATGACGCTATTTAAATGTTTCTAAAATGTGGGGTCAGCGTTAAAAAAATCGGGCGGGGTAGGGTTCCTGCACATCAATTATTTTAGGCTGGTTTAAATTTAGGAATCAGCCAGACCTTTCTTTTGTTGTTGTTGTTGTTGCTGTTGCTGTTGTTAAAAGAGAGAACACAAGGCGTATCTATGTATATATACATAGATACAGTATCTAACATTGATACATCAGCAAAAAAAAAAAAAAAAAAACTTTGAATTTCCCACGAGGTTTTAAAATCCCGGACCCTTTTTTTTTTATATGTGTGTGTGTATGCTTTCATTTCACATGCAAATAACGGCAACATCAATGGAACAAAACTATTTGATAATGCTTTTAATGAGAAATGACAAGGGTAGGGTGCACTCTGCAGTCACCGTACAACATTCAACTCTTCTGTTTCACCCCCTTTTTCCTGCCCAACTTTACTTTAGCCTCTCTCCTCCCCCTCCTCATGATAATTCGTACTTTACCCGAACTACTCCGACATGTGGGGTTTCCGCGGGAGAGACGAGACCCAAAAAAAAAAGAGTTGATTTTATTTTAATATATGTTCCAAGGAGTGAAAACAATAAAGTGGCTAACAAAAGGGGAGGAGGGGTTGACTAAAGAGTATGTAAATATATATAACACTTTTATTAAAGTAATATCTCTCTCTTTCTTTTTATATACATACATACATAGATCTATTGAAAATTTCATTATCAACCATGACACCTTTACAAACACCCACATTAAACGGTCCTGCCGATCATGTTGCCTTTGTTATCCATGGTATTGGACAGGTAAAGTGAGATGTTTCCACTGCTTATCAATACACACACACACACATACACATTTACATTTCTCTACATCTTTTAGCAAACAGAGCAGTTTGGGTTCTTTCAAAAGCATCGTAAGTTACCTCCACTATTTCATATATCCCGTATTGAATCATTCCTAACCTACTACGACACACAAAAAGTACAAAGCCTCTACGACACTACAAATCATGCAGTACAAGAAAATAGGCCCGACAAGGAGATAAATATCGCCTATATCCCTATCGAGTGGCACAAACAAATCCATAAAGAAACAGACACCGTCATGGATGACATTACACTCAGATCAATTCCTACCATGCGTATGGTCAATAATGATTATCTGGCCGATGCCTTTTTCTATCTGAGTAAAGAAAGAGGTCAAAGTATTGTAAATCATGTGACAAACACATTCAATGAAGCTTATCTTCACTTTATCTCTCAAAATCGGGGCTTCACTGGGAAAATATCCATCTTGGCCTATTCGTAAGTTGTGTAAGCACGCCAATGTTCATACCCTATTCATTCATAAACCATTACTTTTTTTTTTTTTTTTTTTTTTTTTTTTTTTTTTTTTTTTTTTTTTTTTTTTTTTTTCAGGCTGGGTGGCATCATTACATGGGATATCCTATCCAACCAATTACAGAAAACTAAAATCCATAGTAAACTGGACCTGGTCTTTCCTCCTCTACTCTTTAAACCAGATTTCTTCTTCACCTTGGGAAGCCCCTTAAGTGCCTTTTTAACCGTTAGAGACCAAGATCCTAAATTATACCATCCTCATCCTAGTATCGTCTTTGAAAACATCTTTCATCCTTACGACCCACTTGTAAAGTTCACCTCTTCCCTTTTATATATATATATATATATACAACTAACATCATCCACAATCCGTTTTTTTTTTTTTTTTTTAGGCTTATCGCTTTGAACCTCTCTTGAAATCAAGCTATAAAAATACCCCCGCTGTACTGATTGACACTTCCTGTATATCGCCATATGCGGGGATAAACCCCTCCAATGTATGGCAATCTCTCCTTTCTATGGTATGGGGGCAACACCAAAAGATTTCCCTGCTTTTAAAGGAGAATCAACCCATCCTGCATTTCGAGTCTACCTTACGCAGTGGCAACACTTTACTTTCTGCCCTGAAACGGTATCTGTCAACCACAGTCTCCTCCGTCCCCCTTGTCATGCCACCCACACCCACATTATCTCTTGTTGATGACAACGACAGTAGTAGTAGTAGCAGCAACAGCAGTGAAGATGAAGAAGAAGAGTATTTATTAAGCAAAGAACATTGTGTGTATATCCCCACGATGGACACAACCCATAAACGTCGCCATTCCGAAGATACAACCAAGGTGATATCAAAACGTCAAAGACGGGTGTTGGAGACCACCGTGACCAAGGGCTCCCTAAGCGAGTCATCCGATTGCACGGGTATACCGAAAAGAATCGATTTCGTATTACAACCAGAAAAAACGTTTTTTGGCTTAATCAGTAACCCTTATCTCTGTGGATTGACAGCTCATTTCTCTTATTGGACAAATCAGGATTTAATGTGGCATATCGTTCGTCGACTTGAAAATATGTGAGAGAAAGAAAGAAAAAAGCATATTTTTTTGTTTTTTAAAAATGTTTTTTTTTTTTTTATTGAATGGGATATGTAGTAATAAATAAATAAAAATAAAAAAAAAAAAAAATGGTTGAGACAAAGCATTCATATCATCTCATATTGGATTGTGGATCCATCATCATGATTGTATCATTATTATTACTACTACTATCCATGAAATTGGTATAGCTTGTGTCATAAACATGATAATTCCCAAAATTAGAATTATTTGAACATGTAGAGGTAGATGAAGACGAGGGTTGAAGTCCAGGCATGGCCATCATGGTATTTTGTGGGTGAGGATGTGTTTGAGCCAATGATCTTGCTCTCGCTGCCATAATTGAATTATCTTCATCCAGAGTCATATAACTCGAAACAGAAAGTAAAGGAGGAGCTATCCCATGTTGATGCGCTTCTGCAGCTGCTATAATCATTGGATCCACAAACCCATTATGAGTCGCGGTTGTAGTATGCGGCAAATCGTTCAAAAGTGGCCAATCACTTACCATCATTGAAAAGGGGGCAGTGCTAACAGACGAAGCTTGTGTCGTTGCTGACGATGCATGATGATTCGTACTATGATTACTACTACCACCACCACCACCACAGATGGGAGTCATATCTGTAGTGTATCCATGAGGCGAATAAGGAAAATAATAAGAAGGTGAAGGATTCATAAAATCGACCGGCGATGATGTATCCGACTGACTAAAGTAAAATGGTGGAGAAGGTGAAGAAATCGAATGACCACTACCATTGTGATGATGATTAAATTCATTTAAGGATGCATTGATCGACTCTTTTTTTGCTCGTGGCTTATTGGCTCGTTGTTGTCCTATGCCTCCTCCTCCTCCTTTACCATGACCGGTATTAGAAGCGGCTTCCTTGGATTGTTTCCCAGAGAGTAGTATATTTTTGTCAGGACCGGGCGTTGAAGAAGGAACGGAGCCCGCGGCGGCAGAACCAGACGTACCACCAGTACCAGTACCAGCAGCAGAGGCAGCAGCAGCAGCAGCAGCAGCAGCAGCAGCAGCAGCAGCTCTTCTTCCACGTGCTGCTCGTTGTTCACCTCTTAAACGTAATTGAGCAACAATGGACCGAGATTCCTGTAGATCCTTTTCTGTCTTGAGCATACGAGAGGTCAATGCGGTATTGTTATTGCGATTGGTATCCGTGGTGGTGGTGGTGGTGGTGGTGGTATCATTGCATACGGTACGAACAAGTGCGCGTTGTGATTCCAGATCTGTCTCGATACGACGAATACGGGTTTCCAATTGAGACAGATTATCAATAAAAGGGTCTACATTGGTAGGTTGAGTGTTACGAGATCTTCGTGAGCTTGGGTAAGCACATAAGACACCTGTGGATAAACAACGAGTACAATTGGGATGAACACCATCGCAACGCACCTTTTTATGATGACAACGGTAACAAGCAATAGGTGCTCTGGGTCTTTTCATGGAAGGGTGCATTCGAGTGATCGTGTCGCCTCCATTTGGTTTCGTGGTGTTGGTTTTGGTATATGAAGTATGCATAGTATCTTTATTGTTGGTCATCATATATATATATATATATAAAAAAAAAGAAAGGAATGGGGTTAAAAAAGATTGAATAAATAAATTAAAAAAAAGAAAAGAAAAAAAGAGAAAGATAGTTAACATGAAATCAAATTTATACTTGTCAAAAATGGACCCTCCCTCCTTTCTTTTTTTTTTTCCCAAGTAAATTTATTTTTACAAGACAATAAAAAAAAACAGGTACACTAACTCCTCGTCCAACTTGGAATATTATTATTATGTGTGTTTATTATTTTTTTTTTTTTGTTCTTACATTGTTTTTTATTTGCTGTATGTGTAGATATGGAACCATTGATTTTTGTTCCCGAGTTGACTTGTTATGCTAGCATCTACAAATGCCCATGAGAATATGAAACACTTTTACTGTTACGAATTTTTTTTTTAAAAAAAAAAAAAAAAAAAAAAAAAGATAGCAACGTGTTCATCTCATTGTGGTTGACATCAGAATATTTCTAAGAAAGCTCTGACCAGAATGAATTTTTTCTTTTTTAGCGACTTTTTTTTTGTGTACGATTTCATCGTAATAAGGAGAAATACATTGCATATAATATTACATGTGGTAAGCTACTTTTACGAAACTAATAATTTCTTAAATATATGTGAACTGGACCCGTGGATCTTTTACAAAAACTAAAAATACATGCATGAATTTTTTTTTTTTTAAACTTTTTTTGCATGGATTTAATTATGCTATTTTCAAATTATATATATTATTTTTTTTTTTTAAACAAAAAAAAAAAATGACGTTTTTAACTTTTTTAACATGCACAACTACTTGTACTTTTGCCATTTGCACCTGCTTCACGTAAAAGATCAAGTCTTGCATTATTTCCATTTCCTCCAGCAACTCGTGATCCATTTTTATTATTTGCAAGATAGTCGTGAGGAATATTTTTAGCTTTTTTTTTTCATATATATATATTAAAAAAGACAGTTTAGTATTTCTGTTGTTGCTGCATGTGGTTAGGGTTCAACTATACCAATCTCAGTAAATACATCATCCACATTGGTTGCTGTTCTTGCACTTGTCTCAAAAAACAAGAGACCTGCCTCCGATGCATAAGCAGAGGCCTCCTCTTGACTCACCTGTCTTCCTCCAGATTCATCATTTTCCTCATCCTCTTCACCTATCTCACACAAATCTAACTTGTTTCCAACAAGTGCAATGACGATTTGAGAATTAGCTTGGCGTTGTAACTCCTTGACCCAACCTTTGGCTTTATCCAATGTAGACTTTTCTCATCTTTTTTTTTTAGTATATATATATATATATTTATTATCGGTCACTCTTTGTGCTACTCACGGCTTTGGTGATATCATACATCACAATGGCTGCCTGTGCATTTCGATAATACATCGGAGCTAACGAGTGGAAACGCTCTTGTCCTGCTGTATCCCAAATCTCAAACTTTACTGTACGATCATCCACCGTACACTTTTGTGTTAAAAACGCAGCTACAACGAAAAAAAAAAAAACAGTGGGTTAACGATCGCACTGCTACTAAAAAAATCCCCTTCTCTCTGTCTCCAATAACTTTACCACCAATAGTGGGTTCTCTATTTTCGGTATATTCACGATTGACAAAACGAATAACAAGACTTGATTTACCAACCGCTGATTCACCTACATAAAAAAAACGAGCTCTTATTTAGTTTTTTTTTTTGTTTTTGTTTTGGAGTGCTAAAAAAAAAAAAGAAAGAAAGTCGTGTACCTAATAAGACGAGTTTAACAGGTACAGGTCTTCTATCACTGGAAGAAGAAACAGGTTGCGGAGTAGTTGTAGACATATCTTATTTAAAACAAAGACAAGGAAAAAAAAAAAAAAGATTTTTGTGTGGGACAATTTTTTTTTAAGGAGGAGTTCTTTCCACTACATAACAACAACAGTACACGTCACTTTTTCTCATTGGGTTTCACCGAAAAAAACGTTGTTTTAGTTTGATTTAATTCACTTTAAAGCGTCTTTTTTTTTTTCTTCTTTTTTTTTTTTTTTTTTTTTTTTTTGTATACAACAAACATGGTTCTTGTCACGCTTGATCAAAATATAAACGCTTCTTTAAAAAAGGCAGATATTATTCCTCATAGTAAGTAATTAAATAAATAAAAAGAGACCTTTCATACTCACCTCACTTGTAGTTGTTCCCGAAGGATTTAGTCCTTCCACTTTAGTCAGTGTCAATTATCCTACCGAGGACGTTGCCTTGGGTAACTTTATCAAGCCTTCAGACTCGGATAAAGCACCCACTGTGACATTTATTGCACCTGACACGGATGCACAATACACGCTTTTAATGGTAACACATACACACACACACACATACACATACACACACCGAGACAGACACTTAACCTCCCCCCCTTCATGTAGGTGGATCCTGATGCGCCATCCAAGGAGAACCCCAAGTTTGGCCCTTACCGCCACTGGGTCAATGTCAATATCCCTTCGGATGCAGATTTCACACAAGCCAGTGAGTTGGCTCCTTACATTGGTCCTGGTCCTCCTCCCAACACTGGGGATCATCGATATATCTTTTTAATCTACAAGCAACCCACAAAGGATGCAGACTTTCATACATTGGAAGAACAACCCAATAATTGGGATTTCAAATCCTTTGTTCAATCCAACGGATTAGAATTAGTTGGTGTCAACTTTTTTATTTCTCGCAATGACGTAAACTAAAATAATAAATCTGCATTGATTTAATTTCAATCACAGGTGTTTCTCTCTCTTTTTCTCCCCGTCTTCCCGGGGGAAAGAAAGCGGACAATTTTTTATTTTTTCTTTTTTCCCGTATAAAGTTCTGCACTGTTTTTATTTTTATTTTTACCCCTTTTCTTTTTTTAGACAATACAAATAAAAAAAGATGGCACCTCAAGTATTAATTGTAGGGTGTATTGATTTCGCTACAGAAGACTATGAACGTCTCTGTAAGAAATACTCGATTGAATACTACACTTCTAAATCGCGTCTCGAGTTCTTTGAGGATTGCGCAACCAAGTATAAGGACGTACCCATCATTTATCGTACACCTGAATCACAAAGTGTGGTAGGTCCATTTGATGCTCAACTTGTCTCCCATCTTCCCTCTTCCTTAAAATACATTGTTTATTGTGGCGCTGGTTATGATTCTATTGATGTCTCTGCCTGTGCCCAAAAGAAAATCATGGTATCCCATACTCCCGTGGCTGTAGATGATGCCACGGCTGATATTGCTGCCATTCTTATCCTCAACTGCTGTCGTAACGTTTTGGCCGCCAGTGAGAATTTACGTCAGGGAAGGTGGCGAAGTGGTGTACGTATGGGCACAGACCCTCAGGGTAAAATCCTTGGTGTCTTGGGTGCTGGTGGTATCGGTCGAACATTGGCTAAGCGTATGTCTGGTTTTGATTTGGGAAAAATTCAATATTACAATCGCAATCGATTATCTCTCGAACGTAAGTGATCATTTTTGTGTTACACCTTCTTATTTTAGATCTTCTTATTATTATTATTTATAGTTGAGCAGGAATCCAATCTCCAATATGTGGATTTTGAAACTTTACTCAAGACATCCGATATCATCTCCGTGCATTGTCCTTTAAATGCTGCCACTACCCATTTGATCAGTTACAAGGAATTTGCCATGATGAAAGATAATGTGATTGTCGTCAATACCGCCCGAGGTAAAGTCATCAATGAAGCTGCCTTGATTAATGCCCTTGAACGCGGTAAAGTCTTGGCTGCAGGTTTGGATGTATTTGAAGAAGAACCCAAGATCTCTCCCGGTTTATTAACTCATCCTCGTTCTGTTCTCTTACCTCACATTGGTACCTTTACCAATGAAAGTCAATACAAGATGGAAAAATTAGTTTTGGATAATATGGTAGCTGCATTGGAACAAGATACTTTATTAACTCCCGTACCTGAGCACAAACACTTTTTCTCACACAACAACAAATAATGATAATAATAAAAAAAAAAAAAAAACCTTAATTTTTTATTATATTTTTTTAAGATATACCTACAATAGAAAGGGAGGGAAGGTGTGAGAGATTACCCAGCAATCATCTTTTCCACCTCTACCCCCTCTACTATAACACGCGCCTTGCGTAAACACGACCCACACACACACAGAACTTAAAGTAAAAAGGCGCCAGTTAAAGCAGCGACAGGCGAACCTGTCACTCTGGGTAAACTCCAAGCCTCGGCAGAAACAGTTTCGGCCGAACCAGCCACATCCAAATGAGTGAAACCAATGGATAATCCACTCTTGTTATCTAATCCATATTGATCAATACCAGAGGCTTGAATCATGAAACCAGCAGGGTATTGATGACCACGGTTTGTCATGGTAGAAGGTTGATCATTAGCAGATACAATATCTTCACTGGATCTTCCAGCCTTGACACATTCAAGATCCTCACGACGTAAAGTAGAAATCTCAAAGGGATCCGCCATCATATGTCCCGCATCATGAATACGTTGACTGACCTTGTTCTTGCGTGCAAATCCATTATCAAGACTGATACCATAACCACCATAAGCACGAATAGCATGACCCGTCAAGGTAGCACAGGTAAAGATAAGACTGGGTGCTTTAGCAGATGCGCTATCTGAATTAAAATGGGCAACCGCTCTTTCCTTAAATTCACACAACAAATCCGTCATCACCATACGACCTTCAGCATCGGTATTACCCACAAGGACACGCTTACCACTACGAGCAACAATCACTTCATCACTCACATACATATCGGGTCCCACAGAATTACGTACTAAAGAGAGAGCACCTGTCACATTCACCTTTTCGGGTGACAACATAGAGATGGTCTTAAAGAGACCAGCAACAGCAGCAGCACCACATTTATCACGAGACATATCTCTCATATGTCCACTACACTTAATATCAGCTCCACCTGTATCATAGGTAACACCTTTACCAACAAAGAAGAGGTTTTCCTTGACTTGAGATTGGTTGGGGGAAACATACTCGAAATGCACAATACGAGGATGATGACGGGGGACAGGTAAAGAAGCACGGGTCACAGCATGAGCCAAAGGATAGTTCTTTAAAATAATATCCATATCATCAATGACAGTCACCTTGACATTCTCAATGTCCTTGAACTGTTCCACTACGTACTTTGCAACATTGATGGGTGACATGATCTCAGGATCAGGGTTACCGATATCTTTTGACATACGACGACCGGCCTCAATGGCAGCCACATTGTTTACTAAGGCAGTAGCATCTACATCGGCACCTGATACAAAGCCAATATGAGAAAAGGTGGTGATGGACTTACCGGTGGCTTCATAATGTTGACGTACATCCACAGGTTCAAAGGTGGATTCTAAAAGGGCCAACATGGAGACTTCCAAGAAATGCTTGTAATCACTGTTGTCTTGACCAAATGTCCATTGAGACACAGTGGAGACAGGTTCGTCAGCGAAACAGACCAAGGGACGAGACATACCGACCTTTAAGGCTTGAAGACCTGCCTCATAAGCAACGTCTTTGAAACGACGGACATCGTCAAAATCGTTAAGAAGAGATCCTGTGGGTGCAATGAGAATACGTTCAGCGGGTTCAGCAGTGCTGGGAAGAACTAATTGAAGACTGGAACCAAAAGTGGCATCGAGTTCCATGTGTCTCTTGACAGAAGGGACCAAGTCAATTAAAGCTTGCTTGTCAGTGAAAATAACAATAAGACCATCATAGTTTGAACTTTCGGTCTTGAGGGTTTCAAAAAGGTTTGTCTTGGCTGACACTAATTCAATCTTTGGCAACTCCATGTTTAAATAAGTTAAAAAGGGGAAAAAAGGGGGGTGGGGGACAGTATAAAAATTTTTCTCTTTTTCTCTCTCTCTCTGTTCCCCTTTGGATTAACTCCGCCAGAGAGAGACCCCCATACCCTCTCTCTCACCGACTATTTTTTTTTTTTTTTAAAAAAAAAACCACACCATTACAATTTTCTTTTTTTTTTTACCCAGTAAACCCTTTTGATGGAAATTCCCTTTCTTAGATTGGCATTTTCTTCTTTTCCATCGTACAAACGGATTTTATTTCACCGAAAACCAATCGTACTGGCAACTTCTTTCTCACGGTTAAAAAAAAAAAGAAAAAAAAGACGTCATTGATTTAAATATCCGCTCCTCTTTTTTGTGTGTAAGTGTTGTCCTCCCCTTTTTGTGCCACACTGTAAAAAAAAAAAAAAAAAAAAAAAAAAAATTGAGGCTTTTTGTGGCCCCTTCACTTTTTGAAGGCACATCCCTCGTCTATCTTTTGTGGCGAGTTACTTGTTTTGCACGTAAAAGCAAAAGGCAATGTATTTTGATTTTTAACATTGATGTGCACATACGCTTATTCTACAAATTGGTGCAACCATATCATCGATGCTCTTTCGGTACTCCTTTACAAAAAAAAAGTTGTTAATGTACAAGGCATATTCAAAACGATGACCTTCTCTGACTAAAAAAAATTAAAAGAAAAGACGCGTTTTTATAAACCAATGTCTTTCAGAGTCACGTGGTCGATTTCTTCTTCTTCTTCTTCTACATCACATATTTTGAGATTGTATACACGATTTACTGCCCTATCACGGTTAAGATTGTAAGACTGAAGACTTACAATGTCTACACCGGGTACCGGAGAGACCTTCATCCTGATAGCAAATAATAGCCTCAGCCTTATGTCATTATTAACTAACCATTTCACAACCTGTGTTAATTTCCATCATACAGAGAGAAAATAAAAGAAAGTAGGTATGTAAAGAAGATTGTCAAAAGAATTTCTGTTGTTGATTTGATTGGAAAAGAAAAAGAAGAAAGTGTGCGAAAAAGTTTTATTTAATTGCTTATTTAATCACCCCGTAATGTTTGAGCCTTTACTTAGAATGGAAACATCCCCCAGGTTTATATAAGCAAGTCATGCTGAACTTGGCAATTGTGTTTCAGTAATTTAGCATGTACCCATAGTGAAGACTATTTTGTAAAGAGAAATAAAATACACCATCCCATAAAGTATAGAAACATACAAGATGGCATATCTAACACGTGAATGGATGTAAACTTATTCTGGACGTACATGTAGAATGTATCAGCATTTTTAAATGAAGAATAATGCAGTTGCGGTGGTTCTTGTGAAACTTAAATGCTTCCTTCTTGTGTGTGTTTATCGACGTATCATTTAACTGCAATTAATTGGACGTCTATTAGAATAGAAGAAGCACACGCTGAGCGCGACTATAGGGTCGTGGTACAATGAGTCTACTTTGCATTTTGAGCATACTCAAAATAAAGTTGGTTTATAAATTTTAAATGCCATTTGCACATACGCAAATCTTATTGGCCCAATGAAAGCAATAATAAAAAAAAAAAAAAAAGGGCTCATAGCTTATGTTGGTAACCTTCTAATTGTAGCGAGATACATGGTTCTCGTGTAAAACTGTATTCCTGTTATTAGCATACGCACACGTCATATTTTCTTAAAAAAGAAGACACACGTTTGCATCGTTTGTTTTCCATTGTATTCTGTCACGATCCATCGCGATCTCCAGCCGCCATCAACGATCCGGTGAAATTTCATTTCCCGCCAAGAAAAACTGGAAGTCACTATAAAAATGGCCCATTAAAAAAAAAATAGCCATCATTCACATCTTTCTCTCTCTCTTTTTTAACAAATATATACCAAACAATGCCAGTAAAAGTTTCTGCTGAAGATCAAATTTCATTATACAAAAAACAAGCTGTCACAGTGGATGATTACTCCACCAGTAGCTTCATCATTAATATCATAAAGCATCTCCGAAAAAACATGGATTTGCATAGAATCACTTTACCTGCCTTTATCCTGGAACCAAGATCTATGCTAGAGAAAGTCACGGATTTCATGAGCCATCCGGATATTCTTTTACAAGCTAGTCAAACGGAACATCCATTAGACAGGTTTATGACCGTAGTCAAATTCTATTTATCCGGTTGGCATAATGAGCCAAAGGTAAATAGATCACCCCCCCCCTTCTCTTCCAATTGGACGCTAAACATTATAAAAAAAAAAAAAATTACGATTAGAATGTCAAAAAGCCCTATAATCCAATTCTAGGTGAACAATTCAAATGTAAATACAAGTATGATTTCAATGGGAAAGAATCAGATGCTCTCTTTGTAGCAGAACAAGTATCTCATCATCCACCTATATCTGCCTATTATTACTCCAACCCAGAAAACAATATTGTCATGAAGGGAAACATTTCGCCAAAATCAAGATTTTTGGGTACTTGTGTTGGGAATTTTATGGAAGGAGATAATTGTATCATGCTCAAGGATGAAACTTATACCATTACCATGCCCAATATGTATGTCAAGGGAATCCTATGTAAGTCCGTTATTGTTAATTAATATCTTGAAAAAAAAAAAAATTACACACTAAAAATATAAAATTAGTTGGTAGAATGGAACTAGAGTTAGGCGGACAATGTTACGTTGATTGTAAAGAAACTGGATTTAAATGTGAATTAGAGTTCAAGACAAAGGTAAGATATGAAACCCCCCATCACCTTAGTTTTTTTTTTTTTTTTTGGACTGACCCCATCTATGGCGAATTTAGGGCTTTTTCGCGGGTGAAAGAGATGTCGTTGTAGGTAATGTGATCGATACTACAACAGGTCAAATCGTTTGTTCAATTTCTGGAAATTGGGCAGACAAAATATACATGACCAAGGAAGGCGTAACATCCATCTTATTTGATGCAAGCACTGCTATATCACATCCAAAAATTGTGGCAGAGATTAAGGATCAAGGCCCATTAGAGTCAAGAAGGTAGGAAAAAATAAAGTATAGCTTAACCCAAATAGTCAACATAACTGAACCTCTTTTTTTTTTGTGTGTGTGCGCGTAATAGAGTATGGTCTAAAGTGACAGATGCGATACATAGAAGAGATATGGATACTGCTACCGATGAAAAGACCGTTGTTGAGGATAATCAACGTCAAGAGAGAAATCAGCGTGCTATCGAAGGCAAACCATTTGTTTGTACTTACTTTGATTATTCTGAAAACAAACAAATCCATGAATTTAAAATACCCCCGAGGTAAAAAAAAAAAAAAAAAAAATTAAAATGTCATATATCCCTTATTGACGTAATTTCTATTTGTAGCTCTTTATCCGTTACATCAAAACAAGTTGTAAAAAACTTGGAGAAATTTATATTCTCATAAGTGATGTATACATCTATACCAATGTAAATAAAGTTCATAAGCATAAATTAATTTAACTCTCGTCTTAACTAGTCATACGCATAAAAAGAATTGTGATGCCAAAGCACGAATTATTTTTGTACTTTCTATGGTGATTCGTCGTTACTGAATAATCGGTTCTTTTTTTTAAACAGGATCGCTATTTATAAGCTGTATGAATTACAAAAAGAGTCTGTTCGAGCAAATGAATCAATGAAATAACTGTATTGATAAAAAAAAAACAGATAAATTGTCTTGATAGATCTGAATTTATGGTATCAATCCTAGATAGCCGGGGAGAAAGAAAAACCTGTCAATTTCGTGTTTCTTTTTCTTCTACACTCTCAATGTCTGGCCCACTCATTCAGAATTACGACAAAGCGCCGTTCCGTGTCAGAATTGTAAAATACACCTGTGGAACTTGCTTCCGTCGCTGGCAAAGCGCTAATGGTAATTTAGAAGACTACCAAATATGCAAGAACTGTTATTCAAAGTGTTACCCAGGGGAGTATAAATGGCAAGCTCCCAACAAGAAGGGTAATCAAAATCAAGAAACCTTTGTGGCCCATAATACTGAATTATGTGGTAAGTGTATACGCTTGGGATCTTCTTGTATGGAGCTTAGAAATGAAGATAGCAACCCAGGAACTATTGTCAGCAACGAAGATGGCGAAGATTTCATATTGGAAAATAATTCAGATTTATCCAGTTTTCTTGTGATTAAAGAAAAGCCAGATAAAAAGAAAAAGAAGGATAAATCTAGAGATAAACCGAATGACAAGGCTATGACAAGCGAACGCAAAAAAGAGAAGAATAGTGTTACGACAGTTAAGGAAGTTAATATTTTTGAAAACAAAGATAAGATGGAAAACCTGGAGGCAAAGATGGAAGAGACGAAAAATAAGGACATCCCATACTATATTAGTTTGGTTTTAATGATCATTAAGGCAGCCAGAAAAAATAATGAAAATAAGGAAGAAAATGTGTCCAGTGAAGAAAGCAACGTTACATCTTTGGTTGTTAAGCCAAATGTAACTGATTAAAAAAAAATTATCGAGTTAAATGAATAAATATCTAGTAATTTTGCATTTTTAACTTTGTCAATACTAGAGCTGTAGGCCATATTTTCTTCTCCCTTTTCTGAACAGCTATGGGTCTATATCAATTCAAGCTTCATCGTTTTCTAAAAAAGTATCAGCACTATAATTGAGCTGCATCAAAAAATGATAGGCTATTTTACAAAAAACATTAAAGGTAAAAACATAAACACCCTGTTTTTTATACAGTAAAAAGAAAAAACAACCAAACATGCATAGGAAAATCATATAATTAACTATCGGCTGCGTCCTAAATAAAACGTTTCAATCCGTTTCCCTCGTAAGCCGATATACTTAAATAATGTTAATATGTTTCTTACTATTATCCACTTTTATGTCCTTTTTGACGTTGTAAAAGGTCTACTCATTTCACGTAATGTGAGTGACTTGACAAAGATCGACAAAAAGTGTGCTAATTAGAGTCACGGGATATGGTTACACACACAAGTTCTGTTTCTGATAACCCATAAACCAATTCAGTGGACTCGATACACTACTTACATGGGAAGGACATTAAACATATAATAAAGTTGTGACTAAATGGATATCCATTGGATAATTTGATTACCCTGTCGAAAATCGCAGAAAAGAAAACGTCATTGTGCGGAAGTGTTTACACACAAGAAGATATGTTTTTTTTTTGATTAAAGAGTTGTGATGACATTTTAACGTATTTTGATGGAACCAGGTCTATCCCATTTACGAGTGGTTACACCAAAAATAGCATTACTGCGTAATATTGAATGCTTGTAAAAAATGAACAACATGAAGTAAAAGAAAGCCACTGTTACACTGTAATAATTACAGAAAGTCACCGTTCTGACCCACAGGCGTAAATGGGGATATAGACAAATTATGGATAGGTTTTTGTCATGTGTCAATCATCATTTTGTCTGAACTTCAAATTAGCATTTAGCGACATCATGTCCTTCTGCCACGTTTTTTTCTTTTTTTTTTTTTTTTTTTTTTTTTTTTTTTTTTTTTTTTTCCTTTATCTTTTCTATTCTAATGGAATATTTAAAAAAACTACTGAAGCCTCATCAGCTTGTATCTGCTGTACTGTATCCAGCCACAGTGTTTATTGCCTTCTTATATGCTACCGTTGGCAATCCACCAGAGACATATTTCAGCAACAAGAGAAATGTCCTAAACCAGTTTTTTGTAAAAATTGGTTGGTTCTGGGTGACCTTGGTTTACTTTGCATACCTTTATAATGTAAGATCGAAAAGACTTCAAAACACAAATCAGTTTATTCAAGGCACTATTCGATACGTTTTTGTCACTTTATATTGGTATATAATGACCCAATGGTTATTTGGGCCCAGTTTCATCGATCGTGTTTATGTACTGACCGGAGGTAAATGCTCAAGTTTAGTACAAGACGACTTTAAGGCATCTGCTCAATTAGCCAATGTATTTCAACAACAAACTTGTCGACGTCTGGGAGGTCAATGGGAAGGAGGACACGATGTTTCGGGACACTGCGTAATGTTAATTCACGCAAGTTTGTTCTTTTGGGAGGAATTAAGCTGGATGTTTTATAACTTTACTGCATTTGTGGAAATGAAGGTACGTGATAGAGCTCAATATTGGTCTATCGTCTCTGTTTTGGCCATTGCCAGTATTTGGTGGTTTATGCTCTTTATGACTGGCGTATATTTCCATGGGCATTTTGAAATTTTGTCGGGTGCGATATTTGGTGTGTTAGGTTGGGCCACTTTGGTAAGTTGAATAACATGTGCGTTTTTTTTTTATGTGAACGGGTATTCATATCCCCCCTTTTTTTTTCACGTTGTAGTATTTGGGCGTTTTCCCCAAGATTCCAGCTATTGGCGTGCCATCCATATACCTATAAATAAAGGGAATTTTTACATGTTTTTAGAAGCCACTGCAAATCTAAAAGTCATCCGAATTATGTATATTATTTCGCAGTTCTTTTTTTTATATATATAACAATTTATTTATTTTCCGCCAATAAAATCTTTAATCAAGCTGAAAGCGTTTACTGTCTTTGCAAAAAATATAAATAAGCTTCCCCAATGGGTGGGTTTGGTGTTACCGCAACCTTATTATCATTGAATAAAACCCATTCTCCATTTTTATGCACGTGCGAAACATAATGACCACAATGGACAGACGTTCCCTTGTGAGATACAAACGAATCCAATTTATAGTTAAATGGTGCTGTAGCACTTCCAACTACAACCGCTTCCCCTGTCGTGTTCATTGGTGTGGACTCCTCTCCACTGTCATCAGGATGGCTAAATAACCAGTCCAAAGCTCTTTCCGTATCGTTATTCTATAATACCATTAGACATATATTTCATACTACATAAACAGTCTAACTCACAGTCTCACGTAATGCTTTCTTTGCTTGGGCGGCAGAGAATCCCATATCTTGCAAAGTAGAAATTTGACCCTCAGAAGGTCCACTGCTTAAAGCAGCATGAGATGCAGTAGTAGCAGGCAAAGGATCATCAATGTCTAAAATTAGAAATGGGAAATAAAAAGTAAGAAAAATGACCAATAACATGCAAGGTCATTTCTTACCAGGATCTTCCATATGTTCGAACATCCAACTCATGGCAATATCAGCGCCATTGTGACCTGTATTTAACAAAGCTCTCTTACAACGATTCTCGGAAAATCCCATGGATTTGAGTTGATCGATATCATTTTGGTTAAATGTAAGTTCGGAAGAATTACTAGAAGTATCTTCATCCTCAGGTAATGTTTCCTCTCCAGGTTGCTGTCCTTGACTGATATACTTATCGAGTTGAATCAATCCATCAGGAAATTTGATAGCAATATCTGATTAAACATAGAATAAACATCTTTACTCAAATTTTCCTTCATGTTCACTTACTTAATTTTTGAGGTACCCAATCGATGAAAGCGAAACGACGAGGATTGACCACTAAAATTTCAGGGAAAGTGCTGAATCTGACGGATCTAGTAATATCAGTCAGCATTTTCGTATTTCTCATTAAATGCCTATATATGCACATAGAGGAGTTACCTAGTAGCCGTGGTTTTTTCCTTACAATTTGAGCAGTTATACCCATCGAAATTTTCGTCCTTAACAAAGATGTCGAGACACTCTAAAAATTCAACGGGCTCATAAGCATCAGCGGCTTCTCCTTCTCCATTGGATTGGATCTTGTGGGCAGGTACGCTGACAGAAATACTGCTTGTCTTGTCCTTTTGATATCTTACTTTTTTACATTTCGTACACTGAAGTCTTTGCTCTGTGACAAAATCAAAAGCCTTGGTAGGATCATTGTTAGAAACGTGCTCCTTTTGTTGGATCGTTTTACACAGGTACTGGAAAAATTCAAAGGCATCTTGCTGACGCATCGTGGAAAACTCCTCGTGACCTTTTCCTACTAGCGCTTTAAACATACCAGGTGCAATCCCCTCTTGGTACTTTACACCTTCGTCGTTGATAAGCGGTTGTGAATATCTACCTGATAAAAGACCGTCGGCTAATTTATGAAGTTGGCAGTACCAGCATGTTGCAGGATCTGTCGTACATGTCATGGCATGATCGTTTAGTTGCTTAAAGTATCTTTCTTGGAATGATTCAATGTTGAAGACGGATTGAAGCACAGAAGCCATGTAACAACTATTACCCAAGTTCTTAAGCCCTGTGTATCCAGGACCAAACTTTGGCTCTAATTGCTTACCATCCTCCGTAGTCATGCTGAAATCAAACTTCATGTTCTGTTCTAATTGCTTTTAAATTTTTTTTGTCAATACACTAGTTTTATCCTCAGGGACTATGGGCGTAGCTTACTAATTCGGTCATGCTCTTTTCGGTTTTTGTTTGATGAGCAACATTGATACCCCAATTAGCAAGGTGAGTAGCCAAGTCATTATCCAATCTGGCTTCATCACAACTGTAACAATAGATATCTACAGAATGCCGCACATTCATACTCGCCATTAATCACTCGCCTCCCATATATAAAAAAAAAAAAATGGCATACTTTACCGGCAGTTCCTTCCGCAGTGATTGTGCCTAATTTAACATTGACACCATGACCGGTTTTTTCGAAATGATCAATTGCATGATTATTTCCTCCTGAACCATCATATTGTTTACGTCCACAACCCAAATTACCACAGGCTAAACATAACCATAAATTTTCATTCAATTCACAGTCTGCACAATGTGCCAAATCCTGTTGCTGTAATTTTTTGGGCGCATCTTGGACGAGACAAAGTGTGTGCTCGCAGGGTGTAATCACCTCTTCCCATGCTTTTACCTCAGATTGTTTAGCAGATGAAAGTGAGGACAAAACAGCATCCACAATAGCGTTCAACTGATAAAAAATAATTAAGTATATGTCTATAAACATAAATCAGATTGATTTCAAATCATACCTTGGGTGTGCTTTCTTTCGATTCTTCAGAACCGTTACAAGCATAACAACGGACTTTAGTGACATACTCGTATTGAGGCTCTTCATTTTCCATAACAATAGCAATCTTGCTAATTTTTTGGGGTGGTGGAGTTCCATCGTCGTTGACCTATTATTATGTTTTAGTACATTAGCGAATGACACAAAGAAAAAGAAAACTCGTTACTCTTTTGGGTTGGCTGACTACGAGGCGACGAATATTGACAGTCAAAGGGTGCTGCGTCAATTGGTAATGAGTTAACGCGTGATGTCTATGTGTGTCTAAACATCCACCGTTAAAACAAGATAGACAGACATCAATACCTTCAGGTCCATCCTAGTAGAAAACGTGGTTATTACATGAATGATCCTTGTGGAGATAGTAGATCAGTTTACTTGATTGTCAAAACATTGAGTACATTCTTCTTTATGTACTTGTGTGTAAGCAGAAGGAGGTGTTAACGAAGCGTTTTCAATATGTGAGCAAACCATTTTATAGCATAAAGAAACTACAAATGCATAAGATTCTTTTTTTTTTTTCGACTTTTTTTTTTTTTCGTGTAAATGAAGCAATGACGTGGATTACTTTCGATCTCAGTTGACGCAGCTTTGGGCTTGTGCCTGGTGTCAGACTTTTGGTTCTTTCACACCTTGAAAAGTTTACAGAAAATATCTTACTTTAAAAAGAATTCTTCATGTCGTCAATACTATTTATTTTTGAGTTACCTAAATTTATTCCGATATATGTTTGTTTTCCCATTGAACATCTCGTTATTGTTTATCTTGTCATATCACACATCTCTTTTATAAAAAACGTTAGTCTTTTATTCCGGCTGCATATGATGAGTAAAAAGAATGGATCGCTCAAACCCCCCCCCCTTTTTTTTTACTTTGGTGTTAGCTTTTCTGTGAAAACCAATTTACCTAAACCAAACGTGATTTAAAACTATCAGATCTACTTAACATTACAATCTGCGCACGGACCCTCTGTTGATTATACTTTTTTAAAGTAATCCCAATAAATGTATACACTTGCTATATGGAATCATGCAGTTACGGTCAGTGGTATATCTCCAAAAAGCGTTGGCCGCAGCGTAATATATCTCGGATGGGACGGAATTGGACCTGACTCGCATTTCAGAAGGTGTTCACGTGAGATGATTTTCTTTGGTAATTGTACGAATACAGAAATAAACTTTGGTGGCATCTTTATTTACTATCCTTTCTTCTTTGGAATAAGTTTGACAGAGAGAGTCAGTTTAAAGGTGTCATAATACGACACAAAGAGAAGAAAAACCTGTAACATGTATGCAAGGTTTGTTTATGCTTAAATAATTCACTTTGGTCCGGTTGTTTATTGTAACACGCAGCAAACACGGGGTGGCTAAAAAGAATTTCAGCCGCCCTGTAATTTCTTTAATATGCTGTATGATATCATTTGTATACCAAACATTGTTGCGTTGTGTATTTGTTTCGGGTGCAATTGAAATATTTTTTTTTGTGACAAGGATGCACATTCTACATCATGTCTTTTTTTTTCGAAATAGAAATTATATATATATAAAGATAGCATATGAAACATGTAAGCAGTTACAGCATGTATAAGCCATTTGGATATTCTCAAATGACCTGATATTTTAGAAGGATAAACATCCATAACGGAAGGCGTCATCCTTATTTCCCTTATACACCATAGCTTGTAAAAAAAAAATCTTAAAGTATTATGACAATCAATAAAATAGATGCGAAATCTTGTTCAAAGTTTACTTGTCAAGGATCTCCACAATTATATCTAAAGTGTGCCTGAATAGACATCAACATGATTTTTAACTAGAACCACAAATAAAGTCAACTTGTTACACCATGACACTAACTCGTTTCTCTTGCTCCCCCTGATAATTGAGGATTACAAGATGATACATTTAGCTCTTGAAAAAATGCTGCTAATATAAATGCGTTTCCTCACGGGGGTAAAAGCATGACCTATCCGTTGCAAAATTATACGTCCATAGATTTAGAAATTTAAACGTGGTTATTATAGACGCAAAAAAAAAACTGGCTGTCGTATATCACAAGTATATGAGAAAAAAAAACGGACCAACTGTTAATCATGCATACACGTGTTAGATTTCTTATTAGTATAACATGTGAGCAAGATTTTTTTTTCTTGCTATATAGGGTATATCTAAACTGGATCAACAAATTGACTGGGGGAAATTGAAGATTTAATTGATGATATCCATAGAATACAGGGACATACCATATCGAGAAAAAAAAATATAATACAGATTTTTATATGTAAATATATATATAAGATGTCATAGCTAAGCATGCAGTCGACAGGGACATAAATAATGTGTAAATGTATCATAAGCCGTACTATACTATTTATATATTTTTTTTTTCATGAATATAAATATGAAAACAATTCATGTACATTTTTCTTTTCTTTTTAAACATTTCCTCTTTCCCCATTATGACATCAAACAAAAATAAAAATAAAATTGTCACAGAAACATTTCATGGATATATTGAAACTACTCGAGATGCACTATTACTGTTCGAAGCCTGTAAAAGAGGCATCATTCCACGTACATCAAGGAGACTACAAGACAAAGAACGACATTTGATTCGAAGTGGTTCTATATTTTGTTTTGACGAACACGAAAGTGGTATAAAACGTTGGACAGATGGTTTGGTGTGGAGTCCTTCTCGAATTTTGGGAAATTTTTTAATTTATCGTGAATTACATGACAAAAAATTAACCAGAAGTAACTCGGCCGATTTTGGAATGACGCATGGTGGCGCAACAAACATAGATGGACGTAGCAGTGAGATGTTAAGAAGCCGGAGCCTTGATAGCGCTACTTCGCCCTATGGATACTCCGTAGCACATGACCACCTCCGACGACAGCGTGAAAAGGCTTTACTGGGATCTCTCAAAAACTCATACAAGTTCAAAAAAAACGGTTTAATCAAAAAGTCAATGTCCCTAGTTGTTGATGGTGTACAGCAACATATCATCAGTTATTATACTAAAGAGGATGTCTTGTCTAATAGACTTAAAACACCATCGAGTATGACTGAGCTATCTTCACTCGAAGTATCATCCGGCTTAAGTTTGAAACAAAACTATCGTATGCCACTTTTTATGTCTGAAGAAATCACAAATGACAGGTAAATTTCATGCAATAAAAAAAAAAAGAAAAACGTAGTATTTCGTTTGTTAACCTCTAATCTGTAGATTTATGAACAGTGAAAAGGGATATTATGACGAGTTAAATGTACCTCAGTATAACATGGGCTCTTCGTCGTCTTCGTTTACCTCCTCAATATCTAGTAGCATCAGTGGTAGTAGCATCAACAATTACCACACTGAATTCAGTGACAGCCAACTTCCTCTTACAAATAATAACTATCCAGTCAATCCATATAGTTTGTGTAATCTCAATTCAGACATTTTAATATTATTTTCAGACACCTTTTAAAAATTACTATTGGCCTTGTATATATTCAACTATAAATAAATTAAACATACTCTTCATATTATTATTGAAACAAAATTATTTTATATTTCCAAGCCAGATTTTAAATTAAACAGTTTTGCCTGGAAAATAAAGCATCTGTATTTTTATTATACCACAACCTCGTTTTTATTTACTATGGTTGATTTTTTTTTTTTTTTTTTTTTTTTTTTTTTTTTTTTTTTTTTTTGGAGATCTACCCATATATAACATGAGGACAACCACATAAATTAAATTGTAGTCGATAATCAATAAGAAGGCACTGATGATGCAACCTAAATGGAAAAGTACATTTTATCAATACCAAGCAGATTATAGATGTCATATTCATATTTCTGTAAATTTGTTTATTAAGATTGCCAAGCTTGTAGCTTATAAGTATAAATCTAAGGCTAAAAATGTTTCTTCTTCGACGGAAATTGACGAGTGCTTTATATAAGTTTTCATACTCTAAATTCAATGAATATGAATGATGCTTTTCAAATAAATTTTATTCATTATTCAGATGGTGCTCACAAAAATCTCTGCATAGTATGAGCTTACTTGTTGAATTTTTTATATTCCATATAAAATGTGAACTGTGTTTACTACGGCAATTTTTGGCTTTGTATGACATGTCTGGGGTGACAAGTCACAGAGAAAAATTAGTTACCGGCCCACCCGGAGATCCTTGCATAGCTAATATGGCTTGCATGAGATTATTTGATAAGTTGAACCTTGAACATATTATGTTAGTAAAAAGTATATTTAATCATAGAGTTTTAATTATTTACTTATTTGGATTATTTACACCACGGCGGAAAGGTGGGAGAGTAAGACCATCTTCTAAAACTAATGCTGAGAATCCTATCAGAGCAATGTTTAACGCACCATTTCGGTCTCGATTTGACGTGGTTGGCTTGTTATGCATGCGTCTCGGACAGTTTTTGTTAACGCAAACAACTGCATCTTTTATTCTTTTTATGGTGTTCCCTCTTCTAACTACTTGCTTAGTAGTGGTTTCAAAACACAAAGTGCAAGTAACAGTTGATTTATATTCGTCAACAACCATAAACTTGTCCTTTTTTGTCTTTTAAAGCTCTGTAATTACTGGTTTTAGGCTTCTCCTAGTATGACCCTTCATAAACGTAGTAATACCGGACCAGTTTCCCAGAAATGACAATACGACATTGTTATTTCCCTTTCCTACTGACGTAACAAGTCTTTTTCTGTGGCGGCTAAAAAATACTTGATAGAATTTTTTTGTACGTATTTTCCTAGTGAGCCTTTTTTTTCCAAATATAAAACATCAGTTTGTACTTTCTGGTTTTCTCTCCTATGTTGTTCTTGTCTATGTTTTGTGGAAAAGGTATTATTTTTCATCATCTTGGCCGTAAATTCTAGACTAACTTGTTTTTCGTTTGTAGCAGATTCTACTGGATCCAAGTTCTTTAAAGCAGTATATCTGTTTATACTTTCAAACAGTAAAGAGCTTGATGCGTCTTTAAATGAACCAATAGCCACTACCCCTGGGTCTATTCCTTGGACTGCAATTTCTCCTTTTGCTAAAGATTTTATATCTTCATCTGAAATGACTTCCTTGTTTATATTGTCTGCTGGCTGAGGCTGTTTGTGCAATATTTTATTCAATCAATACATTTCTGTTCTATTGTTAGAGATAGTGGCATGTACACTCTTTAACTCCGAATATATCTTGTCACAATTAGCTCTTGCTTCTTTAAGGTCGTTGTATTATTCTCCTCGTCCCATTTATCCTTGCCTCTTTCTTCAATGTTTCTTGCTTGATCCATTCTAAGTTTTTCCAATGGAAGAAGTAAACGGCTTAGACGTGCCTGCTTTGTTTTAGACTCTTTGATTCCTACGTTTAAATTTGGAATAGCTTCTTTTATATTGGCAATATCATTGAGGTCATCATTATTCTTATGAGCTTTCTCCAATTCTGCACGCGCCTTTGAATCCAATTTGGAATAGTTTTTAAGTGTGCTTTTGACTCCTAGAAACTGTAGGGTATACCAAATCGAAAATATGAAAGAAAAGGTTGGATGTAATTTCTGCTCTGTCAATATTCTTTCTAGATAACTTATATTAAAAAAATTTGAGAATATCAACCGTTTGTCGTTTTCCGTAGAAATATCCAAGTAGTTTGTGAAGTAAGTATTTTCTGACTTGTGCATGTTGTACGATTTAGCAAAAAGCAAGTAAAGTCATTTACTGTCCACCCTGTCGTATTTGGGTACGATTCCCCATAAGAATAATTAAGCAAATCGTTTAAATAAATAAACTATGAAATTAAAACAACCTTTGATGTTGCATATCAGCATACGCTTGTATACTGCTATACAACTTCTCCTACTTCGATTACATACTTCTATATTAAAGATTGCATGATTGGCCTAAATACGATATACGAATGACAGTTGGATACAGAATGCTATACCACTGAGTTACGATATCACCGATCGAGAAGAGAAGCTTCTCAGATCAAATCAAGAATTATAAGAAAGAGAAACTTAATATTAATAGTTCTCTCAATGGATTAGCTACCCAGAGAGAGAATAGAACAGCTATCAATATAAATGGTTCATTTACTTATATATCGATATAATTATACTGCTGATAAAGAGTATAAAGAAATAGTGTATGAATTAATGGATACCTATCTTCTACAACCAAATATACAAATATCGATAAGACATTTTATAATTGGGATCGTAATTTATTCATTACAAAGATAATGAATAAATGATCAACTATTATGTTCTATTGCCAATTACACTTGACAAACAAGTATGCATCTTCTACAGTAACCGTTGCATGATCTGATAAATAAGTGTCTTGTAATACTAAAGATTTATTAGAATACTCATGCTCCCGATCCACTGATATGGGACAACGTTATCTGGAAACAATTCTAACGAGTAGTATCCATTTAACCCAAGGCAGGAAACAAAGTATAGATCTATTCCAAAACCAGAAAGGTTGACTCATCATTAAAACTCAGGAGAGTTGTGCAATATAAAAAGGATCAATTATTTCATAGCAGCAGAGTTCTTTTAGTCTATTTTTACCTCTAATAAAAATATACTTTTATCTCATTACTTTTCTATGTAATATTTTGTCAAATACCACACACCCTAATGGAGATTTTTTTTATCTGAAATCGGGTACAGGCTGCAAACCCCCTTCTATTTCTTTTAAATTATTTTTATCTCTAATAAAAATACACTTTTTTCTCATTACTTTTCCATTGTAATATTTTTTCAAATACCACAGTATTCAAGTTCTAACAGTATCACTTTTGGTTTAACGTGCGATCGGACTTAAATGTTCCAAACCTTAATTTCATTTCAATATTTTTATTTTCGAAATCGTGACATGGTGCCTTTTTTTTTTTTTTGAAATGTCTGAAGGTAGGCTTGTACATGCCAAGATCCTTGAAAATAGAAGCTCTTTAAACTCAGTCAAAAATAAAGGAAAAACGAAAAGTTTATTAAATGTTTTCATCAAAAGTTACCTTTCGATGTGAAAGGTAACTTTTGGTTACAAATTTGTAAACATCACCAGCCACCTCTCTACCGTCGTCACACTTGCTGTAGGCATCAATATAATTCATGCATCGCTGAAAATACCGTTTGATTTTGGCGACATCTCCAGCCTTGTCCAAAAACCCGGGAATTTTGGGCTCAAGTGATTTGAATGTGTAATCACAATGAAGACGAGCCTCTCTTTTAGCTCCACCCCAATACATCTCAATCCAATTACATTCACAATGGTACTCGGGGTAGAGTTCAAAGATGTGACCCGCCTTCTCCACTGTCTCTTGAAGCGCCGTTTTTTGGGCAAGAAAATCTGGACGACTGGCTAAAAAATGCCTAGCACAGCACATAGATTTTCTGCCCGGGAAAGGATTCTTGCAATCCACCTTCCAATCCTTCCCCTCTAAATCAGCACCGAACCATTGCTTTCTTTCAGCAAGAATATTGCGAATACCTGATTAAAAAATAAATAAATTATCTCCTAGCTTTATAACATAATCAATTATTTACCTTTAAAGTACCTTTCTTTACGAGTAATTGTTTTCCCCTTTCTGTCTCTTAGGGTACTCACCTTCTCAAAAAAAAAGTCCTGCTTTAAAACCTCTCCGCTAGTCAATGTAACTGTCGTAGGACGAAACTGAAATTTTTCAGTTACTGGCCATATCTTCTCCTTCAATGTCATTCTTGAGGCAACCAGAGCATCCTCAGCAAATGCGGAATGGTTTGAGCTGTTGTCAAACAAAAATACACCAACGCAATTGGGATGGAGCAGCTCAAAAAGCTCAATTGCGTCATCTTTGAGCTGCTCGACCATGTGTTTATAGGTCCACCAACCTTCTCTATCACCACCGGCCTTAAAGTACCTTCTTGAGGTCCAAGCGCCACTCTTCATCGTTCCATGACAAGGGCACTGGAACTCACTGATCATGATGGAAGATCCAGGCCCTTTTTTACGAATGTAGTTTTCGTCGCTAGTAAGCCAGAAGTCGCTTTTTCCATCGTTTGCATAAAAAGTGCTTTCATCGTGGGTTACAAAAACAATCTTCTTTTCACCATCATTCAAAACAGGTTCCAACACCTCTTCTTGGTTGTCATCTTGGTAAAATTCAGAGCGCTCCATGTATTTTTTCATGCGTTTACTCCAAGCTTGTCTATATTCGACGACATCAGGTCTCTCGTGACCATCGAAAAAAATAGCCTTTTTGTTTTTACGGTAAGAATAGCCCCATTCGTAAAGATATCTGGCCACCGTAGTTTTACCAACGCTTCCAGTAACACCGAGAGTGGCAGGAATAACGTCCTCGTCGATAAATTTTTTAATATTATCTACTGTTCTGTAATTGGCAGTAGTCTTCTTGATCATATCCAAAACCTTGGTCTTAACGTCGTTATCAGCTAAGAAAGAGACACGTTTAGCATGAACACCTTGACTATGGTTGGACAAGACTTGATTTTCAAGGTATTCATTTGCCCACTTGATAATTGCTTTATGTCTGTAAAATTTGGAGCAATTGGGCCAAAGAGAATTTGCTGATTTCTTAGCTGCCTCGTGTTTTTTCAAACCTTCCAATCGGTTTTGAAAGTATTGCTGTATAGACACATAGCGGATATGATTGTATGAATCCACGTTACTACCATCGAGCGATTTGTTCATTACTGGCTTAGCAATAATTGGCATATCCTTGAACAAAACTCTAATTTTTTCAAGCTCTTTCTTGGTATGAGCCACGTACTCTTCTTTTTCTTCAGCGCGAGAGTCATAATTTTTTTTTTGTATGAAAGAGACTAGATCTTTATTGTTTAAAGTCAACAATTCGAATCGCAAATATTATTGGACCGGACAATTGAGTGACTGTGGAATAATGGGTACGGGGATGGGAATTAATGTAAGGGTGGGGCGAAGGAGATGATGTGAGATATTTTTGGGTTTTTAGCTTTTGTTATTTTTTTGATTTTTTATATTTTTGGAAATGTCCATATCCTCTTCTTGTTCTATGAGTAAAGAAGCGATTGTTTGCTGAGTGCGTTTGACAGTGGTCTCTACGTGAAAGGTAATGTCACGGAAAATTTCGTTGAGGTGTGATAGCCATATCGAGTGGATAGTCGAGCCTAGCAATTGTATGAAGTTGCAGTGGGGGAGTGTGGTGATTGTGCCTTGATATTTGAGCTGAAAAATGCTTTGTATAATAATGGCTTGTTGTTCTGGTTTGGATAAATCTTGTAATTGATTGAAAGCAAGTAATATAGAAGCCCATACGGACCATCGTTGAGGACAGGTGACGAAAACGTGTTCTGCATTTGCGAGTATGCTTGGGCAGATGTCACAATTGGGACTGTTATGGATATCAGGGAAGACTCGATGGAGGAAGGATTTGACAGGAGCTTTGTTGTGGACCAAGCGGTACCATATATTGCGTGATGTTGGATGGAGACTGGTCTTCCAGAATTTTGTCCAGGCTGTGGTTGTAGGATGACTGTTGGATGAAGCTGAAGTGAGAGATTGTCCCGTCATGAGTTGTCGTACCAATCGATTGATATTAATCCTGATTCCTGCAAATTGTTTGATGCTGTCGTAGAAGGGGGTCAACATATGATGTACTATGGGAGACAGGTCTAGGTGTGATTGTTCAGGTAGTATCGGGATGTCTGTGTTAAATGTATTTCCAGGGGACAAGCATTGACGAATAAAGAATAAATTTAACATTATGATGTTTTGATCCAGTAGTCGGAAAAAGTGTCTGGCCAAAGTAGGATGTTGTGTGAGTGCGGAATAGGGTTTGCGAATAATATACGTGTTACTTTCGTCTATGCTGAATAGTTGATGTGCAAACATCTTTTGAATTCCGGGTTTGGTGAAGGAGTCTTCGGTAGTTGTTGTGTTGGTGTGAATCCAGATGGATGAGAGGGGGAGTTGAAGGCAGGTGTGTTTGTTGATCTGAAGGCTGGTCAGGTTTCTTGGAATGGAATCGACAGCTTGGAAGATAGTGCTAAATGGGTTATAATGATTAGTAAGGGAGGTAGCCCGATATTTTGTTAAGAGCAATGGTAGGTGATGGTGTGGTAAATCCCCGTTGTAGGATCGCAGTCCAAATTTGAGGAGAGTGTACACGTCTTTTGGGCAGTCAGTATTGGAGCCATAACCTTCTAAAAGGGGTTTTAGCCAACGCCACTGAAAGACCCTTTGTTGAAGGCCGATGTTTAGGATCCCGAGTCCTCCTTGTGATCGTGTTGTTTGAAGAATCGACAATTTGAGTTTTGGAAACATTCGAAACATAAGGAATTGGTATCCAATCGATTGAATTTTGGCTATCTGGGCTTTAGTCATGGGAAATAACCGAATAACATGCCATAGTGTTGAGTAGATTAAGGAATTTAAAACTGTAGCTCGTCCACGGATTGACAGTTGTCGTTGTTTGTGGATGTTGCATGCCTGTTGAATCTTATCCATCAAGATGTTAACATAATGATTTCGTTGACTGGTTGAAAAACAGAGTTGATAACCCAAGTAACGCAGTGGAGCTGTCGAGTATTGGGAGTGCCACTTAGTGATGTTGTGGTTCAGTAAGAATTGTGTCCAAGCCTCAGAAGGTTTGCCATTGAGTGCAAAAGCTTCGGTTTTATCATAATTCAGTTTGGCATTGGAGGCTTCGCTGTAGAGGGCGTAGGTCTCTTGAAGGATGTGGAAGTCCGAGTGATTTTTAAGGAATACTAATGTATCATCGGCGTAGACACAAAGTCGCAAAGGTTTGGGGATCAAGGCCGTTTCATTATTTAGTGTATAAGTAGAAGTAGGCGGTGTACTATCCGGTGGTGTTGACGTGAACGGTAACCCGGAATAATCGGGGTGTTTTGTTATTGATTTCAGGAATGGATCGAATGCCAAGTTGAACAGGAGCGGGGAGATCGGATCGCCTTGTCGTAATCCTCGGTTTTGTTGAATGGCTGGTGAAAGGTGGCCATTAATATTGACCTGAATGGAAGTGTTAAAAAATAGCCCGGTAATGGTATTAATAAGGGTCTGGGGATATCCAAAAGCTAATAGGGTGGCGCGTAAATAGTCTGATGATACCCTATCGTATCCTTTTTCTTGATCGAGTAGAAGTCCAATACAGTTGTAGCTCTCGTCATCCGGTGTTATCTGATGTTTGACGTGTTCAACGGCTAGTTGAAGGGTAAGTCCATGATCGCCAATGAAACGTCCTGGCATAAAACCTAGTTGTTGTGGGCTAAGGATGTCGGCTGCTGAGTCCATCATGCGCGAATTGATTAATCGAGTAAATATTTTGCTATCTGTATTAATGAGCGCAATTGGGCGCCAGCATTTTAGTTGAGTGAGATCACCTTTCTTGGGTAGCAGGATCATCGATGTTTTCAACCAACTGTCCGAAAAATTGATTTTGTCAACGCTTCATTAAAGATGATGACACAAAGGTTGCTAAAATAAGTGTCAGCAAGGATAAGTTTTAAAATTTCGTACGGTATAGAGTCCAAACCCGGGCTGCTTTTGCCAGGAGATCGTTTGGCACCTTCTAGAATTTCCTCTAACGTGATTGGAAGGAGTAATCCTGCAGCAGTATCTTTGGTTATTTTGCAATCTTCAGTAATGTGTGATAAGATAGCATTAACAGATGAGGGATTGATCGGATCCGGGTTAAACAAGTCTTGGTAGTAAATTCTAACAGACTCCTGAATGTCTTTGTCATTATGGCATAGCTCCCCGGATATCGGATGGTGTACTGCTTTCATGCTACGTTGTTGTTCCCGTTGGGATATCGTACGCTTGAGGTATCCAGCTGAAATTTCTCCTTGTTCTCGCCAGTGTTTACCTGCCCGAATTGCATCGACTTCGGCCACTTCCTTTTGTAATATTCCTAACTGTTGTTCAACGGTTGGTAAAAGTTGGTTAAGGATGGCGGGACAATTTGCATGTTTAACGATGAGCGTGGACCGTCGAGTTTGCAGTCTAGCAATTTGTTTTTCACGCCATTGACAGTAGTGTCGGCTAAAGCTCTGACAGAACTTTCTTACCTTTCTTTTCATAGCGTCCCATTCCTTCTGAGGGGAATTAAGAGGGCCGTGAGTGGTAGAAGGGTTCAAATCTTGTAGTAGTGTAGATAATTGTTCGACGAAACGTTTGTTCTTGACCAGTGCCGGGTTCGCTCGATATATACCTTTACCGTGTTTTTTGCTCACCATGATTAGATCAATGGATAGCAGAGCGTGATCTGTCCAGTTAGTGTTGATAAATTTCACCCCAGATGAGGTGATACTGCTTTTGATTGCAGGAGACGCAAAAATGTAATCAATGGTTGTGCGTGAAGTTCCCCGGCTGAATGTTATTTGTGGATTGTCAACAGAGAATACTTCACTTATATCATCTGAATTGATGCAGTCATAAAGTTGTTGGCTGAGGATCCGTTTCCACGACGCTATAGGGTGGGGAGTGGGTGAATTCGAAGATCGATATGATGAGTAATGATGATAGTTAAAATCACCGACAATTAAGAAGTTAGAATACTTAGTATAATGTGCTATATCTATTTCATCTTTGAATAGAGGCAATTCTATAAGATCACTATAAAACTGTTTCTTGGGTCCCGACTGACTAGGGGCATACAGGTTGAGTAAAAAGATCGGCTCAAAGTGATGATTGATGTGATGGACTTTAACAAAAACTGCATGTTTACTGAGGGTGATGAAAATGGGTGTGATTCGAATGTTTGGATTGAGGCTAACGATACCGACGTGTTGTGTCCAAGTTGAATCTTTAGCTTGTAGTTCCATAATTAAGGAATCTATTACATTGTTGTCTTCAGTTCGGACTTCTTGAAAGTTGAGTATATCGTATTTTAGGGATCGAAGATAGCGGGTGAATTTCCGTCGAGTAGTTGGATCTGATGTTGAGGCTAAGCTACGACAGTTGATGGATCCGATTTTTAATTTATTGGATTTAAATGTAATTGGTGTCGGTTGATTGTGAGCGGTGTTAGGCTGACTGGTTTGGTTAGTAGTCAAAGGCATAGTTATATTAGTAAGCATAGAGATGTCAGTAGTCATAGGAGTTTCATAGGTAGGCATAGGGTTAGTGGTATCAATGAATGTACTCATTTATTGACGGGGGGCTGGTTGACCGACACCAGGCGAGGAGTTGTTGCATGTTTCTTCTTCAATATCCATTTGTTCGTCAGTTTGTGGAGGTACTTGAGTATGTTCTCTTGTACTAAATCCTGAGCGAGGTCGGTTGGCTGTGTCGGAATTATTCGTCTCGTGTGCGTTGTTAGGTGAACCATGGTATTCGTTGCCCATGGTAGTCTCTAATAGTACCTGTTGTGCTTGTGTTTCAGTGATCCATCCCTGATTTACAAACGTTCGTGCTACTGATCTGCGAAGGTAGCTTCTAATAAATTTCAAGCCCTGATGAGTCGTGTTTGATGAAATTCAATAGCCTTTACTGCACGTTCATCAGCTGTAAGTTGACTTAAGGAGATGTCGTTAACATGTTCAGCTGCGATTGGGTTAAAATTTGCAATAGGCGTGATGGTAGATTTCATTAAGATGGAGTTTAATTCATTTTGATAGCTGTGATGGATCAAAATTGCCACAACTCCACGAGCTGGATAGTGAATGTCAAGAATGCGACCGTTATCGATTCCCATGGTTCGCAATTTTTGACGGAACTCCTTGATGCGAATTCGATATTTGTTA